GAACGCATATAGACTTTGATTTCTCTTTCCTTTGTTCGCGCCAGGTCATACCTGGCGTGCCCTTCGCGGGGACTTGTCTTTTCAGGGTATTATGGCTTGTACTGCTATGGAGTAAGGTCTCCAGCTTCTGGGTTTGATTTCGCTGATGGATCATTTGGCAATACTTTGCACGGCTCGCGCCAACCTGTACCTTGTTGAGGGTTTCCAGCCGTTTTGTTACTTGGCTGGGCTGGCCCGGTTGAAAGAAGATACCCTGCTTTTAGACTGTACTGTACAATACTCTTGAGAGTGCGATAGCTACACGGCTTCGAGTTTGAGTTTGGAAAATGACGGATCAATTATCTATGCAATCCTTGCTTCTCATTGCCAAACTTTGTGTGAATCGTAAAAAAGAATTCGGGTGCCACTTTCAAAAAATTGACTGCAAAGTGTGGCACTCGAAATCAAGACATTATGACACATGTGCTTTTTGTTTGCTTCTTCTCATATTGGCCCGTCCGATGGAACGTAAAATCCCCCCTCGTCTTTGTCCTGCAAAGAAATGGCGATTGAGCATGGCAAACACTCATCAGATATGACTCTTTGGCAATACAGTCATCTCGAGACCATTCCTTGTGTTACATGCAGTATGGTACTTTCTCCCCCCTCCGCACATCCCTTTGGTCGGGGATGAGGTCACAAAAATAGAGACCCGCATGGTGTGTACATGTACGGACGAACGATGATGCACGCAGCGGCTGGTACCTCACATCCGCAGCAGCTGACAAGGCTGGCATCCCGGAAGCATGCAGACCTGACCAAACCCAAAATCAAGAGTTCGGCATTGATGAATTTTCGCCTTGAATTGTGTCAGCTTGCCGACAAGCAGCAAACAGGATTTCATCGACCCTAACGCGAGAAAAGAAACGTGACACCGGAAGCCATTGTGTCTTTGAGAAATGACAGAACTAATAAATTTTGTATGTCTACCGAGGGCCATGTCTCCCACAGATCAAGCAAACGTTTCTTTGTTATTTCTTTATTTGTCTCTTTCTTTCTTTTCAAATCACTATATCTGCCGCTGTCAAACTAGCAAACGTTGAGAATCGTCGACGCATCATCAGTCACGATCATAATTTGCGACAGGGGACGGGGAAGCTGGTCAGGAGCTTGTTTGATGAACTCTGTTTACTTTTCTCCCGTTAACACCTTTTTCTTTGCTTTCCCTTTCTTTCTTTTTCTGTGCCCCCAATGCTACTGTACTTTCTTCTTCGTTGGCGCGAAAAAGGCTACTTGTTTTACAGCTGGGAAAGTTAATCCAAAATATACGAAACACCGAGCTGGGAGCGAATCCCAAGCTACTGCAACTCTAAAAGGGGCTGCATGCATGGACCGCGCTGTCGGGTTCCTTAACTGCTCGGGCAGGGATTCGTGTATCAGCAGGTGCAGGCTGGGAAAAGATAGCGTTGGTTCTTTTTAGCTACAGCACTATGTACTGTATGTACTAAGGGGGGGCCCGCAGTGTGGAAAAGCCGCGATGCAAAGCGATGCAAAGAACGGGCCCTCGAACCGCTTCCATGACTCTTTCTCCACCCCTCCCTGTCTGCTGTCTTCATTATGCCGGCAAAACTGACCAGTCACTATTTTGGGGGGAGGGACTATTTGTTCCCCAATAGCATTCACGGCATAAGAAATCGTGAATTATCTTTCCCGACAGAACGAGGACCTCTGCCACGCCGTCGTGATTTCAAGGAAGATACCCAAGAACCCGGAATACGACCCCCGTCCGCTGTGCGGTTAGCGGGATGACCCACGAACGGCATAATGCAGCAAGCAGCCACGATCGCATCTCTCACCCGATTTATATGGCACCCGCATCGAGCCACAGAAAAAGAAAACCTGCCGACCCGGTAAACTTTTTCTTTTCTCCCCCGTTCCCAAAGATGAATTTATGTGCCATGTTCCAGATGCAGCATGAAATGCAATTATATCCTGCGTGACCTTGACTAGAACCTTGGTGTCGATATTAGTGGTCATCGTTTGCATTCATGTCCGGAGATGACCACTAGCTTGGAATTACTTTTGGTCTCCTCTTTTCCTGTTTCAGCATCTTTGGGACGTTTGTGAGTGCGTTCAGGCAGACTACAAGGTAGCAAGCAAGCACTCCACGTAACGCCTAGGAGACAGCTAAATCTATTGTTCAATGCCTGTTCTACAGTAGACACTCATGTGAACTGCGGGACCCTCCACGAAATTGAATGCAGCGAGGCTTAGACGTCTTGTCGCAAGTCTACCAGTTTTCTTTTGGTCTTCCATCATGACGAAACGATCGTGGCCCAGTTACACAAGGCTTCTGCCACAGGAGAGCATCCGACGTCACACCAAAGGAAGGGTACGCGTGCTTTCTCGTGGCAGCCCGCCCCATCCATCTCACCAAGGGCTGTGTCGTAAGCAAGCCACCATCGGGGGACGCCATCGAATGAGGATTCCAGCAGGGGAGTCGTGCGACCAAAACACATGTAAGACGAAACCCGAAAGCATGGAAACTCTCCGATGTCGTATCTGCGCGTATGCTACCATTCTCGGGGAACGAAACCGTACGGCATTGGCATGATGTTGTGCCTCTTGAGTGCGTCCACATAGTAGTGGTAAAGTGACGCTTACAAAAACAGTTCACGGAGGGTACAATTAATTTTTAATGGTCTTACAATGATAAAATATGGAACAAACCTCAAAAAATAACTGAACCTCAGTCCATGATTCAAATCAATAGTTAGCGGTATAAGACGGAACGGGACGATCCATCAAGGTGGAATAATCAAACGTTCACCGTCGTCTGGCTTTGTGATTTTTGTGCATCAACAGTTTGATTACATCATTGGTTCGACCTCTTGGTCCTCTCTCCACAGAAACTCGCAACATGTTCCTCCACTCTCGCAGAAACAAACTACTCGGAACTATGGGGCTCGCGTGGTTCAAGGGTCGGGCTCGGAAGACCCTGATGATTCGGGTCTTGGACCGGTAAACAACCCTGGGGTTATGATAGAGATATTCCTTTGTCTCCTGAGGGACAGCCTGCAGGTTTCGGATACGAGGGCGACGCTTCGTAGCAAATCATATCATCTCCGCTTGTTCTAGAAGCTCATCCCACCGGGCTCCGAAGCATTCTCTTTGTTCGCCATGTCACTCGTCGCATGCGTTAAATCTAAGAGGCCGGTCCTAATGTATGACGAACCACCATGCTGTCATATCCATCGGCGACGCCGAGATTCTCGGGGAGAGCATTATCTCCGGCAATATCTGTTACCAAGGTCAAAGTCTCACCGATGTGTAACCCTCCAGCACACCGATAGACCGCCTCAACAGCCTGATATAGGTAGCAATTTTAGTATTTTCAAGCACAAACAACCATAGCTCTCACAAAACTCGGCCCCAGCACCGTGTCGATTGGTCTGTTGTGTTTGACCATCTTGACACACACGAACCAGTTGGCCTGTCCACGCGCCGTTTTCAAGATAACGTCTCAGCGAATTCTCAGCGGTGCGAGACACTCTGCTACGATGGATGTTAATGGCACGGCTGTAGAACTTGGAGAGAAAAAGTGACACTAAGCTGACGGCCTTAGCAGGACTACATCTTATTCAAGAAGGCAAAGACGGGCAACATGGTTAGGCTGATTTCGGGGAGAGCCTGATGTCTCTTTGATGACCTGGTGTCCCGTATCACTCTGATGAAACGGAAGCATAAGGGCATGGGATATGTTCTTCTTCTAGATGTCCCTATACAAGGTTCTTGGGAGACATCCCGTTGCATGTACTGAAGTCGTCACCGGGATTCCTTCGAGAAGAAATTTTCACGCTGACGTGATCGGATTATGGACCAAGACTCCGGTTAATCTAAATACATGGACCTAAAACCCGTTCAGTCTGACATGACGCGTTACCATTGGCATCCATGCTGGCACTGGGGCGTTATTCCAGTCAAATAATTGGCAATATCCATAGTCACTATTCTGGCCGTTATTGATGATCCGTGGTCGCTATGGCCATCTTGCTTCTGCCGAGAAAGGTTCTCGAGCTAGAAACGTACAAATAACGAGATATATTTGAGTTACAGGCTGAACATTTTGTGTTGTTAGACTGCCCTGTTAGCACAGGTAATTCATGGATGGAGTCGATGTGAGTTGAAATTGACATCGAAGCCTGGGTAGATGTATCGATTATTTCCAGTCGGCTCACCATGGCCAGGACACTATAACAGCAGCGTCCGCCAGTTTGTTTATATGTTTGACGTCTGAGCGGGCTGCCGATTAGCGGCTGCCTTGGACCTCCCTAGGGGTAGTGGACTTGACCAGCTAGCTATATAATAATATCCCCATCTCCCTAAGAGTCATTTCATGTTAATATAGTCCGACTCCTGAGTTAGTGCGGTAGTATCGGAGGAAGACCGACCTCAGCCGACTCACGGTCGCGTGGAGAAGATGATGTTTGCGACTCAGCCCCCTTCTATACCTTCTATGGAAAACTTGTGCTGCTATGTTTGTCTGCTCATTTGGTATTCCGCTGCTTGTAGAACTTCATGGGCCATAATGGTGTGCCGCAGAAGTTACCTCCCGAGCGTCGTGGGTAGCACCACTAAAGCCCACATCAAAGTCTACCCTTTCGACCTCACGCGATTCCGAATAGGCTTGGATGAGACCTGCAACACGGCAAACAATTCAGCCATAGATTGCGACTCCAGAATCACCGCGCTCGCACTCCAAGATTACTACGGCTGATTGTCTAACTCGACTGCCCAGGACTCTATCTGTGTTGGCACATGTGGTTCTGCTCTCTCAAGCTATTTTGAGAATGTCATCCGCGTAGCAGGTCAGATGCAGAACTTCCGACCGGATATGCAATTACATACGTTAGAGATATGATCTCAAGTTGCTGCAACCTAACATGCCTTACTGATGCTTCGACTGGAGAGTATTGTACTTGTTGGTTGCGGCCACTAAGTTAGACGAACTCCGATGAGGTGTGAATGTTAAAGACCAAAACATGCTGAAACTCAAAATCACAGATTATACAGCATCTGCAAACGTCTCCATTGGTACAGCAGATACCTCACTCAACTCTCTCGATTCCAACGTCCTTTACTCTCCATGTATGCTTGCCCGCCTCCAAAATCGCCAATCGACAACCTTCTCCGAATATGACGCATCATCCACCACCACGTGGGCCTCCATTCAGTCCATCTATGGAGTAACGAGCTTGACAGATGTGCAACTGTCAGCTGCGGGCCCAACCGCTACGCCTCCAGTGCCCTCACGAGCCGCACGACCTTCAGGCTGTGAAAAGTACTATCGAATGACAGCGGAGACATGTGCCAAGTTGTGGCTTTGAATAACTTGGTATCAACGCTCGAGGCGATCAACCCAAATATCGATGAGACATGCGATAAACTTGTGCCAGGATTATACTGTTGCGTCTTTCCTACGGCTGATTGGAATTTGGCGAGTGGCTCAACGTCGCCTTCAACAATTGTGGCCCCGCCAGCGCCCACGGCCACCGGTAGTTTGAGGATCTCTTAGCTGACACATACTGCAGTAAGCGGTGACTACTGTTATTCGCTCGAGATCGATTACAGCATCACGTTTGAATGGTTCCAGAACTAGAACCCAAGCATTGATGAAGAATGGGATAACATATTGCTTGGAGATGCCTACTGCGTTAGCAGGTACACTGTTTGATAGCAATTCAACGTATAACATGCGCTGCTGCTATCAAATAATTTGACTGCTTTGATGATCTGACATTGTCGGATCTCAGCCACGTTTCCAAAATGGCATACGTACCTTGGCCCAATCAGGGCGTGCCGCAGTAACGCTCTCCGAAATACCATGGGCGGAAAAGTCCCAGGAATTGATCGTGCTCCAAGCTTGTTCCCATGAGACTATCTTCTCACTTAATCAATAAACCTTACGTTCGAGTTCCGTACAGATGCCATATAGTGTAGCGGTGTGTTCCCGTGAATATCTTGGCTCTGTAACTCATCATCAGCCAGCATGGTCAGAAGGTAGCGTACCACTGCCTCTTGTGCCGCCGATTGATCCGCGGGCATGTCATGGATTCCTAGGTCCGCGGCTCGCGGTTCCATCTCTGCCACCTCTAGCTCGCCTTCCCGACGGAATTGGGCCTGTGCTATGTAGTTGCAGCGGGTTCCAGGCTGTGTCTAACGTCCTGAAGTCGTGGATCGACATATAGCATTGCTGGGAGTGCATATTTGGAAATGCCCTCCTCTCCGTGGAATTTACTCGTCACATGTTTTATGACTCGTGGATCGAGCATGTCTACAACAAAATGAATGAGATGATACTGATATAGAGTAGACAAGTGATATATTACCCAGGGCAGCCATGGTGCCGAACCCAGTTGTTCAATTTGTCGCGATGGGCGATCCTGCGGACTTAGGGTAAAAGGGGTTATAAGGCCTCCATGTTTAGAGCATCAATTATTCAATTATAACGTCCATTCACCCTGGATTTAAATCCTTATAACGGACTATTGTCTATCGGAATGCTCACGAACGGGTCTGAGCCACCGATACGGAGCGGCGACAGTGATATGGGCTCGTCGGCCCTTATTCTTCGTACCATGGCCGCGTTTTATACCTTTGCCCCCTCACTCTTCCCTTATCTTATTTCCCTCTGAATTATGCCCGGCCACCCTGTCGTGCAAGTAGTAGTGTTCGTTCACGAGACTGAGCCGCCAGCTTATCTAGAAATAGCTGCGGCCCGTTAGCTGCCTTAAAGTTGCGTCCTATTTTCTATTGATCTTCTTACTCCATAACGGGAACTTTTGGGCTTCCGACACGAAAGGCTCAAGCGTTGTGATATTAAGCTATCTCTTGGATCCGTGATAAATTATATGTATTCATGAGCACGTTTTGTGTCACTATTAACCTGCTCCCGCCATCCATCTACCGTCTCTCTCTTTCTCCGCCTTTCTTTTCCTACCTTTTAGATTACGCCGTTGCTATTCGCCATCATCGTAATAAATTTCGCTGCTTCAATTTATGATACTCTTCGCATACGAAAATTCCGAATTCTTTACAATATTTTGGGATGCTCATTTGGAGTTCTCTTCTTCTTTTCTATTTCTCGAAACCCCTCAATCGTCTGATATAGGATATACGGGGGATTATATGAAACCGAGCCTATAGTTTTTCCTCTCTATTAATTTGGGCTATAATTATGCTATTCCTTCTATCACGGGGGAGTATAACGCGCTCTAGTGGTTTCCCTTACAACATACCGAGATGTGGGCATGCCCATACGCCACAGTAATCTTAGTGAAGACGAATCTTCTTCGTCGGCTACATTTGAGAGACTTTGCTCTTTGTCCAACCGCCATCTTACATTCTCGTTGTAAGTATTATCACGATTGATCTGAGCCTTCTGCTCGTCCAGCTCCTTTCTCAGAATTTGTTGTTGCAGGATTGCTATGTTCCCTTCTACCTCCCGTTGTCTCTTGCTCTCGCACAGTTCCTTCTCTAGCTCAGCGATGCGCTTCGTTGCTGCTGACTGCTCAGTTTGTTCTTCCGGTCCTCGCTGCTTTGGGACATTCTTTTCAGCAAGCTTCTGATATAGTGGACCCTTTTCTACCATGAGCTTGTCCATGTCAGTACTTAACAGGGTTTCCCAGTGTTTTTCCTGCTGCGACGCCTTGTCTTCCAGTTCGCGCAGGACCTGTTTCAACTTGCGTGCTGTCTCCTCGTCTTCCTCGAGTAACGCCTGTTCGATCTCCTCGCTCAACGCAGCCACGTCCTTCAGCATATTTCTCTTAGCGTCTCGTAGCGTCTCGAAAACGCACTTGCCCGCCGCCGTATCAGCCAGCGGCAATCCTTTATCCAGAAGTTCGAGCTGGATATCAAATACCGTTCCTCTGTCAGCCACACGGTCTACGAGTCCCGATATAATCGCCAGCGCAGATCCCCAGGATCCGTCATGCTTGACCACTCGGCTTCCACGGCTTATCATGCCTGCCCAGAACTGACTGCCGCTCTGCAGTTCGTCGTGGCGTGCATTAGTAGCTGGATCATCCATTTTGCTCCACATGGTCGTGGCGAGCGTTACAGCCCCGAAGTTGGTCTGACCGACGAGAGCCTGAAAGACGCGCAGGTTCCTCAATGCTGATCCCTGCATGCGCCGGTCCGTGATGCGGTGCAGGTAGACTGCTCCGGCGAGACGTACCCTCTTTTCTCCTAGCGCGCGAAGCTGTGCCAAGAAGAAGGCGATGTCCTTGAGGATTTCGACGTCAGGCCGGCGGGTGTCGTCAAATCCGGGCGTGTCGAATATGTACACTGTCTGCGATTTGCATTTGAAACTGTAAACCTCTACCTTAGTCGTATCTACACCGGGTGCTATTAGTAAGTTCATTTCAGGGGTTTTTCTTAGGCCAACCTATGCTTCAGGAGGTCAGTTATGGCGCGGTTGACGTACTCGATTCCAGCGTATGTCCCACCTCGACGCTCTGGTCGGCGAGCAGAGAGATAAATGTACTTTTTCCTGCACCAGTAACTCCACATACGATCACTACCACGCCGTCTTCTCTGTGCCATCAAAATGTCAGTGCATGCACAGAGCTCCGTTACATTATGTCTATGCTTACTCGGTCAAAAAGTCGCTTTGCTGGAGGCTAGGAGGCGAAGGCACCGTGGTTGAGGCGGAGGCCTCGTCGTCACGATTTCTTTGTGAATCATGACGTGAATATGGTCTTGACTGATGATAATGGCGGCGGCGTCGGTCGTCTTGGCTGCCTTCAGAAGATGATGATGACAATAGCGATGAACGTCTAGATGCTATTTTCGAGCTCTTTCTGTCACTGGAGCTAAACTCTAGGACTTCCACGTCCTCTCCCTGATCCATGGGCAAAGTCGTTCTCCGAGCGATGGTGTGCTTGCTCCTGCGTTGGGATTTAGCATCATTGTCCCGCGACTTTTGCGTCATGATTGTTTTCTGAGTAAAGAGATCACTCCTGGTATATTGATGTGAATCGCGTTCCTGGGGGAAAATCTACAGGATCGCGCAATCGCGTAGATGTCATTCTTTTGCAAATGAGGCACGGCCGAAAGCGGGTGGGAGCCCGGGAGCATGGCAGCAAAGCATCCTAGGAGTTGCTCAAAATGGTATGCGGCGGCAGGGCAGAGATGGTCTACGTGTCGATAATATATTGGCCGGTCAGATGCCTGTGTATGTTATGCGTTATGCGTTGTGCGTTGGATGGTATCGTGCATTCCTGGTGCTACCCTTACACAGAGCCTGCTTCACTATCTCAGTGAGCTCAGACACATTCGTCTGCAAGACTTAGTAGTAAGTGAATCTTACGCCTTTGCTCATAATGAGGAGGATTTGCCTCTTACGATATCCCGATACTATTTATATGTTACGAAAGACTAAATAGTAGAACCGAACGACATTCGCTACCGCTTTTGTTCCCCACTCTAAGCTGTTGTTGACATTGCTGCAGTAATCTGGTGTGTCTGCAACTGGAATGATGTCGAAACAGAACTGCGCAGCCTTGTAGAATTCCTTTCAAGTATAGTGGGATAATTTTGGTCGACGTGTAACTCCCATGAGCTTATCTGATTCGCCTTGGTCAATGGTGATCTACATCTCACCGAAATGCTGATGTGGTCGCCGATACCCAGCTTGGTTCAGGGGCTTGGAGTTGTCGCTTCCCAGTCTGCTTGTCACAAAGTGGCAATTCTACTCGTCGGATAATATATTATCGTCTTTCGAGCATGCAGTTGCATTGCCGCGCAAGTTTGGAACCTTGCAATTGGAGTCAATACGCACGTCGCTGCTATTGGGAAGGAGGGCCTTCCACAGCCTGCTCACACCAGCGGCAATGAAAGAGAAATCAGAAGCCGGGCACAATGTAATGAATGAGCTCAGCTTAAGTACGTTTCGTTGACTTTTGTCTTTTCCCACGGCCATCTCCTTTTCATCCCCCCGCCACGTCCTTTTGCGAACACTAAAGCACAACTGAGACACTAGGAGTCATGTCGTTGAACTCATTCATCTCACTGAATTCGCAGGTAACTTCTGCCGCGTCATCCGAAGAAGTACAATCCTTCGTGTGAGTTTATTCTATGTGGATAGTAACCGCAAGATCCTTCCGGTATGCCAGGGTGAGCTAACGACAAGTGGCGATTACCGCCATCACAGAGAAAATGATTTGGTTATAGCAGTCATGGGCGTGACAGGTAGCGGAAAGTCAACCTTCATCTCGTACTTTTGCCAGACAGCGAAGATCGGGAACACCCTCCAATCAGGTAAGAATGCCCTTCTTCGGATGACAGGGGAAGAAAATGGATGAAGGGATTGTCAAAGTAGGTGCCAGCACGGCAAAACTGATATTTTGGCTGGTAGAAACTAGCCAAGTTGAGCGCCACGAAGCCAATATCGACGGTCAGCGCGTATACCTCATCGACACCCCCGGATTCGATGACACCAATCTAAATGGCGGTCGCAGCGACTCCGATGTCTTGAGCGAGCTGGCCGACTGGCTGAACCGCTCGTATCAAACCGGGGTCAAGCTGGCCGGCATCATCTACCTGCATCGCATCACTGACGCACGAATGCAAGGAACCGCTCTGAAGAACTTGCAAATGTTCAAGAGGCTCTGCGGTGATAAGGGCTTGCCGGGCGTCGTGCTGGCCACTACCATGTGGGATGTGGAGGAAGTCAACAGGCGTTCTAATTACGAGGCACGTGAGCAGGAGCTGAAAGCAGAGGAAGCCTTTTGGGGAATCATGCTGCGTAAGGGAAGTAAAGTCTTACGACAAGATAAGGGTGAGACATCAGCGCTCCGGATCTTGCGCCATATCCTCTACGCGCATAGCCAGCGACCGACTGCCATCAATCTACAAATCCAAGAAGAGATGGCAGCTGGCAAATCTCTGAGTCAAACGTCGGCCGGGCAGGAACTGTTAGGGCAGATTGCCGTCTTACAAGCAAACTATGAACGCGAGATGGCGCAGTTACGACACGAACTGAAAATGATTGGGTCAAAAGATCGAGCGTCACGCCAAGAACTCCAACAACTTAAGGCAAATCTAGAGTTGCAAGGGCGGGAAATTAATCAGCAGCGCAAGGAAGCTGAGCGCATGAACGTCAATAACGAGCAGCTGAGGAGGCAGCGCGATGAGCAAATGAGGCAGCGGCAGGAAGATTTACAAAGAATGCTGCGACAACAGGTCGCGAGCCAACAACAAGCCGTACAGAATATGTTGACCAGAGAGAGATTGGAGAGGCAGCTTCAGACATCTAAGAAGAAGAATGAGGCACAGGCAAGAAAAATACTTAGGGCAAAGGAAGCGATGACTTGTTTTCCGATGTAATTTTATAAGCAACTCTGAACACCTAGTATGAGTATAGGAAGCTTGGTATCGACAAAGAATTCTTTTAACGACCATGATGGAAAACCTGATCAGACAATAATTACTAGAGAACCCCTTAAGGTCACATTCACCAGGGATCTTACACGTCAGACACGATCATAAGAGCCGCTACAACTGCGGAGGGTGATCAAACGAGCTTGAGGTCCTTATCATCGTGACTTACGATTTTTACACGGCCCAGGAATAACCTGATTATGTCAAAGTAGTAAGAACTTAGCTTGCGATAGGTGTCTTGAAATTGTAGTCCCTGAATTCGGCACGAATTCCCCTAATTAAGGAAGCAACGATATATTACCAGCTGTTCAAAAACCTCGCAATAAGGAATATCGTGGTCAACGTGATGTTGTGGTCCAAGTAATCAGAGCTGCTATATCTCGATCTCTTAATGCTGCATCCACCGATAGGTTCGCCCGTTTCACCCGTTCTCATCGGGGCCCTGGAGCTCCGCCCTGAGTCCTGGAGGCGATCTCCACGATTTATCAATCTCCTTGTTAGAAATAAAAACCAACGTGGGCGCGTCTTTAGAACATCCATAGCTACGCCTTCTGCTTTTACTGGGATCCCAGCTACTGGTATTCAGCCACAACAGGATAGTAAACTATAGAGAACGTATCACGTACCATTCTCCAGAGCTCGATAGGAGGTTTCAAGTAGCCGTCTTTGTTGAGGATCCATAGATGCAGCTTCTTCGAAATAGTTAACAATACCCTATTTGATTGCTTGATTTTTCTTCCCACCCTTGGAGGTGATGGGGAGGAAAGGAGCATCGAAGGCAGCTGGGTCCTTGTTAGCGAAATATTCACTCTTCGAAGATAACTATTAATTGTTTCAGTGGTATAGACATCAATGTGCTCGTGTAGGGCTAGAAATTTTGATCTATACACAACATTCTTGAGGTTGGCATTAGGCTTGTAAAATGCATTTAAATTGGCTCGGGACTCAAGCTATGGTGTTATGCATAAACATCTTTATTATTTTTCAAGAATTTTCCAGAAGCTGGCTTCATCTTCCAAAACCTGTGGAAGCTTGAAAGAGCGGCTGCAATAACAACAGGTTCAGCGGCGGGCTTCGTGGTGTTCAATGTGTCAGTGCTGGCCAACTGGCTTGCTTTTGTTAATTTTCGTGTACAGATCTGTCTTGAGGTATACCACTAGCCTAGCCAAGCTTACGGTCCCTGATGTGTACAAAACGGTGGCACGCATGCCGTCCATGTATGTGTCCATAGCTCCTGAAGGTTCTTACTCGCAGCTTGCATCTATATAGCCAATACACACACACACAACCATGCACGACTTTCTAACTGTAGCCATCGCTGAGGGCAGGATTGAGATTTGCCTCTCAGTGGGCGCCATATTTAAGGGTAGCTTCGTCTTATTAAAGCCGTATCATATGACTTGGTCTTGTATCACCTGGGCGCGCATAGTCAGCCCAGCCAACTAAGGGAGCAAGTACAAATGTGACCCTCGTTAATGCCTACGTAGTCTAGGCCATGGTGTCTGCTATCTGATACGATCCAAAAGCTTGTAAGATAAAGTTGAATATGGTCAAAACGTTATATCAGTATGACCTCTTCCCGAAACATGTCAGACGATAATGCGCCATCCATGCATACACAACCTTTGCAGCGCGTTCCAAGCGTGACGACATGCGTAAAGAAAATACAGTCCTCCCAGTGTCTCGATAGAGGAACTGAACGAAGACCGGGTTTTCCGGCTGTAGACCAAAGGCAATGTGACGTTAACAGCTCGAAAAGAGAGCTGCGTGACTTTGATTGCACTCCTGAGACTTGAATACTAGTTAGTCTAGTATATGTTTTAATAATGTAGAGATTGAGGATTAGGTCAATCATAATTCTACCGTTTGGCCAGCTGCGAGCAACGTGTATCCGGATTTGATAGCCGCAACAAATGTGAACGATGGCGATGTAGCAAAAATGACAGATTGTGCAAAATTCACAATGGTAGTCTGCAAGATTTCCATTGCCCAGAGTTATCGCTACAATACCAGACACTGTAAATCTGACTGCTCCGCAGGGATTCTGATACACGATTCTGTACGCATCTCCAGATGCTCCGATCGCCTTTCCAAACGAGTGAACCATAACCGCAATCTCCTTCCCCAGGCCGAGATGGCAAACCAAACCTGCTCCTAAAGGCTCAATCACTCCAATGCTGCGCGCCTCATCAACAACGAAACGAATATTCCCCTGATCGTGAAATATCTCCGTGGTAGCCTCTGGTACCAACCAATTCCAGCAATGGACACACGTCGCAATTCATGCTGTAGATGGACTCCAGCGCCACAAGCACCGTGCGTTTTCCCTGCTTGACCAGCGGTTGTGTGTTCAGGCTCTTCAGCAATGTGCCGCGGAAGTCGTTCACAACGCTGTGTGCAAACTCGATGCGCTGCATTGCAAGACTTTGTTTGATTCTCTTATGTATGCTTGAATGCACCGATGGATCATACACAACCACATCTCCGGGATGCACGATGGCCGTCTAAACCGCCACGTCAGCTTCATGTGCCGACGTGATGATTAGCCCGGCCTCGACACCATGGAAAACGGCGTTGTCGAGCTCAACTTGTTCAAGATGTGTGTAATTTCCATCCATCAGGCGCACGCCACTAGAGCCGATTCTGAAGTCGGATTACCCAGCCAGCTCGGCCTGGAACTCCGTACGGCAGGCCCCGCTGGCTCCTAGTCCGAGTATGTCCCTCCGGAACACAGATCCACTGCATCGGTGGTCTGCCAATGATATTACACAATACTTTAGAAGCCGTGAGATGCGCGCTTCAAATCGAGGGCCTTTTTAAGGTTACCCGGTCTCACTTCGAATCATCTTATTTTATATTTAACATAGACAATGGGAAGCATCGGTGAACATCCCATCCTCTGCCCTACCTGCCCTACCGGCACTGTAGCCACCAAGATCAGGGGCCAGCAGATCCGGGCAGAACACACCAGGGCGCTTCCGACCTTCTATCATATTGATGGCCTAGTATTTATGAACTCGATGGGCGAGACTAAAGTCGCTGGGTCTTGTCGCAGTCATTGCAACAGCCACCTTGAAAGAAGTCGGCTTGTGTTGTGCCAGAGATGACACTAGTTAACGGACCACGCTATTGACCGTGAAGGTTACTTGGGGCCACCCGCCATCAGCAGCTGTCAGTGGAAGGCTCGTATCCGCCGTGTCTCGACTGATGCAAAGTACCCAGTATAGATGCCCGTGTACATCATGGTGACTGGGAAGTCCTTACCTGCGATCGACCTATGCTACGTTATCGGGTATCGACATTTGAGTACAAAGGTCTTAGAATTGGTTCGACCACGCAATTTGGTTTACAATGTCACAACTGTGGTAAAGCCTAGATGTGAGAATATGCTGCAGCCTTGCGGCACCCTGTCGTTGCGACCTAAAGTAGCAAACTTAGAAGCAAACGGGAAGAAGAGTGGGCGCTACCTAGACCTGGCAGAACCAGTCCCCAACAATATGTGATCTACCACACATGGAGTCTGTCCTCATGCTCAGCTGGCAAGTTAGATGACTCAGAGATCTCGAAGGATGGAGTTGATGTCTCTTGAATGCCGCGATCATAAGTTGTGGTATGACATCTCACATTTGCAATCTTCAAAGATGCCGAACGTCGGATATATATCCTTAGATACGCATTATCCTATCAACTAACTATAGCGATCGACTCTCTCAATCGGACAGTCAACATGTTCGAACCCCCCAATCATTGTCTTTCGGCGCATGTGCCACTTCTATCCACATATATCTCATGGTTTAATCTGTTCGGTAGTCATTGGGCTGGTCTGGGGCTTCCACGAGTACTTTTATCATAACCCCACGAGGCGGTTGGTTGTTTACGAAGTCTGTGGCTTAAGCCGAGTCCGCACCGCGAGGAGAGATCGCCGTCACCAATCCGCAGGTATGGAGCTCACTTATCTGCTATATACCGCGACGTTTCCGCAATAGTGGCTCCCGCCAGACAGGGAGATCAACGTCACCCTGACTGGGCTTGCTGGACTCCCCGTTACCCATCCAAGGTCGCACGAGTGACCTTAAAAAGCTGGAGATGGGCAAGCTCTTGAGGATCTTTGGCGTGGCCGGGATTCCTATGATAAGGAAACCTGCGGTGATTTCGCCCACACCCCACAGGCCAAGCTCGGTTATCTAGTACGTCTCATCGCTTTTGAAGAGAATATGAAGAGTTGAAACTAGGCGGACATTACCGCAGATGGTGACGGTTTCGTAGGAAAGTCAGCAGGGAACGTGGCTTCTGCCGCAGGACAGGTGGAGAGACACGCACAAATTTCCGATCCCAAACAGCAAAGATACCCCTAACTGCTAGTCGCCGATGTTTTCGAAATCCAAATCAACCACCCGGGGGGCAGCCACACTTGCGAGGCTGGAGACTAGATTGATCAGCGCGGATGCGAAACTGTTGGCGGCGATATCAATGGGGCAGGTGCCGCCCACGAAGAGGGGGTCCCAGATCTTTGGGCGCGGTGTGCAGCGGGAGATCTCCAAGAAGTTCCCCGAGACATAGTACATGACATTGTTCTAGATCAGGACGCGGAGCGTCCAGAACATGGCGTTGCGTTGATGGACAGGAATGAAGGTGCGTAGCCAGTCGTAGAGTATGGCGAGCTTAAGGAACTTGACGGCAAGTCTGTAACATATGGAAGCGGCGTGCAGGTGCTCGAGAGAATGTCAGTTTTATTTTTCCAAAAATCTATCTCACATTTAACAGCAGATGTCACCCGCGTATCGATACCGTTCGATATCCTTCATCTGATAATTCCACGAGTGGACCTGAATTCCAGGAGAAATTGCAGTCATGTAGAGGACCCATTCATACCCTGAAAATGTGCCCTAGAGTCCGATAACATGCTTATCACTTGTCAACATACGACTAGTAAAGCTTCGCCCACAGATCACGGAGAATACTGCGAAACGGATCAAGTTCACGAGGTTCGGTAAAGTCATAGCATGTGGAGGAACCGAGCGTGTTCACTCTGCTACGCTGAACGGAAACTTATTTAGCTCTCACATTTCCAAAGCTGTCCTAGTTCAGTACTGCTTTGATGTGGCAATGTGAGAGGATCCTTGAGATATCGAGCCTGTCTCCATAGAGTCACACGGAAAACGATAGCATAATAATTTGACTTTCAAATTATATGCTGCTGTTAGATATGACCTCGGGCTTATAGCGTCTAGACGATGACGATGAGAAGGTAAGTTTTTTTTTAAACAGAATTTATTCTGAGCCACAAGTCTTGAAATGCTGGAGTTCCGGGGCTTGCCATCTTTCAGCAAGGGGCCAGTTTCAGGAACGAAATTGCAATACTCTTATCCACCGATGGTAGTATCGACGTTTTGGAAACACGTACAAAAAATACCAGTCTCAAAGCGCCTCGGTCATCCCTGGTGTTTCCTATCAAATCTCTGAGTATACATCACTATCGAAAGTCAGTATCTGCTTGTGATGTCTTACCACAAGTCACGAATTATGACAAAGACTTACGTTCTTCGAATGAGAGGCATCCTCTCCCTGACACCCTCTAACTGTTCTAGATCTATGTCAACGAGCCCAATCTCACCGATAGCACCGTCCTCAGCCTCCCATTCTCCCTCGTTCTCCCCTCTCACTCCTTTCAATTCAACGACTACCTTGCCCCATGGGTCGACCACCAGGCTCTTGCCGTAGCTGACTCTTTTGGCTCCCTCGCCATGTCTACCGACTTGTGCAGACGCGATGACCCAGCTCTGGGTCTCGATGGCCCTGGACCTTAAGAGGACCTCCCAATGCGCTCGTCCCGTGGGCACTGTGAAGGCAGATGGGTAAAGCAGGACTTGTGCTGGTGAAATTGCGAAGGCTGACGATGCTGGTGGCTTGGCGAGATGGAGCGCCGCCTCTGGGAATCGCAGGTCAAAGCAAATGAGACTGCCTATACGGCCTATTGCAGACTGGAATGGAGTTGTGAAGGACGTTCCGGCCTGGGTTGAGTTAGACTCCCTCAGGGATGCATAATCAAACAGGTGCAGTTTGTCGTAGTTCGCTTTCTCACTAATAGAGCCGTCCTCGTTGATCCATATCGTACGATTGTATAGCTTGGTCGATATCCCTTCTTTGAATGAGTCTGAGCTTGAAGTCTCTTTCGCTTGCGGAACGGTCGTTAGAATCGGATTAGTAGTCTGCAAGTTGACCGCCTTCACAGTTACTGGAACGTGTATGCCGACATGCACGGCAAGAGAGTGCTTCGCTGCTGCGGACTGTAGGCCGGTCACAAATGGGGAGCTGGCCACTGGTTTGGCAAGTGAGAGAGACTCGGCGGCAGACGTGGCTATGTAATCTGATGCCTCTGGAAGGAAGAGGACCTGGCGAGTATGTAAGAAGATGTTACACATGGACTGACTTGCGACCAAAATAGGAACCTGGTTCCCCTGCTCCACCTGGCTGAATGTAGGCCACCCCTGAATACTTTTCTAGTTATGGCTGGCCTCTTGTATTCTTCAAGAGTGTCGTAAGCCCACAATGTCTATAGTGACAAGCTATGATCGTACACCACTTAGGCCTTGAGGATCAAAGAAACATAGCTTCCATTTACCTTTGCGCCGGCAGCAGCCGCCTTGGAAACAAGCTTAATGCATTGTTCGAGATTGTGCGTCATTGACGCCGTAGAGCATATCTGCCCCACTGCCTGCTCGAAATCGTCAGCATCTCCAGCTCTGCACTGTCTGGGAAAATCAGGCATATATTCACGTACCGCTATTGCCATGATTGAGTGCTGGTACTTGCTGTCCGTGAGTAGTTGTGATGCAGCTGAGTACGAGGGGTATAGAATGGTGTGATCGAATTGAAGCTCCGTCTTTCGGTGGTAATGTGGGGCTGCGATAGGAACAACCGCAGAAGCGTATACCATTTGGACGGATATGCGTCAAACATCACCAATCCCTAAAAAGACATATGATATCGAGTTCATGGTATCCTCAATTTCCACTTTCACTACCAAGTCTTCTACCCAAATTACTTAATTCAGATTTAGGGCTAGATCTCCACTCAATAACACAATACTTCAGAACGGTTGTGTAGTGTCGGAACTCAATGAACAGCAGACTTGATTCAATAATCGATTCAATCGCAAAAGGAGATCGCTATGCCCATATAAGACCAAATGAATGTTCACATGGAACTTTGACAACTGCAGAACAGCAATCAACCAGATTTATGACGCCTTTTCCCCAGATATTTCCAAGCAGCCAATACTATCTGTCCTCGACAGTTCGGACCGGAGTGATCAATTGATTGCATCCTCTATACGACGCTTCAATGAAAGCCACCCTGCTTTCAGAACTAGAATTGACAAGTTGGAAGAGCCCTTGTGGGCCTCCTTTGTGATTGCGTCATCTAAATATGCCGGAAAGGTTTCGAACGTAGCCAATAGAGCTTCGCGGTCTTGGCTGTTCAGATGTCTGCTGTTCAGAAATCCGCTGCTCAGAAGTACACGGAGAACATATCGCGAGTTCTCAAGGGTATCAGTACGATCCTGCCAGATCATTTTCCAACCTGGTCGACATTGTGGATAGACCGGTTCGTGCTGCAAAGCACCGTTTTGTTGGCTCAGCATCCTAAACCATCGGTAATCTTCGCAGACAACTCCTGAAGAGTGAGCCCTTTTACAGAACTCAACACTTACAATCGCATCGGGTCCCTGATCTGGATGGCCACAGGAAAAGAAACCGACATAACGTTTAATACACATTTTGGCTATATATCGGTCGAAGGATGACCAAAGCGGGACTGTGTTGGCGGTGGATGCTGATATGTGACTAGTATAACAACAGTCAGAGTTAAGTAACTTAAGATTAGATAGTCTTAACAGTTTCTAAAGATTAACCAGAATGCACGTAGATATAACATTGTTGTCACAGTGTGGTTAACAGTAATGCCAATAGCAGAGCACAGAATATCACAGCAGTATCCAGAATGGATGTGATGGTGCAATGATTTTTGCTAACGATTGTTGTGGTGCCAATATCGGACTGACTATAAGCTGAAGAGCCAATTGTTCGACACATAAACCAACAGAGCAAAGGGTTCGGTCCGTTTCGTCACATCTGCTCATGAAGATCTTTAGCAGTACGACAAATCAATCTCGAACGTGAAAAGGTTAGATAGACGAAGGATTCCACACGGCATTGGCATTGAAAACACTAGGATATGGGCACTTTGTTGCAGAAGGCCACCGAGAGCCGACTTCCAGTATTAAAAGATTACGAATATTATGTACGGTACGCTTCCTATTGCTTGTTTCATCATCATGACACCTCGGCCGCTTCTCCCCTCCCCAGACAGTTATCCCACCTCTGTAAACTTGACAAGCAAACCATCAACAACCAGCACATCGTGCTCAGAACAACAAGCAAATTGCCCGACTGAAAAGCATAAAGGGGTATCTTGCAGTCTCACCATTCAAGAACAAAATCCATCCTGCACCTTTTCTCAATGGTGCAAATATCGCTCACTCAACCATCAAAGAAAGAGGCATACTGTGCAACAAACGAAAAGAAAAGAAGAAGAAAAATTAGACCTAATGATGTGGCCCATACAATGTTGTTACGTGATTTGACATAGGGTAGTGGCAGTCGCCATGCGCAGGCAGCCACTACTCCAGCTGGTGGTGCGGCTTGAGACGGAGTTCGAGGGATCATTTGGTTTATGCGCTCGACTCCAAATGCCCATGGCAGACTGTTTCCGATGTCTTGCGGGTGAGGCCAATACATGGTAGGTGGCCTCTGAGCGCTGCGCAAAGAATTGCAGACGGGCCTCCTACGCCTTCTTCATCTTGCCGGTATGCTGCTTGTATTCAGCGCGAACTATCTTCAGCAGCAACTCATCGTTTTTGATAGGAACGAATGATGTGAGTGCCTTCATCGCATTCTCAAATTCGGAATCGATGATATGCTCACCGAGAGCCAAAATGATGGCTGTGCTGGTAGCATGTAGAATCTCAAGACCCCGGGACGAGATAGCTTGCGTGACTTGTTTGCTAGCCGAAGGCTCGGAAACTGGTATATCGGGCGGCGAAGTGCCCAATAGCATGAAAACGTCCCAGATCCGAAGTAGGGAGGAAAAGGGTATCGAGAGGTGGAAGAGTGTTAAATACCATCTTGTTCCATATGCCGTTGGGTCGATGCAAAGCTCCTTGAGACTCTTGGCAACGTCTTTGTCTGCGAGCCAGTGCTTCTCAAAGTCCTGCAAGCATTCCATGAGCTCTACAAAGTTAGGGGAGTAGAGACGTTTGAGCCCTCTTAGCTCCCACAGCCGTACGAGCATGACGAAACACCTCTCTTCGTCGTAATAGCTGAGCAGTGTTGCTGCCAGGGAAGCCATACCCTGAACATAGCCAGTGACGGGAAAGTAAAGTGACAACGAATGTAATACTCGAAATAGTAAACGCTGCCCACCTCTGTATCTTCGTCGAAACATTATGTGCTGGCTGATGGTCCTGGGCACATCAAGGTCGATCTGCACGTCATCCGGGGATGGTTGCTCCTGTAAGAGGTGATACTGGGCAAAGAGCTCATCTTCCGTTGCCAAAGGCTTGCTGCTGTTCCTTGCACTGGTCGCGAGAAATGAATACCAAGCAGCAGCGCGCCACCTGTCAGGAATGCCCTTCCAGGTGCGCTCAATCAGCTTTGGATGCTTGGAGTCAAACTCAAAGACCATGCCTTCGCCATCTTTGCCATGCTTGACGACTTTGGCCATTTTGCGCCACTTCTCTGTGCGTGACGACTCCTTCCGCGTGTACTCGTCAATCAGTTGGTTAGCTGAGATATTATCACCAATACTGGTCAATCCTGGTTGCTGAGCGAGCATGTTCCCTGCCTCGTCCATCCACCTCCTGTCCTTGTTATGGGGAAGTAGATTCGCCGCTTGTCGGAAAGCCGAACGAGTGGAGCGTCTCGACGTGGTAGAAAATTCGGATGTTTGTGTATGTAAAGAGCGTGCTGACCCCTTCCTACTCGGCCCACGCCCTGTCCCAAGAAACCGAGAGTGCTGCGCACCATCTTTGCGATTACGATGCCGGCGCGTCGAGAAGGATTCCGGGCTGTCCATAACAGTTGGGGGGGCACTGGAGGGCGTTGTTGGTCTCCGGGGCGCAATAAATCCATAGCGATCGACATCCTCGGCTTGTACATTGTTCCAATCTTCTATGCCTCCCGCAAGTTCGTATGTTTTCCTCAGGGGCTCATCTTGTCGCAACACAGAAGACGCCGTGGACTCTGGGATCCCAGGTGCTGGCGTAGGGGTTGAAGGTCGGTCGGCCTGACTTGTATTTGGGCGGAGACTTTGGCTTGGCTTTGGACTACAGCAGAGGAGAACGTTAGCATGATCAAGATCGGTCAAGCAAAAAATGGTACCGGATAGTCAAGGAAACCATACGCGTTCTCATCCACATCTGACGGTACTTCCACTGTGGGCTCGAGACATTCACCAAACGATGAGACCCGGCCCCCGTCTTCCCATCTGAGTCCTTCGCCGGGTTCATAGAGCGATCTCACCTTTTGAGATTCCCTTTCCACTTCTGCAGATATAAGTCGGATACTGGGCTGGCGTTGGGATGACTTGGGCGTTGCTGGAGCATCAGCATTCAGCAGAGGCGGTGGTGTCATGGGTCTCTGAGAAGTGATCGCCTCCTCATTTTCAGCCAGGATGGAGGGTGAAGCGCCGTCGACATTGAGGGGATTCGATGGAGGCGAGGATGCAAGGGGGAACGCACGCGGTGCACGCTGCCCCTTGACGGGGGTCGCCGGTGCACCTGCATGCTGAGCGATTCCACTGTCGCCGCTCATAGTCGCGTGGTGTTTTGATGGACGCTTCCCACCGAGCATGATACTGCCGCGCTTGGAAAAGGAGATTTGTTGGACGAAGTCGGCGAAATCATCGCCATCTGGTGCATGAGCAGCACCCGTCGACAGCTTTGGCGAATGTGATGGACGTGCCCCGTCACTGCCACTACCGTTGAAACCCTGACTTTGTCCGTCGCTATCTAGCGGCGGGGCGGCGTTGACCAGGGATGAACTAGTCGCTGTCTTGGCTTCTTCCTTGGGGGACGGGGCAGCCAGCGCAGGGGCTGGAGGGTCCCGAGGGGCCTCTCCACCGTCATCCTCCACTACTACAGCATGGGGCCGGGGCTGAGGATGGGGAGCGGCAGTGGGAGTGGGATTGGCATGTGACGGGTGCTTCTTCCTGAGACGCCTCGTCGACTTCATTGAGGATATAGATGTGCGAAAGCTGAATGAGCGGCGGGAGAAGATGGACGAAGCTGTTGTTTTGTCAGGGAAATTGGGAGGCGGGGTGGTAGGGGATGTTGGCGACACGGTATTGGCCTCGGATAATCCTGGCGAGGGCAGAGCCAGAGGAATGCTGGATTGGCTGTTGCTGTCGCTGTTGGTTCCGCCTAAGCTGTGCCTGTACTCGGCCCCCGGCCCCAATCTTCCATTATCTGAATATAGTGACGTTGGCGATGACGACCGAACCCGCAGCGGTGGAACAAGAAGCGATGCAACGAATTTGCTTGTTCGACTAATCTGGACGCTATCGATTTTCTCGTAAGGAAAGGGATCCTCGTCCTCGCTGGTCTCCTCGTAGAACGTCTGCGAGTTGGACGAGGTGGTGGGTGCGTGGCCTGAATCCCGTTTCGGGTCGTCGATATCTGTCCGGGGCACCGCTACTGCACCCGCGACTGCACCCACACCTGCCACCGGGACGCTTCTGAACGCAGGATGTTCTGCAGTTGGCGGACGAGGTAAAGGCCCCGTCGGGGGAGGGAAAGGAGGAGCAATGACCACCAGAGTCGATGCTTGACTCCGAATGAATTCTGGACCCGGTGCTGAGATGCAGGAAGCTGGCCGCTTTGCTACACCACGTTGGTAACGCAAGGGCGATTTTGCTGGTGGGATTGGTATAGGCGGCTCCGCCTGAGCAGTCTGATCGTACCGTAGGGCGACTAGGCTAGTGTCGTCCTTGAAGGGCATGAGCGTGGTTGGCCGGGACCTATTATAGCGTACGCTTGCGTATTTCTGCGGAGGCATCATATTACTTTCAGTGTCCAGAGAGGCTGTGCTTTTTCTCCCCAAACACGAAGTTGAGTGCAGATCTTTTGATGTTGTGTGACTGAACTTATAAATATACCTTTCTCCCCTCCAAGTTGGACAGCCGAACACGGAAATTTCAGCGTTGCCGGCGAATTTCCTTGCCGTCACTTAGATGTGGTAGAAAACCGCCGTTGTAATCTGAATGACCAGTGCACTAATAAGTGTGGCTTCGATCCGTTCTACAGTAGTTGAACACAAAAGGTCGTGGCCTTCAGGTAGCCCACTGTGCTCCGATCCGGTCTGAGGAAACAAAACCACGTCAAGTGTGTAATTCGGCTGGCTGCGTACAAATACTGCAGTCGATATGAGCTGGAAGTCGAGGTAGGCTGAATGTCCACGAGGGTCTGGGCGGCTACGTGAATGATGGCTCTGATCTGGGCGACCAATGAGACAAAGATTTCGGGCTCGGCTTGTACCACAAGGTTAGGATTCATATATGTAGTTTCAAGGAGGCGGCATGGTACCCGAGCGACAGCGGTTGTTTATTTTGAAGCTGTCGGGAAGTGGTGAGAGGGATGTGATATATTTATCTTGGATACGCATATACCCGAAAAGAAAGCAAAAGTTCTTGTTTGAGACCCAGGCCAGTGGAATGTACCCAATGATGGCCAGCTATGTAATTGAGGTGGCCAGGTACCTATTCTTCAGGCTCATACTTTCGCTCTTCCCGTAATGTAGGTATGAACCCAACGCCGGCTTTGATAGCTCGGGGCTGTCATCTGACTTTGCTTATTTACCGATAGAGAAGATGTGGATCGTCATGACATGACCAGAGCTACTGCCATCACACCTTCGCCAAAAAAAAAAAAAAAAAAAAAAAAAGGATTATGCCGAAGCGGCGAAGTATGGAGAATTGGTGACTCTTTGCTCGGGGCCTAGCCGGTCGACCTACTTTGGTTGGCAGCAAAAGCGACACACATTCCATAGAGCCGCGGCCACATAGAGCTGTATCCATTGCAGGCCCATCAAAGGGCAGTCATGCACATCACCAATTCACAACACGGCATCTAACGTAGTCCTAATCGGTACAGGGAAATTGGGTGCGTGTACGCCCGTTGCCATTCTGGGTAGGGTATCCAGCTGAGCAGTGCTTAGTATTGGCTGGGTCCTTGCTGCAGATCCTCCCCGATTCTGAGTTGTTCCTTTTTGTATTTGTTTGGCGCATGAATAAGTCTCATGTTGGGCTGCAAAAGGACTCCTCTTTGACCGCTCTGAAGCAAAATACTTGTGAGAAAAGGAAAAGGAAAAGAAGATTACTTCTCTGCTTCACTCAGCCCTAGCCTATCTGAAAGGTTGGTGGCCAAAATGCTGTTTGCGACTTTGTCATTTCGCTTTTTTGTTAAGCGAAGGGCCAATATTGTCTTGTTACGGCTCGTCGCCCATGGCTTTTGTGCGATATGCTAGTCCCGCCGCCAACACCTCCCCCGCATTACACTACCGGGAGATCTACAGCTGGACTCCGAAAGGCTGTATACTTTGAGTTGGGTTGTTGCACACACTCAACACCAATGACCTTCCAACCTCCCTCCCTTAAGCTGACGCGCCATCACGTTTCAAGAGCCGTCAAAGATACGTTTGCTTCCGAGAGACAATCCTGGTAAGCGTCCCTCACCACCCCATGAGCTCTTGGGTTTTATTTTGTTTTGATGGTGGAGGGGCGACTCTTATCATTCCATTGGAGGTAAAACATGGACGAGGGGTATTCTGCCTACGAGCAATAATCTTCCCACAAACTAAATAGATATGAAGTAGCCGCCCTCCTGAAAACCCCAGGGATCGGTTGTCGGTATCAGTAGCTAGGCTGACTAAGGGGGTTGAAAATTAGAATATCTATGTCACAATCTAGATGGTTACCAACACTGCTGTAGAGAGCAAGTTCCGAGTGAAGAAGGTTCATGCTTGTTCAGTACACACTGAGACGTGCATGCAAATAGCACCTTATATTTGCTGGAAATATCCACAACGAATAAGCAATTCGCACCTGTTCGCAGCTAACAGTGCTACCACTAGGGCGAAATGAAGTTCTGAGTTTTTAATGCAGCCTCTCTCAGTGGAGGGGTGCTTGCATAGCCTAGGTTAAATACATGCAGTGTATGCGTCGTACCGCTCAAACGGAACGTCTTACCCCGGTCGACCACCGCGATAAATTATTGCTACCAGTCTTGACGTGGCTCTTTCATTACCCAGCCATCCAGCGCCATCGAGGCCGCGGTCAAGTTCATGCACTCTTGACCATGTGAGCAGCTTGCGCTTCGGAGCAAGGAGTGTTCCCTCCCGCCTTCGCCTGCTAGCATCTGCATGTCTGATACTCTGCTACACTGCTATACTCTTAAAAGTCATGCGGGTGGTGACCTTCTTCCGAATTGGGATTGGTGTTTGAAGCACACACTTGACAGCCAGCTTTTTTCTTTTCTCTTTTTTCCTTTTTTTCGAGAAAGCCCAGCAGTCGTTTTATGATAGAGTGTCCTAAATTACACAGACTGTTCCCGAAAAATATGGGCTTTTTCAAAAGTACGTGCCACTGGCATGTCACTATCGTACGTGCCCACGCAAACCGTGGAGCATAGGTGTTTCTTACAAGCACGGCATCACGGCGAGGAGCAGGGATGTAATGAAGTTCTCCTCATCGTTTAGAGTCGATTGTCTGGAAGAGAAACTCGAGCCGAAATCACTGTCGATTCGATATGGATGACATCTACGGCCAAAAGCGGGTTGACCTATATGTGGCTGTCTTCATTCATGCGAAAGACGATAGGCGTGTCTAGTGAAACTAGTTCACAAAAGTCCCAGTGCCTGTCCCGTAAATGCTATTCTGCTCCTGCGCCAAGCCCACCACGTCCATAACATGAGACAACAATGTTTGAGTATTCAAGCTCGGTGTAGATGGTCACTACCCACGTTAATATCTGCAGCCACTAAACTTCCTCATTCTCCCAGTCTTTCTCTCCAAACATACGACGACCCCCTGCTCCCGATTCCAGCTTTTCGAGAAACTCGGGAGGCACTGTCGGAATATACTTTCTAGCTCTCTCTTGGTTCTGGCCCCCAAACCCAGCGCCGAAGGATACCAGCATGTCAGTGACAGATGGTAACGAGAATGGCAGCATAAGCGATGGATCGAAATTGATACCGTCAGGCAACTCGTCCTCGTCACTATCCAGTGTGGGGTTGGGTGTGCCTTGCACACTGCCGGTGTCTGGTTCCAGTCCGTTTGTGCCTTTGACCGGTGTTGCTGGGGCGCTGATGCGTGAGGGTGACATGGTTCTTCTACGGTCTCTCTTGATTGCTGCTTCCTTCTGTATTGCTTCGAGATACTTCGAGGCGCTTTTCGGTAAACCTTTCTCCCCAACTTCAGGACGGTAATTCTTAGCAGTGTAAAGAAGTTGTTCAGGGGTTAACCGGGGTAATGATTGGAGTGTGCCAACAAGAGCTTCAAGATCGTCAGGATTCAATGATGAGAAGCACTGGAGCCATTGCAATAGCTGAATAAGCGGGGCAAGGTGTCTCCGTGCTGCGTCGACGGTTGTTTCTCCGGTTGCGGTCATCTCGCCACGTTCGTAGTGCTCTGGTGTTCGATTGTTGCTTCTTGCCCAGTCTTCCAGGACCGACACGTTCATCCTGATTTGCATGGCTTTCGTCCTTGCCAAGTATTTCCTGTTGTTCATAATTCGGTTAAAAAGTTCTGCTCCCAGCCAGTATATCAACTGAGAAATGATCTGTGCCGTGATGACAGAGTGAATGTCGTATAAATCCAGTACGTATAACGTCGACGATAAAAGAGATGTCACGTTCCGCGGTGCTGGTTTTGCCCTTTGCTTTGGCGAAGGAGGTCGCATGCGCTTTTCTAGTGGCTCTGCCTTGACTTCCTTCTTTCGCTTGAATAATTTCCATTCATGTTGGAAGGTAACGTCCTCAAAGCCTGGAATGGTCTCGTGTTCTAGCATGGCTACATCAACCACCTTGTCAAGCCGCCTTTCAGCGTCCCTAACGATAAGAATGAATATCTCGTTGATGAGCTCAGCAAGCTGTGCTTGGAATTCAGTGGTTGCTTCCACAAGTCCTGCGTCTTTCTTAAGGTAATGTAGCAAGAGAGTCGCATTCGACATCCAAAATGCTAGGATGGTCATATCCCATTGATGTTGTTCCACGACTTCGTTTATCTTGTCTTGAGCTCGGATAAGGAGCTCTGCCAGAAGCTCATGGCTTGCGTGATAATGCGCATATCTTGCGCTAAGGAATATCATGTTGGCAGGTACTGGTCTCTGCGAAGGCGATCTTTGTGGTTGCATGTTGGTGATGATTACATCCAGTAACCTATCGAGTTCGCTTTCCTGGAATACGAACATTTGATCATGCAGACAACGGCTCCAATCGAATTCTTGTGCCTCTTCTTCGAAGTCATCCGTAGTCTGCATATACTTTGTCAGCATTCAATAGTTCTGGTACGTGCCCAATGATCTGACGTCCACGAAGGTGCATATCGCATAATGTTATCCAGGACACTGGTCCAAAAGTCGCGAGATTCTGCGATCTTGCATTCTCCCGTTGACTTTCCAGCTCACCCCTTCGTTATTTTGTGGAGCGACCGACTTCTTAGGAGTCGGTCCCAGGTTTCTTTTCCCTCTACACCATGCGACTAAGATGGGCCATCAAATGGTATGAACTTACTTCGGGCTGATCATCCATGCCCACATTGCCCAAATCGACCTCAAGGTCCCTGGCGCTGTCCATCATCATGCGTCGCCGTAGTTCAGCCTCGGCCATTTCCTCTTCGAGCCGGTCTTCGAACCCAGGGTTGTAAAAGTCGTCAACGCCTGCATTCCCTATGTTGTAACCGTTGTTGCTCAGATAGAAGGACATGTCGCTATCAGGTGCAATGAAATCGGCCGCTGTACGTCCTGATGATGTCTTGGCCTCAGGCGAGGCTCCATTATCGAGTAAAATCTTGGCGATGCCTTTGTGTCGATTGGTCATGGCCCACATCAGGGCATTCCATTGATTGCGGTCTTGCTTGTCCACATCTACGCCGGCGTCAACTAGAGCTTGTACCACGTTTTCATGGCCCTGTCTGTGTCAGCGCACGTTCATACGTATCACACAGCAGGAGCAGGGGCAGGATCGGGTTCGCCTACAAAGCAGCTCGCATATACTAGTGGAGGGGTTCCGTCTTCATCCGGAGCATTTACATCCACGAGGGATTTCGCCTTGCCCCCAAGAACTGCTTTTACTTGCTCCAAGTCGCCGTTGCTGGCTGCCATAGCTAGAGACCTTTGTAATATCTTCTTCTTCTTATCTTCGGAGAGCTTATCGTCGCCCGCGATCGCATCAGCATCCACTAGACCTTCGCCACCTTGGTGTTGGGCTTGGGCCGCCAGCATCTCCATGAGTCGCGTGTCGCTGTCGGCAATACCTTTTGTGATGTCCTGGTCATATTTCGAATCGTCCAGGGTCAGCTCGTCGAAGCGAAGGGGCTTTGCGAGCATGGGGCTTGTCAAGAACTGGGATTCTCCTAATGTGTGGTTGTCAGTACCGGTACTCCGTTGCGATGGACTGCGCTGAGCTGAGTCAACCGAGTCGGCCACTGCGCCGGACATACTAACCTTGCCAGCCATCGTAGAACTCTGTTTCTCTCGCAAGCTCGGTAGGGACATATCTGCGATCGTCCAGTGACTTTGGCAGATCGGCCGGCAGGTCTCTTGGCTTCTTTGACTGCTCATGCTCGAAACCCCCACCATCAGGGTCTCCAAAGTCCATTGCGTTAGATGGGTGGGTGTTGCCCGCAGGTGTCGTTCAGCGTAGGATCATTCTTTCGCAGAATAAGGCAAGCGTTGATCGAATAGTGCTGCAAGCAACCTGTCTTAAGTGTCGTCAAATCGCAATCCTTCTTGATGAGAGAAACAACAACTATGCTGGTGTTTGCCTAGCTTGATATGGGATCTCTTCGTTGTCGATAGATTGAGGGTCCTTTCCATTATGCGCATTGATTAGGTGGGTACGTCACTGGCCCGTGCATCCTTCGGTGCCCCTTACTGTCAGTCAGTCGCAAGCAAAGGACGCCTTGCACAGTAATCAATCATAGCAACCTGCCACTTGTATTTGAATCTAATGCACTCTTAGGAGGCTATGCATAAGATGCTATTGAAAAGGAAAAGAGAATAGATCTTCTGGTGCAACTATTCACTGCGACTCGGACCCAAACGAGGGAGGATTGTGCTTGTTCTACCGTAAAAGAAAATAGAAGAAAAGAATATAAGAAAAGACAAGTTCATCGCCAGAGCAGTCTTGGCTGTCACTAACCCTATTGCTAAGGTTATAAATCAGAACGCAGGACTTACTACTCCCCATATCATTGGAAACATCGCATTTATAAGTCCAATACAGGCCGATTTCTTCTTTTCTTTTACTTCTTCTTCTTCTTCTTCTCCAACAATTTATTGATTGACCTTTGTTTGACTAGGTAACCTGCCTGGAGCCAGTTTGTGCCACCTTACACTGACCTCTTTGCAAGAACACGAAGTCGTTTGACCCCACCGTCCGGAATAATAGTGAGTTTCACGTGAGTAAAAGCCCTATTCTTCACTGAGCAGGCAAAGGTGTGCTCTTGGTCAGGACCACACTTGTTTGGCTCCACGACTTCCGTCCAACCGTCAACATCAGCGCCCGGCTCGCCTTCTCCTTTCCACTCGATGGCATCAAGTTTAGCCTTCTGGGGGAAATTTCCCCTGAAGAACGCCGTGTCGACAACAAAGCTTTGGATGAGAGCCGGCGCACCAAGACGAATGATAGCCCAATCAGTGTGGCCCTTGGTCCTGGATCGTGCCGTCTCCCATCCATCGCCCATATCCTTGCCACGACCTGGCAGCACAAGGTTATCCTTGGTACCAAAATGTTGGTCACTGCAGGATACTGCAACAGCCCCGTTTTGAGCTGCGCCCAGATCAAAGATAGCCTCCGTATCTTCTGGGAATACAGGAACAGCATGTCCGAAGAGGCGAAACCTTGCAATGCCACCATCCGGGTACATATTGAGCCTGACGTGAGTATACTGCTTTGATGTGGGTTCATCGAGCTTCCAAGCAAATCTTTGGGAAGGTCCGCATTCCCGAACGTCCAAAATAGATTCCCACTTTCCCTTGCCACCCTTCCATGATAGGACCTCGCCGTCGTCTTGATTAAAGCAGCCCTCGACGGAGATAGCAGGAGCATGGTTACCGGAGAAGAAGGCAGTATCGACCTCGACTCCCACAACGGTTCCTGAAGCTACGCCTAGACGGATCACAACCCAGTCGAATGGCTCAGTGTTGTGTCTTCTTGTTTCCCAGCCATCATACCAGGCTCCGGTATAGACCATCTTACCAGGCTGTCGGATAGGTGCAGTGGGAGTGATCAGATTCAATGCTTCCGCAAACCACTCATCTGAGAATCCAAGAATTTTGCCACCCAGCGTTCCAGAGATCAAGTCTGCGTCGTATTCTAATCAGCAAGCTGGAAACCAAGAGTGTTTAGATACCTTCTGCACTTACCAATACTGCTGGAACGAAAAGTCTTGTCGATATCTTCCGTGGCCACGGAGGTCGCCTTGACAGGCGCAAGCCTGTATTCGATAGTGTCAGCCATGGTGGAGAGATGCTGCTCAACTGAGGCAATCTGGTTCGATGTATTAATGTTTCAGGCCAGCAAGCGACTTTCACTCAAGATACCCAGCAGAAGAAAAGTGAGCTCGGCAATTACTAATTCTTAACTATTTTGAGAAGTAGCCGTTTGCTCTCACTCCGGGCTGTTCACCCCACCAAGTCCATGGCGGGGCAATTCCGGGAACGGCGCGATGCAGGAAATATCGCAGACATCGGCCGGATCCGAGATTGCCCTGACTAACTTTCATCGAGTAATTATCACCTGAGAAGATCGAGTAAAAGCTTCTGTGCCATACCACTGGGCTAAGCAAAACAAGGCTCTGATGAGTTCCAGCAAACGATAGCCAAGGAACTCCACCGCTGTATATACCAAGTCATTTCAAATCGCGACAAGGAATACGAACGGGAAACACTCCTTGCCCCAAAGCTGGAGTTAATTCGTAATCATTGATCTTCTTTGTCAACCCTCATGAACTTACCGACGTCATCAGATCAATCAATGCATAACGACGTGTATGATTCTGCAAGGCCTTGTCCAACGCTCGTGCTCTGCGGCAGCGCTTTCAAACAAGCTGCAGCGGAAAACAAGCTGGCGCGAAGCGAGCACCTTCTCCAAACCTCGAAGGTAGCGCGCCAACCACGAATTATATCTACACGAGCTTCCTTCAGGGTTTAGCGAAGGTTCCCCACAGTGTAGGCCTGCTAAGGGACGGGGCTGATGAATAACGGTCTTCCGATTCGCTAAAGCCCCAATAACTATCCCCCCCACCACAGCAATAATGATGCATTACAATGTTCCTCATGGCCATGATTGATGGCGCCTTCGAGGTTGCCTTCCCAATCCTCCGAGACTGTCCAGGTGAATCTTCGTAGTCCGCATGGCGGTAACACAGTCTGCTTGCAAACCCACCACTTGCCATAAAAGCCAGCCGGGCTCGCGAGCTGACAAGACAGTCTAAATAGCTCTAGGCTTTTTGATCAAACCACGACCGCCTTGAGTCTCATCTCTAATCATCCCCATTCACACAACTCTAGACAAAAGACGAGAAATAATAGAAGCAAAGACCTATTCGTGCACAATGGCGAGCGCAACGGGTATCCCCAATGACCCCGTGGACCGAGAAACCCAGGGAGCCGACGACATGGAACCCCTTCTCGGCCGTCCGGGCGACGCATCTCAAAAACACAATGCTCCCATCGCGAAAAACCTCATTATCGGTAGGCGAATTTACCCACTTTGATACCAGTCCCTTGTCCTTCCCAGCACAAAGAGATTCCATCATTTTCCGAAGCTACCGTTCGCTCGGTGTAATCCCCACACCGAACCTCCCATCCTCCTGTCTTTTGTCAGCTTGATCCTTCGACCAGGCATATCTGTCCTTTCACTACATCGGAGCGCACTGCAAGCAACACCACTGTGATCATGCCGAAACTCATCTACTCGTCAGGAACCGGCATCATCGCCGAAGGCGCATCCCTTCTTCTCGTTGCCTCAGTATGGGCCTCCGTTTTCCTCCACGGGCCCTTGATCCTCTTCTCGGTGCACCCTCTCGCACAGTCGCTCGGCATGCTTGTGCTCGTCCAGTCGATCCTCATCCTTCAACCCACCCACTCCGGACAGCAAAAGGTCGTCGGCCAAAAGATTCACGCGGGTCTCAATCTACTTGCCTTCACCATCCTCGCCGTGGGCGTCATTTCGATCGAATATAACAAGATCTCGAGCGGCGGGAAACATTTCAAGTCCGTACATGGCTACCTGGGTGTTATAGCGTCCTTCTGGCTGCTCGTACAATACCTGGTCGGTTTCACCATGTACGCGACGCCCAAATTGTACGGAAGCGAGGCCAAGGCAAAGGGCATCTGGAAATACCACCGTATCAGCGGCTATGTACTCTTCTTGTTCCTTCAGGCAACGGTTATCAGTGCTACGCAGACGGACTATAACTTCAATGTCCTGGGGCTCAAGTTGTGGGCTTTCATCCTTATTAGTGTCTTGGTCATCGTTGGTGTCTATCCCAGGATCAAGAAGCAGAAGCTGGGTTTCTAGGAGGTTGCAGAGCTTGGCTACCCAGTACGCATGCGATCACCATGTGTTTCATAAGCACAGTGACGGCGTGGCTGTTATTTTCATGTTGCATGCAATGGACACGATGCTTTATGAGTATGGCGACATGTGATTTAGCGGGAAGTACGGTGCTTGAGCTCTTTCGTAATAGATTATGTACTGTCATCGAAAAGTATGAGCTATGATAATACTACCAGCATTTCAATCCCTCTCTTCAGCATGGTTTAGAGCCGATCCCATTACTAATGCCAACACCTGTTATCAGACGTGTGATACGGTTGACACAAAGCATCGGGGGGGTGCCTCGCTTCTCACTGATTTAATGTTGAGAGGAATCGTGAGAAGCAAAGTATCATAAGTTAACGGGAATAACAGCCAAGCAAAGTGCCATTGGTAATGTCTTGTAAGATAAGGCTACGAAGCGTCTGGCTTGAGGCGATTGGTTCGTAATGTGAGCGGAGTTCAAGCAGTGGATCACACCCTCTTGACGCCTATCAGACTGTGGCTGAGACGCCCTGTTTCTTAGTAGCTGAATCATAGTGCTTCCATACATATGTACCCTGCGCCATCGTTGATGCTGCTGATATTACTTCACGAACTCGAAGTCCATTCTGAGGTGAGAACGCTTCAACGGGACTGCTCAATGACTTCCAAACCTACCACCGCTATCGGGGATGTCGCAACAACATCGTGAGTATCGTACCAAAACTCCCAACATTAACACACCGGGCTAACAGATAGATACAGGTGTGAAAGGTGTCGGAGGAGGAAGGCAAGCGCGCTCCAGTCTCACGAAGTCTACGTCGTGCTGCTGACTCTGCAGTAGATTAAATGTGATCGTCAGCAGCCATGTGCAGGCTGCGACAAAGCCGGCACAACCTGCTTGATTGCAGGATCCGGAGAGAAACAAAGGTCAGCCCACTTATACATTGCTCGGAAACCGTGGCTGATCATAGCTGCTGTAGACCTGTCCCAAAAAGCTACGTGCAGGCCCTGGAACGCAGCGTCGCATCGCTGGAATTCTTCATACAACAGCTGCATGATGCAGACCATACGAAACGAGATGAGATGCTCGTGGGCTATGTCCGTAAGTCCGATATGCCTATCATCTCCAGCCCGCCGGGAGATGGGAAGCCTGATGTGTCTGGTGATCTCGAACTTGCGTTGGCGCGCGCCCGGACTGGTCAGCTGAGAAAACTCAGGGCTGGTAGCACGTCGCAATACTTTGGAGGCATGGGTTTGTTCCAGATTCATTCAGGAGATGATTCAACAACATCGGTGTCGCCAAACAGCACGAACGAGCTTGAGGCACCGCCATTTGGCCAAAACGTATTCTCTCCATCAGCCGTTTCGGATCCAGGGCACTTTCCATACTCGGCACATGACGACATGTGCCAGAAACTGATGGCACAATTCTTTAGAGAACAGTACCCTTATAGCATGTGTGTATATCGTGAGTTCTTTCTCAGAGATTACGATATGGGTGTCGGCCGATACTATTCCGAGGTCCTCCTATACGCCATCTGCGCGATGGGCGCGCTCGCATCAGCGGACGCATCGATGCTCGCAATCTCGGAAGTATTTGCCAGCCAAGCGGAATTTCTGGTCTACACATCATTGGACAAGCCAGACTTGACACTACTCCAAGCAATGATATTGCTTGGATATAGATTCATCGGCCATGGAAAGGCTTCCAAGGGCTGGCTTTTCTGCGGTATGGCTTTCCGGTTAGCACATGAGATGGGGCTTCATCTCGACCCAAACAATTGGCACAGCCCAGCAGAAGCTGTCCTTGATCGGGACCGTGAGATCCTTCGTAGAGTATACTGGGCGGCTTTCAATGCTGATAAGCAGGTTAGTATGTATTTTGGTCGCCCGCCAGCACTATATCCCCACGAATCAGATGTGCGGAACAGTATACGGATACCATATCCAGATGACTGGCAAGGGCTTCTTGAGACGTATATTGCCAAGAACACCTCCATTACTGCCTTTGAGGACGGAATTGCCTTATCTGGAAGCTTTATCTACCGAGTAGAACTGTATAAGATTGTTCATATCATGATTACAGACCTTTTTGAGAACCGGCGACAGAACGCCGATAGCGCTGTGTTGGCTGCAACCGCACAACGAATCCATGTATCCTTGCACAAATGGTTGGCCACCTTGCCAAGTAAATTGTACTGGAACCAGTGGAGCAGTGGTCAAGTCCAGCCATTTGTGCTTCACTTGCAGTGAGTTCACCTACGTCCTCATTCCATCCTGGGATAAGCGTTGACCAGAGGGTAGCATGCTCTTCCATACGGCCATGATAATTCTACATCGGCCACCACGCCATCTCTTCAGCAAACCGGGCATCGCTGAAAGCGAGGATGTAGAGATCTGCTACGAGTCGCTGCAAGCAATGTTGCGACTGATGAAGATTTATTCCCGGTACTATAAATACTCGGCCCTTCCCCTTGACTTTGTGCATACCCTTTCTGTGACAGCTGGCACCATTCTCATGAAGAGGTACCTTGAGAAAGCTTCCAAGGAAGACGCCGGGATATCTAGGGCGATAGAGGTCGTAATCGATGCGATGGATAGCATCAAATACACGTGGCCGTGTATCGTCGAGATAAGACAAAGCATATCGAAAGCTATGGAATCGAAACCTGCCGACCAACAAGATTCACAGGGCCGAGATCCAATACTCGATTTCGGGTTCTTGGGAGATTTCAGCGCCGGAGTCAGCCTGGATGTTGCCACTAACAGTTCGGGCTTCCAGATTTCTGAAGCTGATTCATGGCTACTGTTGAATGATGGTTTTACTACAGGCCAATTTACTTTTGATGATCCACTTACAGGTCAGACTCTTGGTATGGATCATCAGATGTAGACTTGATGTATCGATCGGTTTGGCGACTGGCTCGCCAGGGATATCTCTTGCATAAATGACTGCCCTAGAATAATTTTATAGTTTGTCATACAACCAAGACGTCTCTGTAAGAATTGTTTCCCCCTTATACCTGCCTAACTGGCGACTGCCCTTTTCTTTTTCTTTTTCACATTATTGCTCTGCACATCTTCCAGAACTTATCCAATGCCATGTTTATATGAAGTATCATGATGCCATGGCCTTTAATTACCTATGTAGTCTCCCATGTATCTGTCAACTCAGCGACTGTCTTTTATTATTTAGTTTCATACTTGCCCAGTCGGCGTCGCGAAAATGGCAGCCGCTGGTTTTTTGTAGGCATATATTTAAGTCACTGATATAAATAGCTGTGTGCCATGCCCAGTCATTGTCTTCTCCGCCCCTTACACACAAGTTATCCCGAGCCTCACCGAAACTACTAAATCACACTGCTACGTATAGATCTGACCTTCAAATTTTTATCTCGGATAGTTTTCCCAAATACAATTCATTTGACCCACTCAATACACCTGGTTCACATTCCGATTGTTCGGCCGAATACTATATATCAAAACTAATATTCCGCACCACCAACAATCCAACAACCTAACAATCAGAAGCCCAAGTATTTTAGAGCAACCTACAGCTTCAAGAAAAACATTTACCATCTTTCATTCTTTTTTCCTTGCAGTAGTATCACGACACCTTACCTTGAGATCTTGGCTTGCTAGACATGTTACCGTACTCTTGCAAAATTACAGTAACACGATAACATCTATACAATACGATAAATTATATATCCTATTATCCCACGTCCACCGTCACAATTCATCACTTTACTTTGTTACACAGCCCAATCATAGTACAAATGGGCCAACTATCCGAGGGAGAGCTTGTCGCTCGCCGTCGCAGAAAACATTTGCGGACCAAGCATCCCACTGGATGCACCGATCAGGATCGCACAAAGGCAATTAACCATGCCATATACGAGGGCACCAGGCTCCCTCAATGGTTTATTGATGTGAGTTCCCCATTGAATGATCGTCAGCAGCTCAGATTCTACATTGAATTTCTTCATCCGAATTATGGATTGAGATTTCCCCTGGCGTATAATAACATGATCCAGGCCATTACGACCCATCCCTCCACCACAATACAAGCCTCTCACAGAGATAAAAAGCTGAGAACTGGCGACTATAGCCACAAAAAGCTTGCGCTTACAGCAGGCTATAATATAGAGGTACATGCTTCTTGCGACTCTGGAGCTAAGCGTCAAAGAAATCTTGTCTCGTCTGAGCCAATCTCCAAGCGCGTCAGCTTAAATCGACCTCAAAACCCGACGCCCCCTCATGCAACTGGCACCACGTAGAGCAAGGTGCAGGACCCAGTGAATGGGAATTTGGCGGATTTAGAGGCAGAATTAGAAGCAGAATTGGAGGCTGCATTGAAGGCAGAACTAGAACCTGAACTAGAGGCTGAGCTGAGTGCAGGCGATGACAAGAACGACTCCACCACTGGGCTGGTAAGCCCAGCACTCAGCAGAGCATGGACCGCAGATTACGAAGATGAGGATGAAGATAAGGAGAGATATGAGGAGGTAGCTGAGGACGAAGAGATCGAGTCTGAACCACCTATATCGCGGCCCTGCAACATCAGCGCCAGAACAGTTGATTTCATCCCAGAACTCGACCTCAACAGCAGTGAGCAGGATACCACGGGCGGCAAGGACAAGGATGGCTTCGGTGACTTCGAAAAGGAGCTTGAAGCTGCCTTGGAGGACGATGGCTTCGACGATGAAGATGACCAAGAGTCTGTTATATCCGTCTGCACTTCTGATGCGGACACCATCCGTGGAGAGCCAGTTGAAGAGCTGGTTCCCGCGTATCGGGGTTTGGATAAACGCAGTGGTGCAGAGCAAGTTGTGCGGGCCTGGTTGGTTATCGGTATTGCAGAGGATGAGTGACTCAGGGGGCGTAAAGCCGCAATTTTCAAACTGGCCGTTTACAAGCCGTCTTCAATTTTCTTGGGTGCCAAGTGTGTATCTCCCGAGACTACAAGACAACATCGCTCCTCATCAGGGACATGAATCTACTAAACCAACCCATGATCATGTTCCTGCTGTGTATTTGTAAGTTCTACCAGGCTGTAGTAATCCGGATACCCAAAGCAGCCACGAGCCTCGGAATGTGCAGCCACAGACAACCCTCGGTATCGCCCAGCTGTTATGTCAAAACCGAGGCTGAGCGCTGTTCGATTTACATCCAATATGCACTACAACGATTTACATTTTGATCTTGATAACTCAAACTCATGATTGGCTAGTAAAGGCAATTGATCGTGTATCTCGGTGAGCTGGCTATCGCAGCGGAGTTCCGTCCCCGTTCTTTTCAGCTAACTAGTCTAGCTTCAGGCGGCGTTCCGCTGCCGCCTCACTATAGCCGAGTCATACATGGGATGAGATCCTAAATAGCGTTGGTAATATCATATGACCACTGATAATATGGTTTGTGTATTAATAGTTGTATCCACTTCATCAGATCTTCAACTAGCAACTTCTCAAAAGCATAATTGAAGACATTATGGCCACAGCTGTCGTAGAACCCAGCATTTTCCAGACTGAAATTCAACGCCCTGAATCATCTACACAGACCAGGACACTCACCACAGGCCAAGACGTTCGTCTAGCATGCCGAACTAACACAATCGCTTTGCCGACATCTGGCCTGGCCCCAGGCTATCTGCAAGCAAACCTCATTGTCCTGCCATCCCGTTACGCCTCCGACTTCCGGCTGCTCTGCGCGCGGAACCCAGTCCCGTGTCCCCTGATCGCCGAGTCCGCCGCGCCCGGCTCCTACGACCGCCTGAGATCGCACATCCCGGGTGCCCCCGCCGTAGCCGCAGACCTGGACCTGCGCCGCGATGCCCCGGCGTATATGGTATACCGCGGCGGGAAGCTAATCAAATCCCACGCCCCGGACGTCGAGGCCGAGTGGACGCGCGACCACGTTGCCTTCCTCGTCGGGTGCAGCTTCAGCTTCGAGTCGGCGCTCGCGGCCGCGGGCCTGCCAGCCCGCCACGCCGTCATGGGCCGCAACGTCCCCGTGTACCGGACGGCGGTGCCGCTGTGTCCCGCGGGCGTGTTCGCGGGTGGCGCGTACGTGGTCTCCATGCGGCCATACCCGGCGTCCTGCGTGGATCGGGTCCGCGAGGTCACGAGGCGGTACGGCGCGACGCACGGGGAGCCGATCGCGTGGGGCTGGGATGCGGTGAGGCGGCTGGGGATCCAGAGCATCGATCAGACGCAGTGGGGCGATGCGCCGCTGATGCTCGACGGGAGGCCACTGGGCCAGGCGTTCGGGAGCGATGAGGAGGTTCCTGTTTTCTGGGGATGTGGTGTCACGCCCCAGGAGGCGGTCATGAGAGCCGGTGCCGCCATAGAGGGAACTGTCATGGCGCACGCGCCAGGGTATATGCTGGTAGTCGATAGCAAGGATGAGGATGTGGTGCAGGATGAGTGAAGTATAAAAGAAATTCGGGACCGAGTTTGTGTAGGATACGGACAGTCATTATACTAGTGTTCTCGAATTTACAGGAATACGACAAGACAAATTATAGTCACTGATCTGGCCGGTACGCATCACTTAGTCAAAGTGATGATCGCCGCGGCTGACATTCAAGACCCAATCTCTCCCTGCAAATTAACGAGTCCAATAACCAGGTTGTGCTATTAAGAATGCTGCGACTACCACCTCACTGAATCATCCTGGCTCCGTGGGCCTGGTGATGGCATTTTCCATGTCTCTAGCAAAACATGCCACATTGAACTGTTGGCTCATTTCCTACATGTGTGACGGGTGAATGAGTGAAGTAAGTGTGATGTTTTGCACTCCTGATTTGTATGGATGATCGGAATAGCTATTATCATTCTATACCAACAAACAACGGAGGAGAGTGCTGTTGGTGACTTCAGGATATCATCATGAGCGAACTGTTCTCTTGGGGGCAAAATGTCCCAACGGCCGACCAAAGTTTGGGCGTTATTCATCGGCTGTGTTGATCGATGATCATTTGAGTTAGTGAGTAGTTGACTACCATGCATCCTCAAAACGAAGAAACACAGCCAGCCCACTGGCAATACTCCTTGTTGCTGACCATTAGTGGACACTGTCTAATATGTGGTCACTAAGAAACGTGTTATCCACAAACGCATGGACTAACTTTTTACGCAGTTCCTTTTAAACTCTAGAATCCATCCTGAGAGACTACCTTCGGTATCAAGAGACCTCCTCGACCATTTTACCACTCTTGAGCCCACCAGGAATAAAAACTCTACCAGCAGGCGCAGCAAGTATCTCCTCAGGCACGGAGACACGGTTACCATCCTTGGTGCTAACCCATCTTACAAAAATTGGGTTCGGCCTGTTTGAGTCCCCATCTAGTGTTCCGTCTCCACCAAGTTGAGATTTCTTATTCGTCTTGGGTGCTTGCTTCTTGAGCAACTTATTGATAGTCTCTGCCTATGGAAGGTGTTAGTCGTACATTGAATAAGCGAGTACCCATCGTTACCTTGATCTCCTCGTTGCGCTTTTCGCTCAGATTTCGTCTTCGTCGTGCCATCTCTGCACGTCGCATTGATAGCTCCTCGGCGGTGAAGTGTTTTTTGGCTTGTACCTCTGCCAAAAATTTTAGCGGTGCATGATATCGATAGCAAGTGTTTTGTATTTACCATCTGATAGCTTCAGCAAAGTCCCATCATCATCCTCAAACCGTGCCCGTTGTCGTTTGGTCATCTTCGAAAAGTCAGGAGTTGCTGCTCTGCTGCCATCGTCATCACTGAGAAGTTCTTCGTCATCATCTTGATCAGCAGCACCTGCAATCTCGAGCTCATCTTCGTCTTCACCTTCGGCGTCTTCGTCGTCATCATCTCCCCCACCGACCTTTACGGTATCCTGGATGTCGTCGTCCTCACTTTCCAGCTCACTGAGCTCATCGTCACTGTTCTCATCATCAATGACTTGCTTTAGTGCTGGTTTGGCGGCCGGCTTTGCCTTGGACGTAGCCGTGCTTTTTGACGATGCTGGCTTAGACAGTTTGATCGGTGGCGTAACGTCGATGGTCATGTCATCCTCTTCACCTTCTGCGTCCTCGTCGCCAAGGTCATCATCCTCCTCTCCTTCGGCATCTATATCGAGGTCCATAGAGTCGTCGACCACAATTTCGCCTTCTGCGTCATCATCACCGAGGTCCATCATGTCCTCATCCTCGCCAGGGGCGTCCTCGTCTTCACCTTCAGCGTCGTCGTCCTCACTAGATTCAACGACATAGCTCTTCTTCTGATTTCGAGATCTTTTACCCTCTAGGATCTCGCCACCTTCGAAGTTCTCCCTGCTAGTCAAGGAGACTCGGCCGCTAGATTGACCTGTGCGACTCGAGGTAGCTTGGCGAAGCTTGCTAGCTGGAAGCTTGACTGTGACATGAATATGCTGGTTAGAATCCGAGGGCGAAGAAGGTGGACCGCGAGTAATGGTTGCAACGGCAGTCTTACCCTCAGATCGGCGTGCTTGTGCCCTCGACGACATGATCTTGCCCGTCCGACTACTAGTGATGTTGTCGCTATCGACCATGTCAGTTATTGCTGTGTTTGCTTTTTGTGCCGCAGCGCGGCGAGGCCGAGAAGCCATGATAGCTAGGCTGGAAGTGTTTGATAAGGTAGTTGAGAGCGGGTTGATTGGAGGCTGCAGGATGCTGGCGAGGTATTTGACCTCGGCCCCTTGAGCAGGTTATGTGGGAGACAATGTGAGTGGCACGGAAAAGGCGTGGCCGGTCGGGGACAAAGAGTTTTGAGGGTAACATGCAAGGGTAGGTGGTGAGATGTTGGATTAAGCTTGCGACGTCAGATAGCTGGTGACACGGTGTTGCGGCAAGAAACCGATGAGGCGAGTGCCCAGAATCGGGTTTGCGTCAATTGGCTCTGGCGTTTGTGCACAGCAACTTGACAGCCAAATCTCGACTCCAGGGGCTCAAGACATGCAGCCAACAGCCGGCCGATGGTATGCATAACACTTGTTTAGCATTTACACGCCATCACGGCTCGCTTTTGCCATTTCTTTTCGTCACTTGAATTGAAGTTACGCATCTGCCCACATCTATGGCCATTGGTCCGATGCAGCGAGGAGCCCCCTTTCCGATCGAACCATGGAATGCGCAGCATATTCACGAAAGACTCGCTCTTCATACTACAGCTGACACTTACCGATGCTCTGATGCGCCGAAATTCACCCAAGTGCAGGTCTTGTGGCGGATCTTGTGAGACCCTGGCAAATGGATCTCTAGGTCCTGATTGCTGGATGAGCACACGGAGAAATGAGACGGGCCACCGAGCGCGGAAGTTCTGATTGCGTCGTTTAGCTTGTCGAATCAGTTTTCGAATTTTCGTATCTGAGTATCAGCTTACAACAGATTTAGCGAAGTAAGAGTCTAGACTTTGATGTGATAGATCGAATCAAATTGAAGATCCGCAGCAGGTGCAGGTGGTTGCTGTCGCCGGCAGCCGATTGATGTTTCGGGGCGAATGGTAAGCACTGATTGGCGGCGGACTAGGAAGAACTCGGTGCTGGGAGATTGAAAGACCTGGAGATTAAAATGCTTGATTTCAAGTAGCAAGTATATCAGGGGGAAAAAAGTAGTCGCTTTGATTAGTTGCGGTAAAGCGAACAAGATTTTGATGCACAAACTGAGTGTCGTCGTGGTAATGTTCACTGCCAGTAGACGGTCACGTGGGTCAACAAGGAGTCTTTTGTTTCGGTGAGCTCGGTCAAGACTTCCCAATGCTGGCATGTTCTGTTAACGTTATGTAGTCTAGGTTAGTGATCAAATGGAGCACCGTGGGGCACCCCCAGAAATGTACGAGTAGGCCCATGCATTCTTGAAGTATTTACGGAGTACGGAATACTATTCCCGTCCTGTTAGTGCAAAACGACGGGCCCCCTACAGCGGACATGCAATGAGTACAATATATGTGCACGATCGTTGTTTTCCTACTAAATATGCAATAACCTTTAAGACAATGTATATTCATGTCAAGCCAGACTACGTAGAACCTTCTGGCATAAGTCAGTTTTGCAGCAACTGTGGAAAGTTTATACATTTCCTGGTTATGAGCATATTTCATAGCATATTGGCGGTTGCGCCTGTCTGGATACCTCTGTTTTACTGTTGAGACGACCTGGGAGTTGGGATTATGGACGACTATGAGTAATGAGATAGCCACGCTTCTAAATTGAAAACAAAAGATAGAGCTGTTCTCGTAGGCCATCATGCAAGGGACTGTTCTGCGGGCGTTAACAGCTACGATCGACGGGTGATGATAGTGGCACATGCACAATTTCGGACACTTGACATACGCCCAGCAAGAGCATCTCGCTCTAACTCCCTAGCTCGGCATATGGCGTCAACCGAGGCACATGCCTATCACCAACTTGCACTTGTACTCTATTTACAGTCGCCCGAACACTTACAACACAAGCAGCAATTGTTAATCACAATCCTCGTCATTTTGCTTCAAGATGGCGGATGAAAAGAAAGACCAGCCCTCAAGCTCAGAGCCAGAAGCATCACTTGGTATGACTCTCGAGGATGCGCGCAAGTTCCTACACCATGAGAGGGCGCAGTCATCGAGTGATGAGAAGAAAGCAGAATTCCTGAGAAGTAAAGGTATCTCAGATGAGGATATTGAGAAGCTGCTGAAAGAGCGGTCATCAAGCCGACCGGCGAATGCGGAAACAAGCGGCGGGACAAGCAGCGGGCAGACCCAAATCAAAGCCGACGCTGTAGAACCGAGGGAAGCTCTACCGGAACCTGCAACACCACCAGAGCCGTCTTCGGCACCGGGCACATCGTCGAACGAAACACCACCGATTATCACGTACCCCGAGTTCCTTACCCATTCGCCAAAACCGCCACCACTATTGACGCCGTCTCGTCTGGCAAACGGTGCTACCGTCCTGGCCTCTGCTTGGACCCTTGCATATGGCGTAGCACGCTTTATCGTTGGACCAATGGTTGAGAAACAGTCCGAAGCTCGATCAGAATACTACGCTCATGTCAATTCGAAGCTGTCTACCTTGGTCGAGAAGTTGGAAGGCGTTGTCAGCGAGGTACCCTACAAGAATGGCAAGGGCCTGAAATCCGAGGTCGATGTCGACGACGATAGTAGTTACGATGATCCAACCGAAATGTTTCACCGCGATATAGGCACTCAGACAACACCACAAGTCTCTTCTGCTTCGAGCTCCGATGCAGGAGAAAAGGTTGTCGACAAGCAAGCTGAACGTCTTGCGCAGCTGACTACCTCGATGAAAGAGCTGTCCGACATGTATATATCTCAGGCCGAGAACACGTCTGAACTCCACTCGCAACTACGAGAGTTTCGTGAGGAGGTCGACAAACTGGCATATCCCAGCGAGTCTCTGTCTTACGGTGGCTCAGGTTTTGGAATTGGTCGATCTTCAGAGCCAGACGACGAGTTCAAGAAGACCAAAGATGCCATACGCAGCGTCAAAGGCATGTTCTTATCATCGAGGATGTTTCCTGCTACGACCACAAGATAGAATCGTGGTCAAGGAAAGGAGAACAGTCACGACAGTAAGTTGTTGCATTCATGATTCATATTTTTACAGGATGTACATCTTACAAGATAAGCTAACTCGGTGTTCCCATTACAGCAAAACACAGCCAGGAGGCAGAAAGCAGTCAAGACGCAGAAAATAGCAGAATAATAGAAGCCGGCCGGAGAGCAGAGGGCAACCAGACCGAGATTCCTACTTCGCTAGGCGCATTCACCATAGCCAACAAGCGAGTTGCACAGGAATCTCACGAAGCAGGACATGTGAGCGGTTCACCACCCATGTCACTCCAACAACCTGCTATGAGCCACAGCTATGCTCTTCCGGGGCCACGTATCTCGAAGATGAGCCCGATCATAAATGCCAATGTCCCCAGCAGTCTTGTGATTTTATACGGCTCGAGTACATATGTCATGTTAGGCTCTAATTCCCTTGACGGCGGCTACCACACACTCGATGGGGATGGATGGGCATTTTATCAACCGGTTATGCACCGACCTTTTGTAAGACATGAATATCGACACGATTCGAACTAGGAAAGGTCTTAACCTTATCGTCGCGCAAGAAATCGATTTGCAATCAATTTCTCCGAGACTGATGTGTCTTTAATGACGCAAACAACTCCACCGCGGAGCACACAGATAGTCATGGTCGATCACGCACCGCCACCAGCTAGCAGCTCGAATTCCAAGAGAGAGAAACCAGACCACGAATGTAATACGAAGGAAAGAAGAACAGGAAGAAAAGTTGATACTGGAGCAACAATGCGGTTGAAGTCCTTCATGCGCTAGACAGTATTTCTTTCGATACAGAGCGAGGATTTGTGTCAGTGACTAGACAGCGCAGGATACAAGAATACAAGCACGATTAGCGGAGCTCGTTATTGTATTTGCACGTGTAAGTGATGACAGTAGGTTTAGATATGATGTCGTGAAGTTCTTTTTAGAAATCTCCCAGGCTGTTAAAAGTCTATTTCTCCTATGAATCTTTCAAGGTGATAGCTATAAGGGTTGGCGCCGTATCTAAATTACTGGTATCATACACAGCATCCATATACGAGCAGTCCGTCACCCTGCTGTCAAGTAATTAAATTTCCACATTCACACCTCATGCCATGATGATCTCATAAAGCAAAACACAAGGCTTAAAAATGACGTTGATAAATTATTGTTTTGGCTTCAAGCCGGGATATCATGTAACTAGGTTCTCGAAAGACCCATTTTCTCGTGGGAGAAAAAAGGGTGGGAAATGCTGTAAGAAACGCCATGTAATGCCTAAACGATGCGACCGCCTTTAACTTGGATCCCGTCCAGGCCCTGGCAGCCCGAATATTACGCCTAATATACCTCCATTGAAACTCGGAGGCTAATCGACAGAGCCTTGCCGGTATTATTGCCCAGGATTGCGATGATAGCTCGGAAGATCCGAGGGTTGTGCTACGCGGGCGGCGGAGCCTGTTTGGAAGGAGCCGCTCCCGAACGGATTGTCTTGCATCTCAAAGCCGCCATCTTTGTCGGCGTACTCGGCCTTCCTGCTGTCTGCGGAGGTCTCGCCGACGGACCTCATCGTGGAGTCTGGCTGCACTGTGTATGGAGGAGCGGTAGTCGGCTCCCCCGTGCTGCCTTTCGCTTCGTAACCTAGACCGGCCATGCCGACTAGCATCCGCATGACGCCGATCAAGACGACCAAGACGTACACGAGAAGAAGGGCGGTCGAAATCAAAGCCTCCTGAATGATGTTGTTGCGGATGTGGGTTGTTACCGAGGTCACCGCGCCAGTCACTTCGTCAGTGCTTACTGAACTTGGGGAGGCCAGGAAAGAGGTGAGGTCAGAGTCGCCATCGATTGACTTCGCTGCTCCGGTTGAGAAAGTATCGTTCGGAAACAATGGGAAGGTGACGTGAGCGTGATCATGAACCCACGTCAGGCCCTTCTGTACAGCTTCGACCTTTAGGCCGATCAGACAGTAAACTACCTCCTTGATAGGGTCCATCAGAACGGTGCCATCGAACGCCGTTGTCAGGGCTTTATCCATCTCGTCGGTAAAGACATTAAGGGTATCGTTGACAGCGTCGGTGGCATTCACCACGTAGCCGAGGACATCGTTGTTGATCTCGTCGCTGTGCTTGGTCATGACACCGTTCGCGTCGTTTGCCCAGTTCTCTGATACGCGTTGTAGAGATGTGACAACTTCGCCTGCAAAGTCGCCGACTTGATTCGCTAGAGCCGGGACTTCTTTCTCTACACCCGCAAGAATGATGTATTGACAGAGACAAGAGAAGAACCCGGCAATCGCAAGAGACAGTACGAAAAGCGCCGGCAGAGTCGTACCGTAAGCAACAGCCCAACGCGTCAGAGTCTCTCGCTTTTGTTGCGACGAGTTTGGGTCAGCGTGAGACCCATGGTCTTTGTTGCCAGTAAGCCAGTCCGAGAACCTGAGTCCTACTTTCGAGGGGAATGGCCTTGAGCTCATCATCATCATGTCGGTTTCGTCGAATTTTCTCTGAACAAATGTGGTCTGGTAATCCTTGAGACGCCGCCAGCTTCGGATTTCCCACCAAGCCATGGGAACGCATACTAAAATAGCGAGCAAAGCAAGCACCACGATGAAGGCAATTTTGGCTTTGGCTACTAGTTCAAACAGGTTTTCGAAAAAGTCGCTGAGCGCAGAGTTCTCGGAGCAAAACGACAGAGCTTCTTTTTGAGCTACCGGGAAAACGGATTCGTCAAATTTCCAGTCGCCGTAAGTGTCGTTGAGGACTTGCTTGAGCAGATTGAATGGGAAAGCCACCGCTTGCGCTGTAAAGTTCTGCACTTCCTTGAACGTGGGCAGGTCGTCATTCAGCTTGTCGAGGTCGGAAACGAACCCGGACGAATCAATTTTGAAATTCTTGATTTTGTCGAGGTCGGCAGAAATATCAATATCGGGTTTGCTGGGCTTGCCGCCAAATAGACCGGAGAGACCATCAATCCAGCTCCAAGCTTCATCGATTGCTTTGTTGACGCCGTCGGTTACGCTTCCAAGGTCGTCTGCCACTGCTGGGAATACGTCGTTGAGGGCATCCGTTGATTTGGTAACAACTACTGCCGTGACATTTAGACCTCCGTGTACCGCTGCAGCAATAAGACAAGTATATGTCGAGGTCATCATGTTGATGACGAAAAGGATGAGCTCCTGAACAGCTGTAAGGATCATATCCAAGACTTTCATCATCCCATGGACAACATCAGTTATGCCTGATGCCGCCAGGCGGTTGACGCCGACAGATAGGTAGTGAGGCATAGATGCCATGGCACTCCCGACATCCTCCACTTTCGTACATGCTGACAGTGCTTTGACTTTTGCATCTCCAAGGTTGTCGTTCAAACTCCCAATGAGTAGTAAAACTCGTACCAAGACTAGGAGCAGCAAAACGGTCCACCTGTTGAACCATACTTGCGAAAGACGAGCTTGAAGTCCAAGATAGGGTGTTGTTCCATTCCTCTGCCATATGTCCGAGGATGATGTGTTCGCTTTTTCGCTAAATGATCGGGAATCTACAGGCTGACTCCTGAGAGTACCGGGTAAGATATCAAGCTTTCGCTTGATGGACTCCATAGGAACAACAGTGATTTTTCGCTATAAAAAAAAAACCAAAAATTTTCAGTTCTCAGAACGAAAAACCAATGCGATATATTTCTAGGTGGTTCGTTGTGAAAGGTAATAATCTTTCGTATGGTGTAACAGAGAATGGTCTAACGTGATATACCAACAACTAGGGTGTCGTGATTGAAAACAGGATTTTGAAACGGGAATGTGATTATAAAAGATGCGTTTCGAGCACAATGAAAGAAAGGTGAATCACTGAATAAGGAATAAATCGATTGTTCCCATGACCTGCATGAATGAAAGTTGAAAGGACGAGAAATTATTGTTCATAGTTGCAAGTGGTCAAAAGTCAGGCCATTTAGAGGGGCGGAGGAGCATAAAAGAGAATCTGAGATAGACTAAATGCGACACACCTCATGGCTTACAGACATTGTGCGGATCAGTCAAGCCTCAGCTGACCGAACTGACTGGCTTCAAAGAGTCAAAATCCAAAAATCGTCTTTGTTTCCACAGTCCAAACAGAGCCAAATTGGCTTTGCCGGTTACCGCTCGAGAAAGTGCGCGCGTGTCTGGTGGATAGCCTTAAGCGCCTGTCAGCGATCGTGAGCCAGTGGATTCCATCATCTAGGGTCGGCTGGGAACCATGCGAATTCCTTGGCTCACTTGATAGTCCCGGAGGGACTTTGAAAATGTTCCGGAGCTGCAGATTACCCTGAGCAAATATAGGGAGGGTATTATACGACAGCTTAAATGAGCTTGAGTTTTAAATAGTACTCTTCGTTGACTGGGCTTTGCACAGTGACTAGATTTCAAGGTGCTCCATGTGCATCGGGTGAGTGCGTATGACATACTTTGATATACTAGTAGTCGAGGAATTGTGCGAGGGAACACCAAACGTGATATAGTGATGGTGCCCATCTTCTGCAATATCCGAAATCTTCGAAGTGGCGTACTCGACTGGGATTTGGCCCAGACATGTCTCATGAAAATCTGTGGCGACATTGCTTGCAGTTGAATAGGTTCTTGCCTGACAGAGACTGTGGTTCTGCAAGCTCACGGCTCGACGATCATTGCTGAAACTACAAGTAGGGTCGCAGAGACATGCACAGCCACATGATCTTTTCCCAGGGATGCAAGATCGTTGAAAAGTGAGGTTATCTCGAATAAAGCTTGATACAGTCTTAACATTGCCGTTCAAGGGTGAGTTAAACTTGAATAGGGTTGGCTCCGCAAGGGATCTCGTTGGGTAAGGCCCAATCAGTATGTCAATTCAGTCCTTGCCGAAGTGCGCTAGGACCTTGGGCGATGATCTCTCCTGCGAGGGCCACCGCTTTGCCACCAGAGTCGAGAGGAAACCTGATTTAATCGACTGCCAAAAAACGGGATCTTCGTGCTCGGGTTTAACTCATGACCCCAGCTGCGGAATAGCCATTTCAGAGGTGAGTTGAGACTCGGCGGAGTGCTGTTTGAGGCATTGCGTTTGGGAACTTGTTGATTGGCTGTGATTACCCAAATGGCAATGCCCGTTGGTGGAGGTTGTTTTAGCGCCATAATCTTCAGTAACAACCTGAGCCAATTGACTGACCAGCGCCAATTCACACAAGACAAGCTTAGTGAAGGCGTCTAACAGCTTCTGATATTCTTAGAAACTCTATATGGTAGTTTGCTTTTTGAGTTGATGTATAAAATCTTCGTGACTTGCCCTGCACGTATAATTGCCTCGCCCAGCCATCAGACCATCGTCCAGTGCCTGCTTGATTGTCGAATCCGACGGGCAGTGCTTTGACAACTGATCATGGGCGATTGTCACCAGTGCGATAGCAAATCAGACGTGAATCACTCAAACCCGTTGGCTTCATCCGGTCCGATTTGAAATACTCCTAAGGACTACACAGTCTGTAAGGCCGTCAGAGAAAAAAGTTATGAAAAAAAAAAATTGAAAAAAAGGGGGAAATGCAGCTCATTCTCATCAGAGCAAAGCTCCGTGGCTTTTGACAGCCAGCAACAAATCCTGATGAACGGCTGTCTAGCTAGTGGGATGAGTTTTCCGCAAAAAGCATTTGTGCCATCAAGTTTTATATGAGGGTTGATGGTCAGGTTCGTTGAAAGATATCATTCCCGCAACGCTTGTCGTAGGAACCACTGAGCTTGTATAACTACTAACAGCATTCACTAGCAGATGGTGATATCAAGTCCAAACACGACATCTCACAAAGCATTGAGTATGTCGAATGCAGCTCTATTTGGTGCCTTGTTGAGTTTACATAGTTAGACTTTGTTGAAAATCTGACGATGAATATGTATATACTATATCGTACCGTTGACTGATTGTCGTGGGGATCGTAAGGGTATGATCCATGGTAGCATTACACAAAACACCAATCAAGCTACGATCCAACAATAACGCGGTATTGAAAGCTTAACATATTATTCGGCAAAGCAATTCGCCAAGGTGGGAGGTCTTCGCACTGATTGCGTATATATGTAAGCAATTGATTTTATCTAGTTGTTAATAACGGTTCAATCTGGGCTGTTATGCTGCCTCAGTGAATTCAAATCTTTGTGTGGCCTTCTGATCGGAGATGCGAAATCAGTCAAAGGTTGTGTGCGATTTTACAATGACCGTTTAGACTGTCCTTAAGCTCGGCCGATGAAAATCTGATGGTGTGTCGATATATAGCCATGATAGTGCTCGACAATCTGGAGAAAGAAGAGTATTGTAGTTAACTTACCTCCTCAAGTAGTCTCGGCTGCTCCACCATCGCCTTTTCTCATGTAGTGCGGCCCTTGCTATGGGCAAGAGCGATAGCCTGCCCCTGCAGCTGTTCAGGCCAAGAGAGAGGTGGAGAATTGACAAAAGCGGAAACGGCTTTTTTGCTTAGCCTAGCGTCTGAAAAAGCCTGCGCTTCCGCAGCTTCAATTGCAAGCCCTTGTCAAAGTTTGCAGCTGTACTGTACGGATTACTGCGGTAAGTAGAGAAATGCACGGCAGGGGCTGCGGCAGGCGCTATTGCACACGTCGACTTCCTACAATAATATAATAAATAAACTTCTTCTTTTCAGCATCTCCTGCAGTTCCATCATCGACCCAAGCCAAAACAAAACAAAACAAAACCTTCGGACTTCATCAGTGTGGTTGTCCACAACATTAATTCTACCGTTTCCTTTGGTCTCCAAGTGAAAGGGCAACTTCTTTTGATCCCCAGGGAATAATTTCGGCAATTCATGTTGCGTTTGTCGTCCAGAGGTGGAAAGTGATTGAATTGGTCGTCTCTTGAGAACCTGCTCATTTTGCAACCCCCAACCTCATTCACCACTTCTAGTGAATCTTGATGCGACTGGCAATATTGCTCTGACCTTCATCCTTTCACCACTCTTGCACATTGAATCTTGACTCGTAACCATCCGAGTTTCTGTTATTCTTGACGCGACGATTTTCTACTTGATCTGACTGGACATTTCTGCGCATCGCATGCCATTTGCATTGTCACCTGCAACCTCGCATTCGCCTAGCATTTGCATACATACTTCACTCTGAACAAGGAATTCAGAATCGACCTTTGTCTGCATCTGACTGATCGTTGCGTCGTCGGCTGCCTTGATTCTTGCCGCCCAGCCCAGCGCACTCTCCAAGACTGAAAATAATCGGCGACTGCAAGTCACATCACATCGCATCACATCGCATTGCAAGAACAACCATGGCCGAGGCTAATAGGAGTATCGAGTCAATCCTGGCTGCACTTGGTAGGTCTGCCCATCTTCACGATCCAATTCCACGCCCTAGCTTTTGATGTAAACGTGGCAACTGACCAAACCTCGCAACCTCTCAGCAGCACAGCGACCTCCCACAACCTCGACGCCGAACCCTGCTCAGCCGCAGCCGCCCTACCAGCAGACACCGACACCTGGTGCATACCCGCCTGGTATGCCATCTGGAGTATCACCTTACGGCGCAGGAGCATATTCACTCCCGCAGCCTTCCTCCAGCGGTAACTTTGATCTGAGTGCTATCAAACCCGTCAATTCTGGAACTGTCAGTATTGCCGATGCTATTGCCCAAGCAAAGGCCTTCGCAGCTGAGAAGGGCGCTTCGCCGTATGATATGTCACGCGCACCTCCTACATACCAATCGCATGATCCTCGCGCTGGTGAGGCTAGGCACTATAGATCTCGCTCGCGCTCACCGTCTGGCCGTGACGCATATCGTGACAACTTCAATCCGTACCGAGATGAGCGACGTAATGACAGCCGTGGAAACTATGGTCATAATCGTTCTGTGTCTCCTGGTGCCAATAGAGGCCGTGGCGCCTATGGCTCTCCCCATGGTAACAATGGCAGGGGCGGCGATGATGATACTGAGACCATCCAAATAGAATCGAGCCTAGTTGGTCTGATCATTGGTAGACAGGGCGAGAACCTCCGTCGTGTTGAGTCTTCAACGGGCTGCCGCGTGCAGTTCATCACTGGTCCTGATAACCAGGGTCCCTACCGTCAGTGCAGAATAACTGGTCCCCGTGCAAGCCGTGCCGAGGCCAAGGAAGCCATCAACAAGATCATTGAAGATTCCGGTATGGGCGCAGTATCTCGGGCTGATAACCCGCATGGTGGTAGCCGCAGTACTCCTGCTCCTGCTCCCGCTCCGCTCCGCGAGGGTGAAGATGTCATGCAAATCATGGTGCCTGATCGAACTGTTGGCCTCATTATTGGTCGTGGTGGTGAGACTATCCGTGATCTGCAGGAACGCAGTGGCTGCCATATCAACATTACGAGTGAGTCCAAGAGTGTCAACGGTCTCCGGCCCGTCAACCTCATTGGTACACGAGAAGCAGCTGCCCAAGCCAAAGAGCAAATCATGGAGATTGTGGACAGTGACAGCCGCCAAAATAACAATGGCGCTGCCGCTGCCCCCAGCAAGCCTGACCGTGCCCCCAAGAATGATTTCGGCCAAGGCGGTCGAGGCCATGCTCCCGCTGGTGGTGATGATAAGATCAATGATGCAATCTTTGTACCCTCTGAAGCTGTTGGCATGATCATCGGTAAGGGCGGAGAGACCATTCGCGAAATGCAAAACACCACTGGCTGTAAGATCAACGTTTCTCAGTCATCTGGCCCTGGTGAGACAGAACGAGAAATCGGATTGGTAGGCTCCCATGATGCTATCAGTAGAGCAAAGCGTGCCATTGAAGACAAGGTTGAGGCAGTGGTAAGTGCACTATGAACGTACGCAATGTATCGCTTTGACTGACTAGACCTGTAGCGTCAGAAGAACAGTGGAGGCGGCGGTGGTGGTGGTGGTGGTGGTCGTGGCGGCCGTGGAGGAGGCCACACCCAAGGTCGCCGTGACTACGACAACCCCAGTTATTCCCAGGGCGGCCACAGCCAGCCCAATCCTGTCGCTGCTGGCCAACCTCCGGCAGCAGCTAATGGCGGCGCTGACCCCTATGCAGCCTGTAAGTTCACCAAACGATTTCAAATTTCTGGTCATCTTACTGATGTGTCTTCAGATGGCGGTTACCAGAACTACATTGCCCTTTGGTACCAGGCTCTGGCTGCACAAGGTCAAACTGGCGGCGAAATGCCTAAGCCCCCTGGCGGCGCATAAACTCCTGACGGTGATGATCCGAATCCATGTCCATAGAGTATAATAAGGACCGGACTCCTACTCGTCTGGCACATATAATGCTTGGTGCAACCAGATTGCGGGTTCATGTTTTTCCGTTTCTCTTCATATCGGACCGAGATCACTGGCCATAGGGACTGAGCGGCGTCTTGGCTTGTACAGTACGGATACTTCTTTCTTCTATACCCATTGAATGCCGAACGTGTACTCATTGGTCGGGCACGGTGTAATGCAATTCTCAAGGAAGGGGGCAGATATGAGTCCCGGGATAGTACTCGATCTGTATACTTGTATAGTTCTTGGGAAAAGGATGGTTGCGAAAAAGTTGCTCATAGCTAATTGATTTTTCTTTCTGCTACGACTTAAATCGAGGTACAACTGCAATATTTGCCGGTAATGCTTTGTGTACAATCACGGCCCACTGTGCCAAGTCATTGATCTCATTCTCGTTGCCACGGCCCCTTACCAAACCCCAGTTGTGTTGAATCATGGCCTCTGAATATGTACCGGATGTTAAAACTCCCCTCAAATGCTTTTTCTTTGCGTCCCATTCACACGCTCCTCCAACTTACCCCTCAACATAATTATTTACACGCTCAGATCATCGCCCCAGACCTCCTTCGCAATTTCTACCTCGAGACGGATCTTAGCCCACTGTTCGTCCTCGCTCAACTCATTGCCCTCCATGGTGCTGCTGAAGCCGCACTGGTGGCTCAAGCACAATTGCTTCAGACCTCTCGGGCAGAACTCGGCGGCCTCGTGAAGCCTCTTGATGATCTCGGCCTTATCGTCGAGCTTGGCCACCTTGGAGCTCATGACGCCCAGCACGACGATCTTGTTCTCGGGCAGGTGGCGCAGGGGCGAGAAGTCACCAGAGCGCGCGTCGTCGTACTCGAGGAAGTAGACGTCGACGTCGAGGTCCTTGAACAGCACCTCGGCCACGGGCTCATACCCGCCCTGGGCGAACCACTGCGACCGGTGGTTGCCACGGCACAGGTGGATGCCGATGGCCATGTCCTTGGGCCGCTTCTCGATCGCCTTGTTGATCAGGGCCGCGTACTGCTTCGCCAGCACGTTGGCGTCGCCGTGCCGCTTCTCGGCCTCGGCCCGCATGCCTGGATCGCACAGGTACGCCAGGTTCGTGTCATCGAGCTGCACGAACCGCGTGCCCGCTGCGTACAGGTCTGCCAGCTCCTCCTGGTAGACACGCGCGAGGTCGTCGAAGAAGGGTTCGAGCGTGGGGTAGGCCTCCTCGGAGATGGTCTCGCGGGAGTTGCGGAAGTGGATCATGGTCGGGGAGGGGATGGCGACTTTGGTGGTGACCTTGCCCTTGGCGCCGGCGGCCTCGATCTGCGACTCCAGGTAGTTGAAGTCGTTGACCTGGATGGGCTCGGGGTGCGAGATCTTGTCGACGACGACGAGCTTGGGCGGCATGACGCCGCCGTGGGACTGGTTGGTCGACTGCATGGCGCCGCGCTTCTCGACGCCTCCCAGATTCACCAGGTAGTCGATGTGGAACCACTCGCGCCTGAATTCGCCGTCGGTCACGGCGCGGAGGCCGGATGCGATCTGCTTCTTCACGACATCGGCGATGTACTTATCCTCCAACTCCTTCAAGGCCTCCTTGGACACTTCACCGCTGGCCACCTTCTCACGGGTAGCAAGAATCTCTCGTGGCCGGAGCAGAGAGCCGACCTGGTCGGCGCGGTATACACCTGTGGGAAGAGACATTATCGTTGAGGTGCTTCAGCTGATATCTCTACACTGGTAGACGGCATATGGGTATCAAGAAAGGAAGACGTCAGAAGGACCGTGAGAGAAAATAATACCCAGCCACCATCCCAGTCAACAGCGACTTCGCTGCCATGAGGGGTTCAGGGTCTTTCAACATTTCATCAAACCCCACTTGCTTGACGGTAAGCTCGAAGATTAATCTGCCGTCTAAACTCGAGATCCACAGGTCTGACGGCCCGCGGCTAAAGGGATAGCGACGTGATGATGCTTTGCTGACACACGCTGCCGTACTCGATTGAGCAAGGAGATTTGTCAGGGGACTGAGTCGACCGTATGATCATACAGACACATGGCGCCCCCTTCTAGGTTTCTGCAGCAGATCAACACCCTTCCTGCAGCCTGCAGCCCCCGTCAGCCATGCCATGCATGGCTCACTTAGCGACGAAAAGAACGGCAGACATTGGATTGGATAGTCCACTGTCCGATATCCAAAGCGGTCCCATAGTCTTGGGTCTTCAGCCGGATCGCGGGGTCTGGCCTCGAAGATGCATATTATTAGTGGGGTGGTGCTCCATGCTCGTGCGTCGCCGCAAACGCCAGCGGGTGCAAGTATTGCCGCGACGGCAATTAAATAGGGATTTCGAAGGCTCCCAGCAAGTAGAGCTACATAGCACTTGAATTTAGGGTGGCTACTACAACACACAATGACAGTATTGGCTCCATGCCTAAATACTTAATCTACTGTAGTGCTCGAATCTCGTGAAATGTGAATCTGATATATAGTATGGGATGTGTTCTTTGGGGGAGAGGGGGGTTGTATCTTTTTCTGCTGTTTTGGCTTTTTTGTTCTTGGCCTTGGCTGCAAATTATCTATAAGTGAGCAAAGCAACTGCTTGCTGGGTGTATACAGATAGCCCCCTGGTATTGGTCTCTCCGACACCTGCCAACGGATTTTAGAGTGGTTGTCTGATACTCGTGGTCCCTCGTCATAAGGTTTTTTGGTGACGTCTTGTGCTTATCGATAATTACAATAGATCAGTGTATAGCAGCACCCAAAACATTGTTGGCCCGCTTATGTCTTAGATGATCTATTCGCAATGTTCTTATGCAAGGACGACGAGAAATAGTTCGGTCAGGACTGGCTGTCGATCTCGAAAGTGCGAGATACCTCAACGCCATGGCTATCTACATTAAGTGTTGAAGTGTAGTGACGACGGATTGTGAGGTCTAGCTTGCGCCAAGTTGGCTGCATTGACGTAGCGTCGGTCCTCAGACCGCCGTAGAATAACTCAACCAGAGCCGAGTATCAAATCTAGGTTTCCGGACTCATGGTCGAGAATGGTTAAATATCTAGACAAATAAACAAGTATTTCCTGGCTTCGGGCTTCGATTTCCCTCGAGATACAGCAGCATCTGGACACAATAGTCGTTACCACGTCCGCCTTGGCACACCGTCCATTGGCTATCCTAAACTCCGCATCCTCCCAAGGATTGGACAGCTTCGCAACTCATCTATCATCAAGAACCATCATAAACCTCAACGTTCAGCCTGAAACATTTGCGGGCATTTCGTTCTGTGCATTCTGTTTGAGGCGTGCATTTATTGGGGCCATAGTCGCCATGTCAAGCGCAAACCAACTCTTCCTCTTGGCGGACCACATCAAGCTCTCACTTCTCGAGCGACAACGAGCAAAGAGCCTCAACCTCGACGCCGAGTCCAACGATGGCCACATTTCACGGTCGCTCGACCAATTTCGCGATGGCCTAGAGGCCCTAGTCAAGGAGCAGAGGCGGCTGGAGGAGGCCGGGGACGAAGACGGCGCCCTGACGATAGGCGACAACTTGCCCGAGCTGCAGCAGCAATACAAGGACCTGCAATCGCAGTTCCACGGCTTCTCGTCACCGGGCGCCGAATCCACGCTCACGCACCCCAACGACCCGGCCCTCGCCGCCGACTTTGCACACGCCAACACCTTGTCGCATAACAAAGACGGCAGCCCTGATGCGTCGGCGTCGGCTTCGGCATCTTCGGCACTCCGGCCAAACGGCGTCCAGCGCAACAATTCCAAGATGGTCCGGTTCTCCGACAACCCATCATCGTCGAACGATGACGCGCGGGACCCGGATCTGGAGGCGCAGCTCTTTGGCTCCCGGTACAGGGACAACCCGAGCGACGACAGCGCTGGCTACCGGGACGAGATCGACTCGCAGAACATGAACAACCAGCAGATCCACGCGTACCACCAGCAGATCCTGGACCAGCAGGACGCGCAGCTCGACGCCCTGGGCGACTCCATCTCCCGGCAGCGGGAGCTCAGCATGCAGATCGGCGACGAGCTGGACGACCAGGTTGCCATGCTCGACGAGGTCGACGTCCAGGTCGACCGGCATCAGGGTCGCCTGGACCGCGCCAAGAGGAGGGTGGACAAGATTGCCAGGACGGCGGGCGACAACAAGCAGCTGGTGGCTATCATCGTCTTGATCGTGGTATTGGTCTTGCTTATTGCGTTGTTGAAGTAGACCTTGAGTTCGCAGGCCGAGGAGAACTACGGTATGTTCGCTCGCCTGTCGCTTCACATCACCTGAACGGGGCGCCGTAAAGCAGTGGTATTGTGCCTAGTTCCCCGAGTTTCTGGGGCGGCTGTAGAGGAAGACCAAGCATGTTCAAGTAAATTGCATCTCTGTTAGGCGTTTGGGAGTTGTCTGAGCACCGGGTTCTCGGAAGATATTATAAGCTGCTCGACATCAAGTCGGTGGTGGTACTAGCATGTGTATAGTCACTGATCATGGTTTTTGGTTGCGCCGTATACATGGAAAGATTTGTGTATGATTTGTATGTGAGAGAATTTAGAAGAGCAAGTGTTTCCAAGTGTCGATCTCTTTTCGCAAGATACTGGGAATTTCCACATTTGAAATGCTCAATTTGTGCATGAGGAGCGAACGCCGCCCCGGCATTTACTATGTTGGTTGCAAATACCAAGATAAAACTGCTCAAGGGTATCGCTTAAAATTTGTATAACTTTCTTCTCTCGAGGTTGAAGCACTGCGCTGGCATAGTCATGACGGATGTGATTTCTTGTGGCCAAGCATATTCGGCGCATCTGACCAGAAGTGAGCCTGACTCTCTTCTCAGGACAACTCGGCGTTGTTGATCCGTTTCCCGTCGAAGCTAACACAGCCATATGAAAGTGATCACTTGTTTTAGCTCACTCTTATTTCGAAGTACATCACTCAGCTTCGGTTGTACCTTTGAAAATACATTTCGATTGGCAAGCGATATTATCCAGTGGCTCAATATATATACACGCAAAAACAAGACCTGCTATCTCAGACCATTCGGCTTTCGTGGAGCCTGCCGCCCTAACTCCGACCCGTGACTATACACGAGCTCGTTCCGACGCTGCTAGTTCGCATATGAAAGGATGGTATCTCTGCCTTTTTACAAACCATCACGCATGCTCGTGCCCTTCTTGTGGGTCTCCTCAGCGGTTGCCTTGGTGCGGTCTTGAAGGCTCTTGATGTCCTCATCTCCGCTGCGGTCCGCCTTGATGGCTTCCTCGGCATTGGAGGCCAGCTCAGGCTTCCAGTGGCCCTGACCATCCTTTTGCTTCTTGAGGAGGTCCTGCTTGTGGCGCTCCGAGGAGTTGGAGTCTTCTTGCCTCTCGTCTTAACAGTGTACACAGGTCAGCAGTGGAATATCTATAACCCCTCGAGCACGTCGGCAGGCATGGGGAAGCGAAGCAGATGGGGAGACATACGGAGGGTGTCCTCCTTGTGTCTCAAGGCAGCGGTAGTGGCGATGCTTCGCGAAACAATGGTCTGTCGGCTTGCCAGAGCGGCGGCGGGGCGGAAAGCCGAGAGGAAGGTGCGGGAGGCCATTATGATGATATGTGGGAGGTTACTAGTAGTGTCGAAGGTATGACTTTCTTTGTTATCTCGTAGTGTAAGGCAAGCTGACTCAATGGCTCGGGATAGAGGCTGTTGATGTAAATTTCACGATGTCTGTAGACGCTTTGGAATTTGTAGCTTCTTCCGTGGTTTTGGCCTATGAACTGCCCTGAGGGACAAAACAAGTGCTGTCCATTGGACGGGCTTGCCGTGACGTCACTATTATTTACTATGCACTGGACGATCGGATTGTGACAGCATAGTTCCCCACAAAGAGCCGCCATGGCTGGCATAGTGCCGCATTGACCATGGGTTGGGGACAATTATCCTCGGTAGTCAGAATCAAATATCGGTTTCCCTGATCGGTTTCTTCCAATGATGGAATCTACCATTGTGGTTGACACATTGACTATGCTTGAGCCCGTAACCACTTTTCGATAGCGTGTTTATTTGGCTCAGTGGTATCGATGGCCTGCCAAGCGACACAAAACCTTGTGCAATAGCCCTCATCCTCGTCAGCATACATAACTCTATGCACACGATAAATCCTGAGCTATCATAACTCTGTTGATGGATATTCTGCATTGGAGCTATCCTGACAAACGTCCTATACACAAGAATTTGATAATCGAGGCAGAGAGCACGAGTCCTTGTGTTTATTGGATATTGCTCCGTAGTTCCTTGATGGTCAAAGATAGCGCAACATGCTGCCGTACATCACTACTTGCGCATCGTGTCGTTGTCAGCTCCACGAACTGCAGTGCCAATATTTTGAGAACCGCACTGATATCTAGTGCGAGCTTGTGGACCTCTTCGAACATACAAATAAGCCGATCGACATATACCGTTTGACGATATCCGAAAATGTTACAATGGACTGTTTAAGCTGATACCCATTGATGGCCAATTGAAGGGTAGCATTGGGAGGCCATATCCATGTCCAACTTGGCACAGCGCGCGTCTCAACATCTCAACTCCTTACCCCATAAACGCCAAACGGCGTGCATTTCAGCCTCAAGAAACTTCATGCTTCATCTCATGTTTCGTACTTGTCTGGATTCATTTTGGCATACTGCACTCAGATCACCCTTTGATCTTCAACCTGTATCACTGAGCCCGCAACCGGATCAGCGGCATAGTCGTCATTGGTTGGGCTTCTATTCTGCGGACAGCTTCGGTCCTTATCGAGATGAGGGCATGACAGGGTGCCATCTCATAAAGTTTTATAAGCTTAGTTTGACGTGTCCAGCGGTTGGTGAGCTCCGCGATACATCGGTTGCTCCGCGATGCATTATATATAAGTTGGATGTAAGATTATCCACACCTTAATTTCAAGTTGGATCATCAGTCATCTCTGCCTCTTAGCCTTCGTTCGTTCCATTCGTTCCATTCGTCGATCTGTGATCGGGTTGCATTCTTTTCGTTATATTGGTCACAGGTCTGGTCATTCTTTATTGGTAATATCACAAAATGGTGTCCACAGCTTTCCTTGGAGCATTCCTTCTTGTGGCCAGCGCAAGCTCTGTCTTCGCGACACCCGTGATACCTGGATACTCAGAACATGTCGAGATCCTAGCCATGCGTGCTTCGAGCACGGTCGACCCCAACGCAGTGACAGGCGTGGATTGCACAAACCCCAGCGTGTAGGTGCTCATAGATAATCCCAACGATGTCGATACCCTGGATTACTGACGATTCGCAGGGATATTGTGTTCCACGATCAAAATGTAGCAGAGCTGGGTATCTGCGGCGGCATCGCAGGTGCCATTACGAAATGCGGAGGCGCACCACAAAGCACAACAGGCGAGTCGGGAACGGCTCTCTTCACCCTCAAGGCTGCGACGAGCGGTGCTACCATCAATATCTCCAAGGGCCGCTGGGAAGGTTGCATTCGTGCTGCGAGGGCAGTTTGTCCCACGGGCAGTATCAGTGGAACTTGTGTCGGGGGTGCATCGACTGGAAATGTTGATTTCACTCTCGACAACCCATGAGATGTTTGGCTGCGTTGGTGTCCGGGTGAAAATGAAAATGGGCAGCCATTGGATGAGAACTTATGACGAGAATGCGTTTCAGCACATAATTACTTATGTCAAGGCCTCTCACTCAATCACGGGAACAACTCAAAATATTTTGAAGTCGCCTCTCATAGTGCTGGTGTATGGCTTTATGACCATCTTACGAGTACTTTGGCCTTGGTTTCAGGTCAAAATATCAAAATATCAAAATGATCTCCATGATGACTTATTAGAGCATACTGTATAACTGGTGGAAGTGTTCGAATGTTACAAAGATTCTGCCGAGTTGGCTCAGCCCAAAGACCTCGTATGTTACGTCAAGCGCTGTGTTTTCTGTATGCTGCCGTACCTTGTTGTACACGGTCGTGCGGTGTGGTAGGCTCACCAACGAAACTGTAACCAAGAGATCCTATGAATACAATCGTTTGAATTTCACAGGGACCCACGCCGAGTATAAAGCTGTAGCCTACATACGGTTCTTCTTTTCGGCAAAAGAAAATAGATTCTTAGGGCACCAACTGAAATGTATGATCGACTTGTCGCAAATATATGGGTTCAATTGTGGGAAATACGATATAACTCCAGCCATCGTACGGATGGGCTCCGATCAGCCCTCACAAAACATTATCCAATTAACAAGTCCAATGATGAGCGATTGTTATCGCTCACAGAGACTAATATTTTCTCAAATGTTTAATCAGAGCAACATGACGTTTACATTGTGGCCGCCGAGCAGATCGGTCGGCAATAAACGGTGCGGACAGCCGTGCTTCGGGATGGTGAGCAATTGGAGCTGGATTGCGTGCTCGCCAACTCCAACTGGGATACCCCTCGCCAATGCCTCGCACCAGAGCACTGCAGCACCCAAAATCGGAAGGCAGACAAGCGGGAGAGATGTATCGGATCCAGTATGGTGTGAATGATGCAATTTAGTGTGACGGAAGAAATGGCTCGAGATTTCAACGAAGAATGCAAATCCTATTGCTATTTTAACCCTCCCTCTGTCCTTCTCTTCTCTATGCATTAGCTGTTCTGTATACTAAGCCAAACTCCTATACGTTTCCAACCCAACCTTACCCAAAATGGCACCGACTGCAGTAGACTACGAGCCCGAGTCTGGCTACATTCAAAAGCTCAAATCTGAAATCAAGAATGTGAACAAGAATGTCTTCCCGGATGGGTTTAAGACGACAGGTAAGCCTTATGACGTGAAAAAAATAATTTGGAAGAGCAAGCATTGACGGCGATAGGTCAACATCCTCCCAAATACGATCAGCTCTACCCATATAGTGCTTTCCCCAAGCGCGTTGAGGGGCCCACTGTCTGGCAACCTGAAGACTATTCCAACAACCCTGAGCGATGGGTCCACCAATTTTCTGAAGAGGAAATCGCTGAGCTTTCCGCTGCAGCGGACAGATTTCAGGAGCTCAACCTGCCGTTGACCGGTATCAGCAAGGACAACTTCCCGCTGCCAGGCCTAGCAACGTCCTTAGCCTCGATCCGCCGGGAGCTGTTGAACGGCAAGGGTTTCATTCTTTACAAAGGATTTCCCACGGAACAATGGGGAAGCCACAAGTCGGCTGTGGCCTACATGGGTCTTGGTGCCTACATTGGCTACCCTGTATCACAAAATGGAAGGGGCCACATCCTTGGACACGTGAAGGACCTCGGCGACGACAGCACACAGATCGACAAAGTCCGTATTTACAGAACAAATGCTCGCCAGTTCTTCCACGCCGACGACTCGGATGTTGTCGGTCTGCTGTGCCTTTCCACGGCTGAGTTCGGCGGAGAGTCTGACGTGTCTTCGATCCACGCTGTTTGGAACATTCTTCAAGAAGAGCGACCGGACATCGCCGAGCTGCTCACCAAGCCCGTCTGGTACTTCGACCGCAAGGGTGAGGTTTCTGAGGGCGAGGACCCGTATATCCGGACTGCCGTCTTCTACCTCGAGCCAGAGGACCCGGCCAACCCCGAGCGCGAGCAGCGGGTGTACTGCAAGTGGGACCCTTACTTCGTCCGCAGCTTAAAGAGATTCTCCGATGCAGGAGTGATCCCACCGCTGTCGCCAGAGCAAGTTGAGGCTACCCAGCTCCTGGAGGACACCTGCAACAGGGTGAGACTGCACATGGTTTTAGAGGTCGGCGACATTCAGTTCGTGGCCAACACGCACACGCTACATGCCAGGACAGCATACAGGGACTGGAGCCCTGACTCTGGCAAGCCTAGACGCCACCTGATGAGACTGTGGTTGAGCGTCCCGGAGGAAGAGGGTGGCTGGAGGTTGCCGTTCTGGGACACCAATGAGAAGAAGAGAGGAGGAATCCAGGTGGACGACACACCGCCTGTTGCTAGGCTCGATGCTGACTAGATACCGCAGGCCGGGGTCATGAGCAGAGTAGTTGATTTTTGAGCGAAACAATATATCCGTATAGTTGTAAAAGTTTAGACTTATACATATTCATTTTCAAAAAGAAAAACAAGAAAAGAAGAGCAAGTTTGTGAGATAAATTACCAGAGGCTTGAGACGGGGATTGGCCATTTGACACTCCAAGATCGACAGGTTGAGAAGTCAGAGAGGGCTTGCAATGCTCGGGTTCAGATATGTGGTGTTTCCGTAAAATGCCGTGATTCAATAAGTTATATGCAAGTGAGTCAGGGTCGTATCTGGCGCCGTACCTTGCGTACAAGCCAGACGACTGCTCAATGTCAAAAGCACTATGCAGTGATTAACCATGTACTGTAATTGGGTGCCTGGCACTGTATGTAGTGGGCTAGCCACCAGCAAACCCACTGTAGGTTGGGGTCAAGTGCTAAACTCCATTTGACAGCCTCGGGCACCAGTGACGACAGGCTGCGAGGCTGCCGTCCAGAGGCCCAGAGCTTCCAAGTACGATGCGGACGTCGCAAAAGACCATGCTAATGAGTTAGGCGGCCATATTGCCCAGTTAGTGATCATGGCTCTGTTAATGGTCAGTGAAGTTCCTTGTAGCCATTCGAGACGACCGCCTCGCCCCAGGGCTCACGTACTGACTTGACTGCACATAGTGGAAAGCGTTCGACTTCTTCGAAGTAAGCCCGGTCAAGCTTGGCGACGACGAGACGCGGTCCTTCTTCGAGAGAAACGAGATATCCAGCGTATGCTCCGGCTCCGACAGCCTATTCCTTGGAAGTTTCGATGGATATGTGCGCATCGTTGGCGCAAGCTGGAAGGTCGTTCGGAGCTTCCACGCCCACGAGACGGGACGAATCACACACATGCGCCAGGTTGAGGGGACGAGCTTGTTGGTTACCGTCGCCGAGGATCTGAGCAATGAGCCAGTCTTGAAGGTCTGGGCCCTGGACAAGCCCGTCAAGAAGACGGGGTTGCCCACTTGCCTAAGCACGTTAAATATCAACAATGGCCGAAAACAGTTCCCAGTATCCGCGTTTACCGCATTGGATGACCTGTCGCAACTTGCTGTCGGCTTCGCCAACGGCTCCGTAACTCTCATACGCGGCGACCTAATACATGACCGAGGGACGAAACAGCGGATAGTGCACGAATCAGAAGAGCCGGTGACGGGCGTTGAGTTCATATCGGAAGCCAAGGTGACCACTCTGTTTGTCGCGACGACAGCGCGCTTATTGAAGGTTGTCGTCACCGGAAGAGGCCAAGGTCAACCTCCGAGAACGGTCGAGGACTCGGGTTGCGCAGTCGGATGCATGACACTGAACAAGAAGACGGGTGATATCATCGTGGTCAGGGACGATGCTGTGTACTACTACAACCTGGATGGCAGAGGACTGTGTTTCGCAAATGATGGCACGACAACGTTGGCCGAAACATATCAAAACTACGTTGCCCTCGTTTCACCCCCTGCATCTCCATCGGCTGGTAACTCGGGCGTCGGGCGACGCTTTGGTGGTGGCAGTACGGAGGCTCTGTTCAGTGCCTCAACTTTTACCATGATCGATCCAACACTCCAGATCGTCGCCCACAACGAGACTATGATCTCTAAAGTACAGGCCTTGTTTGAGATCTGGGGAGACTTGTTCATTCTGACTCAAGATGGAAAGGTAAATCACTGATATCTGTGCTTATGTGCCTGGACTGGCTAATGCATGAGCAGGTCAACCGATATCACGAGAAATCTCTCCAACAACGGCTCGACCTTCTCTACCAGCGCAACTTGTACCCACTTGCGATCAGTGTAGCCAAGAAGGTCGGCTTGGACGAACAACAACAGAATATTATATTCCGGAAATACGGCGATCACTTGTACCAAAAAGGTGATTATGAAGGTGCCATGGCTCAATATATCCAAGCCATTGACAACACTGAACCTTCCCAAGTCATTCGCAAGGTATTGAAATCAACCCAGCCTCATGGGTAACGGATTGCTGACTCTCTACAGTATCTCGACACACAAAGGATACATAATCTCATTCAGTATTTGGAGCAGCTACACGAACACCACAAAGCGACTGCTGACCACACGACGCTACTTCTGAATTGTTATGCAAAGCTGAAAGATGTGGAAAAGCTCGAAAAGTTCATCAAGTCGGAAGGTGACCTCAAATTTGATACCGATACAGCAATTGCTATGTGCAGACAAGGTGGTTACTACGAGCAGGCAGCTTACTTGGCAACGAAGCATGGCGAGAATGAATTGGTAGTCGACATTCTCATCGAAGACTCGAAGAACTATAATGACGCACTCAATTTCATATGGCATCTTGAGCCAGAAGCGGTAAGGACAAGAACTCCTTTGCATAAAAGTGCTCTACTGATGAAAGCAGGCATACCCAGCTCTTATGAAATATGCACGAGTGCTACTTGAGCATTGCCCATCAGATACAACACAGTTATTCATCGACTATTACACGGGAAAATACAAACCAAAGATCCAGATCACAACAGTTGAAGAAGCTCCAATACATTCAACTGGTGCGCTTGGGAATGCGCTCGGAGGACTGGCGGCGGGCACTTCCAACGCCGTTCAGAATCTTACGAACCTTTTGCCTCTTCCCTATATGAATACCTCCTCGATTTCCAGCACTCCAGACCCAGGAAGTAAGGGCCAAAGCACGACAACGCAGAACGACCTTTCTTCCGCGACACTAGATCCAGATCTGATTGAGCCGCCAAAATATACACCACCAACACCACGGACAGCATTTTCGTCGTTCATCGATCACTCTGATGAGTTTATCATATTCCTCGAAGCATATCTAGAAGAAGAATCTCTGAAAGACTCAGATAAGTCGGACATATATACGACTCTTTTCGAGATGTACCTTCACAAAGCTAGCGAAAAGAAGGGCGAGGACCGCGAAGAGTGGGAGCGAAAGGCAAAACAGCTCATATCGGAACGGGACCTACCTATCGAAAACTCAAATGTCTTGCTCTTGTCACACCTTTCGGACTTCAGAGATGGCACCACGTTGGTCAAAGAGCAGTCCGGCCTTCTGTTCGACATATTCCGCTCTTACACTAGCGCCAAGGATACTCGAGGAACGATCAAAGCCCTACGCAAGTATGGACCTGAGGAGCCGCAACTCTACCCTGCGGCGCTGGCATATTTCACCTCCGATACTAAGGTCCTCGAAGAGGCTGGTCCGGAGGAGCTCGCAAATGTACTGCGACGAATCGATGAAGACAGCTTGATGGCTCCATTGCAGGTTATTCAAACACTGGGGGCCAATGCAGTAGCAACGATGGGTATGATTAAGCCCTATTTGCAAGAAACCATATCCCGGGAGCGCCGAGAGATTGCGGCCAACCGCCGGCAGATCAATTCTTTCCGTAAAGAGACAGAGCAAAAGCGCATCGAGATTGCTGAGCTGGGAACCAAGCCCGCTGTCTTGAAACCACAACGTTGTCCTGGGTGTGGCGGACTTTTGGATTTGCCAGTGGTTCATTTCCTCTGCAAACACAGTTTCCACCAGCGATGTCTCAAGCAAAGCGGAGATGGCACCGAGACCGAGTGTCCTCTTTGTGCAAGCAGTAATATGGCAGTACGCGCTATGAAGCGCAGCCAAGAGGAGAGAGCGGACAGGCATGACTTGTTCAAAGACGCACTTGACAAAGGGAAGGGGGACGAGAGATTCAAAACCGTGGCGCAGTGGTTTGGTCAGGGTGTTATGGGTGCTGGGGTCAGCGTTCCGGAATAGATCGCATGAGGATACGTTACAAAGCACAATCGCATTTTCAGCTATCTTGTCGTCTCCCATGAAAGGATGAAGTATAATCAGATATAACGGCAAACATATCATTAAACAATGATGCAGTATCTCGTTGTAAAACGTGATAACCAAGCCAACAGGGTGTAGCGGCACCAATTCCGCGCTGGCGTCCGTTATGGTCCAGAAGGGTATAGCCAGCTGAAATGGAAATCAATACTTGTGTCTTGGCACCGCGAGGACTGCCCAACAACGAGGTCAGGCTTAGCCGCATGGCCAATCCTGCATGCTAAACAATGACAGCTCTCCAATGAAGTTCTCTGAGCTCTAATGCTTGATTGTCCGGCCGTTCCACGTGAATGCGGCTGAGTATTATGTGGGAGGGCGCCAACACCACATGGCTATATGGGGATGTGATCGTCTTCCAAACTAATTGTATCTTATTCTCTTAGTTTTCTATACTTGAACTTCAAGAATCAATCTGAAGGTCAGTTCAGCGGGTATTATTGACCATCAGTCAGCGGGGCCCCTAAGTAGAGTGATTTGTGTAAGGATCAAACAATGGACAACCCACCACCAATCCCGCCTCGGCCCCCAGGATATGAGCTGAGGACACCAGCAAATCCGCGTCTCCCTCCACGGCTGAGCCCACAACAGCAAGGACGGCCACAGCAGAACCAGCAACCCCCGCGTAACCAGAGACCTGCTCAAGCACAGCCTAGCCAATGGTCTACGCTGTATTACCCTGATGGCTCTCCGACGCCGCTGTTCGACCAGCTCATGGCTGCCATTTTCCCCCATCTAGATCCGCAGGGGACTGGGTATATACGTCCGGAAGTGCTTTCGATCTTCCTGACCCTGAATCAGTTCCAGCCGGATGAGGATCTTTGTACGTATTTTTCTCCATCTTGATTACTGCCCATCCACTACCGATCCTTTGGTCACGAGGTGGTCAAATGGGGTGGGATATATGGGGCGAGGCATAATCCAGAGGGACTACATGAGCTAATAACGAGGATAGGGAAGTCGAACCTCAAAGGGAACATCATGTTCACGCCCGAGGACATTGCAGATGCCGAACTCAAAGCGGCCTGTGAAGCCTGGCCGTTCGATCACAAAGTAAGTGGGATTCTTCGGCCGGGGCTCGGGTTTTGTGCCGAAAACTTGCGCTATAGTCTACCTCGATCAGGCTGCATGTTGTTCTCTGCTGAAACCTTTTCTTTCTTCCTTCCTCGCTTTTTCTTTCTTTTCTTTCCTTCCGACTTTGTATATCTACCCCAAAAGTGTGAACTTGTCATCTAAAGCAATACGCGAAACCCCCATCCCCTCCTTTCATAAAAAAATAAAAAAAAATAAAAGGCTTATTGTGCCGTGCTGACACCCAGTTCTCATCTTAGGTGGTCGTCCGCAATCCGGGGCGCACACCGCTCCCCTACGGCGGCATGCCGCTCCTGTCGCTCCGCGGGCTGACGGAGATGATGGCCGTGGAGCACGCGGCGGAGCCCGAGCGCGGCCACCGCGCCATCCAGGCCGTCATGACCCGCTACGGGGTCTGGCCGCACCTGGGCCCCTTGCCCCGCGGGTGCCTGCCCGCCGATATGCCGCCCCAGATCCAGAGGCGCGTCGAGCAGGTCCGGGAGAGGAGCATCAGGGCCGCCCAGGAGAAGATGCAAGCCAACCAGACCCGGTTGGCCATAGAGGCCCAGGGCAGACAAAATGCCTTGGACCTGCTCGATCCGCCGTGGGTTAGGAGGGTTTATTATTAGGCGGGAGTATCGGGTTGGAGTAGCAGGGCTGGGATGATCGGGAACTACTCTCAGCTCTCATGTAGGACGGACGGGTGTGCATAGGCGTGAACATGGTGGTCCTTGAGATCACGAATGACTGGAATATAGATACACATCTACGACGGTATAGGTACGACGCCGCACTAACACAATTTCTAATTTCACTTTGGCATTATGCAGCAGTCGTTTTAGACTGGAATCCGGCTGTCACGTGTAACAATCCATATCATCATGCGAATATTACCTGACGTTGGCAAAGGAAGTAAACAAACGTGTACCATTTATCGCTTGACCTCTTATATGGCGATCCGTGGCCAGACGATATGTCATATTTCGCCAACTCCCTACCATCTGTGCCTACCAATCACATCGATGCCTTATTTCAGAAGCCGCGCAAATCCACATGACAGACATTTGGGAAGTGGCAGTTCTGAGAATCCCACTGAAACGGGGACAGCCGGAACGTGGACAATAACCAAAATCATGTTTCTATATTGATGCTTCATCCGGCGAAACCCATCCAGCCATGAAACCATTTGCTCTGACTAGCTCCACTGATTATATATAGTACCGCATAGACATGGCGATATGGATATCAGATTATCAGTGGGGGAAAAGACGCATGTGAGCCGGTCTCTAGAAAAAGCCAAAATCAAAGAACATGGAAACCGTGTGCCCGCATCCCTAGATAAGGTTTGTGTCGCAAAGTCTCGGCAAGAAGGGTCCATAAGAAAAAGAAAGAAAAAAAGAAGGGGTCCAGTTATGAGACAACATATAGCGCGGGAAAGCAAACCAGACTGTGTGATCACTATTTTCTGCCTCGCAGTTATCCTAGCCAGTCACCTAGAGGGAAAGGATACCATGCGACCCTCCTCGACTATCAACCCTCATCCAGAGATGGCAAGGAGTACTGTGTGCGAAAATGACTTGTAGAAACACTGTGGCCAATGCTGCGATTCTTGTACATGATGATTTCGTCATTGTGCGTCAACTCTGTGAGAAGGCAGCACGATCACGGACAGAAAAGTGTGTGGCTGTGTGGGGTAAGTAGGTAAGTTCATGGTCGAAATGCTTGAGAAAAAGAAGATTTGACTGGGAACCCCGAAAAGAAGGGTAGGGTGGTGTGGCTTGATCAAGTCGTATGATCGTGCTGAAACCCCATCAAGTCATAAACCGTCCCTAGGTCATGGAAGGCGCAAAACGGTGTGGCTCGTGTGGTTTCAATGGCCAGCCTTGTTAGGTAAGGAGGCCCTGGAGTACCATCACATGGTAATGTTGCCCTTTCCAAAGCATACGTCAAGACCGTTCTGTTGAGCTACATTCATTGAACAGCGAAACAACCCCTCCCCTCACTTTGAGGCTGTACCAAAAGTGAAGGCATTTTGTTATTCTGTATGTGGAGGAGAGCCTCCGAATTTCTCCGCCTCCGCATGTGTTTTTGCAGGAGGCAGGTAGATAGATCTGGATAAGCAATGCAGGTCGGAACATAATGAGATGACGTGCAGCGCTAGATATTTCCCATTCCTTCCGTACAGCACGAGGGATATTTGGTTAATACTATCATGGTCGCGATGTTGTTCACGAGTGCTCCAGTACCATCACCCGCATGCATTATGCCGGCCAATTATGTGGCAAGGTCTAATATCGGATAGACTCCAGTATGGGCGGTTTGCAGACGTATGAGTGATATTCGATGAATGGAACATTGTGAAGAGGGGTCCAATTTGTGATGTTGTAGTCTATTCATGTGCTGACGCAAAGGACCAATCACAACGGCGCCAGTGTCATTTGTCCGGAGAGAAACGTGCTGTGTTAAAATTAAATGATGGAGGGGCAGCGGCATCTAATCGGTGCAACTCCATTTGATAGATGATGAGATTCGATGCTTCAATGCTTACTTGCCTGCAACGCTCCGATGGAACCGTTAGTACGTGGTAACATTCCGCGAGTGGATGAAGGTGAACTGCTTGTCTGGTCTGTCACTTCGCATGACAAAAAAAAAAAAAAAAAAAAGATCCAGAAGATATCCGGGGCCCCGTGGAGGTGGTCGTATGTGGAGAACTGGGGTTTACGGGATTCAATTGTTGCTCAGCCGCGCGGTAGACAGTTATCGGCCGAGCAGCATCGTGATCAGGGCGAGCTCGTTGTCTGACACATCAAGCGGCTGACAAGGCCTATGGCACGATCAGCGCTTCCAAGGTGTCGTCGGATGGCCAACCAGACGTTACAATACTGCACAACGTCTTTCGGATGATACTGCTTCCAGGATATTGTTTGTGTCCAATGTTCGTGTGCCATGGAAGCAGGCTTGCCATGGACGTTTGAGATTATGGACTGATGGTTGTCCAATAGCGCTTGAATTGGGAATCCAAAGGGGTCCTGGGGCAATGGATTAGAGTTCGCGAACAGACGCATGATATATGTGATATATCACATTCGTCTCCCTGTCGGTCCTTGGCTACAAGGAACGACGGACAGCCCACGTTTCCCCTTCAAGCTCTTGATGACAGGTGTGGCTATCTTTCGTTAAGTTGAATGTAAAGGGGGAGAGGGGGGCGGGCATCCAGTTACTTGGTTGGGACGATGTTGACGAAACATCTGTCCGGCTGTAAGCGTTTCCACACATGTTCGTTGATATTGAGATTTGACGCAGCAGATGTATTGTTATGTCTCCATAGATTAGTAGCAGCGCTTGCAGCGGGTGATTGCCTCGTTCTGGTCGATATTGCGGCAAGTGGATACTCTGGGGAGTTCCCAGCAAGCGGGCCTGCGGGCCTTTCGCAAGGCAGTTCCCGCCGGTCTCATCGCCGAAACCTCTCTTGAGGCAAGTCGATGGAGTTTCTGGCTGGGGTTCTCAGGTGACGTAGACGAATAGTCTGGTGGAGACTAAATGATCAAGGTCCAATAGATGTTGCGTTGAACTGGAGATTCGTCAGGGGCCAAGAAGCAGTAGGCTCGCATGTCAGGGTAGCATGTAGCAAAGGCCGTCCCGGAAGCGATGCGGCGTGTAATTGGGTAGGGTGATTTAATATCAAAGCAAAGAAATATATTTCAGCCTTTGAATGACTTCGTTCAGCTGACGCATCGTGGATCGAATGAAAAGTAGCTTATCGTGGCAGAAGGTAGTATCATACTTTCCTCCCTTGTCTACTGTACGGTAGTACACGGATCCGTACAGACGACGGAGAAGAGACCGACCCGTCAAATCTACCTTGTTCGCGGTTGCAAGGAACTCACAGACTTGGTGTGACCCCCTAGCTTTGCATACAGCAAGCCTAACCAGGAGGGTATTAGACCGACCGTAATGCAAGAGAAGTTGAAAGGAGAATAGTGCAACATGGAGAGAACTTCAAGTCTTGAGATTCGTGGGCTCACAAACTCGTGCTCTGTTTATTTTCAAATCTATCAACTGGGAATGGTGGCTAAGATTAGGTTGTTCAAGAATCAGGTCCCGTTCATGAGTTTTTAGTATCATGATTCCGTCAAATTGGGCTCAGGAGGATTCCATGCACGATGATGCGTTACATTCACCCTGTTGCAGAAAATGCCGCTGAGAGTTCCGAGTTGACCCGCAGCTAGAATGGTGGGCAAGTAATTGTTTTGCATTGTTACGGGGGACAGCGTAGACTGGCAACTGGAAGTTCGATCGGAGGCGGACTTCACGATGCTACGGTCACGGCCACACAGGATTGAGGCACTGGGGTAAAATCCGCGGCATCTCGACTGTTTCTGGTAAGCCGACGCACATGGTCTAGACCTGGGTCCATGCAGTCTCCTATAGGACAGCGAAGAATGAAGGCATCGTGAACAAAGCAATAAATGGCTTCAGACATGGGAGTACGTCTCCCGCTATCCCGCAAGCGGGTGTACTTTCATGTAATGTTGTGGTCAGTAACAGAGCTATTGATGCCCGGCGGCAAATGCATCGTGATTTCCGGAAATCGATGAATTCCTCCCCAAGAGGTTTGTGGCTATGACCAGTAAACCACGAGCACATCGTCCAGTCGGTATCTACAAGCGTGATAAACTTTCTAGCCGACGAAGAAACGCCATTATCGGATGGGTTGTTCTTGCGCTATTGCCCGTCAAGTAGTTAACTGGATCATGACGGCAGCCGTCAATGGCGATGCGGATTCGAGTGAGACGGAACTCGACTATTCAGAGTGATAGTATAAGACCCCAGATTATTATGGACTGAGAGCTGCACCCCACAGGCACTGTACAGATTACTGTAAGGAGATTCTCTCTGGAATACCCACCGCCCCAAGCCTGTGCCAATGAGTACAGTATTACATATTTTCCACAGCTGCCAGGAGGTCTTAATCGGGCCGCTTGTGGGCGTTGCCTCACGTCGAGCTCTATAATCGGTGATGAGGGATCAACTGAGAATGTGCCCTGAGGTTTTGCTCCTGCGCATAGCCGGTTGCGCATTAGCCTCTACAGGGATCATTGCTTCTTGTCGTGGTGATTGTGCTAAGGTTAGGCAATGAGTTAGAGTTTGGGCTTGCAGCGCTGCAAAGTACACTTGGTCACTGACTTGGCCCCTTGCCTAAGAAAAAATATATATGTACTCCTGGTTCGAGCCGCTCTCGAGTCAATGCTTTTAACCTAGCAGGATCTGCCGGTTATCTGGCAGGGTAGTCAAGATTGTAACTCTGTGCAGCGTGCACAGGGCTCATATCTGGACAAGTCACTGAAGACCCAGCCCCCAGACTGCGCAAGAAAACTGTACTGGTAACTACTTATGGCTCTGTGATATGTCTACAACCAAGGACAGCCAAGGCACTTGGTACAGTCCTGGTTACATGTGGCCAGTGTGCACCTGTGATCCAGACATACATGGCGTTAAACGTTGACCGTACGATATAAGCAGTCAACTTTGTTTCTTCACAATTCTGATATGATAAGTTTCGTCAATGAGAACCACCGTTGGGCTGGCTCAACACAAGAAACGTTAGTCCTGATGATGTTTTCACAGCATGCTTTTCATTTTCATTTTTTTTTTTTTTTTTTTAATTATTAGATTTTTTCATTCATGAATCTGTCCCGTCGACATCTGTCGCTCTTCATGTCACATCGGCTCACAACTGATGATTCGATCGCTCGATGGCACTTGGTCCTGCAGATAGAGCAGCCAATAGTCGATACAGGGACAAGCAAGACTGCATTGTTGGTAGATGGGAAAGTTTTACTAGCTGCCTGTAATCATCACTGAAGTAGGTACGGTGCCGCTATCGAAAAGCTTCCAGAGATATACTTTGAAGCCGTGCCTCTTTTGTCGTCATTGGTTGTGTAGCCGGAAGAAGATTGGAAGTGTGTGTACCCAACATCTGAAGACAATTGAACATTGATGAGCGGGTGCAACGTGATTGGATCATCGACAAATAGTCAAATACTGAGGACCTTTATCAGAGTCATAAACGACTCGCAGTCAAGCCTCAGGTCTCACACAGACCCTGTAAGAACAACCCAGCTCGTCGATAAGCTACCCCCCAGTCCCCCTGCTTGCTCCAACGCTCTCGTCGGTCGCTTGTCCGCTTGGGTTGAGGGTTTGGCAAAGCACTCGGCGCCGTGCTTCACCCCAGTCTTCTTGTGCGGCTAGGTATCTGGATCTCCCGGCCGAGCAGCTTTTGGTGGCTCGGGTAAAATTAAGATCTGGACTTGAAACTTGTTCCAATCCTGATCTGGAGATGGGCAGAGGGGCGGTTTGTTTTTTCTGCTTCAGATAACCAGGCCGGAAATAATTACGCCTCCCGATTTTTAAGTTCACCTCATGGATTTTACGATTGTCTGGCGAAAACGGCTGAGGAGTCGGGGACACTTTTCCCACCAGAAGTGACGCTACATGAGTGGGTTTGGCATGGTGGGATGCTTTTCAGTGAACCCTTAAGCATTAGCCCCTCTAACGATCCCAGCACTTTGGGCACACCAAGTCATTTTACGAGCCTGAAAGCCAGCAAAGCCAAGCAGATGATTTGACAAAACTCCTCCACCAAGCGTGAGATCTTCCGGGGCCGTGCCTTGAAAACCAATTCGGGGGCTATTAGCGCTGCTTGGCTTAATGATTCAACCTCCCTCCTCCTCATGATCTTATCTGTGCTTTTTGCCTTGGTGCCAGAATGTTCGCACTGTATGTATATTTGTCAAGACCACTCCTGGAGACTACATACCACTAAGCAAGTAGTTAGTAGAGCAGCCACGAATGCCGGGTGAGGATCCTCGAGGTGACAAAAGACGGGAACTAATACTCCTACATTATTACTATTAGTCTAGGAGCCAACTCTGGAGTTGTAGAGAAAGGGTAATCACACCTTGGTATTCAAAGGAAGAAATATTGATGTCTGTTTTCATGTTGTGCAACGAGATGCGTATTTCTCGTCGGTAAACGACGAAACTCTTGAAACACTTATCCTTCAATCGAACCTTTTCTCATGATTCGGTTCCGTCACCGCCACAGAATAAACATGATACGATCTGATCTGATCTTTTGGTTCCATGAAAAGATAACGCTTCGTTTGGGCCTAGGCGCACTGACACACCCTTTCCCCGTCAAGGACTCTTGGGACGAGAGGGTTGAAAGTTCCCATGGTCGGTTGGGTTTGAATCTATTGCCCAGCCTGCCGCTTGTCCACTGAAGGAGGCTCTTTTCACTTGTACAGGTTGGGAGGTGTTGCCACACCAGCTGAAATCAGTCAACCGAGAAGATGGCCAGCAGCAACACCTGAAGACAATGGGCGTCTACAATAACACTCAACAAAGCTGGCGTTGAGCAAGTATCCAACATTGTCATGCACAGTGCCGGGTTTTCGGACCATAGTCGGCTCCAGCCAAGCATACAAACACACCACACACACACACACACACACACACACACACACACACACACACACAGAGAGAGAGAGAGAGACCAGGTACATGTGCCTTACCCGGTTCCACAGCAACATTTGCCCTAGACTTTCCGGTACAGGGACTGTAGCCTGTAGCCTGTAGCCCGAAGCCCAGTGGCCCATACCGAAACGATTCGTTGGGTTGGGTGGGTGTGGGTTCTTACATAGTAGATGCACCCAAGAAGAGCCGGGTGCCCACTAAAGCGCGGCCAAAGTATTCCAAGTACCTGCTCACGGATGGGATTGAGCACAAGTACTTGCTCGGTACTCCTCTCTTGGTACTTCCACTGCGCGCTGCCCTGCACCTGGGTGCTGGGCAAGCGCAAGCGCAAGCAACTGGAGACGTCAACCTCGGTGATCATCAATTATTACCTACATGCTTGGAGTACTGGGCCTGTATTTGATCCACCCGCCAACCTGTACTTCCGTGAGATATGGTTGGGTAGTAGATAGCGGAAGTACTACTGTATGGATCCCGTAGACATACAGTGGAAATACACAATAGACATCGACATATTATGGTAGGTACGCATGCATGCATGTATGTATGTACGTGTTGTAGTAGGTGCGCTGTGGTAAGTAGGTGCTGGAGTCCAAGTCTTGGTCTTTCTCCACCCGCTACAGCTACCGCTACCGCTACCGCTATCACAACGCACCACAACGCAAGAATCCAGTGGGAATCTTTCGCTCTGTTGCTCTTCTTTCGTCACACCTCCCCGGTTTCGTTTCTTTCCGTATTGCATTGTATTCAACCTCTCCAACCATCCACTCCGACCATCGACGACACGAATTTTTCACCTTACCTCGACCTCTACACCCGGTGGCTGATCTTTTCCTGCCAAATCTCAACAATTTCGACTTCAAAAGCAAAACCTGCTCTCACACAATTTTGCTCGCTGCGCAATGGCCCGCTGAATTGGCCCAACTCCGAATCGCCCCGCCTCATTCCTTCCCACTCGTTCGACACCAGCATGGACCTGTGATTTCTCAGAATGAAGACAGCACCTCTTGTGAGAGATAATCCTCAAGTCTTCAGCGACCAATATGGATCCGGACAAAGCACATCACCAACCTCACCGCCTCCATACCGACATCACCCCGCACCATCACTTCTTTTCCCGGACTGCCAATAGCACCCCGTTATCCTCACCGGGGCTCTTCAGCCCTTCCAACCCACGGCCTCACATGGCTCTCTATGGCATCTCCGCCTCCGAAGCGACGACACCCGCCCCAGGGAACATTACCAGTCCCTACCTTCATCCGCTGCAGAGCCACAAAGTGCGGGAGTAAGTAAACCCCTGGGCATCATTCTCACTAGTAACGCTCCTATTAACACACCATGTCACAGGACTGACAAGGCCCTCGTCGACCGAGACCTCATGACAGGCCGCAAGATCATCAACCAGTACGAAGTCATAGAAGAACTCGGCCGCGGTGTGCACGGGAAGGTCAAACTAGCCCGCAATCTCGAAAATGGCGAAAACGTTGCCATTAAGATCGTCGCCCGCTTCTCTAAGAAACGGCGGCTGGGCAAACTCACTGCCATGTCGCAGGAGGACAAGACCAAGAAGGAAATCGCCATCTTGAAAAAGATCAGACACCCCAACGTTGTGGCCCTACTGGAGATCATTGACGACCCCGAACTTAAGAAGATCTACATGGTTCTCGAGCATGTCGAACTGGGCGAGGTCGTTTGGCGCAAGAAAGGACTACCATGGATATGTGCCGTTGAGCGTCGTCGTATCGAGATGGAGATGCGTGGCGAGGTGGACACCGAGGAAGGCGAAGCATATGTCGGTCTTATGGACAAGAAGCGAGCGATCAAGGAAGTCAAGAGGGCCAAGATGCAACAGAAACAAAGCAGGAAACCGGACGATTTCTGGAGCATTGAGTATGGGGCCGCCGATGAGGACGAGCCAGGCTCCCTTCCACGCTCCATGTCAAAGGACGGTCGGTCTCTGTTTCAACAGCTAGAGATGCGCCAAAATGGGCAACAGGAATGGTCAAGAGCAACATCACGACCTTCGTCTACCAATGGCCGTTCGCGAGCAGGGACACCACACCCTTCCGAGTCGGATATTGCATCAATGGCCGGCGAATACTCGAGTGATCTAGAGACACCCGGACCGACGCTGCCCCACGCAGGCTCTTCGTCCGCTCTCGACACTGCCATATTCAGCCCAGAAGACGCCATGCTTCGGGGGAGGTCACCTAGCATGGCTGATTCCATAATCTCCCACATGTCATCCATCGACCTTGACAGAACTGGTGCCGACGCTTTCGCCGAGGACTTCTCCTTTGTACCATGTTTCACTATCGAGAGCGCTCGCTTCACTTTTCGTGACACCGTCTTGGGACTAGAATATCTCCACTATGAGGGCATCGTTCATCGCGATATCAAGCCAGCGAATCTTCTGTGGACTCGGGATCATAGAGTCAAGATCGCCGATTTCGGTGTCTCCTATTTCGGCCGTCCTATTCGGGACGGTGAGCTGGACGAGTTCGTATCCGAGTCCGAGGCTCGCGATTTCGATAATGACCTTGAGCTTGCCAAGACAGTGGGAACCCCAGCCTTTTTCGCTCCCGAGCTCTGTTACACCGATATAGACGAAGGGCAACAACCTAAAATCTCCGAACTCATCGACGTATGGTCCTTGGGCGTTACTCTCTACTGTCTCATATATGCCCGTATTCCTTTCATGGCTGAGGACGAGTTCCACATGTTTAGAAAGATTGCGAAAGATGAGGTCCTCATTCCTCGTCAGCGCCTTAAGCCTGTCGACCCCCAAACCAACCCATCTACCCAATCACTTTACACGCGACCTGGTAGTGCTGCTGGTTATCGTGGAGACGACGAACTCATCTACGAGCCACTAGATGAGAACCTGCTTGACCTGCTGCGCAGGATGCTCACCAAGAATCCCGAGCAACGGATTCGACTGCGCGATGTCAAGCGTCATCCTTGGGTCACCCAAGGCATCCCCAATGTCGTGGCGTGGCTTGATGATACCGATCCGTCGCGACGAGCCTCGGGACGCAAGATCCAGGTCGATGAGAAAGAAATCGGACACGCTGTCGTACCTCTTACCTTTTTGGAAAGGGTTCGGTCTGCAGCGAAGAAAGCCGTGGGAAAGTTTACTACTCATCGGCCGTCAGAGAAAGTAGATATTCAGTCTAGACGAAGAGCTAACAGCAGCACTAACAGCTTATCTGGTGAGAGCGTGGTAACTGCTTCATCTCACCTACATCTTCGAGATGTTCGTCGTAAGAGTATTCGCCCCGATGATTATTTCACCGTTGGCGAACATCCTCTCGCGCAAAGTGTGACAGCCAGCCCCCAAGAATCACCAGTAAACGCCAGCGTCTCAGACGGACAAACGCAATCGATGTTGGTAGGAGGAGACCTCAGCGGCCGTACTAGCAGATCTGCCATCGATTTTAACATAGAATCAGATCTCCCGTATCGGTCGCCTTCGAGAATGTCGACATCGTCCAGCAAAGCCGCCCATCAGCAAAGTCACCTGCGCACGCGTTCCATAACCAACGCTTTCCTGGCTCTGACTCATGCCCCACCCATACCGCATCCGACGCCTGCAACGCCTGCAACGCCTACTGCCGATTCCACTTTCCTGGATGATGCATTGGCGTCCCTCCGAAAGGCCCGTGACACAAACACTCTTGACGATGGTTCGCGATCACGTTCTGTTGATAGAGGTCTGTTTGCTAGTGCCGACAAGCGCGCAGAGGCTAAAGTTGCCTTAAGCACCGCGGTTGCACCCGGAAACGTGGAACTGCCACCTCGGAGGCCTACGGCTCTTGGTCTTGTCGATAACATTCAGACGAGTGACAACGACCCTCTACCATCGCCCATGTTCTTTTCACCCAGAGCTGTCAGAACCTACCAATACGCCGAGCCTTCCTACGAACCTAGCATCCTCTCTACAAGCCATCACGAGAGGCAGTCGTCTTGGGCGTCCGCGGGCGACCGATACCTAACAAGCCAACAAGTCATGATGATGGACGCTAAAACTCCACCACCGAGAATGTATCATTCATCGACACCGGAGTCCTTTGCTCGAGCACACGAGAAGATGCAGCGCCGCCAAAATCGTGAAGACGAGGGGCAAGCCAAGCGACGGGAGCTGGTGACATCTCATGGTGAGGAACATCCTTCGGAGGTACCGTGCCCACCATCACCGGATGACGAGGTGTTCAATGAGAAGCCTCCGCCGCCGTCACGACGAGATACTACTGGAACCGTCATCACTGCTAGTTCATCGACTGGGAATATTGCAACACCGATGACGAGCCCCAGTGAAGTGGCAAGCCCTGTCAGCATGGGCAAGGGTGCCAGAGAGAACTCGCAGGTTTTCCGATCGGATCCATCGCTGCCTGCTCTCTTGAGCGGCGCCAGCTCGGTCTCTGCTGATGCCGAGGGCGATTTTCTTCAGCGGCCAGGCTCCGTTGATCCACCATCTCTGATCGAGACTGCCGACTCACTCACACCTCCCGCTTTTGATAAAGAACCAATCACGGGATTCCCACTCGAGGCTTTGGAGAGTGAAGACAGTGCAGTTCAGCTCCACCTTGCTGCATCGCTGCGCAGTCATAATTCTTCGTCCATGTACTCATCACGAGCTGTCGAGGATGACGACAGTAGCGATAGCGACGAAGGTCTTGTCATGGCAAAGACAAAAAGAAAAGGACCAATCAGAGATCCCACCAGCCAGCCTTTTAGTAGAATTGCGACCAGTGCGAGACGCAGGGACACACAAACGAGCGTTGGCAGCACCGAGACAGCCAAGAAGATTGTGGTCCACAGCGATTGAGCTCGTGGCTTCATCACTCTACCTCAACTATCATATAACACTATTTCTCAGCTCGTTTCCTTTGGCAGTATTGGAGAATGGCAATGCATATGGGTCGGCCTTTTTTTTTTTTTTTTTTTTTGCTTGTGCATTTACAACGGCATCTGTTTCGGACGTTTCTCAACAACTTTTCAGGCATTAAAAATCTAAGATAAGCATGCAATCGTTGCGCACGCACCCCTCTAGATTGGTTTGCAAGAGGCTTTGGTATATCAACCAAGACAGCACGAGCTGAGACTGCATTGTTGTCTTCATTTCCATTTCAGACAGGGAACACAACATTATTTTATTTCTATTCAAATCAACTCCTCTCTAGTGTACGTGTGGATGGACAACACAGCAGATGTAGTTCTGGGTCAGTTGGAAGGTCATGAAGGTTTAAGCGAAATTGTTTATATATTTGAATGAGATGACGATGGGATGAGACATGTGGACACGGTGATATCCCAGGGTGGGCAGGCTATAATTAAACATAGGAGGCGTTGTGGTTTCTTTGAATGCAGCATCTCGTTGCAGGCGGTTCGGACGGTCTTGGAATTTCCTGCCGCCTGTACAGGTCGGCTCTCATAGCATCATTTGCAAATACTAGTCTGCCCAAGCCAGATATAGTGTGGTGGAATGATTATAAGAAACCAATTGTCACAACACTGGAAGGGGCAAAGCATAAGGGATGTAGTCTGTGTTAGCGGGCGGAAAACATATCCGCTATAGACTGGCATACTCAAAGGAGTTCTGATAGTGGCATCATCATTTAAGTACAGTCACTACTTCCAAACGCATTGAATTGGTATCCAGCCCATGTATTGGCTCCTGTGAACTGGTCGTGTCCCATAGGCGTGTACTCGAGGGATACTTTGAAATGTGTGCGTACGCGGTTCGGATGAAATTTTATGCTCGTCTCAAACTTTTGCTATTCATGCTATGCTTAATTGTGATGCTGAAGATTCTCACTATGATCCCATGGCCTTGGCATTCTCCTCGAGCAGCACGACGGCTTTGCCACAAAACTTCATGTCGAAAATCTTCATCCTCTAGACTCAAGCCAAGGGACATGAATTTGCACTTGATGCAGCGTCGCACAGCTAGTCCATACAGCAGTTCGGCTTCTCTGTTCGACCCGTTCAAAGTGCTGGACGGCGATTTCGTAATCCACCAGTAAACTTATTTCATCGTTGTGGAGTGGCTCTTTCACATGTGGCCTCAGAGAATCGAGAGGCCTCTCCAACGCCAAGTCCACCAGCACGATCCCCAGATTGAAGCACTGGGGCCTGCTTCGTATCCACTACCGCTTCTTCCCCTTTGCGTTTCGGTGCTGGTCCGCCGTCCGTTAATCGCCTTTCACAAACGCACTCTCGTAGAAGGCCTTGACCGGCGGTGTGATGACCGCGATATCGACATTTGTGAACGTTTCTGGAAGCTAAGGCGACCTTGAAAGTTGAAGGACACCGGGGGAAGTCCCTGGAAGATATTTATAGATGGGCATGTGCGAGTTGCTTTGCCTCTTTGGTTGTTGTCTGTTTAATGCCGATTGTACGTCCCGGATGCCTGGGTTCTAAAATAGCCGGAAATATGATTCTAGCTGCACTATCTGTTTCTGATTAAGTCCATAATGAGTTCTGTGGTTCTTGGATAACAAATATGTATTTTGAAGTTGTAGGACTTGGGATGATCTGTATGTTCCCACTTGGAGCAGACCTTTAGTACACCTAGACTTTTGGCTCGGGTATCATAGAGGTCTGCGGTTGATATCAGATAGCAAGATAATTGCTAGGGGAATACTGTGGGAACTACGTTCGGATGTAAACGTAGCGCTCTTGATCTATAGCGTCCACAAATGGTATGGATTCAAGTAAGTTACTCCGACGTCGTGTGAAGACAAGATGATTCCACTTGCATCATTAGATTGTAGACCATGTGTGACATAGTATAATAACTACAAAATCCGTGCGGTTGAACCTGTCGAGGCCGAAGACGAAAGCATGAGTAGCTTTTGGAGCAGCTTGAGAAGTGAATTGTGAGCACCACCAAGTGTGGTAGTAGTGAGGCACTCTGAGACTTTGTGTGCTTCGGTTGGCAGGTGCCTATTGATGCTGGAACACAGGTCTCAGGACTCTCTCATGATCTAGACTAGCCTATGCCTGCTGCCAGCCCACGTCGGCTGAACAGTAGGTCAAGGAGGCCTTTAGAGCTTTGCTTCACGTCAAGCACGTGTATCACAAATGGACCATGTCTCGAAGGTCCGGCATTGCGTTGCACACTCAATTTTCAAAATGAGAATGTGAAGAGCACAGCACCTGAATTGGCTCACTCATTCCTAAGACATGCTAAATAGCTTGGATATATAAACACCTTGAGTGGCTGAGCTTGCCACCTTTGCAAAGATCATCCGATTGGATCTATCATAATCACGATCAATGGTTTACAATGTGTCGTTATTTTAGATTTGCATTTTAAGTATTACTTGCTGTGGGCTTGGCAGCCATTGACGTTCCAGCTAACATCAAGACTTTCTACAACAGTGCAAAAAGCACAAGAGTAATGCAACAGCCGTATCAAACTAGAGATGCGATGGAGGTCTACCCGGCAAGACTCGGGTTCTTTGGCTTTTTTTACACCTTTCATCCCAACTTAGAACCCCAATTTGATATGTGTAACAAGACTGATCGCATCGATCTGCAGATTGGTGCTACTGCGGCGACCAGCAAAACGACTGGAACATTATCTACATTCAAGGCAAGAACGGCAAATTTGCCAACATGGCTATGGACTGCGACGGAAAATCCCTGGCACCTGACAACGAGCGTTGTGGAACTAACCCTTCGGATCAGAGCATGGCTGCCTGCACGACTATGCTCAGGCGTATCAGATCCTTGGGATCACAGATCTAAACACGTTCGTGCACCCGTACGTCGTCTTTGGTAACTCGGGTACCCAGCCGCACAATGTACCCTTCGACCCGAGAAATTACGGCGTACTGCCGCTGAGTATCGTCGTGGCCATTACTCCGGACACGCCGGCGAGCACCATCGAATTCGATCCTCACTCCTCGTAATGCAATACTTCGTTGCCCAACGTCCATCGCTTAACCCCTAGGTACCACACACAGACCTGTTGAATCTGAGGCGACACCAACGGCGGAGAGCGCGACGCCTCTTTCACCGGCGAGGCAACCCTAGCCATGGGCGAGCTGACCATCGGTAATGCCGTTCCGTGGAAGGATGAAGCCCAGTGGAACGCTGCATCGAAAGAGGACTTCACTGCTTCCATTCATGACCAGTATGTGAGGCTGATCGCTCGGGTGAAGCCCCAGGCTACGAGTGGCGGCGGCAACTGTTCTTGGCAAGGACATTGTGCTGGTGAGTCTTCCATGGAGTCCGTCCCTGGAAGCGAATCAGCATCGGCTAATGGAGCAACAGGGGCTTCATGCAGGACTAATACCGACTGCTCGGATAGCTTGGCTTGTCTCTCCAGCCGATGTTGCCTCCCACAAGACTTTAGCTAGGCTAATCATTGTACTGGCAAGTCAATTAACCTAACAGCCCACATGTGAAAGACATACTCATGCTGCAGAATAGGTGCCCCTTGTAAAAATGATAACAACTGTGGCGACAACCTTATGAGTCGTATCTTCCTGGGCTTGCCACATACTCTACACACAAGTTGAGACTATCGCAAGGCAACCATGAGTCAAAGCGATACGATTAATCAGGTGTGTGTGGCCAGACTGGGCAGGGTCTTTCAAGAAGAGTTCATACAATCAATCATTAGTGTAGTATAGATTTTGCACATTAGCAAAGATGCAATAGCCTCACCATGCCCACCACCATCCTTCAAGCCTGTGATGAGTTTCATCGTTACCTGGTAGAGCTCGCCTTAACTCAACACAGTGGTAGATTCGTGGTGAAAGGTAGTTTCCATAACTCTCGACCGACCAATCCTCGCCTCACTCGCCATGGCTCAAGCTCAATCCCCAACCCTAGATATAAAGCACATCAATATTGTCCGCAATGTATTCGTAGCTTTCACTTCTGAAATCATCATTTGTAACCCAGCTAGCAATATTTGAGAATTGCATCAACTGCTGCTTTTCACTCCATTGTGGCCAGTCTGGCAGGATTCCACTGCCATTGTTAGGATCCAGGTTGTAAAGAAAGGATATGTAGTAACTCGCAAAGGCGGCACTCGCATAATTAGGCAAGATGCCGTAGAAGACTTGTAGGATATCAGAGCCATGGAAGGTACCCAGAATCGGCGTGCCATAATCGTAGCTCGAGAGGTACGACCACGAGGGGACGTCAGGGTTCATCGCATTGGTTCCCTTCAGGAAGATACGACGGCTCAGCGTGAACACCAAGTCTCCAAGGATCGCGGCAAGGCGTTTAAACTGTGGATAGGCGCTGTTCAAGATGCCGGTATTGAAGGGACTACCCATCGTGATGTTGTCCGGGTATGTGGCGACGAGGCCGCGGATTTCTGCCTCTGTCGCATCCCGGAAGAACACTGTGAGAAGATAGTCGACTAACTCGTCCGTGGTTGTAATGTTTGGCTGGAACAAGGCGAAGAGTGTGCCTTCATCTTCCTGATCTCCTATGATCATGGGAACTGCTGCGTACTTTCCACTCGATACCAAGATATCAGGGCTCGCAGTCAATACCTTGCCGTCCGGTCGAGGAACATATGACAAGGCAACGGAGGTGTAACTTAGGATGCCAGGAACGCTGTTCGTGGCTTTGAGGAACGTATCATAGTCAGCCTCGCGAAGACACTCGAGCGTGTCCGTAGCCCCTGCGCAATTGGCATTTTCAACCACTGTATCATAGACACCTTGACACCTGTCGCAGTCCACAAAGTCGGCCGGGACTACGCTGCCGCTGTTCATGATGCCACCCCTGAAGAGAGGCTTTCCATTGTACGTATTATCTCCATCGTACAAGGCCATCTGGTCAAAGACGCTGATGGCACCAGCACTTTCTCCCCAGATAGTGACCTTGGCAGGATCACCACCGAAGGCAGCAATATTATCAGCAACCCATTCCAGTCCCATCCTTTGATCGAGAAGTCCCAGATTGGCGGATCCATCGGCAAGAATTTCCTTTCCAGGCAAAAATCCGAAACCGCCAACCCTGTAGTTGACCGTGACAAAGATGAATGGCTTGCCCATGACTATGCCGTTGAGCAGTAGGCCAGTACCATCGTACATCTGAGGACTTCCCAGCTCGAAGCCACCTCCAAAGATGTACAGTAAGACAGGAAGCTTGGCATTGGCTTTTGTACCAACAGGCCTTTGAACTCTTATTGTCAAACAATCCTCCGTTTGACCTGTGACAGTCTGGAAGAGCGGAGTATTCAGCAGGTTCCCCAGAACTGATGTTAATAGCTCACTGTCGTCTGTTGAGAAGAACATTTGGGGGCACGATGGTCCCGAACCGGTCGCATCAATGGTGCCAAACGACGAGGTCAGCCTTACCGGTGGCTTTAACCTCAGAGATCCGACAGGTGGCTTGGCGAAGGGAATGCCGCCAAAGTTTTCGACAAGACCGACCGATCCAACGACTGTGCCTGCAGGAATGGCGACAGTTGTCTTGATCAAAGCATCTCGTTCAGTCTTATCAGGCTCTGGTACCAGCGTAGGTGCTGGCGCCGGTGCTGGGAGACCGAGGCCAACGCCGGCCAACGCAATGGCGGCGACGAAGTGAGAGACGAACGACTTCATTCTGCCAAAAGAAAACAGATTCTTAAGACAGCTCGGAGGAAGACTTTTTGTCTAGAAGCTTGGCTGTCAGAGCTTGAGTAGGAGAAGAGAACGGGGCAACTCAAGTTGAGACTATTGTCTGCCGGCCTATCCATCAGGACGAGTGTATTGTGGATACGGAACATCTGCTCATCTTATAGCTTTACTTGGAAGTATGGCTTTGAGGCGGTCAGGTCTGGCATCCACTGCCAACTAAGGAGAAATGCTGCGAAGTTGTTTGCATCGGGGCAGCCTCGGCTGGTCCCAAGATCTGTGATGCCCTGTATGCATATCGTAGGATGCGACCCCATGAGTAAATGCCTGGTCCGCAGGAATTGCCCCATTTCGGCACCTTTTCTACAAACCTTGTTCCTGTGAGATCTGAGTTTGTCCTACACAGCTTCGCATCTAGAGGGAATGGCAAATCACTTCCCCGTACGCTGATATAGCGCCTCGGCGTAAGCAGGTACATCTTCACTCTCGTTCATCGTTCGTGTTTAGACTCAGGCACATGAAAATTCTGAGACATCGACCTCACCAAACTGTTAGCGACCGAGGCAGCTTTATCGTGGGGTCACGGCATTTCTGCATGCTAATGCAAGTAGTTGGTTCTAATTCGAGGATCATGTTACTGAAAGGGCGGGTGGCTATGCACGGCGGGCAACTATCACTCGCTATCGTTGGCACTCGACGAGAAAGATGGTGTGCAGGCTATTGGATAAGTCTGGCTTGGCTACAATAGTCGACAATTCTGATAGTGCTGGTTGGTGGATGATGACCGGCGATGGGGATGCAAAAAGGGCAAGCGACGCTGATCTGGTGGGAATCAGGCCAATGAATGCTCCGGCAGAACCACAGTCATCCCCCACAATTCCCCAGATTCATGTGGGTTGGGGGTTAAGTACCGTCATCTTGCAGTTTGGGTTGACAGATTCAATACCCGTGCGGGGAAATGCTACCTTATAATGCAGCCCAGTATTATGTTGTTTACCATCGTGACCGTAAAACTTTACATAGCTGACATGGCATGCTTTCCAATGCGGCTTCGTTCTCGTCTTCGTTTTCGGAGATACTGCCACATCTTCTCAAAAGGGTTCGGTCGGGAGAATGATGCCTGGCGTTTTCATGGTGGAGAGTCTCCGCCTCCGCAATATCCGCATAGTATCAAACCGCAATGTACGCTGACACTATTTTCCGAACCCCCACACCATTTTGGTGGCTGTAGTTCACTCCTGTATTTGAAAAGAATAAATTTTCACATGCTTCAGTTATTCATGCCGTGTGCCAGCCGCAATGGCGTTTTCCATGTGAACATCCACTAGGCAATTGATTGCAGTAGAAGCCGAGTACGATGACAAGCGATCCCAATCACTCAAGAGAATGGTGTTGAGACTTGGGAAAATAGAGCGAGCCAAACGAAGTCAGAGCCCCTGGAGCTTTCCACCAAGAGTAGCAGTCGTCGAAAGGCCTGAGATAGAAGCTACGGGCCACACGATCGGCTTATTCCGGCAGCTTTACGGACAATAATGGGTTGTGGGATAAGTATCGACAACCTATCTGCTCACATAACATGCTCGAGTAAAGTATTATCATATTGAAGAACTGCGTTGTGGGATGCTATGATGACATCGTGCCGACTTTAATCGCGAGGATTTCGATAAGGATTAGGCGGCTTTTCTGTTGTTGTATATTTCATCGTTTTCATTTGTTTCCTGTCGCATTCCATCCTTGTGTAAGAACGTGTTCCACTTGCGTCAATGTACACAGATGATCTTGTCTCTAACATACCCAATACAAAGCTACTTAAACGATTAGAATAATAATGCTCAAAGGCAACGGAAGAAATAGACTATCGATCACACACAAACTTACTTATATACGCACCAGAAATAGCACTACAGCATCAAGTGCGGCCTCATATAACGACACCACGCTTTGACCATCCATTTCTACCCTTCCAAGCCCATAGGAACAAGGCACAGCCTATCCAGACGCTTACGGTCATGGCCCAGAACGTGCCTGTGTAGCACTGTTTACCATGGCAAAAGACATCCTCCGCACCGTCTGCAAGTAGAGGTGAGTTCTTGGCCCCATTCTGATATTCAGCAGAGTAAATAAGTCCCCACATTGTAGACCCAATAGCAGGGGAGACGGCAACAATGCCGAAATTTGTGCCGAAGTTCTCTACTCCCCAAATGATAGTAACAATGATAGGGGTGAGACTGAAGAGAGCGCCGTACCCGAAGCCGACAAGACCTGATACTAGCCAGAAACGATCTCCGTGACCTTGGACAATGCCAGAGGCCAGTATGAGTGTGCCGACTGAGAGAAGACTTCCAGCACCAACAAGCAAGATGATACGTGAAACAGAGAACCTTCGCTGAGGCAGTGTTCCGGAAGACGTCAAGCCCGTCTGAGGATGTTGAGTATGCGGACTTGGACATATTACGTCGCTCAAAGATCCTGTCAGGAGCCGGGCAGCAGTACTTGTTGCGGCGAGAATTGAGACATGCGTCGCTGCCGATGTCCCACTGCCAGGCAACCCAGGAGAATATAGCGTACCAATAAGCGTGCCTAAGTTGTTGATAAAAGCTTCTCCAGGACCGACGATTAACCAGAAACCTACAGCGAGCGACCACATAGTATGATCTGTAAGAAACTTCCGTGTTTCAGCATTGAGCAACCATTGCTTCTTCAGAAGTGCGTTGTTTTCATCTTCGTCGTCTTTAGATGGATCAAGAATGCCAGCGTTTTCCATATCCTCGATCGAACTGCTAAGAGCCCCATAACTCGAAGTAGATCTCCGAAGTATCCCACTTCCTTCAAGGAACCCACTTCTCTCAAGCTCTTCCACGGCATCATCAATGAGCTCGTTCTCATTGATAACACGCAAGGCGAACCCGCCAAATAAGCCGGCTGTGGCAAGAAGAATGGATAGGAAGATGAAGAAATGATACACATTGACCTCTCCTCTGCCTCCGTTGGGCAGTCTTTCGTAGAGCACATGACTCCCGAACTGGGGAACAAGAATGCCACCCAGCCCGATTGATGTCAATGGGGCTGCCAACATCAGACCGCGGTATTTGCCCTTACCAAAATTCTTTGCGCAGGTAGAGATGCCAGTCAGATACATGCATGCCGTGCCGGCGCCTACGCAGATGAATGCAACGACCATGTAAGGAACTAGTGCATGGCTGTTGTATGTGTCAATGGTTCGCAACGCCACATCGCCCTTGTGATACACAGCAGCAGCTGTGCCGTAGCCACCTGCAAGCAGTACCGCGGCCACGAGGGACAGTGGGCCCGGCCCAACGCGGTCGCACAAGTACCCGACCAGTGGTACTGGAATATATAAAGATATACTCATAGCGCTCGCTATCGCATTGATCTCAAACTGTGTAAATCGCAGTCGTTGTTGAAACCTAGGCGCGTAGAGAGAAAAGACGCTGACAGTCCCTACACAGAAGGACGAGATGATAGCGGATGCGAACGATAGGATCTGTAAGGTTCGAACGTCGCGCCGGCGCTTCGGATTCGGGAAGACATCGCGAAGGGAGCTCGTCGAGCTGAGCGGTCCTAGTGTGGATGCCGAAGACGAGCGCAACAACGGTGCTCGCGTCTGGTCAGACTCGGATTGCGATGCCATCGTGATCCGAGTTGGGCGGACCACTGGCAGATGAGGACACTGGGCTTATCGTGTGCAGATGGTTATACAAGAGGCATCTGGTTATGATTAGGGAGCTCCAGGTATTGTAACTAAGAAAACAGGAAATGATATAGGATTCACGATGCCATTGCAAATTTAGAAGATGATGCTAGACGGCTGATCCGCAATAGATTGCTGATCAAGGTCAGCGGGTTCGTGACGCTCTTTCGACACCGCATTCCATCACGCCAGCGCAGTCGTAGATTGCTCAGGTGCACTTATTAGCGCATCCCAGCGGACCTCGGGAACGTCTAGGGCGTCACTATGCACTGCACAACTAGCAGATCTCCACTGAAACGGTTTCGTACCCACTGGGTTTTTAGCGAGATTGGAGCTGGGAACCAAATCGCCCACGTTCTCGTCCAAATCGGACTTAGACTAGCAGCTTACTGGACGCGGCCATTATCACAGATATCGAGCCCCGTCCAACATCGGACGCACTGAACGAAACGCGAAAGACGTGTACGCAGTTGCCACATCCATGCCTGGCTATCGTCGTCTCACAATAGGAAAGCCCTTAACGCCGTTTTCTTCAGTCAGGGCTGCCGACAAATATGATGGTACGCCGCAAATTCAGAGGCTCAGTTGTAACAGCTAATAATTTTCTGTTAGTCGTAGTTTTGATATTTCGATGAAATGGAGGATCACCTAAGCCAAGCCTTAGGTAGGCTCGTTCTGGCCGGAGGCGAGCCTGATCCTCAAGCTCGGAAAGAGGCTCTGTGTGCCTTCGTGCAATGTGGTCATCTCAATGTCAATGAGTTTCGCCTCCTCAAAGAACTGCTCTCCACCGTGACATTGCAGAAAGACATTGTGCCTAATCTGCCGGTGGAGCTAGTCATTCTGATTACGGATTACTTGAATGAAAGAGACATATGGTCTTGCTTGACGGTGTCCCACGGATGGAAAACGACATTCATGAGCGATCGGATAGTTTTCAGCCTTGCTGACCGCCTTTTCCCGCAGCTTACCTGGAAAGTATCACAAGATGCTCTTCAGAACGACAACACCCGTGCTGAACTGCGTTTACGGTTTTTGTATCGCCTTAGGAAAAGGCTGTCACTGATGAAACGTTCTGCCTCAGGAGCGCCTCGGCAGTTTGAAGGGAACTACCTCTGGGAATCGGAGAGCAATTTCAAGCTTGACGAGCAGGACTACTCCCAGTTCGCATCACCAAACCTTCCCTTCAATCAGAAGACATTGTATGCCAATGGCCGAATAGCCTGGCAAAGGGAAACCCACACGGTTGTGATTGACGACTTGCGAAACAGATCACGAAAGATCCTCTCTCACCCTGGAGGCAAACTCTTGGGGCCGGAGATGAAATTGGCAGCACTCGGCATTCAACTTGCCGTCGCTACCATGAATCGATACATTTTTGCGTGGAATATCGAAAGTGGTAGATCTGAACGAAGGATCCTGCCCAGCCTACCAGAGCGATGTACCACGTTCGGGAATCGAATCGCCATTATCACAAACGAGGAGATATACTTCTGGGACATGGGCAGCCCCTTGGTCGCAATGGCGTTGCCAGATCTTAGCATCGCGCTTCTAGCCGTCAACACATTTCCTAAGGCCTTCGTTCACCCACATCGAGACAATGTTTTATATGCCCGCCAGGTGTACAGAAGTTCTTCGTACACGTTGCGGTTTATGGTACATAAATATGTTGACCGGAAACATGTTGAGACCTTCGATCATGACGTAGCAATGAGTTGGCTGCCTAATGAACGCTTTACTAGTTCGCTGATGGGCTTCATACCCATCAGTCATGAGTGGGACCAGCAAACTGACGGCTATTGCCTCTACGAGTTCGATATGTATCATGAAAAGTTCTTGAAGCGCGATATCTCCCATTGCGGGAGGCGACATAACGACAGCTTTATGTTCACATTCGACGACGACTTTGCAGTTGAGCTGAGCGAGCGTCAGTACTGGGTTTGGTGATTCTCGAAGAATGCCCAAAAAATTCCGACGCACTTCTTTCGATAATCCATCCTTGGTCGTTGCAAGCAAGATCCCGGTCACGGTTTGCTCAAACAATCGGTCACCAACAATCGAACTACAACGCAATAAAATCTCCGTACTGAACCAGGTTAACGTAGACGGCTGAACAGAAGAGAACTTGGAAATATCGGGATATCCGCAAGGAATGCTGCTCAGGCCCGCTTATCATTTTTGAAAAACACAAGGCGACTCGTTTATGCGGATTGATTTCCGACGACTACCGTCAGCCACGCTGTTTGCTCCCTCGCCGATAGCTGACCTTCACCATTCAATCTGAAGCACGCCAGGCAATGCATAGTGGTTAAACTTCACTCCAAGACATGTCGCAAACTGCTATCATCGACGATTACAAACATGATTACTGCAAATTATGCGCATGACAATGTTTCAGAGGTCTAGTGCTTCACCGAGGTTAAGAGACTGTCACCGTGCCTTATTTCTGACAGGTAACTGAATCTATATGCAGCCAACCGATGCATCCCGCAGCTGCAAGGCAGACCCCGCAGATGGTCCTGTCAATCTATATCCCGTGCATTATAACTCAAAAGTTGCCAGTATACAAACACAGCTGTCCAACGAGCACTGCAGGTGTGGAGAAGGCTGCAGGTGCAAAAGGAAATACGAATTCTTGGCATGCGTTGATCTTCCTCGTTTGCCGTGCCTATGACGAAGCTCCATGCCTCTCAGATATATCTTTTGGGCAATTTGAGTTGCAACGGTAACCCTAGATATATTGGGATACCTAGTCTAGGAAGGTGTCGCGCATGGTCAGGCGACGAGACAGCACCCAGGTCTTGGTTTCCGGGAGCTCGCAGCGTTACAACGATATGAGGATACGAGGAACCAGGAAACACACTTAGACTTACACTCCGCAAAATGCGGTCTGGCACGCTTTTCTGCAATGTCGCTTGTTTGCTCCTTGATTGCTTGCTTCTCATGTTTGGGGCGAAATGCTTAGGTGGGCGGCAGAAGGGATACATAGCATGAAGATCCTGGTGAAGTGAAAGGGATAACAACGGCAAGCGGCACCAATCCCACATATATAAGTGATCGGACCCCAGCCCCAAGCAATCTATTCGTCAAGAAACGCAAGCTTTTTTCGCCTTTCGATTTAATACCACGACCATGAAGTTCGCTACCACCCTCCTCACCCTCTGCGCCTCCTCGGCTCTGGCTGCACCCACCGCGTACGCAGTGTCTACTGCCGCAGCCAAGGAATGGACGCTGCAAGGCGTCAAGCGCGCCTGCGACGCCGCTGACACGACATGTGTCTGGTACTTCGGCATCTCCACCGGCAGCGACGACGCCATCCCGGCCGTATATGTCGTCAACGCCACCGAGAGCGCTCCCGCGTCGCAGGCAAACGGCAGCCCGACGGCTTTTGGTGCCTACACCATCATCAGCGGCTGGAGCGGACAGTTCGGCCCCGGCGAGGGCTTCACTACCATCAGCGTTGTCGACTATGCGAACAAGCTGATTGCATACCCTGCCTACAGGGACGCCGAGCTGGGCAACGGGACGACTGTGAGCCCCGACCGCAGCTACCCAGTACAAAGCTTGCCATAGACGGGAGGGCGAATGATGTATGACAAGGCATGAGGTTAAGTTTGGCGAAAAGGAGAAGGCCGGAGGGCTAATGTTGGACTTGGGGTTAACACGGTGGACCTAATGATCGATATCTCCTGCAGTGGCTACGGGCACGAAATCAATGTTACCAAGAAGATAAAGTGTGTTAGGTAATTTGTAATGCAATAATTGCCTTGGTGCCACATCTGTTGGGCTCCCATGTTTCTTAAATTCCAATATTTACACACCAAGCTCTAATGCGCTCCAGCTTGGAGCTCCTCCTCGACCTGCTTCTTGACGAGCTCGCGCACTGCCTTCCAGTCGTTATCTACATCTGACACTCTCTTCTCCCTCTCCTCTAATCCAACAAACTCGGGCGGCAATACGTTCTCCTCGAAGCTGAAGCCCGACTCGTTCTTCAACGCCATCTCAACAGCGCCGGCGAATTTGGCAGGATGGGCAGTTGACAGGGAGATGTGTGGTATCTGGCCAGCACGCTCAAGCGAGCGAATAGAAGCAGCGACACCCACGGCTGTGTGAGGGTCAAGGACATATCCAATCTTGTTGAAGTACGACTTGATGGTTTCAGTAGTCTGGGAGTCGCTCACTCGCTCACTTTCAAAGTCGCGCTTGGCCGCCTGGTGAACGTCCTGGTAGACAGGACCAAAGCCGCCGCTCGACTTCAGCTGCTTCAACCAGTATGCGACCTCCTGGCCTGCCTGCCTCTTGTTCCACTCGTCGTCCATCTTTGCCGACTCGGCGAACCCGTATGCCAAGAACCACAACAGACGCTCAAAGTTACTCGATACAAGGATATCCATGGCCGGGCTCAGAGTCTCCTTGACGCCGTCCTCGTGAGCCTTGACACCGTCTACGGCTAAGCCACCCTCTGCTTCAGGACCGTAGGCCGGCTTCTTCTCATACTTGCCTGTCTTCCAAAACCTGTCAAGAATATCGTTCTCGTTTGTTGCTACTACGAGCTTGTCGACGGGGAGACCCATTCTGTGGGCAAAGTAGCCTGCAAGGATATCACCAAAGTTACCAGTGGGTACCACAAAGCGAACCTTGTCGCCGATGTTGAAATTCGAAGATGTCTTGGCCAAGGAGAAGTAAGAGTGGAAGTAGTAGACAATCTGTGCGAGGATTCTAGCCCAGTTGATGGAGTTAACGGCACCCAGATTGAGTGTCGAATTGATATCGGGATCGGCGAATAGGGCCTTGACAATGTCCTGGCAATCGTCGAACGTGCCAGTCACTGCCAAATTGTGCACATTTGGGTCCAACACTGTTGTCATCTGTGCCTCCTGGATGGGGCTTACACGACCCTTGGGGTGTAGGATGAAGACGGATACGTCTTTCTTGCCGCGCAGGCCATAGATGGCTGCGGATCCAGTGTCACCGCTCGTGGCTCCCACCACGGACAGATGATGCCTGTCTGCTATGTCGTAAGTGTTCTGTTCTCCTGCTAATACCTTTCGGCAGACTCACCTCGGCCGGTCTTGCCAACGTTCTTCCTCACCAAGAAGTACTCAAACAAGTTACCCAAAAATTGCAGGGCAACATCCTTGAAGGCAAACGTTGGGCCATGGAACAACTCTAGCAGGTATAGGTTGTCGTGGAGGTGCTTGAGCGGTGTCGTTTCGGGTGCGCGGAAAGTCGAATATGAGCGGTCGATGATTCCTTTCAGGTCTTCTCTCGGAATCTCACTGGATGATATGTAGAGAGAAAGCACCTCGAGAGCCAAGTCGGGGAATGAGAGGTCCTTCCAACTTTGCCATTGACTAGCGCTGGGGATCTGCTCTGGAATATAGAGGCCACCGTCGGAAGCGAGACCCTTCAAGACGACCTCCTCGAAGGAAAGCTGTGGATGAGGCAGTCAATATTAGAGGCGCGGCATTGCCATCCGATCAGGGGGCCCGTACATCGTAGTCGTCTCCTCTAGTACTTAGATATCGTTGAGGAGAGCCAGTGCTCGCGGTTCCGTTGGTGGTGCCGTTGGACATTTTGGCTAGCAATACTTGTCGACACAGTATAGTCCTCACAGCTATCGTTGATGATCTTCTCTTTCCAAAAGACTATGTCGGCTTGGAAGTCGACAAGTCCCTGAAATGGCGGGGTGACTTGGTCAAAAAATTGCGATCAGTCACGACACGGCAGGTGCGAGATCGGTATGGCAACGGCTGCCCCGCACTAGTACCGATGACGTTAGTTCTTGCCCAACACTCCCCGGTCTGCCCGTCGGCTTGTCCCAATATCCTGGACAGCAATTCCAATTCATGCCATGGGAAACCTGTTCTTTGCCGCTCCCAACCGTCCTCGGAGTAATGGCGTGGTCCTGACCTAAACACTGTACTTGCGCGAGTTCAGAACAGAGTACATGCAGAACACGGTGACTGACTATTCTATTATCGGACCATTCCTTCTACTGTAAATAGCTTGATGATTAATTCCGTTGCTGTTCCCTCTACGGATCCGTACTGTGACCCTCATACCGCGGGGTGGAGACATAAATGGGCATTGTACAGCTGCCTCAGTCGTTACTCATCTCGTTCCGTCGTTACCCATCTCATTCCGTCGTTACCATGCCATCTTGTTTCTTTGCATGAACACACTAGCCATCTCTTACTGCATTGTCATCCTCCGACCACTTTGAACTTCCGCCTTCTTCTCGGGATTATGGACAGGGTCAATGGCCGGGTCGCCGTCAGCACCGGGATTGGCCATCTGAAATGCGCATTAGCAAGTCATGACCTAGCGGGGTACTGTAGAAGAAAACGACTTACCTCGTACTCCAACGTCTTGATGAAGCGATAAAAGATGACAGCAAGCAGAGCTCCAATGAGAGGTCCGACCCAATAGATCCAATGTTCTTTATCGAAAGTCAAAGTCACAACGCATGGGCCGAAACTTCTCGCTGGGTTGAGACTTCCTCCTGTAAACTGGACGCCTACCAACTCGGCGACAAAAAGGGCCAGACCGATGCCAACGGGGGCAATGAAGGTAGCTCGATGCTTCTCCTTTGCAAGCATGAAAATGGTGAATACCAGCTCAGCTGTCAGAATTGCTTCAATGAAAACACCCTGGATGTTGCTCACACCTGTACCAAGGGTTGTACGAACATTAAAGCTCTCTGGGAAAAGGAAAAGAACGATAACCGATGCAAGAAGTGAACCGCAGATCTGGGCAACGAACAAGCAAGCGGCTCTAACCGGCGGCACCGCTTTGACAAGAAGCATAGCAAAGGTAACAGCTGGGTTGAACAAACCACCACTGATGCGGAAGAATATCCAAACGTTGACCATGAGCGAAAAACCGAAGCACACCGAAATGTAGAGCAGTACGGTGACGTCAAACCCGGTGTTACCTCCGGTGGTTGTGTTGCTGTCAGTGGCATCGGAATCGCTTGCCTGAGATTGAATGTTGGCTACTTCAGTGCCGGCGAAAGCGAAGAGTAGGAAGAGAGTTGTGCCAATGAACTCTCCGAGGGTGGCAATAAAATGATTCTTGAAGTTGGAGTGCATCCACTGAGTCCAAGGCAAACGAAGCACTTCGGCTTTCTGTTCTTTGGTGAGTGAGTTCCACTCCAGGTTATTGCCTGGGCTGTAGCCCAATTCCTCGTCCTGGATGCGTCTCTGGCGTGGAGATGGTGTCTGCTCCTCGAAGTACTGCTTTGAGGGTGTTATGGTAGAGTTGGAATCCATTTCGTCCGCAAAGTGGCGATTACGCCACGCTGGAGGAGGGCGATCGTTCTCGCGCATGAGACGATGGGAGTACCTATCATGGTTGCGCATATCGTCACGGTCGCGCCAGTACTCGCGGCGCTCATTGTAATAATCCTCTTCACTCCAATCGTCTCGATCGTCATGCCGAGGGCGGTTTGGACGCTGGGATCTCATAGATTGCATTGAGCGAATTCTCATTGGCCCCTCGTAGTCTGTTGTATATCCGCTCCGGAATGCTGTGCCTTTACTTTGTGGTCCGCGATCGGCATAGCCGTGATTTCGGTCTCGAGATCTTTTCCGGTCGTTGACAGATGGCGGAAGAGGAGGCATCGTAGGACTGTCGCCGGCGGAGATGTGAGGGACAAGTTCCCTGGGTCTGCTTGTTGCAGATGGTGATATCGGAGAGAGTTCTGATGATAGAGAGTCATGTTTACGCTGATAGCCCTCCATGCTGTGTAAGACTGGTGAGATGCCTCTTAACAATGAGTTTCAGATCCGTGAAACAGAAAAAAGCTTTATAAACTGGCCTCTTAGTATCGAGCCTGGAGAAAACTGATAACGTTCAATTTGAGGTAAACAGCACATTCTATATAACATCTTATAAGATGAGCTATGGATCAAAGTCAATCTAGCCAATATCTTACGCAGCGAGTAACTCCCATCACATGACTCTTGTTGGATCCAGACCCTGAAGATCCAGGTAAATCATTTCCAGGGTTCATTTCGTCCCTGATTTTTTGTTCTTATTTGCAAGCCACTCATAAAATCTATCATCACCAATCCCTCAAAGTTCAGGGTATCCTGGATCACTATGAGAAGCAAAGAATACGGGCTGTCACGGTTGTCGCTGTAAAGCAGCAGCAGCTTAACAATTGCGCGAATCGCAAGTTCGCAACAAAGTTGTGGCTCAAGGACCATGGATAGATCCCAGGAACACATCATCTGCATGAAGGCGTGTTGCTAGGGTCCGCCTGTCAAAAGACTCCATACACGTACTATGAGATAAATAGAAGAAAAGGACTATGATATCAGTAGGTAAACTTATACGAAAACACTTAAAGGAGCGCCGAGAAATCTCTGAAACGAGCTTCAATGCACTCTCGGAGAATAAAAGGGTCCCACCGAACAAATGGATGCGGCTCTAGGGTTTGCGCTCGGGCTTTGGCTATATAATCATCTGGCCGTTTCGCGGGTTGCAGGGATCATCGCTGCCACGCTTAAGGGGCCGTACGAAGCAGAACACGTCACCCCGATGCCAAATCCCTGGAATATTGGAAGATCTTGGCTGGCTCCGAGAAGCAAACTTGGCATCTCCTGTGGATTCAGTCTAAAGCATGGAAGTTGTTCTCGATTGACAAGGGTACGGCGAGGGGAATAGACGGACCATACTGTACCTAGATGTAGTATACGGAACACACTAACGTGCTCCATAAGTGGTGGAAATGAGAAGCAATACTGATTCAGTCGAGCCGGAAATTACCGTTGGGTGAGCAATATAAGGACTGTCAATGGGAAGTGCATCGGCCCGGGTAATACGACTCATGAAATGCGGTCTGCCGGCAGTCTTGCATAGTACAGTCCTAATGTCTACCTGAACTCGTTCGAATTTGGCTACTCTTGTACAAGTGATCACAGAGATGCAGAAGCGCAGCGATTGGTTATAATGTCAATTTATAAACAGCTTCCCTCTTATTGTAGAGGTATACAAACGTTAAACTGGCCCGCCTGTGTGCGGGTAATATCCTAGCTATTCAAGACATTGAACTTGTCAAGACTGTATTCCCATGATCCCCCCCCCCTTCCCTGATGGGTTTGACTATGTTCTGCTTGTAACCGCTTCCCCCTTATTGGTAGATCGTGTCCTTACTAACACCAATCATCTAGTTGGTAACCGTCATTTGAAGCACGTAATTGTCATTGATGAACTTGATCCAATGGCTAGCTTTCATGTCTCAGAGAGTATTTTACCATTGAAAAGTTGTGATTACACTGCCATTTATAAGTGTAATCAGCATAACAATAAGAACGTAACCAGTCTTTGTAATAGTGAGCATCAAGGTTCTCGGGTGACTAGTCTTGCAGATTTAGCACAACTTCCCTAGTATTCCAAGGTTGTACCGACCATATGGTTCCTTACGTAGCTGTATGGGTAAAGTCTTTTGATATTTTCTTTTTCCCAAATATATGCCTAGCCAAACGCTTTCGGTATACATTTGTTGAAGCCTATGCTGTGAGGTATGGATTAGAACTAGTGTTGGGTTCACATAGATGTTTCAGATTGACTCGTTCAGGACGTTGGGTAGTTCTCCCCGGAGGCCTGGCTTGAATGAACTACAGCATGCTCTGCATCACAGGGCAGCAATGGCTCGATCCTAATAAGAAGATCTCGGGAACCCACCGAGCTGGAAAAGTCTCTGCAGTAGGCCGCATGGCTTGTGCGACAACAGACTCAGCACAAACCCCAGAGCGAGCCATGTATGTTTCTGTACAACATGAAAATCATGTTTCAAATCCCAGAAGCTCTTATATATGAGCTTGATAGGGCATCAATACTCCACGGATCCTGACAACAAATAACTTTTATTTGGTCAACGGGCTCTAGAGCTAATGGAAAGGCGCCAGCGATCAGTCTTACCCAACGGAAGTCTGCATAAATAACCCGAGATCTAAAACGCAGCAGCCGTCAATGATTTGATATCCCAATCTGAGGAAATCTAAGTCATGGCGATTCATTGTGATATATAGGGGGTACCTTTCGATCGAGGAACCCCAACAAAGAGTGAAGAACTAACCATAGTTAAAAAAGAAGCACACACATTTGTGTAAAATCAGCAACTAGCAATCTGGGAGGAGCAAATCTTCAGTATTTGTTACGATCGTCAAACTACCTACATAACGCCACCGATAGCCCACAGCCCAAAGACCATGGCTGGCTCAAAGACACATATGACCCCGAAGGCAGCGGCTCGGATCCATGCTAGTCAAGTAAGTCATACCGGCCCCATCAGCTTTGATGATACCTTACTCAACTACCGATAGAGCAGAAGTGGCAAAGATCCCGCGTTTGCAGCCCGCGCAAAAGCTGCCGCTACTCGCAATGCGAGGGTTGCGGAGAGCAACAACTCCCAGGCCCGACAAGCTGGTCAGGCCCGCGGCAACGACACACATAGCCAGCGCAGTTCGCACTAAGGATAGTGCCCTGGAATATGGCAATATGCCCTTGTTGAGTGGAAGCACCAATGATAGACTAGTCTAGTCGAGTAGAGTGGAGGGAAGGAACAACATACAACATGGTTTGGAATAAACGAGAGTCTCCTGCAGGATCATAAAACTAAAATGGTGACACCTTAAACAAAGATGACTATTACCTGCATGCTTAACGCTAAAGACTTAGTTCTCTACATGTATGTTTGACCAGATGGGATTGTCGATGAAAGTGACCTGGGCGCCTGACCAAATTATTCATAGCTACAAGAGTCTGTAAACTTATTAGCCGCAGAATTATCATTATCACTTCAACGGCTTTGTAAACTTGGTGTCGCATGCTACCCAGCTTTTGTGAATGAATAGTGAATGGCAGAGCATGGGATAATATGGATGACCATTGTTATGCCGGAGTGGTCGAACTCTAAGTTATTGCGCTGAATTTTCGTGCCTAATGTTCGTTGAACTTTTAAGAAAGGAGAGAGATAGATGCCATCATTCATTAGATAGGGATGATCCACCCTCGTTATATCCTACATACTGTATTCATAATGCGCTTACTCAAGCGGATCAGAAGCTTTACGCACCGGACTGGCGTTATCTCACACCACAGTGTAGCATTCGATCGCTACGTATCCACCTGTTACACGAGATCCGGAACATTGATTGTTCTTAATTATGAGAGAGTTCATATCTGTATTTTTCATTACCGTTTGTAGTCCCCTTATACCAAGCCCTAAGAGAAGTTCCTTGATTCTCGCAATGTCGGATATTTTGGCCCTTCTCTTGGGGAGGACCGAGCACGTCGGTGCAGCTGTCATCTATTATCTGGGACCACAGTATGTTGGTAGAACTAGCCTCAAACTCAACTGAAAGCATCCACTACAACTGATTTCAGTTGTCTATTCCATTGTCAACGCCGAGGTTGTAGTCGTAGAACTATCGCTTATACTGAAGGAGCAAGAGCTTTCAACAAAGAGCAGTCGTTTAGGAAGCAGTAATTACGGTACTCTTCTCAAAACCATGGCTTTTGGAGGTGGTTACGGCGCCAATGCAGCAGTTCAGGAGACCCTTGAGGGAATTGGTGGCACGAACGTTACCATACTGAAGACTGATTAATACCTAAAAATGGACTTGTGGTATTGCGTGCGATCATCCTCAATATTCGAAGCCTCTGGCAACTCTTTATGATTAAGTGTTGACCGGTCGTCATTGTGGCGAGTTCTATCACGATTAATTATAGTATTCATTGCACAACCTCAAATCTAGAACAGTGGCAACATAGTTGGTTTTGGCTTGAAAAGTTATCATGTCACAATAGCATTACGACCACTATTGTCTCAACGGACAAGTGGTGCGACAAGATTGCACGGTATAACCTCAAGAAACCCTACTATAATCGACTTTCACTGAATGATGGGCACAGTAATAATAGTACGCAGTGTATGGGGTCCAAAAGTGTTGTGTAGAAAGATGATCTCAAAGCTATCTACGGATCCTCAATCCGTGGTTATGTACACATGTCTATCTTAATGCCCTAGGCAGCCATAGTTCTTGCTGCCTTAGGCAGACCTAATGGCTTAGCCCCGTTGGCTTAGCCTTGTTAGCTTAGCCACTATGCCTCCCACAAGAGTACCGTATCAAGTAAATATCCAAAACCACTAAAGTTACTAAGTGGTTTACACAAAAAGCCAATAGCATAAAATGGAAGAAGATGGTATAATGTAGCTAGACTAGTTTCATGGCATTTTTTTTGTCTTGATGGCTTGTACCGGTCTATGGGGTCTCTGGGGACCATGTGGGCTATGGGGTTCTCATGCAGATGGAAGGGCTAGAGTGCTTAGTGGGGTAGTGGTGAAGGGCCAGCCATAGCCCACCGGAGCTGCCCGTAGACGACGATTGGTGTATGAGTACCGATGAAAGCTTCTGAAAGCAAGCGATAGTATAAGTGGTTCGCAGTAAAGATAAAGTGCCCAGGCCCCGAGGCGAATAATATTTGCAGACCCAGTATGCATGAGATAACCAATCAGGAACAACGAAGTGACGGTGACACCCCGAACCGCCATACAATAGCTTCTCATTCACGCGTCATCTGTGCAACCACCGGGAAACATCACTCTTTCACTTGACGATGTGGAATTTCATATTTTCGTGCTTCATTATATAATCATTGAAAACATGGTCAGGCCACTCTTTGCTTGGACCTTGTCTTCTAGCAGGGCGTTTTGTCAAGGAGATGCCAGTACCAACGCTAACGGTAAAAAATTAATTTAAAAACAAAAATATGTATTAAAAAAATAAAATTTATTTAAATATTAAAAAAAATAAAAAAAATAAAAATGAAAGGCATCTCGCCACCATGAGACAGCCAGCTCCACTCTGGCCAGAGGTCGACCAAGATTCTTCTTTTTCCAGCTTATAGCCTTTTGCGTAATCCCATTATTGAGACCACTTTCTGGAGGCCCAGACAAGCATCCGGATGCCAGCTCGCAAACCACAGTTTCTCTAGTCAAATGCCAAGAAAACTAATATGTCGGCCAGAAGCACCCAGATCCGAGAACGACTGCTTCGCTCAAGTCTAAATCTTTCTTGATGTGGCTGGTGCTCACATGTTTATGGGGCAGACTTCTCTCCTGGGTTCCTGACCTTTTTTTGACAACTTACTGCATTTGCTCACCATGACGGACTCTCTGGGAAATCGTTAGATCCCTGGTGGTCTCGATTTCGTTCGATCTCCTGGAGATCTCATTCGTTCACACTATGTGTCCATCTTAACTGAAAGGCATGATTAAACGTCTTCTCAAGAAGCAGGTACCAAGAACCAGTTCAGCGCCTTTAATAACCTCACCCATAGGCTACGGGGTAGCCTCCGGCACCAATAGCAGCTCACAGTCATACTCAGGGTCCACCGCTGTGAAATAGCCCCGTGTGAAGCTGCAAATTGAAATCGCTTGCATACAACCATCCGACGGTAATGACAATCACTAAAAACGGTCAACTTTACGGCCTCGCCCCTCTGGACGCAGAAGTCCCTTCGCGTCCCGGCTTGCGGTACTCGTGATGCGGATTCACAATTCCATGTCCATCCACATTCAATTCCCAGCCCTCACCTCTTGACGAACTTTAACCTGGGGTTTTATTGGATGACTTTGGATCGTGGGAGATACAGAAACCTTTTGGACAGCTGGCCCTACTGCCGCATCCCTTTTGTGCGTGAATAGCAGCATCGCAACGCACAGCAAAACTCTCACACGACGCACTGTCTTTCTCTATGGACGATTGAGATGAACACACGACGTTCAAGTTCGATGTTCTTAAGTTGAGACTCAACGCGCAACGCGCCCCGAGGAGCCGAATTACAGAGAGCGTAGACTGAGGGGTCAATCAAGCCATTCCTTCATTGCACCGGTCTAACTACAAACTCAATACCGACGGAAACAGAGCTCTCCACGGTGCTTGGTCTGTGACTTGGTGCCGGATGCCAATCACCTAGCTTTGACGTGGGCATATGTTACGACTTAGTGAGCAGCTGGCTTTGATCGTCGGATCTTGAAGACTACTGCTTGGGATTCTCGAATGTCGCAGTCAGCGTCTCTTCGACCGTTACTCCCTGCAACGGAGAGTAGCGGATCCCGTGGCAGTGGGAGTCCAGATTCATCAGGACCTGGTCAACGTCAAATCAAGCGTACCCCTACAAAAGCTGCGTGTGAGGCTTGTAGAAAACGGAAGTCAAAGGTTGGTCCCATATGCCTGACATCACAATACCTGACAATGTATGCTCACATGTTGAGCAGTGTAGTGCCGAGCGACCTCGATGCAGCATCTGTATCGAGAGAAATACACCCTGCGAATACAAAACCCTGCCTACAGAAACACATCTGATAGCTCAAAAGAGACTTGTCAGCACGCTTCAGTCAAGATGTGATATCCACGAGGCACTCTATGACATCCTTCGGACTAAGCAGGAGGATGAAGCAGTAAGTATATTGCAGCGCATCCGCGCTGGTACTGATATCGAAACTATAGTGAGAACGATTCAAGAAGGCGACCTATTACTGCAACTTTCCGTACGGCCAGAATTCCGATATCGATATAAGTTCCCTTACCAGCAAGAAATGCCAGCCTATCTCAAGAATAGTGCGTGGGCGAATCCGTACTTAGCTTCAACTTTGTTCGAGAAAACCTACATGACCAATTTGCAAGAGCAACATTTGGACGAAGTCATGCCAAAATCTATCAGGAACGATAACCAAAGAATGTATCTATTGCCGTACCATACGGTAGCAATGCCCGATGCGCGACGCATCTCACTGGATGTCGCAAAATGGACTGCAGTGCCTGCCAACAACTCGTTGCTTTGGTCATTACTCGAGATATGTGAGTAAGCCCGCGAGACTATCCGCATGCAGCATCGAGGGAACGACAGTAGTAGTATGGCAACCAATTTTGCCAAAGCCACCAGATTGGAAATTGTACCTATTCGAAGACAGCTAACCCCAACTACTACAGATTTTCTTTTCGAATACCCATTTCACCCGTTCTTCCATAAAGACTTGTTCCTAGAAGATATGCTTAATGGCAGACAGAGATTCTGTACCCCACTCCTAGTTAATGCTGTACTGGCAGCGGCTTGGGTATGGAGACTTCTCGCATCATATCTGGAAACTGAGTTAACACGTTAAAGCATGGCTATCAAGCTGTTCAATCGCGTGCAGAACATTGGCGCCCAGACAACCTTGGATATCGTTTCTATGCTGAGGCGCAACGATTATTGCATCGCGAACAGGACAAAGCAAAGATCACGTCTGTCCAAGCCATGGGTATCATGAGCATAACATTTACATCCAACGCACTCGACAAGCTCAGCTGGTCGCTGCTACATAAAGCTATTGAAATGGCACAGCAACTTGGCCTGTTCAGCCACTCTCCTGAGTCAGATCCAATGTGGCAGAAAGCAGCTGCAATCACATCATGGGGCGTTTTCAATTGGCAATCGTATGCTCAAGTTATCACAGCATGTGGTCAAGGAAGCTAACACTCATAGACTATATTGTTACCACATGTTTCAACCTCCGCTACTCAATGAGCCACCAAACCATGACCTGCCTGATGTACTACAGGATACAGCTTTCTTCGGCAACATTCATGTGAAATACCCAGGCAGCGAACATAAAGTTGACATCTCTCACGGCCACGTCTTCCGGGCTATGTCGGGGTTTCGCATAATAATGAACGCTGTCGCGCTCGAGCTATATGGCAGTGGGCAGAATGGTTTGTCGTTGGACAGATTAGATCACTTCTGGCAAGCTATTAAAGACTGGTACAGAAGTTTGCCAGCATGCTTAGAAGCTGACAAGATTGCCTTGCCAAACCACCTGAAACTTCAGTAAGCCGGCCTTGCCTTTTTTCCCTTTTTTTTTTTGCCCCTCCGTAAATTTAGTAACACAACCCAGTATGCACATGCATGTTCTCGTAATCGGTCTTTTCGAGCCGTTCGAGAAGCATGTGCAGAGCCTTCTGTCAAGGGGACTGCCAGACCCAGGAAAAACCATAGCCCAGTCGAAAGCGAGCCTGGAAACACTTATCCGACTATATTATCTGCGGCACGGTTTTGAGTCGTACGACCCGACAATGATGCTGTTTATATCCATGTTAGCGTGGAGTTGTCTTCAAGACTACAAGCAAATGAAGGAGAACGGGTCGCCGCAGCTAGATGCTGTGCGTTCCACTTTGGTGCTGTGCGCCAAAGGTCTATGGGATCAGGGCGAGAATTGTTTCCTTTCCGAAGTTCTTTTCCGCTTACTCAAGAGCTCGTTACCGAGTAAGGACGAAGTACAGCTATTACGGGAAGTAGCTGACATCGACGAAGAGCCTGATAGGGTGAGTCGAATGATACAAGAGGTTCATTCAGCATGGCCGTTTGGAATTTTCAGCACCGCTAAGACAAGCATTGAAGAGGCAAGCCTTAGTCGCTATATTGCTTGGTGCGAACAAGTTTTGGAGGATCCGTCTCAGCACATAGGAACCCAGACACCTGATCAGCCTGAGAGTCACCATCTGTGGGTCGGATATAATAATTAGTCAGAGATGAACGAAGATGCATCCTCCGAATGTGTCCCATCTAACAAATGCGACTCGTCATCTGACGTGAGTTGGGCTGTCTCCAATGATGAGCCTGGCTTGTTTGATATTTGATTTATTCTTGAAATTCTCACCACAACAACATGGCCATAACTAATTTCGTCGGGTGCATTTCAAAAAGAGCCCTCGCTGCATAGATCATGGCAGTCCACGTTGTACACCATTTGATAAACGGTAGAGCGACAGGAGTGCTACATTTCTGAACTGGCATCCCGCTTCTCGAATTCACTCTTGAAGCTTATATTCCGGAACATTCTTGTCCCCATCAAACACCTTCCCACTATCATCATATGGTGTTTTCTTGAACTCGTCCGCTTGCCACGCTTTTCGAATATGCTCTAAGATCGGTTGACCACCGGCACCGGTCAATTTGAGGTTTGGTGAAGGAATCTCAGCCTGTGCATTTGACTCATTATTAAGATAGCCAGCATATGAGATCGAGTTGTCTACGCTGCCGGCGTTTTCAGGGTCCTTATTGGCGTAGCCTGTTACACCGGCTACGAACTTGAACACGTTCGCACCAACATCGTAGCGTCCAAGGTTCGATAAGCTCCAGTTGTTTTGAGTTGTTGCAAGGACGGAATAGTGCGTGTAGAAATCGTTGTCCTCTGTCCCCTTTTTATCCTTGGGAATACCGTTTCCCAGAAGCAGCGACACGATTTGGTTTGGTTTTCCATAGTCCTCCGACTCATCATACGTCAATTGAATGACAGTAGGCTCCGCAAACGCGTCATCGGCTAATAGTGGTAACAGAAACTCGTGTGCCCAGTTCGTTGCGTAGGAAAGTGTTGTATTGTGGCCATCATTGAGCATGTCCGGTGACATCATGATGAACTGCGGGAGCGTCCCTGCCGCCAACTCTCGCTTGAAGTCTTCAAAGGACAGCAGCTTCGCTAGTCTCGAGCCGTCTTTGTTGATGCTGTCGAATGAAACAAAGTGACTGGTCCGATCAATATTAGCATAGACCCTTATTCGAAACATAGCCCATAGCTGTACGATAGACACTAACTTGTGTTTTCTAACATAGTCCCACGTGCCACTGCCATCCGCGGCATAACTGCCAGCAGCCATATAACCTGGCCCTGGGTTTCCTTCGAAATACCCGCCCCAGCTGATGTTTTTATCCTCGAGCAGATCTACAACTGTGGAAACATTCTTTGGCACGCGAACGACTTCATCGTGGTTGAGGCCGAAGTAATCGCCGGCCACGGAGGCGAGGTAGTTCGGTTGACTTGGGTGTGTCTGCGCGTAATATCTGGTCTGGGAAATGCCATGCTTCTTGAGCTCGGCAAAATCAGCATCTTCAATGACCTTTGCGAAGTCCTAGTCGTGAGTTTCATTAGCCAGCTGATCATTCACAATGCGCTTCAAGTGCGACGCGTACCTGGTTCTCAAGCCAGATACTTATAAACCTGTCAAAGGCTCTGCCCTTTACGATAGCACCTTGCACGAGGGCTACCTGAGAGACCAGATAGCCTGAAAAGAGAAGAGAAATTATACGCCACATCACTTCGTCAAATTACAGTTTTCAAATCATGGTTTATTAATTCGTCTGCGAAAGAAAGAGACAGCATGTTTATCCCTTGCTGACTCTTTCATGCCACGCGACTGCTTCAGAATTGGCTTTGACGTCTGACCGAAGCAGCGCGCAAGTTTTGACAAAATATACCGCCTACGTTATTCGGAAGTTATGGGGTGTGCTGCCACAACTTCCCCGGATTTGCCGCCATTGAAGCCGACCCATTCTGTGCTTGGCCCTCCTCTTATATTATTCAAATGCGACCACACACCAAGAGAGGCTCTCCCCAAGAATTTCAATCACATGTCGCGTTGAGCCGTCTACCAAATAATCATGACTCACAAAAATGGTTAATGGGATAGGTAGTCTGAGCCATGGTAGATCAGAAGCATCCTAATGACTAGTGCTCGGAGACAACGTCTCGGAATCCGAGAGGTCTCGGAGGTAGCAGTGGATGTTAGGCTCTTGGCTCCAACCTCATCAATGAAGCACACTCAGGTCGATGTCATGGAATGCGCCCCAAGGGACTTCTCTTTCCTCATTTGATCTTATCGATCTGATCTCTATACGAAAGTTTCACCGAAGTCGGTGACGTGATACGTGGCTGCATCGCCGTTAGAATAGTGCGGCACAACCTTGTCCTTAACTTTATACTATACCAGTTTGTCTTGTCCGCCTGGAGATAGAGGAAGAAAACGCGTCGCGGAGGCAGTTTGTTCCAATGCTCATTACTTGAGGTCCACCTGCTAGGGCCCCAAGACCCCCATTTCAACTACCGTCCGGATCCGACTGGTCCGGCTATAGCCTTTCGTGGTCTGACTTGACAGTTGCCGACCGTCAAGATGTCGGACACTGCAGCTGATCAGGACAAACATACCCAGCCGTCTGAGGATGGCCAAGACGATGACGATAATCAAGACGACAACCACCCTCGCAAGCGCCAAAGGGTGAGACTCTCCTGTTTGGAATGCCGGCGTCGCAAGCTGTCCTGTTCCCGAGACTTGCCGTGTGATCGTTGTATCAAATCAGGCACTCCAGAAAGATGCAATTATGAGACTCGGCCTGGTAGCGCAACTATCGGCCCGAACATATCTTCAGTCGGTCCTGGCAGTATTTCTAATGTCGTTGATATCGGAAGTCGAACTATTCCCATCGACCTAAGCCGCGGAGGTGTAGGACGGGACATTAATGCCAACATACTCAAGGATGCCGCCAAGGACCACGACCGTATCCGCAAGCTTGAACTTGAGGTTGCACAGCTCAGAAGTGCACTGTCCAAGCAAACATCTGTTGATGGTACGACCATAGCTGCGACTCCATCTACAGCGAAGGATGGACTTGCTAAAGACAGCCCACTCGACATCCCGATGCCTTCCTTCCTTCAACGATGCAAACGTGGTGACGGACTTGACTTCAAGTTCGTCAGAGGCCATAACTTCAAGACCAGGTTTTTCGGCCCTCACAACGCCTGGTCGTCATTCAAAGAACTGACTGGCCTCACTCCTTTCATGAGGGAAACGGCAGAGGAATGGCTCCGGCCCTTGAATATCACGCGGAAGGATCGCAAGAGGAGAAGGGAAGATCGTCAGAAATTATTTGAAGCGCCAGATCCTGACTTAGAAGGGTTACTGCCGTCAAGAGAAGAAACAGACTCTCTAGTAAATGTCTACTTGGACCAATTCGAGCAATTGCATCGTATCATCCATGTACCTACTTTCAGAAAGGAGTATGAGAGGTTTTGGGATCCCAACCAGCCAAGGCATGCAGTATTTACTGCGTTGTTGTTGGCGATGCTGGCGACCTCTAGTTGTATGGACATGCAAGCAACCTCAAAGTTTATTGGCGTCAAATCCAATGGCTTTCAAACAGCTGAAAAGTGGACGAAAGCTTGTGACGTATGGTTCGACAAGCAAAGTCACAAACATAGAAACATGATCCACTATCAAATCATGTGCATGTTGTACCTGGCAAAACGGGCCAACGTCATTAAGAAGAAGAGGTATTGGACAAACGCTGGTTCTTTGATCAGGGATGGCATCATAGTCGGTCTTCACCATGATGGCGATCAGGTCTCGAGCAAGATCACTCCCTACTACCGAGAGATGCGCAGACGAATCTGGGCCACAATGATGGAGTTCGACCTTCAAGCATCCTTTGACCAAGGAGTCCCAACCCTACTAAGCCAAATTTCTATTGACGCCAAAGCTCCACGGAACATTGACGATGATGATTTCGAGATGGAGAGCGAGGAGCTTCCTCCTTCCAAAGATTCCACCGAGTACACATACGCATCATACCAGCACCTTGCTAGGCAAAGTCTTCAGACAAGATTAGAGCTCAACCGTGTGATGACTGGACCCGCTGCAGACCTGGATTGGGATCGTGTCAATCGGTACACGGAAATGATCACAAACGAAATCGATGCCTTGCCGCCTTGGGACAGCGAAGAGTGCAACAAAACAAACGATTCCCGAAAACCGGTGTTGGCACACGCTTTATTACACATACAGCTGCGACAGTATCTGATTCCACTCCACCAACCATACCTGAAGCTTAGACAACACAACTCGAAGTATTCGGTAGCCGAATTCATTTATTACACGGCTGCCCGGGATATTGTGATGATGCATGAACGTTTATTTTCGAAGGGCATCAGGACGCTATACTTTCTACGCGAAGATATCATGCACGCTGCTGTCAGTCTCTGTAGTGTTACTCTTCATCAGCCACGAGGTAGGTTCGCTATCTACATGTTCGCAGCTTGTTTTGTTCCGTGACTAATTTCCTCTCGTAGATTCTACTACCGTAATCATGTCGAACTCAGCGGAGACACTAAAGCTGATAGAGAAGTGCATCGGTATCAAAGAAGATCGCGTCCTTCGGTGCGGTAACAACGACCCATGGGGCTACTCGTCGATGTGTGCAGCCCTCGGCCTTCTCGAAACCCATCTGGGTAAGAAGACGTTCGAAAACGCTAAGGCTTCGGCGGCAGAACGCTTCATTAGCCTGCATTACAAGCTGCTGGCATATCAAATACCTCCCTTCTCAAACAACCTGGACAACGATGCCACGACAGGCGGCGCGCTCAGAGGGCAGGAAGCCGTGAGCCAAGCCAAGCCGGCGGCGCCGTTCGATCCAACAGATAGATCCGGGATTGCAGCAGCACAAATACAAATGCAGCTAGGAGCTACACCGTTTCATCGAGAAGGGCTACCGCTCTCAATGCCTTGGTTGCTGCCACATACCAATCTGACACAAGGTCAGGTCATGGCACCTAATCCAGAGCTCAACTCAAGTCTGGAAATGATTGGAATGGATTTGAACGATCTATGGAGTGGTAGTGACTGGACTGGTACGGACTTCATGTAGAATGGGAGGGATATTTGGTTTGGTTTAGCTTGGTCTGGTTGTTCATATAACGTCTTCCTTGCATATCTGGTCTGGTTGTTCACAAGAGACCCCACTACGCATTGTATTCATACGGTTTGGTTTAGTTCAAAATAGATGGTGGATCGGTTCTCACCTATTCCACGAGGTGTCTTGCACTGTGTCTAGATATTGTATGTAAAATGCTATTTTTCTAGAAGGAACAAGGCGTGTGATAAGTGCTCCAGGGAGCTAAAAGAGATGCTCCTGGGAAGGGGAAGCTCTCCTCACACCAACCCCCAATACGCAAGTTTTCTGGCTCTCCTCTATTGAAGTTCTGCTGCTGCTAATTTATCCTTAATATGATCAATTTGCCGTGCTTCGAACGTTATAATGCATGCCATTTTTATTGTGTGATAACTTTTCCCTGATTGAGTTTCTTTGAACCATGTTTTGGTTGAGATTCTACCCTTTTCATTGGTATTTCTCTTTCATTTAAAACATTCTTTGGGTGCGATATATCTCCAAATAGAGGGTATAGGGAAGTGCCGCGTAGATGCAAAAACCTGACTTAGACTAGTTTCACGGGTGGAGACTTAATGTACTCTGTCAGTATAACGAGAATTTTCCGCAAGGGAATGTAGGTCTGTCGAGTTCTCATCCGACGGCAATCAGATCGCAGGGTCCCAAGCGAAAGTCAACAGCTAAAGATAACATCCTGTTCAAGAAAGCCCTAAAGAGGTAGGCCGAGGCATTTACAACGACTACTAGGGATGTGACAGGATGGTGCCGTTCCAACCGATGCCATGTTCATATCGTTGGACATGGAAGTCGATGATTGCCGACAAAACTTACGCTTATTACACATAAAACCCAGCGTCATCAACTTAGATTTGCAGCCATAGACACGAGAGACATTCAATATCTGTCACCGTTCGATGAGCTAAAGGCTCGAGTATCAGGCAGACTGTTCCAGATAATCGGGACCAAAGAAAAGATGCGGCAATCTCTACCTTGGTTCCAGTAATGATTCTGAAAAGCAAAGGGGCTTCTATAATCGACACAAGCCTATGTATTAATGGCGACTCGACCAAAGCGGATGGAAAGCATCGCCTGCAAGTATAGTCCTGCTCGGACACTCCATCGGGTCAGACTTGAGGATATTTCGTCCCCTAGAACATGATGTTACAAGTGATGCACCTGTACCAGTCATACTTGACACGCCCATCTTGTCACGATGTCCCTCTCACCTTACCACTCGGCCTTCCACCATTACCAGGCCAGGGCTTCTCTCCAAGGCATGTTTGAGCCGGGTTCAACTATCAATCAAAGCTCAAAGAATGATGAGTTAGAGGCTTATCCGGACGTAAGACGGCCAGGAAGGGCTAAAGTTCTCTATCAACTTTGCACAAGCATTTATCAGTTCTGTCCTGGGACAACTACGTACTATTCCCTTGGTTATATGTTCTCAGGTCTTGCACTTTCACTGTGTCATTTGCTAGTACAAGCATTTGCCTGCACATTTCAGACATCCGTAGGGATGGAAGAATCGTTGAACTAACAAAATTGCTAACTGCTTGACTTGGCTTATTCTTTTCCAACGAAGCAACCTAAACTATGAGAAAGAGGATGTGAAGCCTCTGCTTTGAAGATTATACGAGTGTGTGCGGATCCGCCGCTTCAGGGTCCGCTTTCGAACCTTGTCATGATCAAGATGCGAAATCTCGAATCTCGGTTTCCTAGCACTAACCCCCCGCCCACCGACAACCGTTAAGCTGCCTTGGCTGCGGACTATCCTAACCTAGGATGATGGAGTCTGGGGTACTGGGGTGACGCCAATAGTATTCAGCGAATGGCGGCGTGCTAAAGCCAACCTCGGCTCCCCCGCAGTGCCCGATGGCACGATGAGGAAACTGTGCCAGAAACGGTTGCCATTTCGTTCATCGTCTGCACCTTGCGACGGCTGGAAGCTACCCGTGCATCAGCTATTTAGATGTGGAACTGTGCCTTTTCCGAATTCCTAATATTCACAGATTTGACCACCCAATCAATCACATCGTCCACGTTCGCACCGTCAGTCATCATCGCCCAAACATTACTGCAATCTTCCAGCACAGCCGCAATAGTAACTTCAAAATGCCACCCAAGAAGAAGGCCCCCGTTTATGTCCTTGGCGTTGGCATGACTAAGTTCATCAAGCCCCGAGGAAAGGTGGACTACACTGAGCTGGGTTTCGAGGCGGGTATCAAGGCTATGCTGGATGCACAAATCACCTATGACGATGTGGAACAGGGCTTTGCATGCTACTGTTATGGCGATTCTACATGTGGGCAAAGAGTGTTCTATCAATTTGGCATGACACAAATCCCCATTGTGAACGTGAACAACAACTGCTCGACCGGCTCGACCGGCTTGGCTCTCGGGAGAAACGCTGTAGCTCATGGTGGCGCCGACTGTGTCCTGGTTGTGGGCTTCGAGAAGATGATGCGCGGAAGTCTGCAGAGCTTCTTCAACGACAGAGAAAACCCAACTGGCACATCTGTTCAAATGATGGCAGAAACTAGAGGCATCACCAATTCTCCCGGAGCCGCTCAAATGTTTGGCAACGCGGGACGGGAATATATGGAGAAGTAAGAAACGTCTAGGACACCGGCTTGTACCCGTATGCTGACTTAATTATCGTAGATACGGCGCAAAGGCAGAGGATTTCGCAGAGATCGCTAGAATCAATCATGAACACTCCGGCCGCAATCCGTACTCACAATTTCAGGACGTCTACACATTGGACCAGGTACTAAAAGCGCCAATGATCCATGAACCTCTTACCAAGCTTCAGTGTTGCCCAACTTCGGACGGCGGTGCAGCTGCTGTCCTTGTTTCTCAGGACTTTTTGGATGCGCGACCGCACCTCAAAGACCAGGCGATACTGATCGCTGGCCAAACCCTGGCCACTGATGCTCCTAGTTTGTTCTCGAAGAGCTCGATTGACTTGATGGGTTATGAGATGTCCCAATATGCCGCAAAGACTGCTATGGCAGAAGCTGGAGTCCAACCCAGTGACTTTCAGATCTGCGAGCTACATGATTGCTTCTCGGCCAACGAGATGATAACGATAGACGCCCTTGGCCTTTGTGAGAAAGGCAAGGCGCACGAGATGGTACGAAACGGTGACATAACCTATGGTGGTAGGATGGTTATTAACCCATCTGGTGGTCTCATCTCTAAAGGTCACCCGCTCGGCGCGACCGGTATCGCGCAATGTGCTGAACTTGTCTGGCATTTGAGAGGATGGGCCAACAACAGAGGGGTCCCGCACACCAAGTATGCGCTGCAGCACAACCTCGGACTTGGCGGAGCTGCTGTCGTGACTGTCTACTGCCGACCTGATAGGAGTGAGGCGCCCAAGGTTGACTCCGCCACCGTGGGAAAGATCAATAAGCTCGGATACAATCCAGCCGTGCAAGCCAAGGGCTTCACTGCTGCACAGGCAATAGCTGTACGGAGCAAGGATAGGTCGAGCGCTTGGGCTTTGCAAGATACCGAAAAGAAGGTGGAAGCTAGATTCTAGTCGTTCTGGTCTTTAGACTGGTCAAATCTGGGTATAGTTGTTCATAGTACTGTAATATCTTGCGATAGGCTCATCAGCCCAGTCTGTTCCAACATGCATGTTGCGTATGATTTGCTTTTGCTTAATCGCATGAAGCTTATCAACCGACAGTGCGACAACACTTGAATGCGGTCGGTGATAATAGCACCATTTTGCTGGCACGTGAAATACTTGGGGATATACGACCACAGCACATGGATGTCTGAACCATTGGCAAGCTCAGCTACCTACATAACGAAATTCGGATATGCTGTACCTTATTTAGTGGGCGTTTCAGTATATGGTCCACTGAAACCTCCGGGGACAGCGCCGAGCTCCCCTGGGCGCTTGCGCTAGAGACCTTCGAGAATGATTTGAAGCTTCTACAACGTCGATCAGACAATTACTCCCTTGTCCTCAAACTTCTTATTCTATTTATACGCCCAAGAAAAATCAATGCAGACGGAGAGAACGATACATACAATCGCTGTGGCACTTTAGCACGCAGCTGGCGCGGCAGCTAGTGTATTTTTGAACTTGATCGCTCTGGAGGTGTCTCGTGAGTCAAAAGCTGTGACCGCAGCCACCACATCTATTTATTACAGACACAAGCTATATGTATCTTGTGCAACATGTCATACCTTCCTAATTGCGTGTCGCTAACGGAGAAGAATAAAGAGCTCATATGCGATTCTACAAGCGGTTAAGCCAGCAACTATTGAACAGGCTGGGTTCATAAAGCATGTGGTGCATTTTTCAGCGGCACAGTCGGACTTGTTTACTTTATCTGCGGGCCATGAATGGAATTCGCCGTCATAGCCGGCCTCACCGGTGCATATACGCGACACATGATAGCCTGGCCATTTCCACTTTGGGTCTTAACAAGTACAGGCCGCATATAACAGCAATAATACAACGTATTCTATGGGGCCGGATCTCCAATGTTCTTGACTCCCGTGGACGTTTGAGAAACCCTTTTACGAGGACCTCCTTCGTCAGGGCATGAAAAGCAACCAACGATCCCGTTTTAGCCTGATTGCGCCGATGCATGCTGCAATTAGCGAGCGACTACGATGCCGACCATGGCGATCTGCGCAACTGTTTCCCCAGTTCTTCTGTAGGTATGCATTAGTTTGCCAATCGGCGGAGTCCCAAGTGGCCTTCCTGTTTCTTTTTGGCGGGTTAGATGATTGGGCATCCCCTGTTTACATACTTGTGATTGGCACTTGTTGCTTGGGCTCAGTTTCTAGAAGTTTTCTATATTACATATTCAGGCCCCCACACACTCAGCCAGCCAGTCGGGGGTTCCTGTCTTTTGCCAGATGTTTTCCAATGTCACATTATACCCATTACTCTCTCAAGATCTTGGGTTCTGGGTTTTAAAAGGTGAATTGATCAGCACCAACAGCACAATGAACTACCGGGCGAGTTCCTGTTAGATATTCGAAAGCTCACGGACACGGTCGTGAACATGTCTGGACTGGGGCCAGATGCAACTTTGACCGAGATGGCACCGGCACCGGCATTGCTCGCTGTATCGATCATATCGACTATAGTGGCCCTCCTTACCAGTTTACTACGGTTTTGTGTGAAGATCAGGATCAATCGCAATGTCGTATCGGACGATTACTTCTTGGGCCTGGCAATGGTAGCTTTCTCCACCCCACGCGGACTTTTGGAAGGAACCAGAGATTGACAAAAATAATAGCTCCTTGGGTTGGTTGGTGCAATATTCACATTGGTCGAGGGAGCCAACAAGATGAGCCTTATCGTTGCTATAAAATTCGACCACCTCTCCCAACCATGGCTCAATATGGGCTCGACATTGAGCAAAGTATCGATCTGTCTGTATTTTCTACGACTGGTGTCACGGATTAGAGCGTGGAAGATTGTTCTGGGGACTCAAATTGTGTCACTACTCTTCATCAACTTCGTTTACTGCCTCACAACCCTGTTACAGTGCAGACCTTTGGAGAAGTTATGGAATACGTCTATTGCTGGAAACTGCTGGAGTATCAACATTCAGCAGGGATTTGGATATTTCCAGGGCGCTTTTGACGTGTTCTCTGGGTTGTTCATTGCTTTGTTTCCAATCATTGTCATCCAGGATCTCGGTATTCAACGAGGACTTCGCTGGCCGTTCTATATCCTTTCAATTTTGACCGTCGCGTAAGTCCCGATCCTCTTTCCGCAATCAACTTTGGAAACTAATATATGTATAGTATTGCCGCGCTTGTAATCGCCAGAACGTACTATATTTCCCTCGTAACTTCTAATGATCAAATACTCTACAAAACAGTTTGTACTATACTAGCAGTGTAAGTGAACAGAGCCACCCCTGTAAGATGTTTCTGCTAACTCTGAATATGTAGCCTAGAGCAGAACCTTGGCATTATAGCTGCCAACATTCTTCCCATCGCCTCGTTGTTATCAAGTCGCATCCGGCCAATTAGTCAAGCTTTGAGCGCAGCGGCCAATGCAAGAGAGGATGACGACGTCGTGTCGATATTGTCTAGGACGTCTAAAAAATCCAAGATCAGTATGCATTCGAGAGAAAACAGCACTGGATCACATTTTGTTTTGGAGAGTCCCGATTTGGATAGCTTCGATGGTCAACTTATCGGAAGCGCCGACGGCATTGAGGTATGGCCGATGGGAATAATCAAGACCGTTAGTGTGGAGGTCATACAAGAAAGAGTGCCGGATCCGGAACGTGGCTTGACTGTTGGTGAAATGAAGAGATCTGCTAGTCGTGAAGACTGGGACAGGCATCTATGATGGCGTGCGGTTTCTGTGATTTCGTCGTGGGTTTCGCAAGCGTTTGGAGTTCGGGAAAAGTTAGCGAATCATAGACAGATAGACGATACCCTGTATAACTAGACTAACGATTAGGTGCTAGGTCATTTGAGTGAATGATAGGCAACGATATAGTGGAATAGGATTTCTAGTCTCCTTGGAGATTCTATTGTAGAATATTAGCAACGTCTTTGCTTTGCCATGCTGCTTTCCAAGAGACTAACTTGTTACTCGTCACAAGGAACTAGTTCTGGTATCCGCATACCCTCCAGTCTCAGACGCAATATTCTTCGAAAACTCGCGACTATATATTGAAATCCGACCTCAATCTCCACGTCCCATCCGCCCACAACCATGCATGTATTGTGGTACGGACTACTCAGTATGGATGTACATCACTTTCCTCGCAGCAGCCAGATATTCACCAGCAGACACGACGGATCCTAGAGGTTCTGATGGCCTCTGGCCAAATTTCCATCACATTCCACCACAGCGAATGTCCTGAAACGAGATCTCCGTATTAAGCAACCAGTTGCTATCCGAGCTGCTTGGACTGAGCGAACACAATGCTTGAAGCCCGCAAGCTGTCGAGCAACCGTAACACATTGGCTATTCTGGTTAATGGCGAGCATTGTATAGAGTGCAATGTGCTTCGAACTTCTCGCTATCTCTTCAACGATGGTTCCACGCCTAAGAAACCCGAACATAGAGATGGGACTAATTGGCCCGCGCGACGAGCATGATGTTGTGCTCAGGCCGGCAACATCTGCAAGGCACCATAAGGCCTTGGAGGTCAGAGAGTCGACAATATTCGAGGCGGAGCATGCAGGCTTCACGGGCTACGCAGTTCATGGGCATCACTACTGGAAGTACGATGTCTAGCATCGGCTCGGCATGCTGCTTATCAGATGGAGATATGGGTATATAGACCTCAGGCACTTCTTCTGGAATCGTAGTCTTCCAAAATAAAGTATAGAATTTCAGGTGGGAGCTTGTAATGTTGTGAAAATAGAAGTTGACTAGCATGACCAGACTTTGTAGTATCAGGCTATATATCCATGCCCAGTACGTGGTTGTAAGGGTTGGAACTTAAGAAGTAGACATGACGTGAACACTTCCGAGAAGACTTTGGAAGCACATCCAAATCTCACTCATGTGTTAAAGGTAAGCGTTCCCGGAATCATTGCATCGTAGCATAACCCCTCAGTTAGCTGGATATATGCGAAAGGTGCAGCTTGTTACTTACATCTTGTGGGTCCAAAATATGTGTGACATAAGAAACCACCCCGTAGACAAGATAGATTGCAAAAGGAAATCCGAACCTAGGGGGATGATCCTGTCATTTCGCTTTGCGCAATACTGCTTGGTCCAACCAGCTATTGAGGATCCTACGAGAATGAACCATTGAAGTGCCAAGTTGTCGATTGTTGTTGCTAGTCTTTAGAGTTCTATTTGCAAAGAATTTAAGACAATAAAACTGATAATCTAGAAATGACATGCTCGCATTTTCCAGGATACTACCGTAATCGATTTCGTGTTGCTTGTGCCAGCAAGGGATGCTTGGTGCGGAGTGCGGTGAGACGTGGAAAGATGCTTGCTTCGTCTAGGGCAGGAAGGTGACTATCAATAATAAGAACTTTCGGCGCACTTGTTTATTATTGCTCTCGAAGGTCTAGATAGTATATAAATAGCAATATCATTGAAATTCAATCCAGCGTGATTCTAGAACAGTATCACGGCTCGGAGGTCGAATTGACTCGAATACGGTACAACCTGTCTGCAATAGAGGTGGAGCAAGGTCCCACAACGCATCGACGAGAGAGCCTCTATTCCAGGTCCAAGTCAAGATAGTCGAGTATTTGCCAAATGAGAGACCGAGCGTCAAACGGCTTTGCCTAGACGATGCAAATAGCAACAGTGATATTCAGGTTCGCTAAGAAAGTCGATCTATACGCCTTCTATATGAATGTTAGATGTTAGAAGGCAAATGTGTATACCATAAATGGAATTCTATCCGGTCTTTGCACCGCCAGCCCTTACCGCCTGGAGACGTTAAACCCTCTGAGTGAGATACTAGGGCTTGAATAACTCCCTCTTACCTCTGTTCATTATTCGCACAGAAACCTCAGAAAGCAAACAACGCAAGGTTTTGATTGTCGGGCAAGATACAAACAATGCGGGCCTACACGGTTCTCCGGCGGCTGGACGGATCCGCACGCCCAAAGAGGGCTGTTATGACAGGACGCCATTCGGCGTAGATCTCGAGTCAATAATTACATGATTGCTGCCTCAGTGTAAAGTGTTCATGTTATCTCATCAACCCAGCGGCTAGTAAGTCAAAATTCGTTCTTGCCGCGATACTTCACAACGAAGATGAGGCTCCCTAAGCGTCTAGGTACTGAGATAATTGCTCGAAGCACTGAATCATTTGGACCCGCTATCTCACTAACAATAACGAGGTTTAGTCTATTGTAGCTGCCCATCAATTCCCATGCAACGTTTCCATCCTCGCTATCAGTAGTTCGGCAACTCGCGCCGGAATCAACGAGAGTCCCCATTGCCAACGAAACCAAGGACTCGACCCCTCATGACAATCCCCAACCTCACCCGGAACGTCTTCTGATAAGGCTAGTTGCTGGGACTAAATGAATACATGGGTATACCTCCCTGGCACCTGCAGGGCATGGTGCGATAAGAACGGTCAATAAAATGGCACATGACAGCCATGTTGCACAGGCCCAGGGCCTTGGATCGTATGTACCACGGCGAAAGTCGGTCTTTTGGCAGCTTCTCACTCCAAGAAGAAACCTGTCAGACGAGGAAACACCGCTGTTCACCGAAGCAGCCATGGCATCCGATCGTGCACGAGATGACACAAAGCCCGGTGCAAGCGATGCGGTGATTGCCGAAGCGATTCATCAGGAACATGAGCTGTCCTTCGTCGAAGCTGTCAAGCTATACCCGACAGCTGTAGGATGGTCTATGTTCGTGTCTCTTGGTGTAATCATGCTGGCGTTCGATCCGCAACTCCTTGGTAACCTGTACGCAACTCCTCAGTTCCAACGTGATTTTGGCTACGAGTATGAGGGAGAGGTGAGTTATAGCTACTTGTTGAGCGTGTACTGGGCTAATTTGCAATCTTCAGTATATTATCAGTGCGTAAAACGATAATACACAGTGGCTGCTATCACTGACTCTGAAATCCAGGTGCACCATGGCAGACAGGCTTGTCAATGGGAAACCCGATTGGCCAGGTGGTGGGCGCATTGGTGTCGGCCTATCCTATGGACAAGTTTGGCCGCAAGTACACGTTTGCAGCCTGTGTCATTCTTACAGCAGGGCTGGTCTTCATCCAATTCTTCGCTCGCTCTCTTCCTGTGCTTCTCGTCGGAGAGCTCATTGGCGGACTCGTACTCGGTTGCTATGTGGTCATTGCGCCGGCATATGCATCAGAAGTGTGTCCATTAGCACTGAGAGGACATCTAACCAGCTATACCAACTTGTGTTTCGTCATGGGTCAATTACTTGCCAACGGAGTAACAGCTGGCACGTCCAAGCTTTCAGACCATTGGGCATATAGCATACCATTCGCGCTTCAATGGTTCTGGGTGCTGATAATCCTGCCGGGCATGTTCTTTGTACCAGAAAGTCCATGGTGGTTAGTGGGGAAAGGCAGAATGCAGGAGGCCGAGAACTCTCTGAGGCGCCTATCGTCTGAGTCTGTCAATGTCACCGCAACACTCGCAGTTATTGCTGAGACGGATCGACTGGAGCGAGAAATGGAGGCGGGTAGCACGTATCTCGATTGCTTTAAATCGGCAAACTGGAGGCGAACGGAAATATCCATTGGCGTCTACTGCACCCAGGTTTTGAGCGGCATCTACCTGATTAACTATGGAACATATTTCTTCCAGCAGGCAGGCTTGGCCACCGAAGACTCGTTTTATATGAGCATTGGTTTTCTAGGTCAGTGACATTTTCCTTTAATAAATGGAAGTAAAGGGATCTAACACTTTAATAGCGGTCGGATTTGTTGGTACAATCGGCTCATGGTTCCTGATGCTGAGATTTGGCCGTCGGCCGATCTACGTGCAAGGACTTGGCATTTTGATTGTCCTGCAGTTGCTCATCGGTATCCTTGACTGTGTACCTGGCAGACCATCGGGCGTGGCATGGGCTGAATCCGCGCTGATGCTCATCTGGAATTTCGCATATGACTTGTCCATCGGCCCAGTCTGCTTCACATTGCTCGGCGAGTGCTCAGCAGCGCGAGTCAGGTCAAAGACGATTGCCGTGGCTACAGCCGCTCAAGGAGTGATAGGAATCATAATGACGGTGGCTATTCCGTATATGATCAATCCTGACCAGGTAAGGTTTATCAAGAACTTTCGTTCTGTCATGACGCTGATCCAATATTACAGGCCAACATGCAAGGAAAGCTCGGGTTCTTCTTCGGCGGTCTAGCTGCTATATGTTACGCATGGGCATTCTTCCGTGTTCCAGAGACTCGTGGCCGAACTTACGAAGAACTCGACTTGCTCTTCAGCAAGAATATTCCGGCAAGAAAGTTCAAGAACTACAGAATCGACGGCATTTCCACTGGGGACACTTACTGAAAATGCAATAAATGAAATTATTATGGCAACGAATGTTTCAGAGAGGCTAGGGGTATGGATTGAGTCTCCAAGACTCGGGATGCTTTCTCAAACCTGCTCACCCATTCCAAGTCAAAACTTTGTTGTTCCACCAAGAAGTAACACAGCCACTCTTTCATCCGTGCACCACGACCAGTAGCAATGACTTTTCGTCCTTCAGTAAAAGCTATATAAGTCTAAATGAAGTGACTTCAACTAACACCCCACGAAACCACAGGCCACAGTGGTGTAGTGGTCATCCGCGCAGACCCAGGATTAATATCCTTATCTCAATATCATTATCTCTCTGGCTAAGCCGTCCCCCCTTTAGCCAAACTTCTTTTTGCACTTTTGTGAGGTTGTGGGTTCAAGAGGCGCAAGTGGTTTTCCCAGCTGTTTTTTCCCCCTCTCTTTTTCTCTCTCTGTTTCCCACGTTTCCAGGATATTGATGAATTATTAGCAGTCAAACCTGTGATTGTCTGAATACAGATGAGACCTCTTTGTGTTCATACGCCATCTGCTGAAAAACACAACTGTGATACATTGAATTCCCAGGATTCTGTGGGAAACTTGATTGTTTTATGAACACTAATAAAGATGCTGAAATAGAATTCTGTACTATATAATTGACACAACAGCACAGACAAAATCTTGCAAGAAGGGAGCTACAGCCTCTCTTCTACATAGGGCGTTTGCTAGTACGCCCCCTTATTTTATTTTAGATTTTACAAAAACCCAGCCATAGCACAACTAAGAGCCGTCTAGCCGCTCTGGATTCTTACAAGTAAAATTGGGAATGCGAGAGATATAACAATAACATAGTCATACATCAGTTCTTGTTCATAGTTACCGTGCCTGTAATTCTTAGACATTGATCAAGTTCCTTAAGCTTTGCCTCCATCGGAGTGCTGATTGATTGGCTTCTTCGATGAATTACGCTTATCCATTCACGAGACTATCTTTTCTTGCACTTGAAGTTGAAATGTCCCACAAAAGAACCATACACGTCACTGTTATTTGTAACTATGACAGATATGATATCCGGCCCATGGTCGGTGCTGTTTCTTGGCACGATCAGTGACATAGACCTGGCAAACAGTATCCGGAACGTGGCCAACTTAGCCGATGTCTATGATATACTATTGAATGTCCATGACGTTTCTATACTGAATGACGCCAAAACGTATCTCCAAAGTGCATATTGGGGTAATGAAAGGAACGTTATCACCATTCGGGAGCGGGCGAATGAGGTCTGCAGCAGGCCGGATCTTGGCAGGCTATTGATTGGAACCTTGATGGAGGACAGATCTAAATATTAAAAAACGAATTTAAAAGACTGTACAGGTTTTCGTAGCGCGGTGGGCTCAGAGGCTTTCCCGGCAGTTTGCTCTAGGTACTTTGAAGATGCGGAAGCTGGAGAGTTCATTTTCGTTTCTCAAAATTCCGAGGACAATCTAATAGAACGTCGTCTAAAGATAGAGATTCATCGCTTTACTTCCTCGTTTGGCGTCAAATAAACACCACGGCCCGCACCTGCCTCCGAAGTAGCCACGTCCATTGTCTCTTTCCACCACTCAAGCGGAGATTTTCCATTGAATTTCACGCCAGCTCTTCCACTGTTTCCTTGGAAAACCGCTTTCCACCAGCTTGATCAAGTCTTTCGCTTGCTGTGGCGTATTCATCTAGGTTCCTTCCAAAGTCAAACCCTTGTACATATCCTGCAAATCTCCACTGGTGACCACAGGATCAAGTCTCCCTGGAGGAGCCCCAATTTCTGTATCTATCTCGTCAAGCGCCTCTTTCCTATGACCCATAGCGATAACCTTGGCCCCCCATAGCCAACGCGACATGCACCATGACACCGCCAAACGAGCCCGTGACCGGAGCCACCAACACGATCTCGCCGCTTTGGACCACGACACCCGACAGGCCGCCGAATGGCACGACCAGCTAGCCCAGAGATCCCAGATCATCCTCCTCCTCGAGCGTGTGCACGTACTCCATGGGGGCCTTCATGTACTGACAAGCTCCCGTCTCTCCAATCGCCCGCCAACAGCCTCCTCGTGCCCTCCGTCCATCTCTAGTGCATGCCCTGCCTGACCTTGATGTGCACGTCGCCCAGCGTCGAGTTACCGTTGGTGGAAATTCCGTCGGCGTAATGGAAGACTGTTGCGTAGAGGGGAGATACGATGACAGTCACAGGTATATGGAGGGGTGTGTGCAGTGTTTTGCTAGGGAGAGAGGCTCCGAGGGGTTCTTGAGGACGAGAGAGCGGTGGGTAGAGGGTAGTAAGTGGATTTTGTGGGCATCACTGGAGGTGGCCATAATTGCGTGTCTCTGGGGAGGTAAAGGTAATCTTGCTGACGATAAGTTGCCTTGAATACAATCATGCTACACGGTTATGATCATGGACCACTTCTGGTCCCTGGCTGTCAACGCATTATATAAACATGACTCTCTTGGCGGACAACATTGGCATTCTTTAGGTATACAGTCGGGATGGCGGCATATATCTACAAGATAAGCCCTAGTACGTGCAGAGCACTAATTTACCTTTTGTTGACTATGAATTGTAATCCTGCAATACTGATAGCTCTGTAGAAGGATACATGTGCTTTGTCTACTGATGGGCGGGAACGCAAAGTCCGATAATACATGCTCCGGAAGCGTTTAACACGGCCAAAGTCCGCTGCCGTGCCGGCTCCAGTGGGTGAATATCTTCCACACGATTTGGCCAATCCTGAGGGTTGGGATCACTTTACAAAACACAGTCTTGTTGCTTGCAAGTCTGTTGGTTACAATACTGTGACCCAACACATGATGAAAGCCTTGCGGAATAGTTCGTGAATGCGTTTGGTCTTGAACATGTATTCAACGTCATTTGACATACCCAAGGTTCTTGTCTAGCGTGCTACCGATAAGTGACTTGACTAAAGAAAGTTTGGTTATTATGTACATCGTTATGGCTAACGTGAAAAGGCAAATACACCAATAAAGGGGGGAAAAAATGTCTGATATAAATTACACCTTCAACTCTGGGCTGTATTACAATGTGAAGCTTGCCACGTTCATCATTCCCTTGAGGGATATTATACATTTCGGACCACTGTGAGGCCTCCTCATTAAAGTTGCTAAGTATAATGGCCATCACTCTCCACTTTCGCCGGTTATGATCCGCTCTGGAGCAACGGGTTCCAGAACTCCATATCCCACATCGTAAAATCATCGGGTATCTATAGGAGCATTAACAATTCGTTCATTGACGCCGCAAAAGGATGCCTTACCATATTAGAAATCTCTGGTGAAATCAGGAATTGTTGCACTGGGTTCATGAAGCCCTGTGCGTTACTCAAGCTATTCATCGTGATCGGCGAAGACTGCATTATCTAATTTTGAAGGTCAGTTGGCTGAATGCGATAATTTAATTATACAACTCACTGGTCTAGCAGCGATGTCGTTCTGACTGGTGTGCATCGACTGTATGCCCGCGTCGACAATCTTGTGCAACCCAGCAACAACTCTCTGATATGCTGTGTCGGGCGGTCCACCCTGGCAGAGGGATAGTACCACTGTCAGCGATACGAGATCTTTTAGATCCGTGCCGATCTCTCTGATTCGACTAGTCATGGCATCCAGAGCTTGTTCTGTGACTGAAATAAGGCGAGAACGAGAAAGCAAAATTGAGCTCTCGGTAGCAATTAGGCACGCTTCTGCGAATGAGTCTGGCCTCACCCCTGGTGTGTGCGAGTACGGATATGGCGACATTCGTTCCTCCTCCGAGGCGGGGACATGCTTGATGTAATAGCAAACACTGAATGCTGCTTGTAGGATATCCTGCTTCAGAACAAGGTGGTGCAGGTGAAATATCTGAGTATAGTTTGGACAAGTCGCATCTAGGTCGTCCATATAGGTCATCATGACCACCGAAGATCGCAGGTAGCATGTTAAGATCTCTTGTGGTACATCGGGCGTACTCAAGGCGAATGGTCGGTACAAAGCCACTTGGGCGCGACGAAGATGCATGTCAAGGGTTGTCTTCGTCAACCATAGCCGTGTCGCCTCTTCCTGATTTCTGGGCTGTCGTCGTTGTAAGATGTACCTCATGTCTTCGAAGATTCTCTCCAAAGCATTGCCGCAATCAATGACGGCTTGGTAGTCTGTGAGGGTATTGAGCTTGTTGACAATATCAATAACCTTGAACCGGACAGGAAGCGTGCTTGCAGCGAAAACTTGGATCTGTGCATCTGTGCGTTGGTCGATCGGCTTCGGCTCAGGAAGCTCCCTCATATCGATTGTCAGTTCGCAGTCGTCTATGTTTCTCGGTGGTTGGCAAGTATAATCGCCTTCGCGGACACAAGCTGGCATGTTACATTGAATACACATTTGAAGGTCAAGCTCCAAAATAGTGTACCACAGCCTGCGGCGTATCTCCCCCCAAAATGGTGAAATCTTTTGAGGGAATTCTGACGGATCTCGATGTAAACCCATAGTCATAGCCATACGCAATATCGAGCCTAGCTGGGTCCATGAGTCTTGGTTGTTTGGGTTGATCATGCGCTGCGCCATCACAACAAGCACTTCCGCCTGCAGAGTACCGAAATCCATGAGCTGCTTCCCCCTCAACGTATTGAGCCATTCCTTGACCAATGAACATGCTGTCGGAATATGAATGCTTTCTCGGTCGGGTCCAAGACCCTTCTCAGCTCCGTAGAAACGGTATCCAATGCATAACATTGAGAGGAGTTGCGGCAAAAAGGATTCGGACTGAAGAGTTCCATCCCACCAATGCTCGTACTGGTTCATATAAGTAGGGACGTGGACGGTGCGGTAGAGAGACTCGGAGCCGGATAGGAACACATGAAGCAACCGATCGCAGACGGCCCTCTTTGGTAGTACGTCGACCATACGCTTATGTACCGATGTGATGGAGTCCACATATACAGAGATTGGAGCAAGCGCCTTCGTTTGCTCTTCTTGTAGACCCTTGTGGATCTTTTGGATATTGGTAAATATATCCCGAACCTCTAGAGGCTTGTCCTTTCTGAACATGAAGTCTTTAGCTTCGTCGAACTGGGGATGCGGTCAGTTTTGAGATGATAGGATCGCGAATAAATTAATTACCAGATTGAGAAGTACCCTGGTGCTATTCTGACCGAAGAACCTCGTCCGGAGTCCCCCTTTCACGGTCAGGCCACGGATAGTGACAGATGTAGAGGCAAGCGGGGGCGCTCGGTGACTATAGTCTTTGGCTGTAACCGGACTTCTCGCGTTCATGCTGGACAGTACAACTTTTTCAAGTCTATCCAACCTCACCCCATATTCTTCCAATAGGCTGGGTGCGGCGCTGACGGTCTGGTCCCGAAATTTGGTTGCCCCATCATGAGTAGTCGTTAAGTTAGTCTTTTTTGACGGCCTTTCAGGAGTATCGGCATCAGAACCTTCTGAGAGATTGTTGGCATCGCCATCTGTGGCGTACCGACATCCTCGACTTGACTTTTGGCATTGCGAACAAGGCAGGAGTCTATCGCATTTCAACTTGCGGCTCCTGCACTCGATACAGGACTTGACCGGTCGGGGCCTCTTGACGCTACGGGAAGAGGCCGTCCCAGCTGTTGTCGAGCTGGCGATGTGGCTGTTGGTGTTGTTGTCGTGGGCCGACAACGGGGTCCCGTGGTCGGCCATGGCCTTTCAGAACAAAAAGATGCCGAGGTTTTCTGCGATTTAACAGGACGGCAGGGTTACATACGACACGAGAATAGTGGAACCTGCAAGTTGGCTAACATCGCTGGGCTACCGCGCCCACTGAGCGCTCACTCAGATAGTCATTCACACGAATAGCATACGAAGAATGCTCGGGCATGTCTAGTGTAAGAACAAAGTAAGCAGAGAATTAGATAAGTTAAGGAATACTCGGCCGAGACGTCCGAGATTAAGCACAAGAAGCAAAGAAGTTTATCTAGGTAGTGCCAGGTTAGATCACAATTTACTGGTCTTGCATAATGATGTTCTGGCTCCCATCTATCCAGGCAGCCCAGGGTCTGTTCATCAGGGCGGCTAGGATGATTCCATCTCTTTGCGGGGCGAGCGGCGCCGTGCGGGCTGGCGGTATCCTTTACCCCCTGTAGGAGGTGCCCATCGGGGCTGGGATCGCCAGGGGTCCACGTGACGCAGGATCAATCTCCAGTTGAACTTTAGCCTTGACCAACCTCAATAGGGTTAGGATTTCGTGGGCATTGACTCTATGGGCCAACTATTGTCCCGAACGCTGGACAGCAGGAAGGATTGGAGTATCAGACGTTGTTGTGCTGGTTGTCGTGTTTGGTGTAAACCGCCTGCTCTGACAACGACGAATATCGATATGTGCTGCAAATATTTGGAATGTTCTCTAGGTGGCGAGTACTATGTACAAAGCATGAATTTGGAAGCATGACATTTAAATATTCGGATCCGAGACATCTCAACACTAGCAAGGATGTTCTGCTCCGCATCTGGTACAAGGTCGCCACTAAGCGACCAGTGATATGTCAGACTTGACAGAGCCAACAAATTGGCATCTTTAGCGATCTTGGTGTTTCAATCATCATCACTGCAGGACACTTAATAAGAGCAGCCCAACAATATCGGTCGCAACTATCCGACCAAACGAGACGCTTGCCGAAAAACCCGAAGAATAATTATGTTTTGCACGCACGCACGCACACACGGTCGTTCCTATGTCATGGATACATATGCCCTGAAGACGGCGCCTATATCTCTCTAGACATATATTCGTGCAAAAAGCAAAAACATACAACACCGAGGAATCCCAGTGGTCACCCACCTAAGCTGCTGAGTACGAATCCAGCGCTTTAAGGTCTTGTCTATGGGAGCAACGATTGCCGAAATCAGACAAATCGTATTCTAAAAACGGAGACCTCACATCCCAAGCACCCCAGTTCAAAATCTCTTGGTAATAACTAAATGAAACTCAAACGATTCAATCTACCTGGTTTAAGCTTATACCGCACCTTTTACGTTTCATTTTTTAACCCGTTTCTGTTTATATCTCTTTGCGGTTTCCACGGCGCCCATAGTAAAGTGCCCAAATTACTTAGGTAAAAATAGTCTCTTTTCTTCTTTTTCTCCCTGCAGCCATTTTAACTATACAACTTACGCCAATTGTTTAAATATTGACTGACGGATTGGTCTACATCTCCATCGTCCCCATACCGCTTTAAGCAATGCACGGCTCAGCGAAACGCACTAGCAATCCGGCCAATTGTCAGCGACGGCAACCTGGAGGTATATAGTATGGGCTATAAAGATAATGAAGTAATTGAAAGTATAGGCCATTGTATTTGTTAGCAGCAGGTCAGCGGTTTGTCGTAGGGCTACTCTTATAACGGATACTCCGGATTTGGTAAGGCCGCGATTAAATAATAACGGATGATAAAAGGTAAATGCCACACGGATAACTCTGGCCTCGGATAGCTGGGAATGCCACTAAATTGATGCCGGGCGGATTTGCCTTCTTTTAATAACACCGCGCGCGGGGGAGGGGGAGGACGGGTCGCCCGAGCTCCTAACATATATAACCTTAGACCTTTCGTTCCCCAAGGCACATCAGGCTCATCAGGCTCTGGCCGAATACCTATTCGAGGTGGGTTTCTAGGGTGGGCGTCGCAGACGTAATTCCTTTACCAATACACACTATTTTTCGACTATTGCCGTAGCCACAAGCCCAGCTGAAAGTCTTCGTTACTTATTACTACTCTTATTATTCGCCTTTTCTTATTTAAGTCCACCTCAGTCGCTGTTACTCAATGAGAGTGAGCCTTGATGTATAGTCATAGCCACCCACTGGTTATTGTGGTATTAGGGGCTTCAGCTGGTATTTACTACACACCCTGAACCACTGCAATATATAGTGCATATTTACTTTCGGTGTCACGATAGTTGCGCGGTCGATCAGGGTTAAAGCTGCTTGCTATGGGATCATATAATCTATTGACTAGGATGCTAAAGATAGGGAGTAGAGGAGGTTACCTACTGCAGGGTGTAGACGAGGGCGGTATATAACCGAAGTGCTATACATTATTCCTGGCCAGCCCAGACTGGTGATATGAAGTGACGTTGTGAAATTCTTATAGTACCGGCTTAGCCCTTTTCTAATGAATTATTTTGTTCGCTTTCGGCTTTTTATTTAGGGCTTTTCCGAGTGTTCTCTATGGACCACCCACTTTGAACATTAGGTGGTGCCTAGGGCTGTAAATGCCCATGTCCTGGGTGTGCACCTTACATGATACCTGGTAAAGTCCTTGGCTAATGACTCTTGGAGAAGCATGATAAGGAGGCGGGCCAAGATATACGGGCAAAATATCATCTCAGCACACTGAACACTTAAAACCATATCTATTACCACTACTTGGGAAGGCTAGCCTTCAATTCTCGCAATGTTTATCTCAAGCCACTGTGGAAGATAATGACTTGGGAATGTAAGTTTAATGCAAGTGTACTTAAAGATGACTACCATGCACCGAGGAAATCCTTTTCAAGCATACCTCATGACAGCTCTAACGTTGGATTGTCAGTCTACCATTTATTACATGGATTGTACTATATTTTGATTCTAAAAATTCTTAATACTCGTGGATGATTTCCGAGTAAAGCGTGACCATTCCCTTATGAGCCTTCTTGGCCTCCAATCCAAGACACCACTCGGCATCATCTGGAGCAGCGCGAGAAATATCTTCGAGGCGGCTTGCCCAGATTGTCCATCTACCTCGAGTCAATGGATGGGTTAATTCTACCGTAGGCTGTCTGACTTCTTGAGCTATTAGACGACCCGCAAGCAGGATGTACAATACGGCAATAGTGGCCTGACAAACCTGAGTCTGGTCTTTGGAATCAAACTCGGCAGTCTCAAGGCCAACCATGAGATCACGCCCCGCCCAGTGTAGTCCATCAGCACCCAGCATCCCTTCATTCAAAAGCCGGGCAATGAAGGCCGAAACGTTGACGGACTTGCTGCAATTATTTTTTAAATCTCTATCATTTCCGGCGTAATCGCCAACTATAGTGTAATATAATTTAGACTCAAGGGTCCGTCGCTCTATTTGCAGGGGTATCTTACCATGGGAATTATTCCATGCCTCGCCTGATACCATCAGCAACGGCCCATTCATATAAATAAGCTGTGGATTCTAGCAAATATTAGAAGATAAATAAATTACCCAAGAATATTAAAGATCTTTTCTTACTTGGTTGTTAAACTCCATCGGTGCATTCGCTTTTAGCCCGACTAAGAGGAGTGCTAAAGCCTCGTGTTTAGCATCGACGTAGGGAAGCTGACTTGCAAGGTCAAACACAAACGTGCACACGCTATGCAGCAGGCCCTCCGCGCCATGGTCAGTTTGCTGTCTATCTGGAGACTCTTCCTTCAGGTAGTTTGTTATGTAGCACTTTTGGATCTGCTGAACGGCGTTGTCTACAATTGACTCGACGTTGCTTGCTGCAATGGAAAGGAGCATATCTCGTATGAGACTTAGTATCTTAGCTTCCACCCCGGTGAAATCATTTAAAGATTCTGGAACAAGCTCTTGCTCTAGATATAAGAGCCATGGTGCTTTTGATAACAGCGAAGTTTCGCCGGCAATAGATGGGAGTTCTGCTGTGTTATTCATGGCGATGCTGCTGTCGGCACATTATTGATCAATAAGAAGACGATGAATTTAGGAAGTGCTCTCAAGAGCTACCAAAGGGAGGGCAAAGACTTGAGGTCTCCAAGAATGTAGCAAATACAAATTGCTCACATATATTTTGTTAGATCTAGCGTAGCTCATAATCGTTTATCACCTGGTCATGCGGGGTTGACTGGCCGTGCATTTTACCACCCACTGCATTACCACACCTGAAAAGCCAATCAGAGCAACTTGTATGGTATAAGCGTGCGGGCCATGGTTGATAATATGATTTCTGCTGCCGCGCGCATATGCAGGTTAACCTCACGATACCATCGTTAGCCTCCACGAATCACCAAAGGACTTTCTTTTTTTGCGGCTACCCGAGGCGTATACCCGCTCCTTTTGTCCTCCAACCGCTATAACCGCCTCCCACCCCTTTCCCAACCCCGACACCCTTGGTCATGCCTAGAAAATCAAAAACCCGGTAGCAAAACACATCGGCCTTGAAATCACAGTACTAGCACACCACCCAGGATCCAGTGCTTCCCAATCCCGCCACGGCGTTGCTCCTAGCCATGGCCGCAAATGTTGGCCGTTCCATTGCGCCACTCCGAAACGCCAGTTGCAGCCAACTTCACCAGCCTGCAACCTGTACCGACTATTTCTTTCCTAACTGTTCATGTAACAAAGAAGGTACAAGGTTTAAAGAAAGACTAGATTGATTCGAAGATAAAAGCTGGATTTTCTGTTTGAGCGAGAAATTCTGGAAGCTGTACGCCAGATCCTAGGAATGATTATCTCAAGCATGATACCTTTTACTCATTGTCTTAACTCTTCTTAACCCAAATATTAGGCTCCACTCTTTCTCACACAAGAATTCGTGACATCTAAATGGATCCACATCGTGGTATAGCTGTAAGTGGCCCACGAAGAAACTCGGATAATGAGTCAAGTAACATAGTAAGTGTTTGCTCACGTTATATCGACCTATAGTACTGTATTACAGCAAACGAGCAGTTATAAATACAGCAATACTAGACTCCCCGAGGGACAATCCCAATGTCAGTGCTGGCTCAGCATGTCGACAGGGCTCCACATTCAAGAAGACAACCCTGGGGATATTACCCGGCTATATATCGCAATGACGAGCCTCACGGACAGAACTTCCATCAGTTTGAGAATAGGAACGATAGGACGCTCTACGAAGTTCCTCTTGCCGCTCGCTTCGATATAGACAGGCGTAGAGCTACCCTCCGACAAATAAACAATGCAGAGTACGTCCAACAATAGGGCTCGCGTTTAACAGTCTTCCTTGAATGATCCAACCCCTTTTCGGGCATTAATACCATTGGACAGAATCTAAGGACGTGCGGGGGTGATCTATCATCCCCAAGACCGTCCTACTGGCTATAATCGCGCTCCGGTTGAGCCAATGGATAGAAACGGCTGCCATTTCACTCAGAGATATATAGATGATAATGCTAGCGTGCACCGTATGGTCACATGGCCGCTAAGAGATGAAGATGCTGCTAACTTAGCGACTTATAAGTTACACTATAAACAGGTTACGAGGCACAGGCGCTGACAATAATTCATCCGGGCTTAGAGAGAGTTTAAGATCTATAAGTGCATATGTATTTAGGAAAACAGATGGTTTTGAAGAAATTAGAAAATTTTATCAATTAATCTCGGAAAACTATTGTGGAATACGGGTGCCTACATGCTGATATAGTCTGATACACATTCGCCAACGGGCAGTATAGTATAAGACTAAGGGCGCCTGTATGAATAAATATAGTAACCGTGAAATGGGATGGAGCGTGTAGCGAAGCTAAATAAATACCAACCACGGGACGCCAGCGATCCTGAAAGCGAATACGTTAGCGAGACAAAAGCAACCGGCAGCTAAACAAGAGTCCCGGTCATGGCAAAGTGAGCTGGCCGCGTGATCCGACAAATCAGCGCTATACATACGCGCGCCTGGCAATTCTCGGAAAGGGGAAGGAGTAAGACGACCAGCGATAAAAAAGAGGGGACGTAAGTATAAAAAGCCGTCACAACGGCACCGGACCGGATCCAAAAAACGGTAACACAGAACCGTCAGTGCTCCGTATCGTCAAAGAAGATCCGTGCGCCCGCGCCCGCCAAAGAGAGACCCGTCTCCCATAGATATTAGTAGACAAAGGACCGCTTCCCAATTTATCTCGGGCAGAGCGGACGGGATGCCGAGTTTTCTAGGAGCTATGTTCGTATGTGGTGGTTGGGCGTTGTAGTGATGTACAGATAGACAAATCCTTGGGAGAAAGAAAAAATTTGTAGATATAGAAAAACAAAAACATACAACACCAGGGATTCCCCAGTGGTCACCCACCTGAGTACTAATCCGGCACTTCTCAGTTTATCTAGGGCAGAGCGGACGGGATGCCGAGCTTTCTGAGAGCTATGGTCGTATGTGCTCGTAATCGTTGGAAATAGTGAATATAATATTAGTATGCAATCTCAATCAAGTATATATAATCAAGCACTAAACCGACAGTATGCTTATAAAGCTAATAAATACCTATATGTTATATTCTACAAATCAGCAAAAAACCAATGAAAGGGTAAATTTTAAATGCGTATAAATTAAAGTTGAAGTAAAGTTATCTAAGGTTATGCGCTATTTTCCCTTGTAATATAACGAAAGGGGGAATCTCTTCACCCTTTACCGAGGAACATGAAAAAGAGCAGATCTCCCGCGACTTAGGACGAGCGTAAAATGGCTAGAGAAGCCGATATCTATCAATATGCCGGCGAGCGCTCCCGTATATTTGTGTCGAACCACATATGCTATTCCAATAACTGCAGTATATTAAGCGGGAGTAGAAATCCGATGTTAACTGTGAGTCGAGAGAAGTCACCAAACTGTGATATTGCCGCAACTCCAGAAGAAATGGCCGATTTGTCCATGTATGACTTCATAGACCAAGGTCAGAATTGATATGCTGCATTGTGGCTCAGCATTCACTGCCATGATACTGTACACTATCTAACACCAATACGAACGTTACATTCTCCCCTATCAATCCTACAATGCCGTCACTGATTTTCCACAGCAGTCCCCCATGATTGGTCAGCAAAACAGGGCTTTAGTGACGGTGGGAACGACCAAACGCATCACCACTACCAGAGTCCCGTCTTCTACAATTGCGAGAACTCCGCCTGGCATCTCTGGTCGGTCGAGTCGGGCGAGAGGCAGGCGATGAACCGCGTGGAACTAGCCTCGCCCTCTTACGGCTCAGCGTCCTCTTCTCGATGACGACGATGATGATGATGATGTCGTTGTGCTCTGCTATCTCGTCTGATGTCACGAGTCCTAAAATGCATTTATGCAGTAAAAGCTGTAGATCTCCTGGGTGCCAGAGTTCTACTAGTTCTTATGTCTGCAGACTTAGAAATATAGCCTTATTAGTCCAGGACCAAAGAGCTCATAATTCAAAGGGTAAGTGAGAACCAAGCACTTTCAGGAATGCTAGAGAAGCCATTGGTTGTCTTGCAAAACAGGGATATGCACTTTTGTTATCCGGGGAAAACCCTGTTGCTGCCTTGTGTAAACTGGGTTCCCATTATTGGTGTCATGTCGTACATATACTTGCTTAAAAGAAGAAGAAAAAGGAAAATCAAGCTTGCATCGAAAGCCGAGCTTGTAATTAGTTCAAAGGCACTGCCTTGGTCATGCAGCATGTTTCTGTCCATGTCATGGATATCTTTGATAACCCCATCAAGCGATCTTTACAATCTCTACATCCGACTCCTGGCCGTCTGCCTTGGAAGCTTGACTGGTTCGTTACATATATCAGTGAGCCCTAGCAAGTCGAGCAAGGATCGATAAACCCTTCCTGACCTTGAGTGTCCTTTACGGGGAATCCGGGGCCGGCGCATCGCCTTAAACGAGGTGTGTGCTAGACAGTTTTGTGAATCGATGCAAGACCAGGCCACCCGCGAATCTGATGATATCGGAATCCTTGTGGGGTAGATGAGTTTGAACGAAGACAGAATCCCAGCTCGGCATAGACGGCAGGCCATAAGTCTGACACAAATGTACATGCAAACGAGTAAATCATGGACGAGACACTGCCAACAATCTATCGGCGCGACGTCTCCAGACATCTGAGGACCTCACGACCTTGGAAAGCCGGCTTGGGAACAATCCGAGCGCCCCAAAAACACGCAAGGGCACAAGCATGGTTAACCGAAAATCATGACGCTTTATTTCATCCGCTATATGCCCAAGGTGCCATCGGACCTCTGTTGTCCTTCTTCTAGTTCTCGTTGCGGCGTCTTGCCCCTTTCCCTCCAATGTACACTGCCTCTCATATCTCTGGGGCCTTGCTGCTTTTTACTCGGCAACCTCAATGCTCTGGCTGACACCGTCGACCTCGCCGCTGTTGACCTTCTTACCGGTCTTCTTGATGGTCTTGAGCACGGTCTCGTATTCGAGCTCGGGCTTGGCAACGACGGTGGCCTCTTGCTTCTCGAGGGAGACGTCGTATGACTCGACTCCTATTCCAGGCGGAAAATCATCACCGTGTTAGCGAACCTGGACCAGGACAAGAGAGGATATCCGTCTCATTGGGTGGGCAGAGAGGAGGGCAGTGGGGAAGGTGCGCCTCCTGGACATTGGGCAGCTGCAGATAGCGAGGGGGAGCCAAACTAACCGTCGAGCTTCTTGAGCACTCTGTCAACGGCGCCGGAGCAGCCGCCGCAGCTCATGCTGACGTTGAACTTGTAGGTCTTGCTGCTCATTGTGTCTTGTGTGTCGGTGGTTGTTTGTCGTGAGATGGGGTCACAGAGATGCAGGGGGTTTTCCTTTTAGGGCGTCGAAAAGAACGGTCTCGTGGTTTGTGAGTGTTAATTTATATGGACGGTCGTCGCGTGGTTTCACTTTCAGCCAGAAGACGAGATTCACCCAGGGGGAGCGGGTGGGTAATCAATAAAGTGTCTTTATATAGGTTTCGGTGTCTTTGTTCCGAAAGTCAGCAGTATTATTAATTGAGCAAGTTTACAGTGAGCCGACAATAAGGGACTCGCGCTGAGAGGCCAACCCGCCACACGCTGCAGCTTGGTGGGATGGGATGAGCAATCACGTATCAACTCAGCTCAACGCTAATACCCCGCCGCACAAATCGCTAAGCTTAGTTCCCGAGACCGCCAATCACGTTTCGGTTCCACCAGACATGCGCCGCACTGTGTCCGGACCCTGGAATGTAGCTGATAGAACCTTGTGTGATACTGAGCTAACCTCCAGCTGGGTATTTAAGGAGCAGAACAAGCACCAAAAGCACTCCGTAACAGCAGTCTACAGTGAGCAGCACTGTGTTTCTATCTCCCTGAACACACTGACGACTTCCACGCCGAAGCTTGCGTGCTACTCTGGCTTGAACTAACACATGAAACTTGCTCATGTGGTACCGGGGCTGGCTTTGAAACTCACCCTGCTCTTCATTGCGTTTTGCGTGGTCCCCCCAGATGCTTTCAATCTGTACGCTTGGCATGGCACGAAGCGCGAAGCTTGGCCTTGCTTAGGTCATGGTACGGCTGGGAAATGATCCTTTGCGTTTTTTTGATGACCAGAGTCGCTTTCGTTTCACTTGCCAAGTGAAGCTTCCATTATTAAAAGCGTCACTTTAGAGATTTAACGTGGGTACAAGATCCATGTATGTAGTTACATAGCACACTACGTTAGATAATGGCGTCCTCTCAATACTTGTTCAATATTTGTTCAATATTTACATGGATAACATGCGGGCCATATCTATTGATCTGCATCGTACCTGAGATACACGTGGCCTTGCTGCAGACTGCTTGTGTGCACCGAGCACTTGGCATGCTGATGCCAACCAGCCTAGTTCTGCGATTACTGATTACTACACACAGAACACTCGGTTTGCCCCTCCTTAATGTTGGCGCCGAGCTATTTCATCATCAGAGTCATCCTGTACTGTGGGCTGCCGTCTCCCGTGGCTGTTACTATCCTCTCCCTCATCCTCCGACAGATGCTCCCTGATAAGAGCAGGCATCTCGTCGTCGCTATCAACCCAGCCGCCAGGTGTTTGTTGAAGCTCATCTGATGCAAGCCCGTCAATCTGATCAAGCTCTGCTGGGAGATCATCACCCTGGGAGTATCGCAATGGCATTATCATATCGACGAAACTCTGCCACAGCCCCCTCTGATCAAGAGCGTCCGGGTCATCATCACCATCGGTATCTTGACCCTCATCGCCTGTGTTATCCACGAAATCGCCGTCGCCGTTGCCACCGATGTCTTGTCCTGCCATGGCCTGTTCCAACGCTTGGAGAACCTCAACAGGCGCACCTTGTTGTCGTGCCTGATTAAGTACACGTAGAAAACCGTCGCGTCCACCAAGATTAGCGAGATCAAGTCCGCGTGCGCCAGACGCCCCGCCAGTAGCTGGACGATCCGGGTTCCACGGAAGACTTTGTGACTCGTAGCTGAAGATGTTTTCCTCCTTCGCCGGTGGTAGAGGGTCAAAATCCCAGTTCGGGAATCCGTGTAGCATACCCCCAGGCACCAACCCCATCAAAGCGGGTGTGTTGTCCAGGTAAACAAACCGTCCAACGTTACGACCGGCAACCGGTGACACAGGTAGGGATGATAGAGCAGGCTTCTGTGCGAGTGCGGCAGCTTCCTTAAGTAGTCCGGTGGCTTGCGGGTTATCCCATAACTGTTTGGTTTGGTGCAGATAAAGCTCGGTGAAGAGCTGCTCGTGTTCATCGCGCGGTTCCATGCCCCAAATAGCACGTGGCAGATCGAGGTTCAGCGCTTTGAAGATTGCGCTGTATAGCCACGGCAGCCTCTCCATGCCCTCAACGGCCAGTGCTTTCGCACCCGCAGCGTCCTTCTGTTGGAGACGCGCCAATACGAGAGTCTGTCTTATGTAGTCCTGTGCGGTATCGCAATGGTCCAAAGCTTCGGAATCGCAGAATTCAATGAACCATTTGGACTCGTGGGCACGGATTGCCAGGGGATGCATGAAGTGGATGACCCCATATGGATCACTGAGATCCATGCTGAAAAGCAATTTGGTCCACTCCAGAGCAGTCCTGTATGTGCCCTTCATCGTCAAGCTCCTCAGGTAATGGTATACTGCCAACCAGAACTGGCGGTTCTCTGGCCGCCTGAACTCAAGTCTGGCCTTACCCTCCTCCAACTTTTGGCGGAAGGCCGATATCGACACTCGGCCAAAAGTGAACAACGCTCTTTCACAAAGATCACCGGCAAGGGCGTTGTTCTGGTCCTGCTTTGCTACCTTGCTGACTTGGATCAAGCTGGAGATGTGGTACGGATGACGGTGGAGGAAGTGCACCAGCTGCATCGGATCGTACATCTGCACAAGCTGAAAGAACTGTGACTCCTGAGCGTCGTAGTTATCATCATGCGCAAATCCGAACTCGATCGTTCCACACTTGGTGTCGATAGTGCCGTCTTTGATCTGCCTCATGGTGAGGCCGTCCGCAGGTGCGCGTGGCCAGGTCTCTTTGCCAGGTAAGAAAGGATTTCTTCGCAGGGTGACTTCTGGCAACGTCTTGCCCGGCAGTCCCTTGAGGTAAGTTTCCAGGTCCACGTTTTGTCGTAGCTGCTGCATACCACGCCGGCGAGTGCGATTCTGCTCCTCCTCCTGTTCTTCGGCCCGTGCGGCTTCCATGGCGTCTTTGCCGAATAAGTTGCGCATCTCGTTGAGGACCTTGAGATGATACGTGTTGATGCGTAGAAGGTCACAAATTCGTTCGTAGGCTATAGACTCGGGACTTGTTCCAGAATCGGCACCACCAGCGACTTGCGCTTTGAGGTTGAGCTCGCGGAGTGCCTTTTCAATCTCATCCTCTTGGTCGGCTTTCGCCGATGGAACCTTTGCTTTCATGTCATGTCTTGTAGGTGTTTCATCGGCGGTCTTCTTGGCCTTCTTCTTCTTTTTCTTGCTCTTCTTAGCTGACGGCCTCGGTGTCTCTACCCGCTCCGGCTCATCTTTCTGCGGTTCGGGTTCGGGTTCGTCGTCTTCGTTATTATTATCATCATCGTCGTTATCGTCGCCACCACCCAGCGCTGCAAACCCAGAAAATGCGCTTGGCTTGGGCTTTGCGATAGGCACTTCTTCCTCACTCTCACTCTCGGACGCTGGGTTCTCCAGAGCTTGAAGCTCTCTTTGCTTCTGCAGCTTGCGAAGCTGTCTGCTCGACATGATGACAGGAATCGATGAGAAGTTACGTCGAGACAAAAAGAAATAACGACTGCAGAGTTCTGAGTAGCTGTCCCAGATACCTTGATTCCCGGGAACTCTGTTGCGCAAGTATAAATTGCAGGCGGTAATATGGTGATGTTGGTGGGATGAGGAATTCTATGGTGGGGCAATCCCTTGACTGGCGATGATGTAACCCGATCGGCGTGTGTCATCGGCAACGTCCAAAACATTATATATACTGCATTCCCAAGCGTCAACTTGAAAAATGTGTTAGCCGTCTAGCATAGTTTGGCATCTGTTTGACTGATAATGACACGAAAACAAATACATCCTTTTTCTTGCTTTTCACCACATATCTATTGCACCATGTCATGTAACGCATAGGTAAACAACGCCAAGTGATGTGACGTCTAGTTGTGTTGAGTTGAGTACTAGTAGGATCGCTTCGACCAACCATCGGAACTCATAAACCATCAAATCATGCTAATTAGCGACGCCCCTCAAGCATGTGGGTCACTGGTTTCGTCGAAAGAAGAAATGAGTCCGCACGAGCAACGGCCTGGCAAACGGCTCGACAAGCCGTACGGCCTTCTTTCCTCGATCAAGCCATCAACCAACAGCTCCATCCTCGTGAGTCTCTCATGTTGGTACGCCTCCTTCTGTTCGAGATAACCGATCCTGGCTTCGCTCATAGCCTGCCGTTGCGTAAACACCATCACGTAGTTCGTAAGGTCGTTCAGCAGGGCCTGTCTGCTGTGTAGCTTCTGTTTGAGCTCCTCTATCTCCCGGAACAGGTCTCCGCCATCAAGGAGTTCCTCCCACGTGGCATACGCGTTAGAAGGAGTGTGAGAGAGGGATTGGTGTATAAAACTCGACGATATCGATGGAGAAGGTGAAGGGCGGTGGTTCTTCAGGTGCTTCTCCCTATCGTCGGGAATGGGTATCTCGGAGGGTGCGGTGACTGCAAACTCACCCCCGTCGCCACCGACGGTAGAGTCCCGCGAGACGTGAAGCACGCCGCTACCGCTGCTGCTGCTCGAGCCGCTTTTAAAGCTGGCGGGCTCTAGCTTGGTATCGTGGTTGTGGCTCGTGTTGGACATGGTGGTGATTGTAACTGGTAATACAAGCCGCTGATTTCTGTTGGTGTTTTATACGCTTGAGTCTCAGTTATTTTGGAGGGAAGAATATGTCCCCTCTATAGAAAACCATCAAATTTTGGGAAATTTATAGGGTGGCTTGGTAGACAATCATTGGAGTGTCAAGCCACATAACCAAAACTGCATCTGAATCACTGCAAGCAATCACCCAACAAACCGGGATTTATGAAGCAGTGGGAGGAACCACATCCTCTGGTGACAGTAGAGAAACTACAAGACGCGGAGCGACATCCACCTTCCTCTTCGAAACTTGTGATATACCCTTTCCTGCGTGCTGCAGCATGTCTGACTCAAAGGTAGCAAAATATGATAAACAGTCACATATTAACGCTTTTACGCCCCTTGAGACAGGATAACCACGGATCAGACAGACAGGGATGGTTCGCCACGGACAGGATAACCGTGGTGTATCTGTTAGATCTGTCTAAATCAGAGGAATATATGATGATCAGCGCAGCCGCTTCAGAGGGTTCAGATTAATGCCTCGGGGTTAGCTTCAGTCGTCACAGCTCTGAACTATGTAATATTCACGGAAATGACAGATTGGGAGTAGAAAAGCATCATAAACTTATAACAGCAGGTATATAGTCGTTTCATCTGTGCGGCACATCAATGGAAGCCACTGATGCCCAAGTCAGCATGGGTGTCATGTGGAGGCCACAGCAATTTCAAGCCATTGTTTATCACGAATCGTTTTCTGTACCGACTGGTTTGTGTGGTTTGTGGCTTTTATTTTTGAGAACGCTGCATGAGCTATGCGTTCAAACCGACCGCTTTGGTAAGGAAGATCGCCATCAAGCCAATAAATACGGACCGGCGTGTATATGTTCAATCCCAGTCGCCTTTGGCAAATCCTCGGCCACCATCAAAACCACCTGACGCCTTTTCATTTTGTGATCCTCGTAAGCAACCTCATATGATGTCGTAATGCTACAAGCTGTACAAAAAGAACGGGCACACCGTTCGAGTTTCGTTGACAAAGGCGTGTCTGATGTCCATGCCCTTCCGTTACGTGGACCTAGACTATTGAGGCGCGCCCTGGCTCTCACCTCTAGGTCTGAAACCACCACGTCCACCACGACCACGGCCTCGACCACGACCACGGCCGCGGTAACCACCTCGGAAACCGCCATCAACGCTTCCTTGGCCGAAAGTCTCCATGTTCTTGCGCTGTTCCTCTCCGCGCCACTCGCGGCCACCAGGCTTTGGACCGCTGCTGTCGGCACGGTCTTTGGCTTCGCTGGAGATGTTGTCGAAGAAAGACGTGGTCTTGTTATATGCTGGAGGCGCGGTCTCGCTACTGGGAGCCTCCTCAAGCTCGGGGGTAACACCAGTTGGCACCTCTTCCAAAGGTGAGCCGCTGGCAATGGCCTCCTTGACAAGGTCGTGCTTGTTAAACTTTGCGTTGGCGGCGCCGAAATCAAAATCTGCGTCCGGGACCTCAACCTTGGCGTTGCCTCCCTGACGATTGCCACCACGGCCACGACCCCGGTTGGGACCTCCTCGGGTGGCATTGACTCTCATCTCGTCCACCCGGCTGGCGAGGTTGTCAACAGCGTTCCCTGTGCCGTTCGCCGAGGGCCCAGCAAAGCCTGCGTTGGTAGCATCAAGCTTGGCCATGGCTACTGCAACTGCTGCCTTAGCCTGCTGCGTTGCATCTCGAAGGGAAGCGGCCGTGACTGGTGCATTGGCCGGCTCTGCTGGCTTTACAGCTGCTGCCACGGCAGCAGTTTGAGGAATGCCCTGTGGCCCTGAGCCCCTCTGAAGAATAGCGTTTGGGAATGGGACAGCGGGCTGTACTCGGTTGTTTCTAGGGCCAGTCGGCGCGTTATTTCTCTGTTGTTGTGGGCCTTTGGCCGGTGCGTTCGCGGCCAACGACTCGGCAGTAGCCTTTACCTCAGCGGCAGAGGGTTTCGAATCGACCGGCGGCGTAGGCGCGGAAGCAGTTGCGGGTTGGTTTGGGGGCTGTCCGGCTTGTCTGTGCTCACCGGCAAGCTCTTGCGAAGAAGTCGCAATAGACCGAGACTTGTCAGGCCCAGGAGCGGCGCCAGCACCAATGGGGGCGGGCTTATCCTGCTGAGGCGGGCCTCCCATGTTGGGTCCAGGCACACCAGGGTGACCATGAGGTCCCGCGGGAGGGTATCCATAAGGGTTGAAAGGACCAGGAGGGCCAGGAGGGAAGCCTTGCCCGGGAGGGAACCAGCCGGGTGGAGGAGGATAGGGCATGCCACCGAATCGAGGGTCGGGGCCAGGACCACCTTGGCCTCCCCATGGTCCACCAGGTCCCGGAGGGTAAAAAGGCGGTTGTTGCTGGAAAGGCGATTGTTGGTTGAAACCGCCAGGAGGGTTCTGCGGGCCGGGGACAGGGCCTTGAGGGCCTTGAGGGCCGACAGGACGAGCTCTTGCCTGGGAACGAGGCAATCAAATTAGCACATGATTCCAAGTTAGGTGTTTAGGGATTAGGGAGAACAGGTGTGCGTGTTGGATCAGAAGGAAGGCAACGGAAAATATCAACATTATTTTTGCGCTTCAGATGACAAGTAGGTTTACATCCGGAAATGTTTCGTCATATAGAGCACACATGAGGCATTGGTTGGGGGGATGAGGTGCAAGACTTACGCCAACAATTGCAGGGTCATCGGGCATAACAGGAGGCTTGTTCTCTTTGGCGGGGGCGGTTTCCTCGATGCGCAGGTCCTTCACATCGCTGCCGCGAAAGACAATGTACTCGTAGACCTGGTCAGAGGGAGAGATCTCCTCCTCAGGCTTCCCCCTGCGGCCTTCGGTACCGAATGACCTGACATTTTCGAGTGATACGGTTGACTCCTCGGAATTGATCTCGTGGAGTACACCAGAGTAGCGGATGTCGCTCTTGGAGATGAGTGATATTCGTGAACTAGAGAGAGGCGGGCAGGTCAGTACGACGTGAATGTGAACGAGGATGTGCACATGAATGTGAACATGGAGGTGAATATTTGCTATATGCAAATCAACCCGAATCAAAGCAAAGCGGACAGTTTGTGGGGAAGCAACGCAAGGCAGCTCAAGTCAACGCAACACAACACAACACAACGTAACTGAGCTGTAGCTTCGAAGCTACTGGGGGGGTTGGGCAAGCTCTTGCAGGTTGAGGGAAAGGTGGTCGTACCCGAGGAATTCAGACATGTTGGCTGTGTTTTGTGCGCTCGGTGCGCAAAGAACTCAGGTGATTCCGATGTTTTTTATTTTTTTTTATTTGAGAGGTAGAATTGAGGACGAATGGGTTGTCGTGGGAGCTGTAAATGCTGATTGGTATACGGAATAGTTGATGTGGGAATAATGCCAATGCACATTCGCCGGGCGCACGCGCACGAGTAAGGTGACGAACCAGAAATGCTAAATGATCTGCGACCGAAAGAGGCTGAAAGTCAAATTCGAATGGCTAATGGCCAGAAATCGAGAAATCTGGGAAGCGGGGGGATGCAGGCAGTTGCTGACCTCACAAGGCTCAAAGCTTGTGCTCAAGCTTGCTCAAGCTTCAGGTCCCAAACTGCTTCTGTTTGATTGTTTGTTTTTACAGTGAAACCGAGAGAGAGACCTAGTTACTGTAAGTTACTCTGTAAGTTAGTGGTAGTCTAGTGGAAGTCGTCGCCCAAGTTAATAAGATCACAGCTGTCGGCAAGCGTTGAGATATTTTGCCAGTTGGCGCATACCAGTATCTGACTGCACCAGGGGTTCAATCACTCCTCGAAAGTAACTGCTAAATACTAACAACATCCAGTCCCACCTGTTCTGCCTTGTCTTCTTCACATCCGAGCACCTACCGTTGCGCACCTGCACATACATTCATGATTGTCTCTAACCAGCACAGTGCAACCGGCCACCTCAGAACAATCCAGGTGGGATTTCTTGCTATTTACTGGCTGGATGATAATAATACAGGGTATCCTAGTAGGCCACAAACACCACGCCGCGTGAAGCACTAATCTACATCCATATCTGGGGAATCATCCGGCGAGTCAGAACCGGAACTGCTCGTGGTATCGTCGCCGTCTGCCCCTGCGTTGGCCTGGTACGCTGCTAAGAATGCTGCACGTTGCTCTTCGTTCTCAAACTCGAATTCAGGCTCACTTGCGTTCCCTCCCCCATCTTCCCGGACCTCGCCCTCTTCCTTAGAGCTGGGCCCGATATCGGGGCCGGGTCCAGCGTCTGAGTCCGAGTCTGAGTCTGAATCCGAGTCTGAAGCATATGCCACCAACGTATCGCTCTTTCGTTTCTTGCTATTTGGCTTTGATTCGTTCTTCGGCTTGTTTAACACGTATCCGACAGGAAGGCTTGAGTTGGCCGGCAAGACGTAGATCTGAGGAAACTCAACTACCGTCAAGCCCTTCAAAATAGTCTCCAGAGAGTGTGTCGCAGAAATCGGCACAAGTTTCTTTGCTTCCCTAGCTGGGTCCCTAGGGTTTCCGAGGAAGAACTTATACTTGTCCTTGTCATGCCGTATCCCTGAATCTTTCGAATTCTGCTTCCCCATGACTGTCGTCGTGTTCCATCTTCCGGTTGAAGAGAGCTGTAAATTGCTGAAGGCCTCGGTCCATGTCCCCGAGTTTGCGCGCTGGAGCCCTTGGACGTCGGGCTCGTCGTCCTCGTCTTCTCCATTTTCCAGTCTTTTGGCTTTTTGCACTTTCTTCTCTGCTTCTCTCTCATCCTTACTAAGTATGTGCCACTGGCAGTCTCCGAAAGCCACGTATAGGGGTGTTGTGTCTGGCGCCTTGCTGAGAATTCTGGCGGGGGCGTCTTCTGAGCCAAAAAGGAGCCACTCAATTTGCCAATTGATCGCTCGCAGCTTGTGGCTATAGGCGGTCTTATTCTCCCTTGCCCTAGTCATGCCATATGGTGCATGCTCAACGTTGATACCTAGTTTGCGTAGTCGTACGAGCGCTGTTCTGGCCCATGGTCGTAGCCCTTCTCCTAGAGTAGTCCTTCCCCGACTTTGTCCTTTGCTGAATCTCGCCCGCTTGTTCGGTCGGGTGTCCCGCTCTCGCTGGGGCAATATTCCTCGTTCTTCGGTGAACTCCTTCTCGGCCTGCTCGACCTTGCGCTCCAGTTTATGTAAGAAATTGTAATCGTGGTCGATGCCGCGATCAGTTCGTAGTTCGGCGGGCGGGATGTAGACGGTAGGGTCGCGCTCGCCGGTACAGGATGACCAATTTTTATGCTTCTTTACACATGCCAGCGAGCATGTTTTAGCACCGCATCGTGGGCATTTGTATTTCGGGTCTCGTATGTGGCATATTCCGCAAAGAGAAGTGAGGAGAGGATCGTCGGACATGACAGGCGTTGGGAGTTGCGACTGAGGTTTGCTCAACTAAGCATGCGCGATGCAGTGAATAATACAGATATTCGGTTATTATCAACTCAGATTATTAGTGACAAGTCTAAGAGACACCTCAAAAGCTAATGGATAATAAAAAGCATTACTGGCTGTGATGAGATCTGCTCTCAGATCACGATAAGAGTCCAGATAAAGGTCGAAAGCAACTTTTTGGGACAGATTTGGGACACTTATCCTCATCTGCCCCACGTCATGGAACATGCAACGATCCTCGGCAGCATCCGTCACTACTTTCAAGACAGTCCGGGTGGCGGGGCCGAATTTTATGATGCAAACGGCGCTGTTCGGAGCTTGTTGAAGAAGAATCACGGCTTTTTACATGAACGGCAAATCGAACCAAATCAAATCAAATCAGCCCAAATTGAGCCTGTAATTGACCGCCACAGCACCCTGGCTTGCCCTATACTGTTTGACTTTGAGATGAGCGAAGAAACAGAAATGAAGGTCGATCCATCCAGAGCCAAAGCTCTGATCTCACAGCTCAACAGTGTCAGTGAGCGCATCACCTCCGTTGCTAAGGGCAGCACCGTAAGCCGAACTCCTCTTCTTGCCATCCTCCTCCGGGCGGCCAATGGCATTTTCTTCTCCAAACATCGTGTATACACGGCAGTCTACTAAAATCTTCGCACGCTAGGTTCGATTGGTTGCCGTCTCAAAGCTGAAGCCTGCAAATGACATTCTGGCACTGTTACAACCGCCAACGTCGCACTTGCACTTTGGAGAGAACTATGCCCAAGAGCTGAGCCAGAAGGCGGAGTTGCTTCCAAAGAGTATTCAATGGCATTTTATAGGGGGTCTGCAGTCAGGTAGGTTACTTTCAGACGCCTCCATGACTCTTTCCACCAACACAATATCTAGGTCACTGCAAGAACCTAGCTAAGATACCAAACCTCTTCTGCGTGTCCAGTGTCGACACTGCCAAGAAGGCACAGCTGCTGGACGAGCACCGTGGCAAGCTGATATCGTCAGCATATCCTGCGACACCTGTTCCCAAGCTCAACATCCACATCCAGGTGAACACGTCCGGCGAAGACTCAAAGTCCGGATGTTCGCCTGGTGCGGACACGGTAGAACTATGCAAGCTCGTCATAAACGAGTGCCCGAATCTGAATCTTCTCGGACTTATGACCATCGGTGCAATTGCGCGGAGCAAAGAGACTACGCCGGAAAACGAGAACGAAGATTTTGTGTGCTTGAGGGAGCAGAGGGACTTAGTGGCCAAGGAATTGGGCTTGCAAGGCAAGAAGGAGCTGGAATTGAGCATGGGTATGAGTGAGGATTTTGAAGGAGCCATCTCCATGGGCTCAGGCGAGGTCAGAGTGGGCAGTACGATCTTTGGCATCAGAGGGCCGAAAAGTGAGGCGAAGATCACTGTATAGAATCAACTATTCATCATCGCTGCGTCCAACATGGAAGCAAATACCAAGCAGGAAGCTTATTCTTGATGTATGAGTGGTCAATTCGAGTCCTCTCATGTCTTGACTTCTTTCTAGTACCCAGGTAGACTCTAACTACTCACATAATTCCAGCAGTGAGCGTCGAAGGACACTTCTAAAACAAAAGGCTATTATAGAAGGATTAGATCGTTGGTGTTCTTCCTATCCGAATCGCTGACAGCCCAATACCCGTTCCCTGCACCTTCCTGAACTTCCACCTCAAGTTAGCATCAAATGGCCGACACGGATTCATGGGTGGTTAAATTGCACACAGGAACTCAGCTGGCACGCACGATGATTGGACATGTAGCTCTGGTGCACCGCTTTGTCATAATACGGTACCTTGCAAGATAATCAATAAGAGACTACGAGAGCTTTGGAGGTCTGGATTACAGTCTCTAGAAAACTATTTAAACCGCCAGATAGCGCGCTCGCTATCCTGGGTTCACTAATCGCCATCTCACCTCAAACACCATCTAGAATTATCAAGGCAGTAGGAAAGCATCGAGCACCAAACAAGTTTAAATTACCACAATCAGCCAACAAAATGGCACGTGACAACGACAATGGCGGGGATCCAGCAGATCGAGATCATGGAGCCTTCAAGCTGAGGGCCTATTAGGAACTTGCCCTGAATATATGAAGTAAAGGCTACGGAAGTGCTTAAGATATCGACTACTTATGATGAGTGTCTGGAAGAGCATAAACGGGCGGTTTTATTCAGCGAATTTTCGAAACCCTATGATAAGAGCGAATTCAGCCAATGGTGGCGCTCGAAGAGGATTAACACCTGATGTGGCGGATCTGTGCTTCATAGCATATGCATTTTGTTATGAGGGTTACTCCATTCACTCATCTACGGGCAAGTCCAGCCCTCTCAAATAAATAAATAAACGTACTGCAAAAATTACTTTGGTGTCTCCACTTCAGGTCTCGAACTTGTTCCTTGTTGTGCGTAGGTAAGTGACACTGACACGTCTATTTCTCACACCGCAATGTCAGGTTCATCTAAACATACTGCTACTTGATAAATCTCTTTACTTGACATATATTGACGGCTGCAAAACATCTCTATCATCAGTAGAACTGATACTTGGCAGTCACGATGCCTCATTGTGCGATCTGTCGAGAGGAACACGAAGATGCTGCCGAGCTGAGACTTCACATTTGGAACAGCGCAGATCACCCATATAACGCCTATTGCGAGATATGTACTACATGGTTCGCAGAGGAGAAGGACCTGTTTTCACACTTTTACTACCAGCATTTCAGATGCAGTACGTGCGACTGGAACTTCGTTGATGGAAATGCACTGCAACAACATCTCAGGGACAAGCCTGAGCACAAAAACAAAAACAATTACTGCCTCCTATGCAATCTGTACTTTGAAGACATCGTTCACCACAGTATTGATACATTTCACAACCATAAGTCCGTATCGACTGCACATCCCTGGTGTGATGTCTGTTCCCTGGAAACCAAGTCTCTGGAATCGTTACATGACCACTTCATGGCCATGCCAAGCGACCATCACTTCTGCGTGCTTTGTAAGACAATATTTTCTCAGGAGGATGAATATGAGTTCCATGCCAACAAGCATCACACCTGGTGTTCGATTGATCGCAAGGTCTTCGCAACTGAGCAAGCATACAAAACACATGTTAAAGCCAATCAGGACACTCATTTCTACTGCATCAAGTGTGATGAAGCTTTTACATCGGCAGAACAGTTGGAATATCATGTTTGGCGCAACCGCGCAACACACGAGACTCCCCCAGTTGACCACGATGCCTCCCAAGACTTCCAATAACGCTGTGTTGTCTCCACAATGTCTTAAACTTCATCGACAGACCAGAACTTCCCGGCAAAGATCGAACATCATTGTTTGACAAGCACGCAGAAGTTCCCCTCGAAGAAAGAAATGCTCCAGCATTGTGAGAAAGGAGATTGCTACATCCTGCCTGGTCATCTGTACACACTAATTCGCCACAAGGATCTTGCCAACTATTTTACAATGTCCCCTGATAAATCGCGTATTCCGGGAAGCACCGCTGAACCACATAATTTTAAGTGTCCTAATCCTAGGTGCGGTGTGCTTTTCAAAAAGATTGTGAGACTGTTCAACCATTTAGAACTCAAGGAATGTGGCAATTAGGTAAATAATTCCCAGATCGAAGCATCAGAGTTCATTAGAAAAGATGTCGTGTTCTGTGAGGAACAAATTCTTGACATTAAAGATTATCCCAGATGGGTTGAAACCGGAAAATCCCCCAGCGGTCAAGAATTAATGATCGGTATCTCTCAGATAATGGCTTTGTTCCAGCCAACACTAAGCAGAGTTGAGGATTTGTTGGTTTTTACAATGGTGAGATAGTTAGTATTGCATCAACTAGCTGGCAATAATATCAATCAAATCACCCATGTTATCGCTATGTTTGCATGGGCGTATCAAGCTAGATAAAACGTATATCGTAAATTGGCTTATACCAGATCCTCTTTTGCCTTCCTTGACACTGCAGAATAGTACTGGAACAACACGTTCTGGGTGCCAGGTAATAATATTGGTTTGAAGGCTGACCTGTGTGAAGCAATCATACGGAATTCCAGAGCCATTTACGGAATCTGAGTATCATATATATTGACAGGAACAAGCTCCGAAAACAGCTGTGAAAAAAGTGGCGGAAATGAAGTATGGCAAACCCCCCAGCCTGCTTTGTTCTACGACCAATGCTCATCAATACTCCGATGATTCTGTTGCGTCATCAACATGACCCAATCAGAGGGAGTAACTTCTCTTTCCAATTACATTGACTTACTGAGCGACGGACTGGTTTTTAGTTACGCTTCTTTTGAAGTAGGGGCGGCAGCACGCTTTCTCTTTGATGCACAGTTTGCAAGGGCTTTTACTTCCGCAGAGCGCTTAGAACCAAACACCGCAAGCGTGACGATGACACCATCTGCGGAAGCGAAGCAGGGGTTACTGCGACGAAAGAAGCACCAAAGAGCGCTGAGACAACATTCGAGATCTTCATTCTAATGGTGTTAGAAACTGATATTTTGATGCTTGGACGAGCTGTCTGGGTTACCAAAAATGAGATTTTGTGGCTTGGAGAGTGTTCTATGGGAAGATGGACATAAAATTATTGGTGGTTTGTAGAACTAAAGGTGTAGTTATACTAATTCTAAGTTATTAGTGAATTAGGTCATTTTTCTGTCTCATGGAACTTTCTGGGGTGATCACTCGGTTAGGCATATTGGCAACTAGACTGATTACAGCTTTCCGAGCAGTCTTCACTTCAGAGGCACAGCTATCAGCACATAACCGAAGCTGAAGACTGGAGTCAACCGAATATTGCATTGATGAGCCCAATTACATCTAGGACCGAGCTTACCTATCACCTAATAGCAACTCCACCAAATACAATCTGTATTGAAACAGTCGGCCATGGACTTGGAGGTAGAATCGGTTATCGAAAGCTTAGTGCTGAAAGGCGATGAACATCTAACACCAAAGTCCTTTCTCGACGACCTGCAATGAATACCCAACCAACGGCAAATATTCACCGTGTTACTCCTTCGCACCTCTACCATCAACCTGATCGTATGGTTCTGCAACCACAATCACTTACTCTGTTCACTATACTAGGAGGTCTAGACGGAGAGGTAGTAAAGCCGGGCATATAGTTCCACGACGAAGAGTTTGCCACTTCCAACGCTTCACAGGCTTTATAATAAGCGTAACTAACTTGGTTTGCACAGTCAAAACAAAGCTTGTGAAGTTCGAATCCAAGACGGATGACTAGGTTCTCGGACCAAATGATCCCAATGTGACCGATAGCATATTTGAGAATTGGACTAGAATGTTGCTAAGTAAGTTTATATTCTATTTAATTCTCTATTGCAAGGTTATGCATAATGCTAACGTTTAAAGATGGGTAAGGATTGGTAAAAGTACCAGACTGGCAGGACTACACATATCTCATAAGGTCGACGGAATTAATCAATAATGAAACCGCATACAACACCGCTTGGATCCATCAGCTACGCTGCGTGTACCGGATCATGCGCGAATACCACCGGGTGCTCCGTCATGGGCCAAATGGAACAGAATACTTTATCAACCAGACGCATAATTATCATCACACGAATTATTGCTTCAACTGCATCCAACAGGCCATTCTCTGCGGTCTCGATGGCATACTCGAAGGAGCCGGGGAGGTTGTAGGTGTTGCAATTAAATCTGGACAAACGCATGTGTGCAGGGATGATCAGCACAGTATTCAGTGACTTATCCGGAGGTGGTCGGGAGAGCATAATTCTCCATCGGATTTGTAAGACCCCGGATAACCAATTCATCCAGACAAATTACCGTATGGAGGAAACACATGTGTCGAGCCGGCGAACCGATTTCAGAGTCAAGAATCCATGATTAGAGCTACAGAACCCGATGGCGCTACCTGTAGGAACAAATTGCTGCGAACACTGGGGAGTCTTCCGATTTGGACTCAAGGCATCATTCTACACTCGATTGAATGTCTTCTCAAGGGAAAATTCCAGTGTACCGCGATGCCAACAAATCATGGCACTCGCAGTGCCGTCTCTAGTCTTACACAAGTGCGAGGGTTGTCTCTAGGCGTCTTTTGCTCTTCTCACTTTACTTCCAGACTGAACATACCTCTTACTTCTCCTATCTAGTCCCAATAACTGAATTGAGAGATCCGCGAACATGGACAACCACGATTTGGCATATGAAAAGCTTTCAGCTGAGTCGTCTGGCACCACCCCCAGCCCCCAACCCCCCCAATCCCTACTCCTTGAACAGAGTGACAATACATCTCCAAAGAGAGTGGCCATACGGCGTTCCTTCTTAGTTATTGCCAAGATCCCAAATCTGGTTATGCTGACACAACCACAACCCAGAACTAAACGCTTCATGTGCATGCAAGTACGCAGGTACAATCGGCCCATACTAACATAACATGCTCTTCGGCGGAAACGGCCCGAATACCGGTCCCTGGGAGCTGTCCCACGAGGAAGTGCCATCGGGAAATGGCAGCCTATATGAGCGAGGCAGGCGGGCATGTTGCTAACCCCTAAGCCGAAGGCCGTCGCGGCTATACCCCGGTCCCGGATGTCAACACTGTCTTGGCGAGCCTCGGTCTAGGTACCGCGACATCCGTGGATGAACGCAGGTATCATGGCGGTTTATATCCTCTTTCCAACATCGCAGCCACATTCTGCCCCTACCGGTCTGTTGGGGTGCGCAAGGGGAGAACGCAGCAGCAGGAATGAGTAGTAGGACGGGGACGCTATAGCTGAAGTGCTGCAAAACACAAGGCATACTTGTCCGCCGATACTCGCAAATGCGCTAAAGGCGTTATGATGAGAAGAAAAAGAATTGATAGGATACTTACGCCGTTGCATTTTTAAATTCCGCTTACGCGAGAGCGTCTGTTCCAGGTAGAAGATTAATGAGTAATATTGTCAAGGAACCATCTCCGTCCCCTATATATCCACCTGGGAAACGAGAACAAGATTGCTGCTCGAAAGACACAACCTGATGTAGTGTAGGCACCCGTACACATTTTAGGTACACGTGGTTCTCGAAGGATTTCTCAGTGATGGCGACGTGCTGAGTACGCCTCTCCAGCTAGGGAGTTCGTTTACGTATTTAGTTCGTGCAACATGGAAATGATTGCTCACCCCATGCAGCAATCTGGCCTGCAAACATGTATACGACTATTGCCAGCATCCAGCAGGCACATCGAGTGTACAGTGCTCGTTTCGACCTGCAATGAGCTCTTGACCCTTAACAAGCAAGAATCACGATCTTCAGCGGGGTGCAACCTTATTTGTTGATAGGGGGGTATATATTTTATTTATGATTTATTCTCCAGTATATCTTTCAGGTTGATCTGTCCGCTGCCCCTAGGTAATGGCTGTGCTTGGTCTGCACCTTCTTTCCAGCCAATCATATAGATCAGCCTGAAGGTAGCCGGGATCGTTCCATCCTCATTGCCGTGTAGGCTCCTATAAATGGGATCCGCGGCCAGCAGGACATCTCTCCCAATTGGGCCCATCTCGCGTCCCAGGACTGCGTTGCCCTCACCCATGGCCTGGAGATCTTGCATAAGCGCAAAGATATCGGGGTAATCGACAATGATGTCGTCAACGTCCACACCGACCATCTTGAAGTTGACCCGCTGGAGCAGACCACCGACATCCCGAACATCTGCCAGTGGACTCACGTGGGGGCCGATGCCGCCGCGGCGTTCTTGTTCAGCGAGCTGTAGCGATGTTCGCAGCTCAAACAAGGTGTCGCCGCCAAACATGGCGCCCATAAATGCACAGTCGGGCTTCAAAACGTTGTTGATCTGTGACAAGAACCCAACGAGGTCGTTGACCCAGTGCAGACTTCCGGAGCTGAGGACTAGGTCGAATGAATTGGCGTCGTACGGCAGTGTTTCCTCGTCCTTCAAGACGTCTCTCGTCATGTTGATCTGCTTGTTGAAATCGAGCTCTGCATCCCGGAAGAGAAGGGATTCTGATGAGTCGGCGGCTGTCAGATGACCGACCCTCGTGACGAGTGGTTCCGCCACTGGCATGTTGGGGTCTGGGTCTGGGTCGGGGGTGACCAGGGCGCGAGCAATGTTGCACGAGTTTGCGCCAATGTCGAGGACTTTCGGGTAGTGGCGCTTGATGTCGAGCAGGCGCTCACAGAGGCGCGTGGCTACCTCATCCTTGAGGTAGTCGGCAGTGCGGCTTTCGGCGACGTTGGCAGCGGCGCGCTCCTTCTGCAGCCACTTGGTTCGTCGGTTGAAGACCTGGGACAAGGGTGCGCCGGCTGAGGTAAACGCATAGGACCTACGCGTGGATATGGAAGGTATCCTGGAGGCGAGGGTGCAAGGCCGGGGAGTAATTGAAGTGCTACATGCTCGGATGAGAGACGAGGTCGGTGGCTGAAGAGTAGGCTTCATCCTCGTGGGTTGTTTACGTGGTGGTTCACATTCTGGAGTCGAACGCCAAGGGAAGGAGTGGGACGGAAATGCCCAAACATTTTATTTTGATACAAGTCGTGACGTTGAATAGCTCCTCGGGGCTCCTCAGGCGCCTGTCGGTTTAAAAGTGAGCTTAAGCTTTCATCCTTGCAAGCCTTTAACAGACGTAGACTAATGTTGAGCTTGGCAGATTTCGGCAGGTGGGGAGAGACTAAGCTGGATGCGACTTGGGCCGGCCTCGCCTCCATGCGAGCATGCGAGGATGCGAGGGCCCACGGGCCATGTGCAGGTGGTTTGATGGGGCCGCAATGCCACTAACTAAACCCTCCCCCGACCCAATTGCAGTGCAGTGCAGTGCAGTGGGCGGAACAGTCAGAAGCTCACCCGCTGAATACATACCTACATGCAATTCTGACAGCACTGTAACTTACATCCTTGTGACAACAGCAGACTTGGGACGTCCTCTCCACACCCTTTCCCGATCAGTCTGGCGAATGAAGCCTTCCCTGAGACATTCTTCTCAAGATTGAGCACTCGTATGAGGTCGTCGCATAATACTCTTGACTGAAACAAAACCACCGTCGAGCCCTGCCAGCTTAATGGCATTGAACCTTGACGTTACCACCCCTCATATGAGCTGCTCGCGCCGATTGACAACCCCCCGACGAGACGAGGCGAGACCCTAAAGTGGCCCATCCCCTCCTGTACGCCTACGCCTGTCAACTACACCTACGCCTACGCCTAAGCCTGCGCCCAAGCCCACGCCCAAAAGCCTACGCCCAAGCCTCCATGCAGCCCACCGAAACCTCCATACACCTCCGCGAACCCCGATCATGTCGAATTGACCATTCCACAACCATAGCCGCAAACTGAGCGTGCTTTTTCTACAATCTCTTGTCCTCTTTGGTGGGACCATTCCTGCAGTTGCACCCTCCTATTGACGCGCGGGTGGTGGACGGCGTCTTGGTTTGCGCTCCCGGATTATAAATCGGAACAGGAACAGGAACAGCAGCCCGAAATACCAATAGGAATAGGAATAGGGGAAGGAGCATTTGTACAACACCATGGCATCCTCAGCCGCAGCCGGCTTCCTCGGCCGCTCCAGTAGCAGCAATGCGAACATGCGCGGTCTGGTTCAGTTCATTGCCGACTTGAGAAATGCCCGAGCACGCGAACTCGAAGAGAAAAGGATCAATAAAGAGTTGGCGAACATCAGGTAAGCCGAGGAGAGCACGAAGCACCTGCGCCCCCCGCGACCACGAGAGCCACCGTACTGATTGCGCACCCCTTCGTCTCCGACTACAGGCAGAAGTTCAAAGGTATGTCGACTCCCGACCCCGACAATATCAATCACCCGGGAGAGAGCCAGTACGAGTCGGCGTCTGACGTGGGTCTTCACAGATGGTAACTTGAGCGGATACCATAAAAAGAAATACGTCTGCAAGGTACTTGGACCCCGTCACCTATGCTCGAAGCAGCCTCTCTAATCCTCTCGCCCAGCTGCTGTATATATACATCCTCGGCTGGAACGTTGATTTCGGCCATCTCGAAGCGGTCAACCTCATCTCCGCCAACAAGTACTCCGAAAAGCAGATCGGATATCTGGCTGTGACCCTGTTTCTCCACGAGAAGCACGAACTCTTACACCTGGTGGTGAACAGCATACGAAAAGACCTACTCGATCACAATGAATTGTTCAACTGCCTCGCTCTGCATGCCATCGCCAACGTGGGCGGCAGGGAAATGGGCGAGGCCCTCAGCGGAGAAGTTCACCGGCTTTTGATTTCCCCGTGAGTGCAGTGCATCCGATCCCAGCAGCTGTCGTTCCTAACATACTCTGCAGAACCTCAAAGGCGTTCGTCAAGAAGAAGGCGGCCTTGACTCTCCTTCGTCTCTACCGCAAACATCCAGGCATTGTACAGCCCCAATGGGCAGAGCGGATAGTGTCTCTTATGGACGACCAGGACCTCGGCGTTGCTCTCTCTGTCACCTCCCTCGTTATGGCAGTGGCTCAGGATGACCCTGATGCATACAAGGGCGCATATGTCAAGGCTGCCTCGAGACTGAAGCGCATCCTGATAGACGGCGATTGCTCCTCCGACTATCTCTACTACAAAGTGCCATGCCCGTGGATACAGGTCAAGCTTTTACGGCTGCTACAATACTTTCCTCCATCAGGTGCGTCGACCTTTTCCTACCCATATGCTTTGCTGACAGTTCAATAGAGGATAGTCATGTTCGCGACATGATTCGGGATTCGCTGCAGAAGATCCTCAATATTGCCATGGAATCGAATAAGAACGTACAGCAGAACAACGCCCAAAACGCAGTGCTCTTTGAAGCCATCGACTTGATCATTCATCTGGATACGGAGACAACGCTGATGCGACAAATCTCAACACGCCTTGGCCGCTTCATAACCTCGAGGGAGACGAATGTGCGATATCTTGGTTTGGAGGCTATGACGCATCTGGCAGCCCGCGCAGAGAACCTGGACCCCATCAAGCAGCACCAGGACGTCATTCTCGGATCTTTGAAGGATCGCGATATTAGTGTCCGCAGGAAAGGTCTCGACTTGCTGTATAGTATGTGCGACTCGACCAATTCCGGGCCTATCGTATCCGAGCTGCTACACTATCTCCAGAATGCCGACTTTGCGATCAGAGAAGAGATGGCTCTTAAGATCGCCATCCTTACCGAGAAGTACGCCACCGACATTCAATGGTACATCAATGTCTCGCTTCGTCTCGTTGCTGTTGCTGGAGATCACCTGAGTGACGAGGTTTGGCAACGGGTCATTCAAATTGTAACCAACAATGAAGAGCTTCAGGTCTATGCTGCACAAAATATCCTCCAGCACATCAAGCAGGACCACTGCCACGAGACCTTGGTCAAGATAGGAGCTTACATTCTGGGAGAGTTCGGACATTTAATCGCCGAAGAAAGTGGTTGCAGTCCGATCGAGCAGTTCCTTGCCCTGCAGGGCAAACTCCCGGCTTGTTCCTCCAGTACACGCGCCATGATTCTCTCGTCTTTTGTCAAATACGTCAACTTGTTCCCAGAGATCAAACCTCAGCTACTTCACGTCTTCGAGATCTACAGTCACACGCTGGACTCAGAACTCCAGCAGAGAGCTTGCGAATACCTGACGATTGCAAGCCTGCCTACTGATGACCTGTTACGGACGGTATGCGATGAGATGCCAACCTTTCCTGAGCGCCAGTCCGCTCTCCTATCAAGGCTACATCAGAAGCATGCCAATACCAGCGACAAGAGAACTTGGGTCGTAGGTGGAAAGAGCGCCAATGCCGACGCAGCCGAACTTAACATGGCGAAAAACGCTGGTCTCAAGAGGACGTTCAGCTCGAACAACGGCAATAGCAATGGTACCGGTGCTAATGAGGGTGCCAATGGTACTAATGGCCACGCAAACAATGACCTCATGGGACTGGACATGAGCGCCGGCCCCAACGAACAGAAAGCACTCAAACCTCCAAACTTGGCCAGTGCCGCTCACTTGTCGCCCGGCTGGGAACAGGGCTACTACAAGCTGTTGCTGAAAGCAGACGGTATCCTATTCGAAGACGGACAGATCCAGGTTGGTGTCCGCTCCGAGTACAGAGGGCAAGTTGCCTGCCTAATTCTGTACTTCACCAACAAGACACCGGCGCCAATGACATCCTTTACCACCACGCTAGACCTTGACGAGAGCGAAAAGCAGAACCTGACATGGGACGTGAAGAACATGCCAGAAAGTCAGATTTCACCTGGTCAACAATCAAGAGAAGTTATCATGTTCGAATGCAAGAAAGTCTTCGAGAAACCACCGACGATCAGAATCAGCTATCTTGCCGGCGCCCTGCAAGCATTCACTTTGAAACTACCATTGACTGCCCACAAATTCATGGACCCGGCCGAACTGGCTGCTGACGATTTCTTCAAACGCTGGAAGCAAATCGGTGGTGCGCCCCGTGAAGCTCAACAAATCTTTGGTCTGGCGTCCAAACACGATACCCGTGAGATACACGAGACGTTCATTCGCAAGACAGTCCAGGGCTTCCGCTGGGGCGTCCTGGATGGCGTTGATCCGAACAGCAAGAACTTTGTCGGTGCGAGTGTAATGCATACGAGCGGAGGTGGCAAGTTTGGATGCTTGTTGAGGCTGGAACCGAACTACGCTTCTCAGGTGAGATGACCCTTCTACCTCCCGTGAGCATTAACCTGCTAACACTCATCTGCAGATGATCCGACTGACAATCAGAGCAACGGACGACAGCGTGCCGCCGGTGCTGCTGAAGCTCCTTCAGGACAGGCTAGCCCTCGGAATTTCTAAGAAAAAGCCACAGACGGAAGCCCCAACAAGGAGAGAGATTACGGATGCGTTTAGTAATGTTTTGGTAGCATAGTGGCTCGATGGGGGCCGGCAGAGACTGGGATGTACTAATCGGCAAAATGGGAAAAGCACAGCACATACTTTGGGACATTTTCAAGCATTGTCTAATTCAATTGCAGCCAATGATGCAAATCCGTCCGACATCAGGCGCATTACGGCAATGATCCCGCAATAATATAATGGACATGACACTCCCCAGTCAGGTGATTTTGATGCTTCAATGTTATACATGATGAAACCATTATATTCCTCTAGAGGCCAGATACTATCCCGAGAACATCTGGCTCTCACAACAGATGAGACTTGCTAACATGATAATTACTTGTGATTCTTTGGTAATTGTTTCCAAGGTTTGGACTTTTATGTGGAGTACACCAATTCACAAACCACTGGCAGTAGGTATATATTTGTATTGACGGACAAAGATATGACTCGAGTAACGACAAATAATACTTGAATGCATTGGAAGTTTCATGACTATCGAGTAAAGAGCCAATAGTATAGTATTGAATACACAAGGTCACTGCAGTCACGTCGCCAAATGTAAGATTTTCTGTGCTGATATGGATTTCGATATTTAGCACTCAAATCGTTATGGTTTATTCGAGCTTGACTATTCGATTATTCGATGTCGTAAGCTTGGGGATCGCTGATGGTACCCGGCTGGACAATCGAACTCTTTATCTAGTTGTCCCTCTGATTCAAACGCTTGATTTCATGTGCACTTATTCACAAAACTTGTTTCACATTTGGCTCCTGCAACCACAACGAACAACTCATACGGCATCCCACGACTTTCTTCACTGAACTCTAGCCCGGGAATCGAAGAAAGTGACCATGCGAAATCCCTTTCTCGTCGCCCGCGAATGGTACCAACGCACCTTCGAGAGACCAATCAACATGAGAGATGCCATGCCTTTGACGGGCTTTTTACTCATCATTCTCGTGGCGCTCTTGGCAATCATCTGTATGGTGCCTTCCTTTTCATCCCCTAGGCTTCTGTGTGACGGAATGCTGACCAATTTGTGTTGTTCTTGGGATACAGCTGTCATCTACGGCATTACCCTTGAGACGACTCGCCGCGGGCTGGGGAAAATCGACGTCGACGACGGCGAGCCGCCAAGACCAGATGTGTCCATGGCGGACAAGCTTCTGGTAGATAACACCACAGCTGACGGTCGGCATGCTCTTCCTGTTGCTACAGAGACCGTCTTCTCTACGTCTACTGTTCATGTCACTCTCGCGTCCACCACCACCGCTTCTCCAGCGAGCACCAAATCTACCGCTCACTCGTCTGTTACTATTCACTCACAAAGCACGACATCTGGCCCCGCTACTACTGCTTCTGCCGATGTTGTCACCGGCGAGATGTTCTGCCCCGCCACCGACCGTCCGCACAATGTCTACACGCCTTGTCTTTATACCCATACCAACCAGCCGGGAATGGTGAACACAACAGCTTTGCCCAATGCCGGTGTTGCCACCTCTGATGCCCGCCGCCGGGCCGCGAATCCCCTCGCCTGCACGGGTCGAAGGGCAGTTGACAGTCGGCGAAGGGAAGTCGACAATCCATACCGCGAGAGCCTACCCAGCTTCTTCGCGGCAGTCTACGAGCTCTCCTGGCGCGTGCCCCGACTGGCCAAAGTCGTCGTTCTTCTGGCGCGGCAAGCAACAGCTGAGCTGATCCATCCGGACCCCGACAGCCTGGCGAAGCTGGAACAATACTCGGGCTGCCTCGGCGTCCCTAGCTCGACACAGCAGCTGCAGACCCGGGTGAAGGATCTGGAGGACAGGAACTACCGGCTACAGAACAGCATCCGCAGCACCCAGGAGCAGCTCCAGGCCCGGGTCAACGGCCTAGAGGACAAGAATCGGCGATTGGCAGAAGGCATCCACAATGCCCAGGACGTGGTCCAGATGCAGCAGGGCTTGCTCGACTCGCAGCTGAGAATCATCGAGAAGCAGAGGATTCAGATTGAGGAGGCCACTCGTTTCAAGATCTGGTGGGCCAAGACGCAGAACCAAACAGGGGAGTATCACGGCCAAGTCCCAGGAGAAGACGAATCGTCGGCAGTGGTGTGAAGCGTAGCATAGCAGAAGGGCACGCCCTTTCCTTTCTCTTAATTTGTTGTTCACTTGGACAGTGAGGATTGTATACAGTATGTGTGTTATAGGATGATACAGTGCAGAGTCAGTGTATGCTATAAGGAAAGAGGGCTTCTCACAGTCACATCAGCAGATGCTAAACCCTATGCGACCTGTAAAGCGATCGGGCAACTTTCGTGTGTTGTCGTGATCCAGTTGTCCGGTGGCCATGAAGGCCATGGCCTTCCGACCACTTCTACGAGATTGAGAAAAGCGATTTCGAAAACGAAAATTCCCTCGCGACGCTTATGTTTCAAGTTTATGCATCCCGGTCCCGAACGTCTTGGTTGGTACGGACTGTCTCGAACCCGAGTGAGGACACCCGCGCCATGACATGTTTAAGGGATGCCGGTTGACCATGTCGCGCTCTTATGCGTCTGATCCGTGAACTCCCAATCTTCCATAGATGATCGCGCACTGTTAGTTTCCCATGTTCAGCGCCCGAATCTTTGTGGGTAGTCTCTTCATAGCTGATATATATCGACTATCTCGAGGCGTGGGTGGCAATTAGTTGTTGGAAGCATGTATTCGGCTCAGCTTGGCTGCAGCCAGGAGGTCTTACCATATTGTATTGAAGGAGGAGGGGGGGCAGCGGTGGATGTCACGTATATGATGGTCTGATGCCAGATGTCACTTCTGATATCTCACCGGTTTTTTTTTTTTTTTTACCTTTTCCTAGTCCATCCGACAAATATCGGACTTATAGGAATAACATTGAACCCACGGAGTAAATACTTCTCTGCCGACTTATGGCATTTGAGTCCATGCTGATGTGATGATGTCTTTATTGATTAGGCATTTCTTAGGCCCTGAACCCATAAAAATCTCTCTTACACCAGGATTCAGAGTCAAAGTCGCTGTAGTACTGTATATGTTCAGTGTCAGCATCATGCGTTGAAAACTACTTATTGGAAGGGGAAAAATAACAGTTCCGTGATTCACTATAGCTGTACAGAACATTGAAATAATTCAGGTCTACACGCCTTGAGACGTAGACGTAGACGATGTGTCTTTTAATCATAGTTGGATCATGGCATCTTACATCTTCGTTGTTGCCCCGGGGATTTTGTTCACCTGGACTAACTTGTCGTACTATCCCCTAAAGACTCTGTACAAAAAGTAAAACAGACCTTGTCTATGGAGAACAAGTATTTGTTTGGTCTAGCACGTTTTTCCTCATTCCACGTTTGGACTCTGGAGCATGAGCGTCGGTTAACAGGAAAATAGCAGGTGGAAGAAGTGCTCCTGTACATTAAGGGGGGGGACCACATAACCGGGGCCCTTCGCCGGGCGATACCGAAAGAAAACCGCGGGGCACGTCGCCAGTTAAATTAATCAGCCCCTCGCTGACGTTTCCCACTGAAGCGGGCGGTTGCCCCACGCTTGCCATCATTCTAAGGGTCCCTTTCGGCAACGAAACTCGCCCAATGTGGTTTTTTTTTTGGTCGTAATTCTTTTCAGTCACATCATTTTCGCATCCTGCTTTACCAGAGAAGTTGCGGCTGATTTCAATTTCCATCCAAGCAATGTTCGGTCTCTAGCCGCATCCCTCTCACCACGGCCCAAGAAACGATTTCAGACACCCCTTATACTCACCTCTGCGGCAAACCCGCCTCGGGACAGGGTACTGCTCACCCAGCGTGTTTTCTTCGATCACGAGCCAACCTCTGAAGGGCGTTACATCGATCGGCGACCAGACTCGCATTCCATCTCAACTCTTCCCGTCCTCTTTTATCTCTCTCTCTCTTGCGCACACACACGTACACATACCCCGAGAGCTCCCTACCCCCCCCCCCCCCCCCCCCACACACAACACAATGAGCGGGCCCCAACGCCAGCCCGGCACCGCCGCCGGCGCGGGATCCCAGACCATTACCGCCACGGGCACCACATCCGGCAGCGCCGAAGAGACGAGCAACAGCACGAACACACCCCCTGCAGCGGCGCCGATCCTCCGCCTGCGCGGCGCGCACGTGTCCGGCGGGCCGCGGGTGCAGTGGGCGGAGAGCGTGGTGGACAACGAGGGGCTGGGGCGGAAGTCGAGCAAGGTGTGCTGCATATACCACGCGCCGCGGGCGGTGGGGGAGAGCAGCAGTTCCGAGTCGTCGGATTCGGACTCGGACTCGTCCTCGGGTTCGTCGGATTCGGGTTCGGGAAGGGCGAGGAGGAGGAAAGTAGGCGGGGGTCACGAGCATGGCGAGGATGGATGTTCGCACGATCACTCTGGTGGAGGGGTAGGAGGAGGAGGAGCCAGAGGGGCTGGTACGGGGGGCAAGGTGAAGAGGAGGAGGAGGAGGAGGAGACCGAGTCCCAATGCGTACGAGAAGCAGCCCAAGCCGAGGCCGCGGCCCGGGGATGGAGGTGGTGACAGTGGGAGTTTGGGATCAAATCCGAAGGTGGCGGCGTAGGCGGGAATATCGGTAACCATGGCAGATTGGTATTTCAGAAACAGCACGGATGACGGTGGAATGGATCGGGAAAGTCCAGGGGTGGAGAGCAACATACAATATACCCATCCGCGATGCAGCGGATTGTTCGTCGCTAATCACATCGGGGGCGGACCATGATATGATGATAATTGTAACTCAAGTCAGATCATTGATATGACGCATCAGAGCCTCGTTTTCTATCATGGCGCATCATTTCTAAGTCTCTTCTGTACACCACCTTCACATATTCAAGTCTGGCTTGCCCCGGAAGTTATCAAGTCCTCTTCATGTGCCCCCAAGTTCTCAGGCAGATATTAATGCGAAACTCGAAACGCGAAATCCGTATACAGTGTGGTCTTGGTCCTCTGGACGCCAAAATCTGTTGGCTGGCTGGTCGCGCACGTTGCCGACTTTTCCCTTGTCCTGATCCAAGTCCCGGTTTCCCCTCCATCCGCTAGCTGCTGCCAGCGTAATCCATCCTTGCCAAAAACGCTTGCGCTATAATACAATCGCTCGCTGCGCTATGAGGATGAATATTGCCCTGGTCTAATCGTACATTCTCAAGTTGGTGTTTCTAGTAATTTTTAATTCTGTGCATGTTCGTCATGTGCCGCCATCATGTGATTGACGGCTCAAGCTGATCCGTCTGGTGAGATGGGAGATACTGGTGTAGAACCGCCCAGCATCATCATACTCGGGACTTGTTTCCTCAAGAAGCCCTTCTTGCGTGGCTCAGCCCTCGGCACGCCTGCGATGGCTCTGGGTTCCTTCATGAATGAGACGTCGAGTTTGGTAGGGACACGTGTGGTCACCTCACGGTAGTCGCCGGCAAACTTGGCATTAGGGACTGGCACCGATGCGGTTCTCCAAATATGGTCTTCCGTATCATTTAGGTAACCCTGCATTTTGCTATGCCTGCTCGGAATCTGTATCCCTGGCATTGACTGGGACACTCCGTGAGACGCTCTCAAGGTGGAAAGTCGAGACAATCCGGATAACCCGGTTTTGCCACGCGCTTTCTTAGCGAGGATGATCTCATCGAAAAGCCGAATTGATGGCGACGCGCCAGGCTGCGTTTCGCGTTCATGTATGAATTCATTGAATGCTAGTAATGCGTCAGTTCGAATTAGTTGAGTCAGATCGGGATCAAAACAAACCTTGCGTTTCTTTGAGCATAGTAGCGTACTCCTGCTGGTCATATGGCAGGCTTTTGATGAATCCATTCATGTCGAAAGCATACATTTGTCCGTTTTTCTTCTGATCCCTTGTAGGACGTCCCATATATCTTCTATATGTGTAGAACATACTGGCAAGGCAACGAACGAACGAGGCGCGAACCTTGTCGGCACTGAAGGCTGCCGGGCAAACTAGACAAACACAGCCCAAGCAGCGTCCATGTGAGACTGCCATGCATCCTGAGCATTTGTAAATGCCATCACCTTCAGCTCGTTCGTCGCACACCGAGCAGGTAGAAAAGCTGTCGTGGGCAGTAAAGTTGAAGTTGTGACCTTCCACCCAGACAATTGTCTCAGTGTTCTTGACTGGCTGAACCAGCATGTTCGGCATGATAGTTGACGCGGCGATTGTCGATTGAGCGTATGTTGATGGAGCATATCCACCATAAGATGATTTAGAGTCGACGGAGATGGCTGAAATGGACATGTTCTGCTGGTGTCCATTCAAGTATGATACCCCCGGGCGGTGGACGATTGGGCCTTGCCCAAACGAGGAGCTGCGTCTTTCCTTCGTCTCGAACGTGCCGGATCGCTTCTCACGCAACGTGGCATTAAGCGCATAGCCAGAGTCATTCCTGGAGATCGGGGTGGCAGGTAACGCTGGGAAATATACAGAGGTCGGTGAGACTGAGTTTGGTGGACTACTAGTCTTGTTGGACTTGCTCGTGGTAGGACGTTCCGCAGTGCCAGGTTTTGCGTGAGCAAATGTGTTGAAAATAGGAGCTCGCGGTAAAGAAGTGTCGTCTGGCTCTCCGAATGTAGACGAGTTCTGGGCAACCCATTTGCCAAGCGTGCTTGGCGCGGTTCTCTCCGTGAAGATGGACCCAAACTCAGCTGAGAAGGAGTCGTATGGAAAAGACTCCATGGCGTAAGGAGGTGGGCCAGTAGCAACACCATATCTAAGTGCATGAGGAGCAGCCAGTTGTAGCAGCGACATCAGTTTGCGTCGATGCTGCTTAGGAAGGCGTACAGGCTGTGATGTAGCATCAATAGTGTCTTTGTCGAGGTCAACTAAGACGTAGTCATCATCGGGCAGCTCCACGTTCTCGTACCTTCGCTCGATGCCGACAATGTAAGGGCACGGAGCATCGAGGGCTGACAGAAGCCTTGCGGGTAGGATTGGAATAAAGATGCTGGCCCATTTTAGGGGGTACAGGAGGCTGACGAGCGCGTGGCAAGCCAGATGAAGCATGGCTGTGTGAGATGATAGGAAGATGATTCTTGACTCAGATAGGGTATACTCGAATAGAGCCACGATGTTCTCGAGCGACAAGCACCTAAACAGAGCATATATATCAGTGTTGCGAGCACCCGGGAGTTCGTTCTCCGCTTCTTTTCGAGCATAGAGGCGCAGTTCGCGAACACTGATTTCGACCTGGGTTTTGGAACTGAGTGGACTGAACGCCTCTGCGCAGAGGTTGATGACGTATCGTTCCAAGGGTTGCCAACGCCCGATACGGGGCGAGGTAGGCGGGACTCGTAGGATTGCACCATCATTCATGGGCACCACCACTGCTCTAAGCCAATCCTTCCAAAAGGTCAGACGGGTAGGGTCCCTCCCAAGGATGCCAAAAGCTCGTGGAATCCATAGACCGCTCTCACCAGCGGTCAGTCCGTCGATCTTGGAAGCTGCCCCGTGTCTCAGGGGTCTGAGCATCTCCGTCATAAGACTGATCTTCTCCTCCACTGTGCTGATCTTGTCATCCATCATGTCTCGCTCCCTCGAGCCGGAGGGTACAGTGGACAGTTTTGCGAGCAGCTGCGAGAGATGTGCCCTTTCAGCCGCAAGTCTCGAGCCAAGACTCGTGGCTAGCTCTCTCTCTTCACCACTCATGTGGCTTTGCCTCCAGCGCTCGCATCTCCGTTCAATGTCCTCGGCGATATTCGCCGCTACGGCGGTCCAAACAATAACGGTAACGCCATATATCTTAGAATTGTCGTCAGAGGTCATCGTAAAGCCGTGCCACGTCGATCTTGGCCGGTCGTCGGCAGATACAATCTGAATGTCGTTCGGGAAGGCAAACATGGGCACATAGTCAGGGAATCTTCCTCTCTTGGCGAGATCCTCCGTGGCGTTTCGTGGGGGATATCTGTCGAGTAGCTCGGGCTCAAAACGTCGCTTCAAGGGGTGCATGTCTGGGTCGAGGTTGAGTGGTTCAGGGGGTGGAATAACAGAATTGTAGTTGCTTAGTCTCTTGGAAGTCCGCACGGAAGCTTGATTGCGTATGTTAGTACATTTTTCAGCTTGTATCGCAGTCATGATATGAGCTTGGGCGTCAATGCCCCTTTCTGCTCTGTTCGCGAACATCACGAGGAAGGGCAGGTTCTGAGGACGGCTTACCAGGTTTCGAAGGTGTAGGCTGTTTCCGCACACTATTCATGTCCCTGAAGCTGATTTTCCGTCGTATACTCCCCCGAATACTACCCCGGAGATTCTTCAACGGGCTCATTCTCCCATTTTCGTCGGCTTTGATCCTCTCAGCTCTAGGGTTGACCATGGGCGGTCTCGCCTTGGTGTTGGCACCTGCTGTGAAACTGAGATCCTCCAGGAAGTTCTCCCTCTCGGCGGCGAATTTGAAAAGGGCTTCGTCAAAGTCGAAGTCCTGCAAGAAACCGGGGATACCATCTTGTAATGTGATGCCAAGGCCGCCAGGAGGTGGGTTTGGTCGTATAGTAGCACTACTCCTATTACTCCTTGTGTTGCCGTCGACCTCCTCCAAAGTCTTCAGGGACGCTTTCGAAAGCCGGTTGCCTGAATTTTGGCGTGAATGCCGAGCAATGACCTTGTTTGCGGGGCCGACATTGGAATCACGTTTATACAACTCCTCGTCGTTTTCTCCATCTTCTTCTATAGTCGTCTCTACCGTCGATGTGTTGGGTACCGGGAAATCCTGGTAAGAAATGTGTTCTATACCCGCGATCCAGAAGTAATCGGCGAGCGGAGCCAGAGCGTTGTCCATATCATATCAGGTCGAGGGCGTTGCCTGCCCCTCTGCCGCAGGATCTCGCGTTACCGCGATGCAATGTGCGGGCGGGCGGGATCAGATTCGATCGAACTGACCGAGTGTCTATTGTGTTGTCTTGTATTGTGCTTGCGGACGTGTGTGGATATTTGTCGAGGTTGCAACTGCTTTGTTCCCCTGCTGGATCGGGTCTCAGGGATGCAATACAATGCGGGCAGTTATCGTCGTGGTTTCCCTTTGTTCTAAAAGTCGACAATAATTCGACCAACAGTCGGCGATCAAGGCGAGGCAGCTGTGTGCAGTGCAGCCGTCGTAGAAGTGCCGGTGAATGTCCGTGACTGGGGAGAAGCAAATACAACAAATGCTCATGCAGATGCTGGGACGGAAAGAATGTAACAACCGCAGGGTGATGCAAAAGAGAAAGAAAGAAGAAGAAAAAAAACCACAGACGACGCTACCCGCAAAATAGAAGCGTCAAGTTAATGGCAGTCGCCGTGTGTCAATATGAGATATTGGCTTTTTGGCTTTGCTTGCGATCGATGGCCCGAAACCAACGCTGAGCGGAGTATAGGTATGGGTATGGGTATACGGTATAGGTACTGCGCTGCTGCAGGTGTCGGACTTTAGTTCCCTCGAGAGCTTTGAGCTTGAAGCTTGAAGAGAGCTTCGAGCGGACGCCGCGACTTTGAGGGTCTGCTTTTTGTCTTAAAGTTTGGCCCCGGTGTAGTCGGTTTGGAATGATTTGGTTTAGTACCGGAGAAGTCAGAAGAAGAAAAATTTAATCATAAAAAAATTTACACGAGCTCTCAGTCTCTCCCGTCTGGGCCAACTGTTCTCATGCAGCCTCTATGCAGGTTTAGGCATGCAACTCCGCGAAATGGCATCAAAGTCCCGTCCCTTTTGTTTCTCGATGCTCCTCACTTCGCGGGGTTGGTCGAGTCCTGTGCGTCTGGTGTATCAAAGTCGGGCACATTGACTTTGTTGGGCGGACCGTTTGTAATAATGGCGCAGAAGTTTAAGGATAATCTAGTCAAAAAGACAACACTACACAGGAGATGGAAGAGAGAGGGAAAAATAAACAAAGGGATAGTTGCACGCAACCTGGAGCATGAGGTTTCCCAATTCAGACAAATTGAACCCCTACCTTGACTCTCGAGGGCGACTTTGTTGCGATACGGCTAATAAGCAGTCTAAATGCCTTGTATCGACAGGGGGTCGCGGCCGTGGCGTGGTTGCGAGCGTGTCGATATGGACGGCCCTGGTAGGTGATACTAATTTATTCCAGGATCCCCCTTCTTAGTCGGTCATCATAACATCGTATCGTCCCTACTGCATATGTATGTACATCACACATGCCTTGAGGTCGACTTCGGCCAAGCCAGACGACCGAACGGATGTATTGCATACATTTCATAAATTCCAGGAGCACTTCGATCTGCCTTTTTCCGTAACAAGCCATGAAGATCGCCAACGAGAACGCCGACCTCATCTCTCACACGCTCTAGCGAACGTTCTACCACAGGCCATTAACATCTGGATGTAGGTGCCATTTAATGGATACCCACTAGCACTACTTACATGTTCTGCCAGCCAGCGCTACCTAGGCTAGGAAAACGCTGCGGTCTGGTAGCGGGGAATCCTCCATTCATTGAGCCCACAGATCAAATGCCCCCAGTCATTATGTAGTTTCCCTACCTCCCCTGGTCAACTTCACACCCATCTTCATTAATCCGCTCTCCAGGGTTGTCTTGGCACTCGATGCTCAGTCCTCAGTTCCGCTCAGTCCTTCACACAGACTGCAATGAAGTGCCTTCGTCTACGGATATCATGAACCCCACCTCGTTCAAGTTGCCTAGGCTTAGCTATTGTCCACTCGCGGAACAAGCCAGTGTCGTTCATTTCTCCTTGCCCTTCGCAGGTAGCTCGGGGGATGCACCGAGGTATTTCTTCATCTCCACCACTCCGACCGCTCATCCTTAGACCCAAATCGCCGTGCAAGAAAAGATGGGGGCCTGTAGTCGTCACTAGAAAGCGACGGAAAACCCGCCTACGTACCGGCCGAGGATAATTCGTTGCTACTGCCAAAATTGCAAGCCGGTTCCATGCAGCCGTCCCCTTTTTTCTTTCCCTTTACATACAGTACGCCTGCTCGTTACGCGGTCAAGCGATCTCTTGCTGGCTCCCCTACCTCTGTTTTGGCACCATTGGCCAATGGGCAGACGGCGCATAGGAGAAATTCAGAAAGTAACCATCAGCACGTGTGCGCGTGCATGTCTAGTCTAGCGTCAAGTGTCCTGCACACGAACACATAGGGGGATAGGGACAGGAACGCCCGAATCCTCCTTAATCGGTCATCTATCAATTCACAAGCTATGTCCACGGCTTCACACTTTCCGACTTTTTAATTTTCAGTTTTTTTTTTAATCCATGGCTTATGCCTGACACCTATAAGAGCTGCCGGCAAAAGGTCACATCGCGTGCGTCTATTTACAGTCAACCGGGTCGTTAAATGGAATACGGCAAACGGTCGCGGGAGGGAAGAAAGATTTAGGCCCAACCTTCTTTCTGTTTGACAGTGCCATCCTGGCCCCCCGTCCTTAACAAAGATCCATGTAACCTACATAGAATATAGTGCGGAGTTGATGTCAACAAGACTGTGTCCTACCTTGGACTTTCTACTCTGCCGCACAGTTCGTTCAGCATAGCAGCATCAATCTCGAGCACTTGCTCGGCTCATGGCACAACCGGCTAGTTCAATGCGCTGGCACCTTCGTAATCAACCCTATTCACTTCAGAGCACATATCAGGGTGACCGTTTCAGCCGCCAATAATGCAATCACAGGGAGCCGGAAGAAAGGAACATCGGCCACGCAGCTGCAGACATCCATTCAGGCATACATGCTCTGTGTTTCGGAATTGTTTCCTTTCGTTTGGATGCATCCAACACTGCAGGGCGAGATGCAGTAGATCCACCATGGAAAACCACAATCGGAACCCGACATAATGTTAGAGCCACTGCAAAATACCCATGTTGTTGTTACCCAAAGCCAACCTGCAGCACGTCTCGTCTATCCCTCACTTCACGGATTGATTGCCCTGGATGCTTCTGGCCATCTTCTGGGGTCTAATCGAGCGGCATCGATGGCACCTACGATTTACTTCCGCGTATCCGAATTTCCTCGTATGCAGGTACAAGTATCGACCCTCAGGAACTTTTGCTAAAGCTTGTGCACGCTAGCATCAATATATACAATTGAGGCCCACTAACATATTTCAACACTTTATACTATGCACTAGGTAAGCTATCTCACTGACCAGCTGCTTCAGGCTTTGAGTAGTTGCTCCTCCACCTCACTATCTTGCTAACATGTGACTAACAAGCAGTTTCGGCTGCCCGTTAGGGCTCTGTACCTGCATAGGTAACATGCTGCTAAGTTTTGACGGCTTTGTTCTATAAGCACGCTATCTGCCTAGCTTTGTATCACCAATAAGCAAAATGTATGTAGCAAAACGTTCAGCCACTGTTGCATCCTGCGCCTAGGATCCAGTCGAGCCATAGCTGCGATGCTAGTTCCCGTTCTGCAAGTAATTGACTCGTTGATCATCCGGACGCGTCTCCTCCGCGTCCTCAAGTAAACAGTAGGTTCGCCAACCAATTTGTACTACGCGGTAACACTATTCCAATGTGGGAATTTGCATATCGAAAAATGGGCAGGGTCAAATGGCGAAGATCGCTTCTGTAAAGTTCCATCGGCTCGCATGCATGTCGATCTGCTTCAGGTTTGCCGCCATCTCGGGCCGAGCTTACCTTATCATACATAGTGTGTCTTCCATCACGACTGCAGAGTCAGCCCTGGAAGCCGGGTCAGACGAAATCACCCTTGCATGGCCCAATCTATGGGCGGATGCAATGCCCGCCAGATGCGAAACTGAGATGACAGCAACGTCCACTTTTGTCACACCTATAACCGACATGCTATATGCCTCGCAACCACGCTCGTCTACGTTCAGCTACGTAGCTTATACAATTTAAGCGCTACTTGTTTTGAGACGAGTCGGCTCCGACTTTGCAACCAACCGCGTCCCCTTGAGAAAAAACCAACACATAATTACGACTGAGCTGTCTATCTGTGACACAGGTTCGCGGGTTTACCAAAGAGCAAAGGGCCGCCAAAGACAAACCTAATCTGCGCATCTAGTGTCTGTTCCCAACAACTTGTCATCTACAAGATGCCGCCCCGAACTTTATGCCCGACCCCCTGAATCTTACCCAGCTTGGCGGCTCCAAACATGGTTTTCGGTAGTCGCCAAGTCGGCTATCGTACATCATCTGAGAAACCCTATTTCTGACGGGGCGTCATTTTTCCTCCCTCTTCTTCTTCTGAAATCTCTGATAACTAGCAGATAAATCTGGGCGTATCACATTTTTCTATATACATATAACTTATATCTCTCTTGGCACCGTCAGAGTAATATTCTCCAAGAGTAACCGGGGCATATGGGATCAAAACGTTTCATTTAGTCTAGTCTAGGCCAGCTCAGAGTCAAAAGCGAAAAACGCTGGGCAGAGAAACGTGCAAAGACCAGCAATGGGAGGCAGGGCAAAATAGAACCCAACACAGGTGCACAAAGAAGGCTTTCCAAGGTAAACCATTACGAGGGTAGGGGGGGAGCGGCAGAGGAGATCAAGCGTTTTAGCTTGCTCGGTAATCTGAGCCGAGCTCTCAGACATTTCAAAACACCCCCCTACCGTCTTCACCATCCCATATGGGATGAGACAGGAACAGAGGCGGGATGTGGCTTGCTTCTGACAGCTGTCGGACTTTCGTCTCTTTTTCTTTTTCGCGTTTCCTCGGACGTGCGGGTACCCTGTCAGAGTGAAGAAGCCGCCGTGGGACGATATTATTATGTCTTACTGGGGGCGAAAGACTCATGATCATCACAACGTAAACTGCTGGGCACGTCGGTGTTTCATTGGACAACGAGCACTCCCGCAAACCTCAAGTTCAAGACGCAGGGTTGATCCAGAAATCATAATAATTGGAAAGGGAAAAAATAATTTTAAAAGAGATTTAGAAGACTTATCGAATAAGTCATTCGTGACGAGAAGCTCTTTTCGAAACAGAATACCTCTCATAATGGTATCTCCTAAGGAATTAAAATAAAATAAGAACAAAGTAAAATAGAAGAAGGAGGAGGAGGAGGAGGAGAAGAACAAGAAGAAGAAGAAGAAGAAAAGAGAAAGAGATTGAAGCCAGCACTATACTGTCTTAGCTTTACCGACGATAGCTCCCATGAGCCTTGACTTTGAACCTTCGGTGATCCGCCTCGTTCGGCACAGCACTTTTTCTTATTTGCATATATCCCAAGCCATATCTGCGCTCCTCCCCGGCCATACGGGGCCAAGGCGACGGGTGGAACACGTGTATAAATATATATTTGTATGGAGATACGTAGAACAAGGGATCGCGTCAACTGTAAGATTTCTCTAATCTCCCGTATGTCTACTGCCTACACGCACTTGGCAGCGGGATCGAGCCGCTGCCAGCAACCTAACCTTCTGACATCGGGACTGGCCCTCCGTGAATTCTAAAAGAGAGGGGGGGAGGGGGGTTCGTACTGTCACTTGGTGTGTTCCCGTTGGTCTACTACCAGAAAGGATCTTTCAGGTTCGAATGCGTTCATAATGCTGTAAAGGCGGAGAGCAACAAGAAGCCATTTTGCCAGGATAAGTGTACAGATATATGTGGTGACACAAGGCGAAGTCGCCATGGGATTCCAATTAGGAAAAAAAAAAAAAAGGACACAAGATTCTGCAGGAAAAGGCTATACCCCCGGGACCCTGGCGCCGAGCTTGCCCGTAGACAGGAAGCCCCTATTGCCCATCTCGGTCCTCCAACCGATGCCCAGAACGCCAAAAACGATTCTGCCGTCCTTCTCGTCGATCTTGGGCCGCTGGCTGGCGCTGCTGTCTTCCTCGACCACGAAACAGACCTGCTCTACTTCGCCCGGGTGCAGGACAGGCTTGGCGCTCCCGCTGACTCTCCAATTCGCATCCCGATATCTCATTCCCGAGTCGGGCTCCAGGTTGAGCTGTATGCGATCGAGCTGTATGACGTCCTCGGAGCAGTTCTCCAGCTGTGCCTCCAGGACCCACCGGCCGCCGCTCGCACCAGCTTTGTCTTTCTCGTCGCCGTCGTCTGTCGCAGCCCGGTTCTCCTTATCCTCCTCATCATTATCCTGCACCTTCTTTCTCCTCCTCGCAGGAGGTAGAGCCCCGACCTTGGTCCTGACGATCAAGCTGCCTTTGCAGATGAACTGATAGAGCTTCCTAAACGTCCTCGTGCGCCCGCTCGTCTCCGTGGCTTCGTAATACGACACCGTAACGGCGAGGACATGGTTCCCTTCCTCCTTGAGATCGAAATTGACGATCCTCTGTAACGTCTTGCCCGGGTCGAGATCCGTGCCTTTGGTCTCGTCATCTTCTGTTCCTTCTTCCTCCTGTCCTTGTCCTCCCACCGAGGAAGACGATCCTAATCTCAGCTTCTGTGCGGCGCTACTGGAGCTGGGAGTTTTCATCTCGGCCTCGATTCGCACGTCGCGGATCCATTTTTTCTTATTGTTGTTGCTGTTATTCTGCTGTTGTTGTGAGTCCGGCGTGGCATGTGTCGTGTCTGCTCTTCCTGGTCCTCCTACTACTCCGGGCTGTAGATTCGTAGATGTGTAAAGCGGCCCGCCCCCAGCTGCTGCTGCTGAACCCTCGGGCGACACCTCATGGTTTGCGCAGAGCGTACAGCTGAATGTCTCGCCAACATACGCAGAGCCGAAAGAAGGTGGTAGATTCAGGATCGGGGTCAGGAGGAACGGATCCGGGTTCGTGCTGCCGTTGGTCGATTTGTAGGCCAGGGAGGCCGGTATCGTTTGCTGCGCACGATCTGATATCGAGGTGGTGCTTGGGGAGGGAGTTGGGTTTGTGAGTGGATGTTGGGTCACAAGGGATGGTCTCGACAGGCTGTTTGCGTTGGAAGAACCCCGGGCATTAGTTTATGATAACTGAAATTGTGAAATGGTGTTGGACTATCTGTACCGGAGCACCTTGAGGGACACCGAGTGCGGCTCCTTGACGGGATCTATGGAGGGGTAGCGCTGGTGACTCATCTTGGGAGAATGGAAGGTCGCCTATGTACGATCACGTCGCGATTGGTATCAAGGAAGGCTTTGCGTCATGTTACAAGCAGAAACGAATGTGAAGTGTCAAGAAGAGCAGGGGGGAGCAGTTGCTTTGAGGCATGCGACAGCTCCGATGCAATGCGACTGGAGCTTTATCGATTAGGTATGCACTGTAGTGTGTTCTAACGGTGCGAAGTCATAGTGGGGTCGCCGACTGAGGTTACCTCTGTACATATAATTCTACTTTGTATACGAGAGCCACAGGCCGACGATGGAACAAGCCAATGAGGAGAACTAGACTAGGTAGCGTAGTATAGTCTGACTAAAGGAGATTGCTTTCTTCACCTTTGAGGTTGAGCTGTGACATGTCTGCGCCTCCGTGCTTTTGAAATATCCAAGCAAGAAATATGTGGTAGACACAAGTTTACCCACCATTTACTAGATTGCGCAACCTAGACGAGAGTCTAGCGAGGCGGATCCTTTTCACTTGTATACTCAGGAGGACCTCACCAATGGCACATCGATTAGGTTAGTCAATTGCTAAGCTGTGTCTGTCGCTCGCACTTGGCGCTGCATGTGAAGGTGGAGGTGAAAGTGACGGCGCGGAACTTGTTCCATCTACGTCCAGCAGTGTAAGTATGCATTGTGCCAACAAAATAAACCCTTACCGGCAGAGGCCGTAACGCCGTGCTTGTGTAAGCCACACCGAAGTCAGTTGCAACCAGCGGATCTCAGAAACCTTATCAAGGCTGTGAAACCTGGAGTCTTCATTACCTAACAAATCGATCAATCTTCATTACCACTGTGTAAGCAGCGCAGCTATTTCATGTACAAGCAATATGCCCTTTCTTTCCAGCGATCATGTCAGTACAACCTGTCTCGTACTGCCAACGGAAGAGGTGAGCATACAGTAGCAGTCTACATGTAAACATGTCCGAGTGCACGACAGTGCCAGTAAGCGGGATCAATATATCGAGTAGCCCTCTCCCTGTTTGCTAATTTAGCTCCAAGCACAATCATTGACTACCTTTTGATGCTGTCTGACTGCAATATTGCATAGCTGCTATCTCCTGAAATCTTTGGACAGCCCGGTTTGGATTAAAGGCCGGGAGGGGGCGGAACCTAAACCAATGTGTTAGCACAGAGTCATACCATATCTGGCTGGAGAGCAAACGTACAGCTCCGTATCCTCCAACGCCCGGAGGCGAACCGGATGGCGGCGGCGGAGGGGCGGCACCACCTGGAGGAGGAGGCGGGGCCTCGGTGGGAGGCGGTGGCGGCGAGGTAGATTGACCAGGGGCAGGAGGCGCCGGTGAGCCTTGTTGAGCCTGAGCAGCAGCGTAGTATTGCTGGTAATATTGCATGTATCTATCACCAGTAAGCCAGTCGTTCTCGCCACGATATGGGGAAGACGTAGAAAACTTACGCTGCATAGCCACCATAGGCTGCATAGGGATCCTGGCCGCCGTAGTACTGGGCATACGCTTGAGCATACTGGTCGTTAGAATTGGCCGCGCTGGCAGCACCAGGTGCAGGCGAGGCTGAGTTAGCGCCTGGGGTAGGGGAATTGCTATAGCTGTTACCATAACCTCCATAGCCTTGGTGGCCGCCAGACCTATCATGGCTGTTGTAACGGTCTTCCCGTCCGCCATAGCCACCGCCATGGCCGCCACGATCACCGCGGTCGCTGTATTGGCGCGGAGGTCGGCTCTTGAACTCTTCATATTGCTCTTTGACGCTTCCCAAGAGGTCCTCGCAGAGCTGTTTGGCCTTGTCAACCATGGCCGGATCTGGTCCACTGTGAACATGTCAGTCTGAACCCGACGAAGGGGCGTGAAAGGGTGGCGCGGGAACTTACGCTACGTGCAAGTACATGTCTTCGTCGCTCTCGCGGTTAGTAGCAGCCTCCAGGTAGCCCGATCCTCGTCCTTTGATCTGGACTCGGCAATTTGTTTCCTGCTGGATGTGCTTGACGTAAGAACCACCGTGTCCTACAACTTGAGCTCGTAGGTTGAAACCGGGAACGGGCTCGAGATCAATGGGGATCTTGGCGTCAGGCCACTTGCGTCGGCCAAACTCGTCTCGCTCTACCTGCTCCTGGTCTCGGCGTCGGAATCGTCGTTCGTCCACAAGGTTCGGGAGTTCCTGCTTCATCATTTCTTCGATCTTTGCGACTGCCTGCTCGAGTCCGGTCTTGGAGGTGCTGGTAACATGGAGATACAAGGGAGGGTTCTAGGAGAAGGTGTTAGTGGCGGGCGCGACCGACGCAGACGTTATGCGACAGCGTTGGAATAGACTTACGGCTGCAGTGGCCATGCTCTTGTCGGGATAGTAACTACCGCGGGTGGTGACATCTTCACAAGTCAACTTTCGTTCTCTGTACAATAGTAAAAGCAACAACACGTCGGGGGTATAGCGTACCAGCTCCGGTATCTTCTTTAATCTAGATCAGGAATGTGAGGTCAGCAGATGCCACAGAGGGGGTTCGCGCGCGAGCTAGCATGCTTCTTGTAAGCAAGACCATCCGCAGACGCTTGTATATGACTTGTAAGAAATACTGAGCAGTATATGAGACTTGGAGGGACAATATAGCCAGAAGAGGCGGAAGTCTGAAGTGAATCAGTAGGAGTACACAAGGAGTATTTACCATCTTTTGAGTTGATCCCTTGGTCAGTAGATATCGGTTGCGTAAATCGTTAACCTCTATGTCCTTGATGTAGTCGCCATCTGCAACGTAGACATCGCCGTTGAGGTTCGGGGTCGCAGTCGCGGCATTCGGGCCGGGTGACTCGGTCGAGGTAGATCGAATGGGTGGTACATCGACGTGTTGGATACCTTTCTTTGCCTGGATCTGGGCGTTGATTTTGGCAGCAGCGGCAGCTATTCCTCCAGAGTCAGCGTGCATGCAAACGAGGAGACAGCCAGCACAGTGCAGGCCAAGTGGAAGCAGGAGCAGAGGCATCAAGGTTGACTTACCGGCAGCCGCAGCTGCATCTACAGCGGATGCGCGCTTGGGCTCCGGGGCACCGTCGCCCTCACTCTTGAGCGGGCTGCGATCGCGACCAGAGTCGGACTTTCTGGCGGGCGGAGAACGAGACCGTCTATCGAAGCGCGAGCGACGCGGAGGGTCAGGCTCGGTCTGGTCGAATCGCGACCTCTTCACGGTACGTTGCTCAGAGTCGCCCATGATGTCTGGTGATGCAAGATGTCGGTTGTGTAGGGAATTATGTTGTGACAAGCAGACGAAAGATTTGTGTCGCAAGGCTAAATTAGAAATGGAATTTGAGGCCAGAAGGCTGGGGTGGAGCATGCTGTAAAATTCCCCACGCCGCGGTTGCCTTGGCTCATGATACATGAAAATAAAATGCTGAGATCGTGTGCATGCATCACTCACTGCACAGCCCGTGAGAATCAGATCGAAATCACACTTTGCAATTTTGCAAGAATGATCATCCCTCGGCTTCCATTTCTATGACAAAAGGTTCTGTACAAAACAAAGCACATTCCAAGGAACCCCTGAAGTCAGGGCTCCTTGTCCTGACAATCAAAGGAGCATCATGAGCATTTCCGACATTACGCTCTATACATTTTGACAACATCCAACGCACCGATTCCAACCAATCACTTATCGGCCTCTTCTCTTCTCATAGACCTCATCACCCAGGGCTTGTAATGCTGCCTCATACTTCTCCTTCTTGACTTCATAAGCAGCCTCCTTCTCTTCTGTTACCCTGATCCTCTCAACCCTGCTGCTTCTTTGGATCGTCTTGTCGCCAGCAACCTCCCTCCAGAACCAGCGGGCTTCTGCATCTGTAAACAACGTCCAAGCATGTCCACTCCTACCAGCACGCGCCGTGCGTCCAACACGATGGACGTATGAGGCAATGCTGGACGGCATATCGTAATTGATGACATTTTCGAGGTGCTCGAAATCGATACCACGCGCAACCAGATCAGAAGCAACAATGATTCGAAGCTTGCCCGAAGCAAAGGCTTGAAGCGTCTTGTTTCTGGTCGAGTAGGCAGTCTCCGATGTAAGCAACCCAATAACTTCGCCAAGCTTGGGTGACAGGATTGCCAGGAGGCGGGACAAACGCAATGCCGCTTGGTTCGATTTCGTAAAGATGAGAGTGCTTCTAGGTAGTGGAGGCTTGACATCGGGTCTCGTAGATACCATTCTTGCCTTGACTCTACGCGGTTCGGTATCCGAGTCTGACTCGGAGTCTGAAGAGTCTGAAGGATCTGAAGAGTTCGAGTCCGAGTCTGAGTCCGAGTCTGAGTCAGTGGATGAATCTGAACCTGAGGAGGATGTGTCATCGTCATCGACGGTATCTGTTCTGTCACTGTTTTTGCATAGGTGGGAGCTCTGGAGCAAATCGAGCAAGAAGAGTGGTTTGAGGTTAGCATCAGCCTTGAGAGCGGATTCTTGCAGTAATTCAGGCAACGCGTAATCGACAGCCGCTCCTGACCCTTCGAGCACAATCAGCTTTGGTCGTCGGAGCTTGAGCCCACCGAGAAGATCAAGATCTCGAGTCATTGTCGCACTCAAGATAACCTTCCTGACACCTGTGAGGTGTGATTGCTTGTGGTGACGAGTTGACAGCTTGTTATCATCATGCAGCCGGGGCATGAGAACGTCTAGCCACTGCTGGAAGCCCTGGCCTAGGAGCTTGTCTGCCTCATCTGCAATTAACCAGCGAACGTGGTCTAAGCTGAAGCCAGGTGTATACTTGATATGGTCCACAAGCCTGCCAGGAGTGCAGATGAGTATATCGACTTTCGACTTGTAGCCAATAACATAATCTGGAAGGGTCTCTTTCTGGTCTTCCCGTTTGCGAATCTGAGCCAACTCTTCGTCGTCTTCGTCGATGTCGTCATGATGGCTCCAAGCCTCAGATGCAAGCCTTTTTGTCTTCTGTCCAAAAGCTTCGGGGTCATGCCGATCCTCTCTTTCCAGCAGGGTTTTCCGCTCCTCCTGTATGGTTTGGTAACCAGTCGCGGTGCCAACTTTCACCCTCCGCTTTTTGCCGTCGAGCGCAAAGATGCCAGCACACTCTTCGCAGACCTTCTGCGCCTGGCGAACCAGTTCTCTTGTTGGTAGGACTATGAGCGCACGCAGTCTCGTCAACTGACGATTGCCTTGGCTGAGGTCGCGTATGACAGGAATCGCATACGCGAGGGTTTTTCCCGAACCAGTGGCAGCGGACACCAGGATGTCGCTTTGCATTGTTCTGCAATAATGAGGCAGGAGCTGAGGAATAACAGCCGTTTGTATAGCAAAGCCTTCCTTGTACCCCTTCTGTGCTAACCGACCTGCGACCTCTGGAGTGATGCCAAGTTCAGGAGTAAGGCCAAAATCAGTGAATTGCGCCGTGGCTTGGCGTGAAACTCGTATGGGCGCTGCTAACCATGGCGGTAATGCCTCAAAGTCCGGCAATGACGTATCTTCGGGGACAGGTGCAGGTTGAGGTAAAGGTTCTAACCCGTGGGCTTCCACTGGCTCAGGAGCATCTTCCATTGCAACATCGTCGTTAGCTGTGCTGTTATCCTGCTCTGTAGTCGAGGGTTCGGGGGCCTTCATTGACTTCTGTTTCTTCTCAAAGACCGATTTGTGCCGCCGGCGAATTTGGTCATCATCTGAAGCGAGATCTTGCTCGTTGGCCTGAGCTTGGTCCTGGTTCTTCCTCTTCTTTTTCGTCCTTTTCTCCTTCTTGTCGGGATCAGCAGCATCGGCGGCTTCTACGGATTCCATAGTAGTGTCTTCCGCCACGGGGTTTTTCACAGGCTCAGGCTCAGGCTCGGCCATAGGTTCATCGTCTTGGCTCTTTGACTTTTTGTCCTTCTTTGAACTCTTCTTTTTCTTGCTGCCTTTTGTCGAGACCCCTTCCGATGTTTTCTGCGACACAGTATCCGTGGTGGACTCGAATCTTGTGCGTTTTGCTGGAGGTTGTTCGGCGACGAGATTATCGACTGCTTCTTCTCCAAAGTGCAAGTGTTTTTGTGGTTGTGGTGAAGGTTTTGCTGTTGGGATGTAGCGGTTGTAGGACCCTGGCCGCGATGTCGCCGACTGTACTGACGACTGTGCTGGCAGCGACTCGACGTAAGAAGGCTCTGGCTCTGGCCCTGGCTCTCGTGCTGGGGGCGCAGCATTGGCCTTGCCTTTTGGCGGTGGGATATATCGTGAATACATCTGCTCTGCTCTTCAGTTGACCAATTGGCCCGGTCACAAAAGATTCAAGGTGATATCTGCCCAGGGGGTAAACCAGATGATTGACACAGCCCTTGGGGAGAGGCAGGATACCGAACGACAGTGAAGCTGATGCGCTGGCTTAGATAGTCATCGCGTATTCTATTCCCAAGATGTTTTGTTCGCAAATGCGACTGGACTGCAATTTGGACCTGCGGTTCCCCCACGATGTTGAACTAAAAAGTTCCCAAACTTTTTGGAGCTGAACCCCGGCCAGCCCACCTCCTTATCGTTATCGGCGCGCGCCCGCCATCCCTGCAGCTCAGGGGGTTCTGGATCCTGGATTCTCGATTCTAACTTAAACTACCCTTAGTCAATAGATTCTGCTGGACGTGACGACGTTCTGGAGCTCAATTCAAGTGCCATCTCTGGCTGGGGCCTACGTACATACAGAGTATTGCTGGAGCGCGACTGGCAATCACATGCCCTTTTCTGATTTCCCGCCACGCATTTCTGTACGAAAGCAACATGATACCGACACCGACGCATGGAAAGCGTATGGGATGATGGATCTCGTTACTGCGGCCTCTCCTGCTCGATTTGTGCTCTTTGACCCCTTGCGATTATTGCAGGACGGCTGGCGGTCGACCCAAGACTACACATACAAAGATTGCAGATTGCCCCCTCCATCGCAAACTCGATACCTGAAAGGCGCACATATCGCAGCCGTCGCCGTGACATTGCAGAAATGGCGCGCCGCACCTACAACATCGCCATGGTATGCGATTTCTTTTTCCCGCAGCCAGGAGGCGTGGAGAGCCATATATACCAGCTTTCGTCAAAGCTGATAGACCGCGGACACAAGGTCATTGTGGTTACTCACGCTTATGATGACCGCAAGGGCATACGTTATCTTACAAATGGTATCAAAGTCTACCATGTCCCGTTCGCTGTCATATACCGTTCTGCCACCTTCCCAACCGTCTTCTCCTTCTTTCCCATATTTCGGAATATCATGATACGGGAACAAATAGAGATCGTACATGGGCATGCCAGTCTGAGCAGTCTGTGTCACGAGGCCCTACTCCATGCTAGGACCATGGGTCTGAGGACTGTGTTCACAGATCATTCCCTCTTTGGCTTTGCAGACGCCGCAAGCATCCTGACCAACAAGCTGCTCAAGTTCATTTTGAGCGACGTGGACCATGTCATTTGCGTTAGCCACACAAGGTATGTCACAATCCACACGCGGCAGGGTGAATGCTGATGGGTTGCAGCAAGGAGAACACTGTCCTACGCGCCGCCTTGGACCCTCTAATGGTGTCTGTCATTCCGAATGCTGTGGTGTCTGAGAACTTCAGACCATTAAACTACCCAACTGAATCACCTGCTCCTCAAGCTGGGTTCAACCAGATCCAAATCCCCCCTCCAGCCAACCAGCTTGGACCACACGATACAATCAACATTGTCGTCATTTCCAGGCTGTTCTACAACAAGGGAACCGATCTGCTCACAGCTTCGATACCACGGATTTTGGAGAACCATCCGAATACTCGCTTCATCATTGCCGGCAACGGACCTAAAGCTATCGATCTAGAGCAAATGATCGAGCAGAATGTACTGCAAGATAGAGTTGAGATGCTTGGCTCAGTGCGCCATGAACAAGTTCGTGATATTATGGTCCGCGGCCACATCTATTTGCACCCGAGTCTGACAGAAGCCTTCGGCACCGTTATCGTTGAGGCAGCCAGCTGCGGTCTGTACGTCGTGTGTACGGCCGTCGGCGGCATCCCTGAGGTACTACCTAGTCACATGACAGTCTTTGCCAAGCCCGAAGAGGATGATATCGTCGTGGCGACGGGCAAGGCCATCACAGCTCTCCGCGCAGGCAGAGTTCGTACGGAGAAGTTTCATGACCAGGTCAAGGTCATGTACTCTTGGAGCAACATTGCGAAACGTACTGAACACGTCTATCATGGCATATCGGGTGGCATAAGTGAGTCTGAGTTTTATGGTTATGATGTGGGCGACCCAACGACTTGGGGCGCCACGAGTCGCTCTGCAGTGCGAAGCTTTGCTCTTATTGATCGGCTTAAGAGATACTATGGCTGCGGTATCTGGGCAGGCAAGTTGTTCTGCCTGTGTGTTGTCATTGATTATCTTCTATTTATGTTCTGCGAGTGGTTGTGGCCAAGAGAACAGACCGATATCGCCGCCGAATGGCCAAGAAAGCACTTCGAAGAAAGCGATGAAGAATGAGATTACAGGTTCACTCTTCTTGTTGCTTCCAAGTTTCAAGTTCTGACAAATATGTGTATCGCTTAGATGCAGCCGCCATCAGCAGGTCGGGACAGGTATGAATGGCCTACGAACCATAGAAGTGCTCATGATGACCAAATGGCTGGTCGATTTGGGTCATAAACTGTGTCGATCGGTCGAAGTCAGAGGGTTAGACAACATAGGTGCGATCATGTTGTCAGCCATTGACCGACGATTTCACATGGGTAAAGGTTTCGTGCTGGAAGTCGCACAAAGAGCAACCTCTGTCGCACCAACTCAACAAACGTGCCTAATATATCTTTCAGGCCCTATGGAGATCGCCAGCCCGACAACTCGGTCGATAATTTTGCAGTCACTTTGCAAAATGGACCTTCTAGTCTCGAACGCACTGGTGGAACTAGACCGTGTAGTCCAGCCCTTGCAGCGGGCGGCCTCCCGCTCTCGCTCCAAGGTGGAGGCAATATCAACGTAACTGCACAGCCAAGGTGCGAGCTTAAGAACTATTGGACAGCGCCTTGGGCATGGGAGTTAGTGGTATCCCGGACAGGTGATGCATCGCGCAGCGTGGAAACAGACGCCGAACTGGTATTCCAGGCAGTCGACTGCTCATTACGAACTGGGTAATAGGTAATGAAAGAGATCGCTATAGCAAAGGCATCAGGAAGTGCGGAAAGTCGGTGCGAATTGCCCACGTGAATGTTGAACGATAGATGCAAAATTAGATAATGAATAGCCAGATTTATTTTATGAGCATGCTTTGTCATGGAAATATTCCATATGAGCTGAGATCGCACCACTTTGTGTGTTCTTGTATGTGTCCCGCTAGTAATCCTACCTAAACCCACTTGCCACGCCCTGGATTGAGGTATGTTCTACGCTCTGCATCAATCGGTCACATCATCGAGTTTCCTCAGACTGCGGCCGTAGTGAGTACTATCGTATGATATACGCCCCCAGCTCTCGAGCACCATGCGGGCAGAGCCGGCGGGGATCTTGAGCAGCAAAGAAAGAGCACCGAGAAATCTCAGCGAGATTCGGGCGGCGTACGAGGTTCCTACGGAGCTGGCGTTGGAGCGACTAGAGGAGCAGGACCTCAAGATGGATCAGGGTCTTCGACTCGCCCCTTGAAGGAACAGCTCAAGACGATCCGTGGTATACCCCAGGCCGTCATGGCGGATGTGGAAAGCGAAGAAGTCTTTGGCAGGTATAGCAGAGATATTGCAAGGCTGTGCTCGCGCTTGATGTGGCTTACGCATCTTCGTCGCCGCGAGATGGTATGGCCTTGGCTGCCAAGTCAACGTCAGTGTATTAGTAGAACAGTTCGGTGCACGATGCCCTCAAGCGATTATGTGCGTTTTGAAATTGATCAGTCTGTTCCTTTGTGGTGTGCTGGGTGATTCGAGTCGTGCCGGTCGATAGTCTAATGGTTATGGGCAAGGGCTGCCGCCAGGCCAACTTCCCTGGATTGAATCCCTAATCATGCAATTGATCTACATAGCCACAAGCTCTTCTTCGGTCGCTAGCCCGTACCGCTTACAAACATTCTTCTAAGGACACCAGAACCAGCTGGAGGGCCGAAGAAAGAAATTCGGTTTCCTGCAAAATGGTGTGTTTTGCCGGAAGAGACGGGTTTGATATGATTTGCAGCGAGTCGTCTCTTCCACATGTCCGACAGTGTTTGAATTCAAGAAGTCGTCATGTTTGAGAAAAGTTGACCACACGTCATAGAAATCGAATGCAGTCCATCTTTGAAGTGCAGTTAGTTGCGAGAACAAGCTGCGACACCCTCATCTCGCAGGTCGACCGCTCGTCGCTCTTGCTGCCCAAACTCGGGTTGACTGTTGGGAACACGCGTTCTCGTGACCTGTAGTGTCATTTGACGAATAATTGAAGACAGAGTCGATTTAAAACCCGCAGTCGTGTTGTCCCAAGATACTTTCTATCGCTAATTCAGAGTGTTCCCGACGCACCCGCAGATTATCCAACGGGGTAATTTTTACGATACTCCTTTGTATCGTTGCTTACTCGAGTATATCCTTCCTCAGAGAGCTAGTTCAAACGATGGAAGCTTTGAAATATATGAACTACCGTACTCCTACATTCCTTTGTTGTCTACAGTGCCTACCGCAACCATATCCCTGCAGTACTGGGGTCGGGGCTTGGATGGGTTTCGAATGTATGTAGGTGGAGCGTTGTGAGCTAAGAATCTTGATTTACTTGTACCTAGGTTAGCTGAGTAGAAAAATATGGTCGCGTTGACCAAATGTACGGACCGTACTGAATATTTGTCATGTTAAGCATCCCGTATACCCATAACCAATGAGGGTCCGCAATCGGCCGGCATCACACCGGTGCCTCAGCGACCCGCTTAGTGAGAAAAAGCGCTTTAGTTGAGAAGTTTCCTCGATTGGAACATGGAATGGCTTTGTGAAAAATAATTATACATGGTCTGTTCGACTTCACGAACCGGCGCTCTGGGTAGGTGGAAACGATATCCACAGCAGAATCCCGCTATAAAGGGTTGCTAGGCAAGGTTTCGTGATCACCACGTGTCAATAATTGATCAATGGAATCCTGATGACTCGTCGATGATAAAGACTTCGGGATAAACTTCGATAGCGCGTCGAGTATGTGTATGTATGTGAAGACCCTGCCAGGTTCTCGCTTAATGGCGACGGAAGCTTGTCGCAGAATATATGATTCCTTTCTACTTGATGTCAAGGCAACGCGGCCAACTGTTGCCCGTGCATAGCGCGCAACGCAAATAGTGGGCAATACCACCGAAAATAATCCAGCGTGTTGGTAGCAACCCATTGAAAGAGCTCTGTGTGGATTTTCGGATTTTCTGGGACTTCGTTTGATGCCTGCAGGTTGGGATGGAGTGCAAGGGTTTCATGACGTACTGGGTTTGAATAGTGGTTTCGTGCTGTCGGTAGCCGCGACATCGTATGATCCGATATTAATAAAGTGGCACTATCATGTTCTTCGGGTTTTGATAAAGAGAAGTTTTCAGATTGGAGCGGTATAGTGGCTGGTTACTAATGGCGACAACTGCACGGAGTACTGGGATTCTGCCAACGCATGACAGATACCGGTTGCGGGTTAGTAGAACTTTAAATGATCAGGGGAAGCTGTACTACATCAGGCACAAACGGATCTTCGCCAGCCTCAATATCCGTGGCTTTGGCTGTACCACACGATTTGGCTTACCAAAGACATGACGACGTATGCGAATCATGTGGTGGCTGTAAGCCTAAAGAGAGGCGCCGATTCAGATGTGTCAAGCGTGGTAGCGTGTATTGGTGTCACATTCCGAGCTACTATCTGCTTTTCAGCTCGCCATCTGTGACTAGCCGCAGCACGATAGAATGAATGATTTGAGGTTCGTGACAATCAAGTCTAACGAGATATGGTCCAACCATTTCTCGAATCGTATGTCGCCCATAGAATAAAGTCTGATAGGGACGATGATATAAGCCACTCTTGCTGTTGTGACATCGCCTGGCCATGGGATTAAGATGGGATTTGGTAGTATTGCAACTTTGAAGACCTGCTTCTGTATTTGTCTGGATTAATCCGTAACTGGGCTGTTGAAAGCATGCCATACAGGTGACTCCGGAGAAGTACCGCATAAACCCGCGCGCCATGAGAGCAAAATCAGGGACCTGCAGGTACCCATGCTGCTTTCCATACCAGTATTCACGTTCATCTGCGGGACAGTCAGTAAGCACTTGGTTTGCTTTCGTATGCTATCCATCCTGCCGTGTTATGTTGGAAGCCTATGGTCGCTAACTTGGTCGGGGTAATAGGGCCAGAAATGTTGTGGACTACATAGCATGCGCAATACTGCATATGGTAGAGACCAGGGTGGAGTGCGAACCGCTGAATTTGCTCCGCGCGCGGAAAACCTTCAGAAATAAGCGTACCTGGCGTGTCACCGCTCCCAGGACCTCTGATCATGGTCATAAATGGAAGTGCTTGATCTCGATCTGCAGAGCATCTGCGGCCGGTGCCGCGGGTGCGTACCTTTGTGGTATCTCTATAGACCCATCTCAGGATCACAAATGTTGGGACAAAGCAGTGGTGTCTGGTTCGAAGGTCTCCGTAGTCTCGCGCACGAGAACTTCCTCTAAAGAAATTCCTTCATGGTGAAGTGCATTACAGCATTATTTCTATAGCGCTGACTAAGTACAATGATATGAAGAAGCAAAAACAAGTCAAATGGTCTCAAGCTGAAACTATCCTAGGCTAGCCTGAATATATATTAACGAAGAGTAGGCCTAACGACGAGGAGCGGTGTTGCCAAACTCCAGAATCGACAAGTTGCCAAACGTGGCTGAAGACTAGATGCCGCCGTTCATTTTACAAGCTTGTGGTTGCATTGTGTAGCCCCCTTTCTACTTTAGGACTGGAGGGCAATTTGGCATCTAGACTCGCAATTTGGGATGTAGACTCCGCGAACAAAGGCACATATTAGCACTCTGCGGGGCAACGATTGCGCATCCTTGATCGTTCTGCTGAACAGCACCAATGCGCGGACAAAGCCGAAAAGAACCGGTGTTTTACTCGAATTCAAGCATTGTGAAAGATGGGGGATCTCAAAGATCTGGAACGATGCACGCCAAGCTATTGGTGTGTTGAGTGCTTAGTCTCCCTTACCTGTGGTTGACAATGAGTCTGGCCGCTTCAGTTTTGAGTAGCTCGTATGGCATTTATCAGGTTCCCAATGGACATTTGCCGTTGTACCACCTATATCGTGGTGAACACAGTGGCTGCCAGTGGCATCGCGATCGAACAATCGGGGGGGCAACAATGATGCTGGTTTGACACTCTGATCCCCTATCTCATCACTTGAAAAGTCAATCCGTGGCCAAACAAACAGGGCTGTTGGTGCCGATGATGTCGAACGCTGAATGGGACTTGTCGCAGGTCCCTTTCCGAGGAGATAAGAACCCAAAAGCCATGAACGTCGTCGTTGTTGTTGATTGTTTTCATGGTAGAAGGTCGACTGGATTGTCGTGTGGTATCGAAATGCCATGTCAAAGTGCGGTCGGTGCTGCAATGGAATTGTCCGATTGCCCATCGTGAAGACGTTGAGTAAAATTGTGAGTAGAGGCACAGGCGTATCCTTCCTGCCGCCTCGCCTAATGAGAACTATCTGACCGCGGCGCCACAACAGCATCAAACATGGCAGCTTGTTTGGATTTGCCGCTTTGCCCGGTTGATGTCTAGGGCAAAGGGTCCACGAGGGCATTGAAAAGCGGATCTTATTGTCAGGGTTGCAAAAGATCCGCTTCACTGCTTGTAAAGGCTAGCAAGTCACTAACCTAACTAACTTAGGAGGGCGTGTGGACTGGTGGGAGAAATCCAATAGTCAAGCACGAGCACAAGCACGAACGAGAATCAACAGCAGGTAGCTCGAAAAGACCACGAGGGTCAGAACCAGTGATTGAATGCAGAATGTCTACGATGCCTGCTTGTATGTACGTAGTAGGTACTGTAGATGATAAAGTAGCGGGTGGGCCAGGGCAGCATGACCGGAACTCGAACTTGAACTTGGACTTGAACTTGGATATGGGATATGGAGATATGGTAACGTTAGTGGGCAAGGATCCATCGTCGCGGCTACTGTTTTTGAACCGTTCGCTGCTGTCGCTCCTCCTACTGTAGGTAACGCTAAGGCAATCTCGCCTACCTGTCTCCGTCCGCTCATGCATGACAGATAATCCTTTGTTTGTTTCTGACGCTGCTGTTGCTGTTGCTGTTGCTTGTTCTTGACCAAGTTGAAGCCGTCATGAATGAGCGGTCACTCCTATTCCCTCTCGCCTGTAGAATCTGTACCTGACGGTAATACTACCCGGCCCTAGGCAGGTGTGTCTAAAAATATTTGGAGGCTGTCGAAAGACTTCGTTCGTTACGTCATAATTGACACAAGCCGCAGTGCCTTCCATTCGCCCCAGAATTTCGAAATATCCGCCCGCAACATCAGCTTTTCCACCTTAACTCCATTCAGCCCGACCTTAGACCCAGGATCAGGACCAGGACAGGAACAAGAAGACGAACAAGAACACTACTGGGAACAATAACATACTGTTCGATATACCCTGCCACGCGCACACACATACACACACACACACACACACACACACACACACACACACACACACACGCATACGCACACGACAAACAAAACGTGCGACACCGGTAGGCCACCGTAATCGTCACCATCGAGGCCGTTCGTACGTTGCATTGCATTGCTCTGCTCTGCTCGACCCAACACTGACGAGATCGCACGCGTAGTAACAGCAAAGACTTGCATTTGTGCATACCATACCGTCCCATCACACACTAATACACTGTCATCCGCGCTGTCGACAACCTCCCGGTTTCTCTGCTCGGGAATGCATTCATAGGAATGCCACAGCAAGCCCGCAAACCATCTCGACTTTCAAGGACTTCCTTCACTGCATCGCACGACTCCCAAGACGACCTCGATGCGAAACCTGCTCGCCCTTTGAGTCATTGTACGGAACAACGCAAAGAAACTAGTGGCGATGATTTGGTCGTAGGCATGCCAGATCTTCCAGGGCCACAGTCAGCATCAAGCCATGACTATGGCGCCGAAGACGACACCGCATCATTGTCACTTCGCGGCGGCGGTCCCGACAAAGTGTCCAGCCCAGAGAGCCCACCCGTAAAGAAGGCTCCTCGGATCCAAGAAGTCCTGCAGTCTGAACTGAGCGCAGCTTCCGGCGAAAAGAAGAAGCCCAAAGGCGTGAGCATTGCCCAAGGTTCACCCGAGATAATCGACCCGCAGTCCGTGATTAATCAGTATAGAGAACGGTTGGCACGAGATATCGCACGCCGCGAAATGGCCGTCCGAAATCCTCAATCTGCTACCCGGAGTCCACTGTCAGCTACCGAGAAGAAGCGCACATCTCCTATTCATGAGGACTTATCTCTTTCGCCACCGCCTGGCTCCGCGTCTAGCTCTGACATACTCACAGCATCGACAGAATCGAATAAGACCGTGCGCGGAGACAGCACTCCAGCCTTCACCCCAGGATTAGCAGCCAGGACACCATCATACCCGTTTCCCCGAATGATCAGTACGCCTGCTCATGGGCCATCTGCGTTGCAGAGAGCCTTTCACAGCGGCTTCCTTGGCGCCACCGGCGGTCAGTTCGAAAACCCTGTATTGCACGATCAGCTTCGTTCGGATCCTTCAACACCGGCCTCGACCATGACTTTTCAGCCCACCGGTGCTGAGCCTTTGATAATGGACCGCGATTTCCCCACACCCAATCTTTACGAGTTAGCTTTGATGCTTGGAGCTGAACCTGGACTCGATGCTTGGTGGAGTACAGTGGTCCAAATAATGAAGCAATGCTACAAAGCCGAGCGGGTGACACTTTCGGTGCCCGCTGATGCTACAGATCTGGAGAATGTACCCTGGGGCCAGAAGGCTACTTACAACCCCATGGAGGAAGATGAATTTAGCATGAGCTACATGGGAAGAAGCAGTATGATGCCGAGCACTGTGGACGATGTGTCGGAGATGGCAACCCCGTTGGACGGCTCCACCAGAGGTGAGGGTCCACTGCGACCTGGAATGCAGAACCGACACTCCTTTACATCCTATGAGAACAAGAAGGATACCAGGGCAGCCCAAGCAGCAGAAACTCCGAGCACAATGCCACGAAGGCCCGCCGCCATGCCACGCAGTAAAAGTTACTTCCCAACTACCGAGAAACGCGTGCCCAGTTCGCCTCGACCGGCGCTCAACAAGCAAGCGCTCGAAGAGCATGATGCTGTTGAGGAAGAACAGAGCATTCCAAGTTGGGAGGCACCTCTAGTTTCACGACCCGAAGCCAAGGGCCGAGTGCTTCCGGTATTGCAAGGACTGGATCTCGAGGCCGATCCCCTTATTGATCATAATGGTATAAAGGGTGTAATTGAGCGCGGTAAAGTTATTGCCTTGACACGCACATACCCTTATCTTGATGCTGCCGTGAACGAAAAATCCAAAAAGAGGCCGAAGAGACCCTTCCGAGCTGAATCGAGCGCCAAGTTATCTTCGATCCTAGGGAATGCAACAGGGGCACAGCCCGCAAGCCGGGGTACAAAACCAGTTGGCAGCGAGCGAGTCTCCAAGCGCGCCAACTTACTATCAGTGTTGGACGATGAAGAACCGCGCCCTCCGACTCCAAGATTCGAGGAGTATGAACAAGCACCGCCGTCTCCATGGTCTCAATCTCCCGCACCTTCACCTGCTGTTCGAGCGGACCCTGCAGAGAATCCCTTCTTCACAGATGCAATGGTGGACGAAGACTCATTCAACCCGGGTCCTAGTCCGCATGATTATACCAACATGCAGCCTCCCGAAGCCATTGGGGTTGATAATTCGTGGACTGTGCTTCATATCCCACTGAAACACATATTGCTCTCGAAGCCAGCTGGTAGTTTCAAACTCAATTCGGCAGTCTTGGCACAAAAGTCAGCATTCCGCGGTCGTCAGGATGCGACAGCAGAGTCGGGCTATCGTGAGCGCCCTTCATCATCTGACTCCTTTAGCGACAATCGCCAGAGCCCTATAGCCATATTGTCCATCTCGAGTCCTCTTATACCATATCCTTCGAATTTGCGATACTCCTTGGATCATCTCGCACCACATCTTGCCACGTCATTTTCAATGTGTCGTCACTACACGAATATGGAAACTGAAGTTTCCGGATTTCAAAGGAAGAGACCTGCCACAGTTGGGTTTGGTGCCCTTGGGCCCGATGGACGCCCTCTCGCGGACCCTGTCTTGTATGCCAAACTCAAATTCGCGCCAACAGAACACCCGTCACAAAACTCCATGACTGGAAGCATAACAAGCCCCAGCGATACGTCCGGCCCAGCAGCACGGAGCGCTGCTAATTCCCCCGGCGGCTCAATCAGCTGGGATCCAAGCTCGTTCGGCTTGGTTGTGGAAAGGCGAACAACGAGCACAAGTCCTGGTATGGTAGTTGCTGACGGGTATTTCTCCGCCGCCGCTCAGTCAGGCAATTCAGGTTATGATGCTCCACCACGCACTCCTGGTTATCGCCCAGGACGAAGTTACAAAGAATCGTCGTCCTTTTCTCTTGAAAAATCACTACATCACCACGGACAAAGTCTCCAGCCAGGTACCCCAGCTTGGACAACGGCAGATGATTCCGCAAGCGCCACATATACCCCAGATGAGAGAGCACTTCCTAATTCCTCAAACAGGCGAGCTGTATCGAGAGAAGCCGGATCAAATGATTTTGAATCGAGTCCGGGGCAAGTCGGTCAGAAACATACAAAATTACACTCATATGGTGCTGATTTCGCTACAACCTTCCAGTCGTTGCCATCGGGCACTTACGTGAACCAGCCACCCACGCGAGAAGACAAGGTCAGCATGCTACCTCCGTCAGATCGACTCAAGGGGCTGATGCTAGACTCTTTACCAGCCCATGTGTTCGTGGCCCTACCTGGCACGGGTGAAATAGTATGGGTAAATAGCAGGTATCTCTCGTACAGAGGTCAAACTGTTGCTGATCTCATCGTGGATCCTTGGGGCTCTGTTCATCCCGAGGATAGAGATGGCTACATCCAAAAGTGGACTCATTCCCTCCGTACAGGCGAACAATTTGCTTACACGGTCCGCCTTCGGCGTTTCGACGGTGTCTATCGATGGCATCAAGCTCGTGCTATTGCATCGAAGGATAAAAGGGGAATCATTGTTCAGTTCATCGGCTCCTATATGGACATCCACGATCAAAAAATCGCGGAGTTGGTGGCAGCTCGTCAGGAGGAGATCGAAGCCTCTGAAGCTAAGCATCGCCTGCTGGCCAATCTGATCCCTCAAATCATTTTTGCCGCTACCGAGGAAGATGGGATCACATTTGCCAATGAACAGTGGCTCTCGTATACTGGACAAAGCTTTGAAGATTCTCTCGGCTTAGGTTTCATAGATTTCGTTCACCCGGAAGATCTGGCCAAATGTAGGATACCATCAGAGAAGCAGGCAGCGAAATCTCCGGAGCCTTTCACTCCAGGCAGGATGGCTTCCGCTACGGCAACACCGACTCGGCTCGGCAGTTTAGGCGAAATTTCGTCTCGCAAATATTCGAGCAGTGGCTCAAGCTCCTCTATGCCCTCTTCGGAACTTGAGGAACTAGCAAAGAAAGGGGTTATCAAAGTAGCGACAGATAGCACCGGACGCCTCTCCTACACGACTGAGCTTCGGCTGAGGTCAAAGACAGGGGAGTATCGCTGGCATTTGATCCGATGCGTAGAGATCAATAATATCAATTTCGGGACCGGCGAGAGCTCTTACTTTGGATCGGCCACCGATATCAACGATCACAAGCTTCTTGAAGCGAAACTCAAAGAAGCCATGGAGGCAAAGGCACGCTTTCTCAGCAACATGTCGCACGAGATTCGAACGCCATTGATAGGCATCTCGGGTATGGTCAGTTTTCTGCAAGACTCGGTTCTAAATGAAGAACAGAGAGATTATACGAATACGATACAGACAAGTGCCAACAGCTTACTGATGATTATCAACGACATTCTGGATTTGTCGAAGGTCGACGCTGGAATGATGAAGCTGAACTTCGAATGGTTCCATACCCGCTCACTAATTGAAGATGTCAACGAACTTGTCTCTACAATGGCGATAGCCAAACGGCTTGAGCTCAACTACGTAGTTGAGCAGGATGTGCCTTCGTGGGTCAAAGGCGACAAAGTCCGAATTCGTCAAGTTCTACTCAATGTGATAGGCAACGCAATCAAATTCACCAGTCAAGGCGAGGTGTTCAGTCGATGTCAGGTCATAGAACGGCAGGAGCACGATGACCACACTATCATGCTGGAATTCTCCATTACCGATACTGGTCGCGGTTTCACGAAGGAAGAATCTGATCTTATTTTCAAGCCCTTTAGTCAGATTGACGGAAGCAGCACTCGTCAACATGGTGGAAGTGGTCTCGGACTAGTGATATCACGACAACTGGTTGAACTTCACGGTGGGAAAATGGACGGAAGTGCAGTTCCTGGCAAAGGCTCAACATTCACGTTCACAGCGAAATTCGGACTACCCACGGCAACAGATTATCCTGGTGTCCCCACATCACCAGTCAGCGTGCCTCTTCTTAGGCAAACCACATCCGAAGAAAGCTCGAGATCAGGATCAACGGTACGCCCATTCTCTCCGCGAAAAGCTCCGGAAATCCCATCTATTAGCAGTCCTGCATCGGATGCCAGCGTTGCCTCCCCCACAATGAACTCTTCTGCGAGCTCTGATCCATCTGTCCGCTCAACGCAGACGCAAAATACATCTTCGTCGTCGGTTTCGTCGGTCAACGTTGGCCTTACCCCCTTCAGCGAAGCTGCCAAAGCAAGCGGTCAGGAGCTATCGCAGATGAGGCTTGAGATGCCTTTAGGAGGGGTGACACCAAGCGATACGCCAACTCCAGATCTCCTGAAATTCGCTGTAACGGCTGACCAGTTCCGACCTTCTATGTACTCAATTCTCATCATTTGCCCTCAGAAATTCAGTCGGGAGGCCACAACCAAGCACATTGAAATTACTTTGCCGAAGGACGTGCCTCATCAAATCACAGCTGTGGCCTCTGTCAAGGAAGCGCAGAAGCTAATAGGCGGTGAAGAGTCGGTGACATTTACCCATTTTGTTCTCAATCTAACCTCAGCTGAAGAGGTCATGAACATGATCGACCAGGTCATGTCTTCGTCGAATGGAAAAATCTCGGTTCTCGTCCTTTCCGACTCTCACCAACGCCAGGCTGTGCTGAAGCTCGCTGCTGACAGCGACCACCAGAAGCTATTTGCGCAGAATCTAATTACTTTCATCTACAAACCGGTAAAGCCTTCACGGTTTGCTGCTGTGTTTGATCCAGCAAAGTTGCGCGACTTGAGTATAGATCGCAACCGTTCAACGGCCGCACTCATGGTGGAATCTCAAAAGCAGAGCTACATTGAGATCGAAAAACGTATTGGCAACAAGGGCTATAGGGTACTCCTTGTTGAGGACAACCCGGTCAACCAAAAGGTGTTGATTAGGTATCTTAAAAAGGTTGGTATCACTGCAGAGATCGCCAATGACGGCGTCGAATGTACTGAGAAGGTGTTATCGCAACCACCTGGTCATTATTCGCTCATCCTGGTATGTCATATTATAGCACCGCGCCCACGTTTTCATCGTTGGCTAACATTATTAGTGCGATCTCCATATGCCTCGTAAGGACGGATATCAAGCGTGTCGAGATATTCGACAATGGGAGAAGAGGAATAACTACAAGAAATTGCCAATTATAGCCTTGTCGGCTAACGTAATGTCAGACGTTCAGGACAAATGTGTTAAGGCTGGCTTCAGTGATTATGTCACGAAACCGGTTGACTTTGTCGAATTGAGCACTGCCATGTCCAGATTCTTCTGATCTTCGGATTATCATTATTGTTACGAATACACACCAGCGCCTGCAAGTACACGATAGCAAGCACTCATGCATCCCGTCGGCGTTTCCATGGTCAAAAGAGAAGCGGCATATCACGTTGATATTCAGTCATGGCCGGAGTCAACTGAGTTAGGGAATGCTTCCATACTATATAAGGATGTTATGACATCAGCGGTAACCTGCTCCAGATGAATAGAATAAGGTGAATTGGCATCAGAGGGAGTCCCGTTACACGGGCCGCAATTGTTTTGCGCAAGAGTTTTGTGGAGAGTCATCCGGGGGAAAGTCCGGTGACACGCGGTTATGAAACAGGTTTGAAATGAGGTGGGATAAATACATGTAATATGGCCTGTGGTAGCGGTTAGCTCTGACGTACCACTATTACTAATATACCTGATACCTGGTATTAGAAGGCTTAGGGGGGGAGTGAGGATACACACCTTTTTGTTCGGTTACTAGCTATTCAACCAATACTATTGTTGATACTATGATATACCTGCAGTTGGTCTCATGAGCGCTTTAGGTTGGCAACACCTCTAGATGTCTTTAGCTTAATAGTTGTCAATCCATATGTAATGCCTTTCTCAAACAAACGTTGGGCCTCAACTAATTCGACCATGAACACCGAAATCTTCTTTTCTTCCAGATATGAATACAATTCTGTGCGAATTCGATTTAAAGATATTAAGATATTTTGGTTCACCATCCCGGCTGAGTTTGTGCTTTTTGTCATGGAGTGCGGTGATCAGGCCGCTCTGGGCCAGTACCAACTCAAATCTTTATGACATGACGACACCTCTACGTTGGGGAATTCTAAGACAAAACGGATAGCGACGAATCTGATCTAAGCTGTATATGTGTATGGTGTGTGTCAATTCCAGCTTACTCTAATTTCTCGTTGGAAAAAGCCATGACACAGCGATCAACCGCCTAGATGACGATAACGCCATCCCTTTGGCGTACGCTTACCATCTCTCGAACTAGGAGAGTTGTCATTATCTCTTGAACAAATGTGTACAGGTATCCTTGTTTTTTATTGTTGACGTAGTAAACCATGGAACGGGATGATGCCACTTACCTGGTCGAGTTTGGTTGTCTGGTGAGTGGCTCCAAAATGAACAATGCCACTGTTGTGCCTTTGGCTATAGATCATGCTAGATATAAGAACGTGTGCAAGTACAAACACGCTACATCGACGGTCTTGAAGAGCAGAGGCGCCACAAGTGATGTGAAGTCGATGATGGGTTGGCATGACTTGTCAGCATATTTCTACCGTCATGGCTGTCGAATCACGCCTCTTTGAGGCTACCAAGATATCTGATTATCGTCCCGAGGGCTAGACTTGGTGCCTGCGACGACAAACACCTGACTGCACTTGCAACAGCACGTGGTGCAAAACCATTCGGGCAATCCTAGAACTTCTCATCAACAACGCTCCGATGGTTCACGATCAGGGTAGCCTCTTAGAAGTTCGCGAAAATGCACTTAGGGAATACATTTACAACCACAAACCCAAAGATACGAAAGATCCGGGAGAGAAGCTTGGATGCGTTGAGCTTCTTTCTGTTCATTTCACACACGAAATATTTACGGTTGAAAACATGTATTTAATGCGCGGCATGATGTAGCTTCTGTTGACCGGAGGTGCTTCTCGTACAGGAGATGAGATGACTGGTGGCCCGCTGAGCTGCTTCTGCAGCAGAGATTATAACATAAGTACAAGCAAACTACAATGATTAGGTGTAGATCCCGATACAACCAACACAGCTCTTTGCAGACTGGGTCTACGTGAGTCAATCAATCATCCTGCCGGTAACTTAGTTCTAAGTCTACCTCTAGATGCAAAGGCAGGCATGTGCTAAAAACAAGGGAGAAAATATAATAAATCGTTCACCTATCCAGTTCGCTATCGCACACAATTTTCTTGACTCTTTCAACCTGATGTTCCACCGTGGTTCGCTGAAGAAGACAGACAAGAAGCTGTTAAGCAACCTCCAAAAGGTTGCATGCGTCTATGGATTTATGCCGTTCATACGCGCTTTATGTAAAGTCACCACCCGGAAGCATGACATCAAACCAATCGCGCGCTCTAGATCCGTGGTCTGGCTCCAGGATTTTCTAGCCACCTTGTTACACGGTCGATATTTGACCTTGATGATGCCATAGACACGATGGCTTTCATTTTGGATCATGCTACAGAGACAACACTAAACTCTTCCATGGCAACGGAGCACTCGCACATATGTCTTGAAGGTTCAAGAACGCTATGGAGTAGATTGGAGCACTGTTGGATTCGTATGCCATATGTTATGATATTGCTGAAGCCGTATGTGGTTACACCGGCGACCATCCGCAAGGTAGTCGTTTCATGACGCAAATCTTGGTCGGTTTCCAAAGTCGTGTTTCACTTTCGGCAGGTCAGAAGCATGTAAATATTTAAGCCGGAACGAATTAAGAACGCCAGTGTATCTTTGCTGCTGTTCGGTTGACTTGATCAGTGTGGCAATGGCAACACTCGATTGTCTATGCCATTTCAGGCATGCACAGCAGGAAATGGTCACGTAGAGGTGGAGCAAGTTCGTCAGATGGATTCGGTCATGAAGCATACGAGTGTTTGTACTCGTAAAACTCATCGAAGGAATCGGAGCCCGTGGGGTTATGCCGTCCGTGGCTGAATGAGGACACAACTATTAGAGGGACATTGACCTATAGACACCATACGTCGACGGTGGGTAGTTTGTGATGAGGATGCTTCAGAGGTGTATTTTCATTTCCAACTTGTACATACTTCTATAAATGACCCTGGCCAGACGATGGAATACACGTTATATTTATGCAATGAAGCTACACCTAAATTAATTATAGCTAACACAGAATACATATCGAGATACTATCCTCGTTCGGTGCAAGACTCGTGGAGTCGAGTGCTTAACATAATAGTGTAAACGAAACTACGTATTGACTATTCCCAAGGACAAGGCCATTGTGTAAGCAACCTGGGCAATACCTATTCCCCCGGTGTATCTTCCAGATGGTGTTGGAAATGCTCATCCCAGCCGCTCTGGGTTACACCACGCGATTTGCTCCGACAAATTCCTAGATTCTGTCAACCATTGTAAAGTCATGTGCAAAAATGGCGGGGGAGGCGGCGCACAGATTGTATGGCGTTTCGCCGCCGAATAGCCATTGCAGATGAGTTGGGTACAGTAAATGGCAACAGGAAAAAGACTCCGAAATGTAACCAAGGACATCTAACCTGTTCGGTACTTCTACTATTGTGGTGGTATCAAGTTGCGCAAGTTACGATTTTGGGAACATAATGCTTGAGAAAGGCAGGAATCCTGAAGTCCTGATCATGGATACTAAATAGCAATAGTCTATTAGGGAGAAACAAAAGTTCCTTTCCTTTTGACTTGTAGCACAAGTTGCAGGTCTATGATATATAATTTACTTCACAACTTAGTTACCAGGTTGCGGCGAACTTGCGTACAAATTGTTAAAAATATCGATCCTCTAAGAAGACATTCACGTTCTGATAAATGCCAGTAAAGCTTTATCATTCCACTAACCTTAGTTAGTGCCCATATATGTCTTTTCTAAGTTTCGCCAGTAAGCCAATTGAACACTAGGTAACACGGGCAGACGTTATTGTCCAGCCTTACGTGTACGAGCTAGGGTATTCTAAATGGCAAAATTTCTTGACACGTCAAATGGAAAAACTGATATTAACCGTGCTTTGGCAGCGCCATCCACCAGTTTGCAACTAATAACACAAACTACGTGATATTCCATTTAACTGAGGGGACACTACTGAGTGCATGGCATGTCATGGTGTGGAAACAATACTGATATCCGTGGCCGACGTCTTCACTATTCTGTTGCACAAAACAAGGGCACTATATTCCCATGACAGCGGAAACGGACGGCATTATTGCATCATGAGCTACCTTTCGTCGCACAAGACACCACTTCCATTCTGGTCGAAGCTCCGAGAAAGAAGGAAGAAGAAGAAGAAAACGCCCCTCCTCCTAGTTTTGTACGACGTCTTCGGAGTGCGCTTTCCTGCATGAGGCTCATTTCCGAGCAGGGGAACGGCAACATGAGGAGGCTTTTCGAAGCATCTGCGAGGGCGGGCGATTGCTTTCATTCACGGACAGATTTTGCACGTCTGAAATGCTGTGCAGCACCATGCCATAGACATGCAGTCGGCGACCATATCGACCCGACTTGAGAGCTGCAGGGGGTTGACGATGGGGGCCGTGCCGAGGGGGGCTCCGGCGATACGTCTGTGTTCCAGACCCCTCTTCCCTCGCGCTCCCAAGGGTTTGGCCTGCTTTTGCTTATCGCTCTTTTCCCTATGTACCTCGTACACCATTGGCTTGGCCACGATGACTGGGCTTGTAAGATCGAAAATTTTCAGCACTATATTAGGCACAAGGCAAGAAGTCATAAGCGTTGCCTGCCGCAATCCTTGTTCGCGTCCTGGGAGCAAAATTTGACACAGCCAAGATGGAATAGCGCAGCAGAAAGGCTGTTTCGTTGGGAAGCGGAGCCACTGGGGGAATCTCTCAGCCCGCCTACGTTCCTTCGCTTGCAAAGGTTTGCGCTTACTCGATAAGCAGGGCCTCCCATAAGGTGTCCCAGGGGCGGGATATTTTCAGCGACACTATCGTCGCCTTGAGCCGAACGCCACCTGAGATGCTGGGTTGCATAGCCTGTCGTAGTCGAGTCAAACAACGACCAATCACGACATGGTCTCGGTCTGGCTGGAACCAACGCGCTTGCGCATAATAGCGGCGTAGGCCTTGTCTAGGCAAACCTGGAAGCGGGAGCAACAGTTCGCGAAGGGATCCGATTTCATGGAGTTTCAGGCTACCTTGCTGTTGGAAGGCGACAGCCCGGCAAGCCACCGACTACAGTTCGGTTCGCCGTCTTGCCCAATGGAGCGCCACCTGCGTTTGGTGTTCCTAAACCCTTGGAGAAACCGCCGCAATGAGCGTCCTGCAGAGGGCGATGGCATCAGATGCGGGGTTGGCCAATTACGAAGGCTGCCGAGCTACGATATGCCTTTTGTGGAAATGCGTTCGCAATACCACGTTGTTACGTGATGTGGTATCACGAGATTGCTCCCGTGAACTTTAAGTCTCGAGCTCTCGGTAGTAACGGGTCTCAAAAAGCATCGTGGTTCGACCGGAGTGGCGAAAAGCAATTCAATCTTGGCAATTCCATCACACGTTCTAGGGCTGACACAATGTGTCTCGGCTCGTAGCATATTGCCATATCTTCGTGGGAGAGGGTGTGCTGCTAACGTAGATCCCACGTACTCGATTGGTCAGAGTTGTCTTTTTCCTACTACGCGATTTCGTGAAGGAACTAGACGTGCATATTTCTGTTGACGCTCGGGGGTTTAAGCTGAGGTCACTGCCATCGGAACGCACTAACCCCCGAATACCATCATCCTCATGCGGTCTCAGATTCCTGCAGCCAATAGAGCTGCATGACATATGCGGCATGCATTTATACTATACGTACGATCATACTTTTTCAACATCTCTCACAACGCTCATGTATCAATGAGCATCGATGGGGAGCGATTGACCGCGGGTTACAAAAGTTGTGTAACTGTACGCATTGCAACGCGAAACTATCAGCAGATTTGCGTCGTCGCGTCTCGCCCATTTCAACAAGCGTTGTGTAACTTGACATGTAATTATTTCTTCGGCGGCCACTCGTCTACTTGTGCCTCCTCCGCGCAACATACATCATAATAGTGCAGGGGCTCATTCCTTGGGCTGCCGACCAATCTAACAGTCCATGTTATCTCGACTGTAGCCAATGGTAAGCTCTTTGCTCTTGTTTTAATATCCACGAATGCATAAAATAAAGTGAGTTGGAGAGCAATGTTATTGGACACGATAATTCGTATATACTAGCCGATGACTTTTCACCATCATACCCATGGCAGATAGCGGTTCATTATGGATCTTCTGCTAGAACCACTATCCGTGGGGTGATAGGGAAATATTGCAATATACATGGGACAGGTCTGGCTACTTGATCGATGTGTGATCACCCACTTAGCCAAACCGACTCGTTTCGTTTGACGATCGGGCTATTCCGAAATCATCACGGAGTCCGGACGATGCTCCAAAGTGCCTCTGTCTGACATTGTAATGGCAGCGAGATAAGCTGTTCCACGTGTTTGGTGCCGAATAGCTGTGCCGTCGACTTGCTTCTGGGTCGGAGCATTGTCTGATATTGCAAGGAACGGAAGCCCACACGAGGCCCGACAGCTTGGGTGTATGCTTAGAGCTGTACATCCATACATTACAGACCAACTTCAGCACAAGCCTAATTTCGGTACTTGGGCTGGCCGATGAGCGTACCAGTGTGAGTTTGCGTCCGACCTTTCTGTATGCTTGCAATCCCAGGGATTTGATTTCCTGGGGTCAGCTTGTCTGCGTCACGGTTTCCCCTGGCAAAAAGAAAAGCCTCCACATGCTATGTACTACGTACCTTGGTTAGGATTCTTTGTTTTGCCAAGCAACCATAAATGCGGGGGAGCGAGATTGCGACTCTATTCGTTCAACTAGTGCTTAGACTTGTTGCGACCTCAAATCGCGAAAAGCAGGGTCTATATGATATGCTTGCTGAGGTCATGATCCATGAAAAGATAACAGTGTGGCATATTGAAGGCCTCGAACATGGACGGACAAAGCACCGCCAGTCGTGAGCTGTAAGCGATAACAATTCGATGGCTCCAGCCCATTGTTGAAATGCAGGTGATGATTCGAAATAGATGAAACAATAACACCCGCTGTAACCACATGTATTTCCCACACCTGTTACGTTCCAGACGTTACTTCTCTTTCGTCGTCGCGTGGAAGACATCTCAAACATCAACGCCGTGAGGAGCTGAGGGCATCGTGATTACAAAATCACGGCCGGAGCCCACTGTCTTGCAGAACACCCCAACTTTCTTGCTTACAAGTGCGTTCCCACAACGCATGGCGCAGCACTAAGTATCAATGGCTCCCAAACGATCTTGATCAGAAGATATATACCCATGCATAAGCCTGCAGGAACGTGGAGACTCACTAGCGCAGGATCCTACGAGATTGCTAAGAGTGAGGTGTGCTTAGCCTGCCCTTCTTTGATGTTGCTATCGACGCCTGTCCAACCACAAATGGGGGACGGTGGGCTCTCCGGGAACAAATCATCATTGGCTCATTGCGTTTGGGTGAGCTGTCGATTTGCCAAGTTGCAAAGCCCTGTTGCCAGCAGGATCATTTTACCCCAGTAGATATAGTGTACTTGTAAAGCATGCAGCATGGCCCTTGCTATCTGCCAGGTTCGGCCTGGATAAAACCTGCCCAGGGTAGTCGCGTAGCATCATGATGAGCGCCAGACGCATCGTAATTCTGCGTTTCAAGCAGGACTCGCATATCTCTACCACACTCGATGGTGGACTGGGTCATCTAAATGAAAGGTGTTTGAATACGCGGTGATATTTACGAGGCATACTACACCTGGAGTAGGAATAGAGTCGGACAAAGACTAGTCTAGCCTCGGAGAAGGAAGCGCTCTGGGAATTGTTCATCTTCGACGTTGTCCCTTGTGGTGGGTTAATAAGCGATCGCCCACAAGGACAAGGAAATCGGCTAGCGCTGCCGGCCCGGCAAGCACGTATGGTATGGCTGAACTTGACTCTTCCTGTTTGAGACTATTTACTGCGTACGATGATGGGGACATTGGAAACTAGACTATAGGGCCTGTTACCAGATATTGATGCTGACAGCATGTGACCTTTGGAAGCTGCGGGTTTGTGGCACAGTGCTGACGCTCATTTGCCATCTCACTCCAAGTATTATCAAGTCTACTCCGCATCACCGTCCAAACTCGACCTTGGCAGACAGGTTATGCGGATTCGAATTGCTATCCAGGCGTTTGCGTAAGCTTGATTTGGTTTGTTAGGTTGGGAGTTTTATTTTAATATACGTTGGTGTGCTCGATCAACGTATACGTCTTATGTGCTGGCTGTCTGAAATGCGATATCCGCCAACAATTGATCCGTCGCTGGGGACAGTTTGGGCTACTCAAAACGATATGGTCTCGGTATCTCATGATCCTTTCATGTGCTATCCTGAAAGTGCTTAGACTGTGACAGTTTCTCGGGTCCGCAGACTTGACATGAATGTCATCACAAGCTTATCTTGCAGTGATCTCGGACCCCTAGTGGTGGCCCAGTCCTTGGAACTAAGCCGTAAAGAGTCCTCGATCATTCTCTCACTCCCAAAGAGTGTCTAGAGCCATGCTGCAATCGGACTCAGACCAATGACGAGATGCAACAAGACGGCTGAGACGCCGAAAATATCAGATCAGCTGGACCCTGATAAGATCGTACCCCGTGTTGAGAAGAGAGCGAAGATCCTTATCCCCATCTGCTGAAGCTATTGCGGAGCTGAACCGCTTCCTGACGAATCATT